GCCGTGGTGGGTGGTGTGGGGGGGGGGCAATAAGCATCGGGAACCCTACATAGGCACCAAGGCGCTTTTGGGCCAGCGGCCACAGACATGGGATGTGTCTCGTCGAGGAGGCCCGTGGTTCATACATAGGAAGGACTCGCACGAATAAGCGCGAGTACCCAAAAACTACCAGCAAGATAGGTAGCGGAGAGAAGTATTTTGGCAATACGCAAAGAATTTTTGTTCGAAAAAAAAATAAAAAATGATGAGGGCTTGTCTGTGATCTTAATTTTTTTCTTTTGAACAGTTGGATCAAAAGCAAAAGCGCAACGAGACACCCTTAGCTAGGAGCTGGAGAGATATTCTGAGAATCGATCCGTGTTTGGTGATATACATGCTAAATAAGAATTTTGCTTCAAAAAAAGGGGGATGTATATACAACATGCAGCCCATCCATCCAGCGACTCTCCTCTTCCACTCCCACCATCACCATCACCATCCATCCGTTCATCCATCCATCCATCCTCATCTTCACTTTCCCCATCTCCGCCAAAACCTCAAAACATACTGCCCGCTTCCACAAAAAAAAAAGGGGAACCCCCACCCCCCACAAAGCCCAACAATCCAACACTAAGCCTTGTACAACAGATCCAAGAAGCCCGTCGCCAGGTCCACGACAATGCTCTTGTTCGGCAGGCTGCCCGCGACGCCATACAGCGCCGCCGCGTCGCCGCCCGCCGCGCCCTTGGCGCCCTGGCCCTCGGCGGCGCGCTGCCTCTCCCGCTCGCGCACCTGCTCGACCACGGCCTCGAGGTCGGCCGCCAGCCGCTCCCAGACCTTGGCCGTGGGCAGCGTGAAGGCGACGTGGATGGCCGGCGGGCTCTGCAGCGCGTTGAGGTGCCACCCCCGCTCGCTCATGCCGTCGGCGACGTCGTAGACGGGCAGCGTGCGGCTGGTGAAGGCGACGACCGAGACGAGGGGCCGGCCGAGCACCTCGAGCTCGCCCGCCAGGGAGGGGCTCGTGGCGATGCGGTCGGCGAGCTTCTTGGCCGCGCCGACGATGGTCACGCAGGCGTCCAGGTACCCGCTCTCGCCGACCGACATGAGCGACGCCCAGCACCCGGCGATGAGGGCGCCCGGGCGGGACCCCGCGAGCCCGGGCGAGGCGTAGACGCCGCCGGCCCAGTCGGGCGAGACAAAGTACTGGTAGGTGCGCAGCTCGGCGGTGCGGTAGAGCACGGTCGAGTTGCCCTTGGGCGCGAAGCCGTACTTGTGCGTGTCGCACGAGATGCTCGTGACGCCGCGCAGGCGGAAGTCGAACGGCTGCGTCTCGAAGCCGGCGCGCTCGAGGAAGGGCACGAGGAAGGAGCCCAGGCAGCAGTCGACGTGCAGGGGCAGGCGGCGGCGCGCGGCGAGCTTGGACAGCGCGGCGATGTCGTCCATGATGCCGTGCGGGAAGTTGGGCGCCGAGCCGACGAGCAGGATCGTGTTGGAGTTGATGAGGCGCGCCACGCGGCGCACGTCGACCTGGTGCGAGGGCGCCGGGCACTCGACGAGGTGCATCTTGATCTTGAAGTACTGGCAGGCCTTGTGGAAGGCCGTGTGGGCGGTCTCGGGGAGGATCCTTTGCGCGGAGGGGGATTAGAGAACGGGTTCGAAGCTTTGAAGATATGTAAACGTGAGAAAGAAAAACTTACATCTCGGGCTCGGTCACGCCGCGCTCGTGGTAGGCCTTTTGGCGGGCGCTCAGGCACGCCATGAGGATGCTCTCGGTGCCGCCGCTCGTGGACACGCCGGCGGCGCCGGGCGGGGCGTTGAACAGCGACAGGACCATGGAGACGACCTCGGCCTCCATCTTGCGGACGCCGGGGAAGACGTCCGGGTGGATGGGGTTGGCGACGGTGAACTTGCCAAAGGCCTCGGTCTGCAGGCGCATCAGGCCGTCCTCGCCGTGGTAGACGGCGCCGGACACGAAGCCGTCCTCCCAGCGGGTGTGGTCCATGGCCGCGAGCTGCTCGAGCTCGGCGCGCACGGCGTCGCCGGCCCACCCTTCCTTGGGCAGGGTCAGGTAGCGCGTCGAGGCCTGGGGCACGAGCTTGGTCTCCATCTTGCCGAGGGCCTCGCCGACCTGCTTGCGGACCTGGGTGCGGACGCCCGGGGCGCGCAGGAACCAGCCGTACAGGACGCGGCGGCTAGTGACGTAGGCCTCGACGACGGTGCCGATGAGGCCCCGGCCGCGCAGCTTCCAGATGGTGCGGCGGGTCCATCTCAGGACGAAGAGGAAGAAGATGATGTTGCGGAGGCTGTTGCGGCGAGTCAGTCACTTGAGCCGGGGAAGGAAAGCTGTGAGAGAAGAAGAAGGGCTGATAGGATCAGAGGTGTTCTCTGCACGGAGCGGAAGCTTGTGTACCAAGTCCGGGGCTGTTTGGATGAAGTGACTTGAAGGATACGGCGAGGCTTCTGAGGATGAGCAACCCAGACACCCAGCGGCTCATTGTACCTCGGCACCGTGACAGGTACCTCTAAACCAGGCATTGCCTGCGGCATATGTGCAAAGACAAGCAACACTCACAGATCAAGGTTCAGCATCTGCAGCGAGAGGGCCGGCCTCCGGCGCTTGACGCTGTTAAAGCTCTCCCGGAGGCTGATCGGCATGCGCGATGAGCCCGGCATGATGACGGACCTGACGGGGCTTCTTTTCGGACTTTCTCGAGTTATCGCCGCGGAGTCTAGCTCTCAGATACACACGGACGGGGTTCGATTGGGAACTTGGGGGAAGAGGAGCAGTCGATTAGAAGGAGATGCCAAAAAGAAGAGACCCAATTCCACATTAATGGCGCTTTAGTACACACGCGCGAGGGGGAGAGAGAGAGAGAGAGATAGAGAGCGAGAGAATGAGGCAGTCTAGTTACATCCAATAATCGGGGGCCGCGGGCTTGATGGTTATTTTTTGGGGCTCCTCCTTTACGTGGGAAGTCGCCCGCGACCAAGTGCCACCCCCGCTAGCCCAGGCCTGTCCTGTCGTGTCCGCCCGGGCTTTTGCCTCTTGTCTCGCCTAGCGGCCGGGCTCCACTGCAACAGTGACACTGCCGTCAGTTGGCCGCAATCACATGCCAGCCATTATGGATGTACCTATGCCAGCTGCCGAGAGAGGTCTTGATGTCTACAGCTGGATGCCAATTGGAGCGCATCGAGGCCGAGAATGGCATTGAGGTTGGGACTAGGCAGGGGATGACAAGTTCAGTGGGTTTTTGCCGGTAGATAGCTGAGAAATAGCTTATTGCTGAAAGGCAGAGGGTCTGGCAGGGCTTCCGAGGTAAGTTTATTAGAGGACCACGCCTCGTTTCGTTGACAAAGCAGCTAATAAGGTGATAGGTAGTCAGGCCTAAACGTGGCTTTCCCAACACCACTGCCGGGAAAGGAAGCTAGGTCCGATCATGGCTTGCCAAGAACGGTTCCGTTGAGTCTCTCAAGCGATATACAGTACTACTAGGTAAGTTTAGGTAGGATCTGGGGAAAAGAGACACCTACATTCGTCAGAATGGGCGTGTCTACTGAGTACCTAACCGTACATAGTCGAAAGCAGAATAGTGCAGAACCAATACCTATAGGCTATGTCATACCCTGCCGAGAAACAATGACGACGTCCCCTGCGCGTCAGACACATCCGACAACTTCAGGGTCCCTCCGTTAACGGAGCCATTTGCGTCCCGCCTCCTCTTGTCACTCTACCTAGTAAGACTCCAGACTCTCCATATGCCAAACCGAATAGCTGACGCTGCACGATATCTCATTGATTGCGTATCGATTACTGTACTTGCTCCGTCAGCGCCATCCACGTCTCCCTTCGTGTGACAAACGCTCGTCAATTCCAAACCCAAGACCTCGACAAGGGTATATCTTGTTGGACCGTCACAAAGTGTCATCGGATGGATTTGGTCTCATATGAGTCAAGTTTCTTGCTGTCCAACTCCTCCTGCTGGACGTGATTGTTTACAGACGTACAGAAATTCCCACCGACTCTATATTCTAAACACACACAAGTCATCCCTATGTCCACACAAAAAAGACCATTTGCGCCTCTTTTCTCAAATGCGGTAAAGCCCCGTACATATCGGGGTGATGTCATGTCTGGATCTTCGGGGGCTCGGTCACCTCCTCCCAAAGGGTATGTGTGAGTGTATATACTCTTCCCCCAAAAGCCCACCCCAGCAAGCATCGGTGGCCTGCCGATAGTAGGAACTGAGATGCGCCCAAACCTCCCTCCCTCCATTATCCTGAATGCTTCAGCAATCCATCCACCCATACATAAAATGAGCTTCAGTCAGTCGTTCGTCATCGTTCTGTTGCGCTCGAATGCCCATCGCTGTGCACGCGCGGCAACATGTAATACAGGCTTCCCAAAGAGCCTGCTTCTCGGGCTCCCGAGAACTAGCTTCACGAGGAGCCTAGTTTGAACGCCTCTCGCCATACCGGGGTGAATTTGGCGGCAGCCTTGTCGCAGCTATACTCGCCCTGGCCCGTGCAGCCCAGCAACCTGACGACGAGATCGCCCTTGGTGTACGCCTCGCCGTGTGCGGCCGTGTCGTACGAATTGAGGATCCGCTGCGGGACGAGAGCGAGCTTCGAGAGGATGGTCGGGTGCCACTGGACAATGTGTTCCTACGAAAGCCGTTGCGTTAGTCTCCCAAGTACCATGGCAAAATTCCCTCTCTTTGTGTGCTCAAGGTCTACGGTGTGTGTGGGGGGGCACAAAACTAACCAATGCATGCGCCTCGGCCTTCTGGAAGTTGTAGCTTCGATAGATCGGGTCGTACCAGGTCTCAAAGAAGTACTTGGCCCAGTCGCTGTTGCGAATAATGTAACTGCTCACGGCAAGACCGTCGAAATCCTGGGTGAGCATGAAATCGACATCCTGGCCCTTGAGATGCGTAAACGTCTTGATGATGCTGTCTGGGGGCACCACCGGGTGATCCTTAATCATCCTGGACTCGATCACGCTGGCCTTCATAAGCTGGTCCTCCACCTTGATGTCAGGGTTCATGATGAGCACGTCTTGCTCGATGAACCAGAAATAAGTAGCCTCGGGGAATTTCGTGAGGGCGTGGCGCATGGCGACCACTTTTGTCCACGAGAAAGGCGCGCCGCGGAGGTCATAGTCGCCGACCTTGGGGAAGAAAACCTCGTAGCCTGAGATTTCGCTTCCAGGTTAGCAAATCCGGCACGCGTACCCGGGGGGGTTCCCGGTGGCCGGGTCTGCAATTGCAACGAGGATCATGTACATACCGTGCTTTTGTGCGTACGCTTCCCTGTTCTCCTTGACCTGCGCTATGAAGTTCGGGGAAGCTTCCGTCTGGTCCAGCACCGTCACCAAGACTGCCGGCGGGTTGCCCGAGGGCTTGTGCGGCGCCGGCGGAGCATAGCTCCTTCTGCTCGGCCGGGTGCAGAGGAAGACGACGACGACGATGGCGATCACGCCCAGGGCGATCGCCTTGAGGCGACCCCTGCGCAGGACGGGCAGGGCGGGCAGTCTGGAGGAGGAGGAGCGCGGGACAAAAGGCGGAGGGTTGGAGCTCTTCCGCGGCGGGTAGGCAAAGTGCATGGTTGAATGAGTGGAAGACGGCCGAAGCCTGTGAAAGGGGGGGAACTGTGTCGAATTCGGATTGCGCCTCTCTCCAGATTCGCTGCAAGATGCTTCCAAAAGTGCCGGGTTCGCGGTTGTGCACGATCTGGACAAATACTTCAAGGGTGGGTCGCTTGGCTTAAATTTCGTGCTGGCATCTGAAGCCCCAGAGGGAGAAACTCCTGGCGTCGTGGTCCGATCGCAGATGGGGTCGCGTGTTGCCCAGGGGGGGGAAGAAAAAAGAGGCTCAGAGGAGGAGAAAGAGGCCCTTTGGCAGCCTGAGCAGCTGAGATGGTCTTTGTCGCAGCGTGCAGGTGTTCTGCAGTCGTCTCGAGATAAGGGGGCTGAGGTATCCTTCCCGATTCCTCTGCTGCTAATTGGGCGAGATTGTAGTCGCAATGCCGTTGATCGATCACCAAACAGTGTCACACAGCGCTAGATGTCCATGCTGAAGCCCCCAACAAAAACGTGGCCCATCTGGGTGTTCACCTGGATGCACTGAGGGGGTTTGTGGTCGATGCCGGGGCAGTTGAGCAATGACAATGACAACTGAGAGGAGCGAGAGATGCACAGGATAAGGTAGTGAGGGAAAGGATCGCCAAAGGGACAGGTGGGCTACAGGAAATCCAGGTCGATACTTTTTTTGGCTGACCACCCCTGGCTAATTAACGAACGCTGGAAGGGTTAGCTTGGCGCGCGTTCGACGCCGCCGTGAGCGCTGACTGACCCATGCCCAATTGAGCCTGGTCCTGCGTGGCCCATTTCCAGCACGACTAATATCGACTATCTGCCGTAGAATGCCACCAGATAGCAGACTGCCCAGCCCAGGATGCCCTCAGGGTCCAGCTGCCAACCAGCTGTATCCGTATTCCATTTCTCTGGGAATAACACTTGCAGGACCCCTACAGCTCGTATTCATGCAGCCTTCTAGTTATCCATGGGATCACATGGGGTATCTGCCAAAGCTTATTAGAAGCATAGATTGCTTTGTTGTCCGCTTTAGTTACTTGAAGTGCTGACCACTCAAAGTACATCTGTACGTGCGAATGGCGGTTGAACACGATCACAGCACGTGTTGCGCCCAATTTCAGTGGCACGACAACGTTCCCGCAGCACACCAAACCAAAGCTGAGGGCTCGATAAGCTCAAAACGCGGGAGCAACGTTTGTACGGCTGTTGCATTCTGCCGTCGGTACCTGGCGGCCGGCAATTCCCAGAGAACCGGGTTTATTAGATTCGGGGGCGTCCGTGCTGCCGTTTGTCGTGTGCTGGGCCAAGCCATCAAAGCCATTCACACTGCTCCCGTACTCTTTCATCTTGAATGCATGACTTGACAGCTGGACTGATCCCTTTTCATCGTCAAAACTGGTCATTTACTGCTTTTTGTACGATTTGAAGTAGAAAAGAATATTTCACGAGGGAATTATCCACCAATTGCTGCCAACACCGCGAAAAGACGTTCCCTTCGATCGTCATACTACAATATTCCTACTATAATATCCTCAAGAAGAATACGAATACGTCAGACTCACGACACGAATCCAAGTGTCTTCTTTCAGAACTCGGAAAACCCACCGAATGCTTCTGAGCGTCCCCCGTCGACAGCCCTCTGCTATTACAGTATTGATTTACTCATGTGTCCACCATGCCATTCAACGTCCTCGTGTCAGTAGAGCGACCCAAAGGGTCCGGAAGAGCTGAAGAAAACTAAAAGAGCCCCGAGGGACTCCCTAGGTTGGCCGAGGTTGACGCGCTTGCACCGATCCATAGCGAAGCCCCGACAAGACGCCTGGGCTTCTAGGAGGTTGACAAGGCTTTCATCTCTGCACACAGACTAGTTGTCTCACCAAGGAGGAGTGAAGTCGAGCCAACTTAAGAGTGTGCAGGTTGCAGTACATCTGCCCAGATCACAGCAGGCAACGCTCATATATCACACGCGGACGGGGCGATAGTGTCTATTGCAAGACCCAAGATTATTTGTCCTTCCTAGACTCCGGGGCAGTGGTGTCATCCGTTGCACCGCCCATCCGACCTTCTGTAGTCGTTTCGTGGCTTTCATCGTCATCTTCGTCGTCGTCATCGCCCTGTACATCCATGACACGCTCGCTGGCTTGCTCCAGAAACCGGCCGCTTACGGCACCCACCGCTTTCCATACAAGCTGGGTTCGCGTTAGCTACATCCGCATGATATTGGCCTGGTCAGTCTGGTACTTACTCCGAGAAAGGTGAAAACACCTATCACGATGAGGACCCAGTTGATGTTCTCCAACCTCTCGCGACCACCGCCACGTTGACGGCCACCTAATCCACCACCAGTTCGAAAGTTGAACCAGTACCACGGCCCGGCAGCAATGATTGTCTTCACAAAACCCAGGATTCCGAGGGAGAAGAACCCCTTCATAAAGTGTTCCCACCAGCCTCCCGGCAACTCTTCTTGCATAGCGAAGATCTCGTGTAGCTCATCGTCGCCCACGACATCGATGACGGTCCCGGCCACAGTCCCCAGGGGATCCAACCACAAGTTGAGAATCGGATCCGCCACGAAGCCCAAGACCCAGACCGAGAGAGTGAAGACGAGAAAGGTCGCGAGAGCTCGCGTCAGGCGGTTCGAGATCCATCCTGCCCATTTGAGGCGGTCCATCCTGTACTCGAACCCGCACGTAGGACACTTCCAGAAGTTGCGATCCGAGAGAGGAGACGCTTGTCGCCATGCCTGCAGGCAGCCCTCGTGCACATACCTCTGGGTGCCTTTGCATTTGCAGGGAGATATCAGACGGCCCGATTCGGGGTCCTCGGAGTTGTAGGTCACGCGGGGTTTGGGCCGCAGAAAGGACGCTGGTCCTTCCACCGGCAGCTCGAACGTCGGTTCAACGACTTCTAGGCAAATTCTGCAAGTTCGAGGTTTGTAGTGTTTCTGGTCAGGATTGGGCCGAGTCTCGGGCTCAGCTGCGTTCGCTTCGCTGTGCGCTGTGTTCCCTTCACCATGGCCTGCGGAAGCGCTTTCGGCTGGATCGGCACGAGGGACATCATGCGCGTGGCTCTCAGGCGGTGCTGTCGGGACATCGTCTGGCCACGACCAGGTGGAGGACGCCATGTTTAACGGATGCGATTCCATCGCCGATGCTGTAAGGAGAGAGAAGAATAGTAAGGGACCATGGGATGGTGGAAAGGTAAGAGTAGGCTTCCGGAATGTAAAAAATCAGGACGAGGCAGGCACGAGGTGGTCAAATGATCGTTACCATGGCAGGTGTACTGCTTGCCCGATGCGGTTTCACATAATGACAGTATTCCGTGGTCCTTATAACGGAGGAAACAAACGTCCAGCGAATGGCAGGAAACGTGGCAGGAGCTGGTCGCTGGTTTTGCTGCAGGAACGGATGTCGTGGGAAGAGCCGAAGAGGGCACTTGGCAGCTGTTTCTGTGGACTTCCACCAACCTGGTGGTGCCTGAGTGCTCCAATTATTTGACTACTGAAAGAACGGCACTGGCCAATCACCAAACTGCGACAGAGTCCATAGTTATCGATAAAGCAGCACAGCACCAAGAACGCACGGTCCACAAGGACAGCACCAGAACAGCCTGAAGCTCGACGCGCAAACTTCCACGGTGCCTGGAGGCTGGAGCTGTGACAACGGGAGCTTCCATCGTAGCCTCATCGCTCACCCAAACCAGACACCCAGAACCACCATTCCATCAACCACAGCCACCACGACAAATCCCCAACACTGCGAGACCACTTCCCCGCCAGATCAATCACTACCTCTATCGCAGTCCTCTGCGTCGATAGAAAACCATGGCGGACCGCTACTCTTTCTCTCTGACGACATTCTCCCCCAGGTACGTCTGCTCCCAATGGATGGCGAATGCAGGCTGATCTAACAAACACTGCAGTGGCAAGCTGGTCCAGATCGGTCAGTTCAATCTCTGAGACTCCGCATTTGATGGCTGTGGCGACGGGATCAAATGGCACAGCACGGCGAACGAAACAACAAGCTGACTGTCTCTAGAATATGCTCTGAATGCGGTCAACCAGGGCGTAACAGCTCTTGGCATCAAAGGTGAGCTTGTGCTTCGAAGGGTGTGTATTACAGCGCCACTTGCTCACACGAGGTAGCTACCAACGGCATCGTACTCGCAACGGAGAAGAAGTCGTCCTCGCCGCTTGCCGATCCCTCCTCGCTCTCCAAGATCTCCCACATCACACCCAACATCGGCATGGTCTACTCGGGCATGGGTCCCGACTACAGGGTGCTGGTTGACAGGGCGCGAAAGGTGTCGCACACTGGCTACAAGCGCATCTACAACGAGTACCCACCGACGAGAATATTGGTCCAGGACGTTGCGAGGGTCATGCAGGAGGCTACCCAGTCTGGTGGTGTCCGGCCGTACGGTGTCAGTCTCTTGATCGCGGGCTGGGATGAGGGCATTCTGCCCGAGGAGGAGGAGAAGGAGGAGTTGACCGAGACGGGAGAGAAGAAGCCGTCCAGCAAGACTGGCGGCATCCACAAGGGCGGCCCCATGCTGTACCAGGTCGACCCCTCCGGCAGTTACTTCCCCTGGAAGGCTACTGCCATCGGCAAGAGTGCCACCTCTGCCAAGACATTCCTGGAGAAGCGGTATACCGAGGGTCTGGAGCTCGAGGACGCCGTTCACATTGCGCTGTTGACGCTGAAGGAGACGATTGAGGGCGAGATGAACGGCGACACGATTGAGATTGGTAGGTCGACCAGCTCCTTGCTAACTTGATCACCTCAAAGACTAATTTCCACTTTCTAGGCATTGTTGGCCCGCCAGCAGAGCATCTACTTGGGGTTGAGGGTGTGGAGGGTGCGGTTGGACCCCGGTTCCGTAAGCTCTCGTCGCAGGAGATCGAGGACTACCTGACGAACCTGTAATCTTGTGGTGGTGGAATCTTCGCGCCCGGTGTACTTGTATCAATAATAGCCATAGAGCCGGAAGAGCTTGATAAAACGGTTTGACGGACTTCATCACATATACGAAGACTGGACGGGACACTGCTATGTGACTCATTGCCTGAACGCGTGCTCCTCATACTCATGCAGGTGATGACGACTGGGTATCTCCAAACTGACCGCCCCTCTCGCAATTGAGATCGGAGCTCTTCCCCACCACTTCAGCAACCTACGCCAGCCGGGACCACATAGACATACGCACTTCACAAAGGTGACACAACACCAGTTGGGTCGGTATTGTGAAAAATTACGGGAACGCAAGATGAGAATCCCAAAGTGTTCCCATTCGTCAAAGGCACCTCCCGCTTGGGCTGCAGCATGGTCGTCAGAAGCACGCGCTGCCAGCCAATCAGGTGCAGGCCGGCTCTGCTTGCGAGGCCTCTCCGCGCACCGCCGCGTCACGGCCTGAAGGCCTGGACATACCTGTCGGGCCCGCCCGAGGCATACGCAAGTGCTGTCCCGGGCTTCACGACGTCGTCAGCTTTTGGTGCCTCTCGCACAGATCGGCAGCGCCCGGCCATGGCCTTTTACGATGATGACATTGCGCCTCTCACCGATTCCGGCGACGAGTCTGCGTCGCCGGGGCCGGAGCTCCTCCTGGGCGATGATGGCTTCCCAGCGCGATATAACAGCGATCAGGATGCCTCGGACTCGGATTCTGCCCCTGTTGGTGAGGAGCAGCAGGACGAAGAAGAAGCTACCGTCATGGCTGCCAGAGCGTACCAACTCGAGATGCTCGAGGCGAGCCTCGAGGGCAATACCATTGTTGCTGTATGTCAGAAGTCGATTTACCTGTGACATCATTTCCGAAGCTGACGATTTTTATCAGATGGATACAGGAAGTGGAAAGACGCAAGTGTAAGTCTCAACATCGTCAATGACCAGCTGCGCGATTTCTCATAACATTTGTGTATATAGTGCTGTCTTGCGGATCATAGCTGAGCTTGAACGCAGCTCACCAGACAAGGTACGTTCTTCATATACCCCTCGGAATACTGATGAAGCTAATTGAAACATCGTAGATCATATGGTTCCTCGCCCCTACAGTTCCGCTCTGCTCACAGCAGTATGAGGTACTCGCATCTCAAGTGCCTGCTGTCCAGATGAAGCTCCTCACAGGTGAAGACAACGTCGACTCCTGGTCGGAGCAGAAAGTATGGGATGCCGCTCTGCTCAATACCAGGCTTGTTGTCTCTACGTACCAAGTCCTCCTGGATGCCTTGATCCACTCTTTTGTGAAGCTCGGCTCGCTGGGGCTGATCATTTTCGATGAAGGTCGGTAGCCCAGTATTGTACGCAGGTGGCGCGGTATTAACCTTGGATAACAGCTCATAATTGCTCCAAGAGAAATCCAGGACGGCGCATTATGACCGAGTTCTACTGGCCCGCCAAGAACGCAAAACAGTCCATTCCGTCCATCCTGGGACTGACAGCAAGTCCTGTGATGGGTTCTCGTCTGGAGGGCCTCGAGGAGCTCGAACAGACATTAGATGCTGTTTGTAGGAGCCCGACACAGCACCGAGAAGAGCTCTTGGCCCATGTCAAACGGCCAACGATGATGATAGACCCCTACGACAAGCCGGTGCCTGCCTCGCCGCGCTCAGACTTCACGCAGAATATGCTGAGGCTCGAGTCTGTTGTACAAAGGCTGGACATACTGAAGGACCCATACGTCATCTATCTTCGGCAACAGAACTCTGAGAAGAGTAGGAGACAGCTCGAAAATACCCTGATGAAGCACGACACCAAGGTTATGAAGCAAGTACAGTCATTCTGCCGGAAGAGTGTGGAGATCTGCCGTGACCTCGGCACCTGGGCGGCCGACTACTACATTCACGAAGTAGTCAGGCGCTACACATTGAAGATGCCCAAAGAGCATCTTCTTGTGGACGACCTCGACGATGCAGAGGACCTCTATCTCTTCAACATTTTTCAGGCCATACAAGCGACGCCCCCGCCGTCGGCGGAGTCTTTGAGCGGCTCAAACATCTCTCCCAAGCTGCAAGCATTGCTCGACATGCTGTCCGCCTACGACGGGAATCCCGTGGGGATAGTTTTTGCCAAGGAGAGGGCGACAGTAGCCGTGCTCTCGCACGTCCTTTCTATCCATCCAAAATTGAGTGCTCGCTATTCGATCGGCGCCATGGTCGGAACCTCGACAGGGGCTGGCAAGCGGCAGGATTTTTTGAATCTCTCTCAGACTGAAGACCTGCAGTCTCTGCACAGATTCCGTAATGGCAAAGTCAATATCTTGGTGGCAACCAGTGTTCTCGAGGAGGGCATCGACGTGCCGGCCTGCAACCTTGTCGTATGTCTCGATAGGCCCGAGAGCCTCAAATCGTTCATACAGCGCCGTGGACGCGCGAGGCTACACTCTTCGCAGCTGCATCTCTTTGTGGCCCGGGACTCTGACGGTAAGTCCGCAGAGGAGTGGCTGGCGCTCGAGGATGAGATGAAGAGACGGTACGAGGACGAGATGCGTGAGCTTCAAGAACTGGAGATGGTCGAGGAGTCCGACATTCCCGATTTTGCTCCGCTCAGGGTCGAGGCCACAGGAGCGCAACTGACCCTCGACGATGCGAAGAGCCATCTGCAGCATTTCTGCGCGACTCTGTCGTCGAGGAAATTTGTTGCTTGGAAGCCCGAGTACGTGATTGATGCCGAGTCCGCAGCGCCGCTGCTCAGAGCGACCGTTCTACTGCCCGTGTCCTTGCCACAGGCGCTTCGACAGGCTACCAGCAGCCGTGATTGGAGATCCGAGAAGAATGCGTGCAAAGATGCTGCCTTTCAGGCGTACAAAGCACTGTACCATGCCAAGCTGCTCAATGATAACCTCCTGCCTATCAGAGAATCGGACTTGGGGAAGGAAGTCGAATTAAGAGCGAGTCTAGCGAATATCAAGGAACAGTACAACCCCTGGCATTCTGTCGCTCGCGCTTGGAGCAGTGGAACTCGCAGCATCCACCAATGCGGACTGAGGCTGCTGGATGAAGAGGGCTCTGAGCTGTGCCAGTTCAGTGCGCTCCTTCCCGTCTCGATTCCCAAGTTTACCCCTTTATCACTCTACCTCGATCACCACTCAACTGTTCCTTTGACATTGGAGAGTTCTCAAGCCTCTACACAAGTTGAGATGGCTGATGCCTTGGATCATACTTCCACGTTACTGGCCATGTCGTACGGTCACCGGTGGCCTATGTCGCACCGACACCAACTCGTCCGTTTTGCGCTGCCCGGGACATCCCTCAAGACACACCTTATCGGGAGTCGGCCGTTTCACCCCGATATAGTCACCCACAAAGATGGAGATCAGTATCTGGTTCGCGATGAACTGAACTGTCCCTACATCTATGACACCTGGGTACCGTCGAAACCGTCGATCAATCTTGTCCGTGACCCTTATCGAGGCTTTGAGGATTCACCAGAGGACATGCCCTACTTGATTGTCAAGAAGTGGCCCAAAAAGGCTGGCTTCTTTCAGCCCCAGCCCCCGAATGAGCAGCAAGAAAACCCAAGCTCAAAGCCGTACGCCAGAGTTCTTCCGGCACCTGAGTGTACGGTCGATCAGGTGTCGATGCTGTATGCGCGGATTGGCATGTTAATCCCGTCCATAACACATGCGCTTGAGGTACACCTCGTGGCAAGTGAATTACTGGCATCTACAAAGCTCGGGGAACTAGGCATCTCGGACTTGTCCCTCATCAAAACTGCCATCAGCGCTCCATCCGCGAGGGAGTCTACGGACTACGAACGCGTGGAGTTCCTGGGCGACTGCATCTTGAAGCTCTGTACCACGATCAACTGTGCTTCTCAGAGTGAGTTCCTGTTTCCTTTTCTTCTTGCTCTCTACTTTGTTGCTGACACCATACCACAGACCTCCACTGGCCAGAAGGATATCTCTCTCTCCTGAAGGACAAGCTTGTCGCCAATTCCAGGCTCAGCCGAGCAGCAGTTGCGCTCGGACTAGACCAGTTTATCATCACTCGGCAGTTCACCCTTAGAGAATGGAGAACGCTCTATGAGTCCGACCTGACTGCTCCAGAGGACCTTGATGAGCAGACCAGAAACCTGTCCACCAAAACCCTGGCCGATGTCGTCGAGGCCCTGATCGGAGTCTCCTACATCCACGGCGGTATGCCGAAAGCCCTGCACTGCATCTCCCTTTTCTTGCCAGAAAGGAACTGGCAGAATCTCGAGACTGGCAGAGCAATTCTCTACGAGGCAGCCCCTTCCGATGTGAAGCTGCCCGCCATCCTCGAACCGCTGGAGGAACTCATCGGCTACTCCTTCAAGAAGAAGTCCCTCCTCATCGAAGCCATGACGCACTCGTCCTACAACGTCCCCGGGACGACTGCCTGCCTCGAGCGCTTCGAGTTCATCGGCGACGCCATCCTCGACAGCATCGTCGTCAACAAGCTCTTCACCGCCGACGGGGGCCCGCCCCTCGCCAACTACGAGATGCACCTGCTGCGCACCGCGCTCGTCAACGGCGACTTCCTCGGCTTCCTGGTCATGGAGTTCGGCACCAAGATGCTGCAGTGCGACATCGTGGCGGAGGGCACGCGCATCGTGCGCCACGAGGTCACGACGCCGCTGTGGAAGTTCATGCGCCACTCGTCGGCCGAGCTGGGCGCCGAGCAGCGCGCCGCCGAGCGCCGGCACGCGGCGGTGCGGGAGCGCATCCTCGAGGCCCTCGAAGGGGGCCAGTCGTACCCCTGGGCCCTGCTGGCGCGCCTGCGCGCGCAGAAGTTCTACTCTGACCTGTTCGAGTCGCTGCTCGGCGCGCTGTGGGTCGACTCGGGCGGCGACGAGGCGGCGTGCGAGGACCTGCTCGAGAGGGCCGGGCTGCTGCCGTACCTGCGCCGGGCCCTGCGGGACGAGATACACATGTGGCACCCCAAGGAGGAGCTGGGACGGCTGGCGGACCGGGAGAAGGTCGTGTATGCCGCGGAGATGAGGGAGCCTGACGAGGAGGAGGGGGGCGGAGACACGGAGAGGTATTTCGTGTGCCGGGTGACGGTGGGGACTGACTTTAGCGTCGAGGTTGGCGATGGGGTGAGCAAGGACGAGGTCAAGATCAAGGCTGCGGAGGAGGCGGTGCGGTTGTGGAAGGAGAGGGCGGCGAGGAGGGTTATGTGATCTGGGTGGTTCTCGGTTTGGTGGCTAAGACTTGGGGGAGGTAACATGGGAGATGCATCTGGGATTACTCAAGCCATGCATCTAATGCGCGTTTTTACTTGTGTGTCATGTTCTCAAGGGGTGCTCAATTTGGTTCGCACAATTCTGGCCCTCGTGTTCGGGTTACCCGATAGGTGCACGCTGGCCCAGCCTCACATACCACTTGATTCATGACGAGTCTGATACAACGAAAAGCATGAATTTTCGTTCCCTAGCGTAGACTAGAAAAATGTGAAGAGGATCATGGTTCAAGTCGGATACCTCCATGTGATTATATCCTTCCATCAGCCCAGCCTTTCTGTTCGGCAGCGATCTCGCTTGCATCAAAGCCACGCCACCTACTGGCCTTGGTTTTCAAGTGTCTTGGTTTTGCTGGAACCTCTCACGAGCAAGGTCCTGGAGATCAGCCATGGACAAGGCGTTGAATGTCTCGTCAGCGAGGCGCATTATCTCGGCGATGGACAAGGAGCCGAACTTCCTATCGGCGAGACGCATGACCTCATTGGTGGACAAGGAGTCGAACTTCTCACGAGCGAGGCGCAGGATCTCGGGGTGAGGCAAGGAGTCAAACCCTGAGGAAGCTGGGGCAGGCATGGGATCACGCGGGATGATGAGCAGTTGCTGGAGATCCTCTGGATATTGTTAGTATACGGCTTGCGAGTACGGGATGATGAACCTACTCTTGGATCGGTAGTAGAACTTGAAGACCCCTTCGGGGGCGCCTCCGACAAGCCTGCTGTTCCGGGTCATCGTCGGGGACCGTGCCGGTTGGCTCGAAGCACTGAATTGATGAGATGCAGTGTTCTTCTCAGATATCGGAAAGGGCTAAAAGCGAGGGAATCTTACAGGCTCATGCCATGCGAAATAGCTTTGCCCTTCAGGGACTGTTCCGCCATCACGAGGCTCTGGCTCTTGAGAGTTCCAGAGCTCTTTTTCGACCAGAATTGGCAACCAGTGGTGGTAGCCTTTTGGATGCGAACCTCAATAAGGCCGAAGTTCTTGAGTCTGTCCGAGTCATCTTCGTCACCGTAATTGACTGTATTCTCGTCTAAACCATGAATAAGCAGTGTGCGAATGGTCCTGTTGGGACGAACTCACCTGTCTTCACCGCTGCGAATGTCATCTTCCTCAAAACAGCCTCTCCTTGCCTCTCACCACGCTCTACAGGCCCTTCACAGAACCAGGCTCTGCTAGTCTCGGAAGACTTGAAGGACAAAAGACGGCCTTCAACCTTGACTCCGTCCACAAAGACCTGTATTCTGTATCTGCGGATCTTCGCTCCACAGACCCATGGGTCTTTGGGAGCCAGGTTGATGCGCACAGCGAACTCAGCCCCCTCAGTAGACTCGACATACTTGGAGACCACTTTGATGGCCTGTCCAGCCTCCTGGGAACCCCGCGCCTGAGTGTCGTCCTGGTCGTACTCGATCGCCTTGACGCCGTTGACCTCGACTGTGGCCTCAAAGCCCTGATCTTCGAGGATAGCCATTGTCGGGAGTCGTGATGAAGCTGTGGTAACTACTTTCAGCTTCGAATCGAGTCGATGCTTTGGCTATTGTTGTTGGAAAGAAGCTGTAGCCAGGCAGGGTTTTGGTACAGAACCCTTTGATGCCTTGATCGACCAGTTTTTTCTGGAGAGAAGTAGAATATTGAACAAGCCTAGAAGAAGATCTGAGATGGATCTGATTTGGATCTCAGTCACAGGTGAGCCAGAATCGAGGGATTGCTGGGCACACACAAGCCTCCGGGCGCAGAAACTTTGGACAATCAAAGGAAGGTGCGGTAGACCCAAGATCAGATGGCCTCAGGCTGGCAAGGATTGATATTCTGCAAGGACAACATAAGGTATCTCTTGGCCTTCAGTCATACGGCATCAATTATGCAAACCGCTCCTCGTAAGAGTCGTTTCCGTGAAAACGGCAGGCTCTAGAAAGCCATTGATTTCTCAAAGCAAAAGTCTGCATTTGGTAGGCTACTGATTGTACTGGAAACGGGGAATTGAGGCATTGCTTGGGCTTGCGCCAAATCCACCGAGCTGTTTTCGATCACTCGTACAAATCCGCAAATAGAGTAAAGCAATATCACTGATCCGCTGTGTTGACCAGTGGAAGTTCATCTGTGTGCTCTGGATGACATCCAAGACTGTGCTCGTCAAAATCAGGTTGCCAAACAGGCTGCATTCGGCTCCATCAGTCGTCGGTCAGATCGACTGTCTCTCTTCGACCCTTGCCTCGGGGCATCTTGGATGACCGCTCACTCGGGGAGCTGCCGTGCTCTCGCTTGATGCCAGCACCGATTTCCCTATTAGGAATGACACTCTCCAATTTGACATCCCGCTGCTGCATAGCGTTAGATAGTTGGAAGACATAGAATGGGAGCCTCCGCGTACCTGCAAAGAGCGCATGACCTGCAGCTCCTCGTATTTGAGACGGCCTAGACGGTCTTTCTCTTCCTGAGACAGGCTGTCATAACCTGTAGGCTGCGGTGGAAGCTGGGCTGGAGGCTCGGGCGACGGCTGAGGCGTGCGCGGTATCACGAGTTGCTGCTTCAAGGCTTCTGTTGTCTCGTGTTAGCCTTTCGGCAAGCGATTTGGAACTATAGCTCCAACCTTTCGAGCCATAACGGAACTTGAATGTTGCAACATGGCTGTTTGCCGGATATTTAAGATCATAATACGTCCCCGGTTCGATTTCGTCTCCCTCAGCTTGCCTGGATCCGATCGCATTAGAGCTGCTGCTCGTAAATAACATTTGGGCAGATACTCACAGTGTCATTCCATGAGAGAGAGCGTTCCCCTGAATGGCCTTGGAAGCAATGCTAAGATCACGGGGTTCGAGAGCCCCAGCATCTGGCGAGGTTGTTCCCTTCTTGATGCATTTCGAGACTCGAACCTCGATCAGTCCAAGGGATTTTCCCTTTTCCATATCATCACTCACGCGCTTATCATCTGCATCCTCGACTAGAAACATGTCAGATCAGCTCAACATTGAATGATGATCTGACTCACTGGCCATAATGGTACCAAACTTGAACCTCCGAAGCCTAGCGACGCCGGGGCCCCTATCGTCCTCAACACCCTTAACGTGTATTTTGAAAGGGTTGTCACTGGGATTCATCAAATACAGACAAATCTGAAGTCCATCGACAAAGACATCGAACGAATAGCAATGCCTGCTCTTCGCCTTGAGCCAGCCCATTCGATCTTCTGCCGTAATGCGAATGGAGAACTCGGCATCATCGATCGACTCGATATACTTTTGGGAACGAAGGACGAGTCCGCCACTCTCTTCAGTTGCCTCGGTAGAAAAGGGAGCATCGTACTCGACAGCCGTGACTCCATTTACCTTGACGGTAACCTCGGCTCGGAGGTCTTCCAGAATCGCCATGATGCAGTTGATTTGGGTGAGAGATTTATGAGGCCAGTCAAGCTCTAAAACCCAGCATGATTGGGATAGAAAAGAAGGATGAATAAAATATTGGAATTTAATTCATGTCGTTGTGGGGGTGGAAGTGGAATCACGATGAAGCTCAAGTGATTGAAGTGAAGTTGAAGCTTGGAGAGTTAGAAGATCAAGAAAAGGCTTGACTTCAAAAAGAAAAAATGTGAGGGATGAAAGGGGAGTGGGAGGGGAAGTGGTGTGGCAGCTCAAAAAGATGCTTCCGTGAAGACTCTTTTGCATGGATATTCTTTCGTCTCAGGGTAGTCCATCTCAATTGCCCCTTTTATCTGGTCTTTTGCGTACAGTCATCATGACAGCAGGAGACAAGCAAAGCGCAAGCAAATGTGGGGAAACCAGGGCACGGGCATCTGGGGTTGCAGATAGTCTGAAAGGAGCCATTTCTCAAGATCCTGGACCTGTATCATTTCTATCCCGTTCTTGCTCTCCTCTGGTGTAAGTGTGGTGGTGTAGTTGACGATTCCATCATCACGGGGCGGTCCCCACCTCCTCACTACCGCCTACTTTTGCTTGGAGGAGGTGAATAGTGGATACCACAGCAGCCAACAGCTCCCGCGCCATGACTACCTAGGTACCTAAGTACTCCGTACGGCCATGACCGATCCACTGATAGCTCTCAACCTCCCCCATCCGTAGCGTCACCTCTAAGCAGACGTCCCCTCAAACACCATCAACAACCAGTTGACGACAATCCAGCCCCCTGGCCATCAGCATCGACCCGCGGTAGAGCAATGTTGCGCCTCGTTTCATGATTGCGACCTGCCACCTCCTTGGGTCACAAGGAGCCCGACAATGTCTCCCGACCCTGCCAGCAACATCCGCGTCTTTATTCGTTGGCACGACCAGACTGTGTTCGCCGGCGAGGAGGTCAAGTGCCGCATCACCTTCAAGAACGTAGCCCAGAGCCCCAACGCCGCCTCTTCTTCATCGGCCAAGTCGTCGCCCCATTCCGCTCGGCAGCCCACCTCCGACCGGTCGAGGCAGGCGTCCGCCCTCCATGGACTGAACAGGAACAAGCCCAGCTCGGGGCTCGCGCCTCCCGCCGCGGCGCGAGGCCATCGCTCGACGCTGTCGCTGAGCGTGCCCTCCGCCCGCACTTCTCGCAACCGCTCGGATTCGATACCCTGGCCTCCTCAGAACGCACACGATGCCAATTCGAGCAGCAATGGCGGCCACCGACGCTCCGTCTCGATCGTTTCCATTGCGTCAGCAAGCACCGCCGACGGTCGGCCTCCGAGCGCCGGCGGGCCGCCCAAGCCATACCGGCCCACAAGGGGGCATGCGCGAGCATCGAGCCTGCAGATTGTTCCCCGTGCTGGCCCGCTGCCCAACGGACCTAGATCTGGTGAGTAGTGCCGTATGAGTAGCTCGAACAACGGTGGCTAATGGTGTCTCCAGCCTCCCATCCGCATCGGCCCTTTAGCTCGCAGCCGTCCCCCCTTCTTACTGCTTCGTACCCACCAGACCGACATGCATTGTATAGCAACAACACCTCGGGTCCCAGCAGCTCGAGGCTGGGCTCAAACAGAAACTCTCCCAGGCTAGGGTCGCAACCTGTACCAGACTTTAAATTTCCCATGTCACCTGCATCGCCCGCAGACGGGAGGCGAGACTCTCTGAAACCATACGACGACAGCTTAATCAGCCCAAGCTCGAGCGGTGGCGATCTGCAGCACATGCCTATCCGCACCAGGGACCAGCAGGTTCCCACCATCAACGAACATAATGCAACTCCTGCTGCGCGGGTCTTGTCGACTACTAGCATTGCGGGGACACCCAGAAGCAGCGGAGAGTTTTATTCTGTCAGCAACAACTCGACAGAGACACTGGCGTCGGAATATGTCTTGCAGCAGCCCCACAGGGCCCAAGGACGGTCGCCGCATCTGCGGCAAAGATCCAATCTCTCGGGGCAGAGGACGAGACCCGAGGCACTCATGATGGGCTACGCGCAAGTCCATGGTTCCTTCACTCTTGACGGGTCCCTGATTGACTTGGCGCCCTTTGGACAAGTCAAGAGGAAGGCTGTAGTTGGAGGCCAAGGCGGCGGCGTAATCGGCGTCGAGCCTTCAGCGCGGCGGGATAGTGGTCTGCTGCGCAGTTTTGGCTGGAGCAGCTTCACTAGTTCTATCGGAGAGTTACTAGGGGCCGGTGAGCTGAGCAGTATCAAGGAGATGCGTGGCATCGCCAGCTCCAAGTCAGTGCCGCTCCTCTCCACGCCGCAGTCTATACTGTTTGTCGACCTGCAGCTAGCGCCCGGCGAAAGCAAAACCTACGAGTACTCTTTCAAGCTGCCCAAGGGGCTACCTCCTACGCACAAAGGCAAGGCCATGAAGATTGCTTACAGCTTGGTGATCGGCACTCAACGACCGGGCGGGGCCAAGGAGCAACAGGTCAAGTCGGTGGAAGTGCCCTTCCGCGTCCTTGGCAGTGTGAACAGCTACGGCGAGATCCTCGGCCACGACCTCATGTCTCCGTACATCCTCCTCCGCGACCAGGCAAAGATCCAAAGCATCGACAAGTCTGCCCTTGTCGAGGACAAGACCCGAAAATCGGCACCTTCGTCAGAGTCAACCGTCAACGGCTTCCTCTCCTACGTCGACGAGCTGCTCAACCAGCGCGACGCAGGAGGCATGGCCGGGGGACTCCTCTCCCCGACCGCCATGCCGAGCTCGAGGCGCCCTTCCGCCTTCGAGGAGTCCACCACGGCCCGCGAGGCCATCGACCTCGCCATCCTGCGCAGCAACATGACGGCCGAGGGCCAGCAGAGCGCCAACCGCTTCGAGATCGCCCGCAACGGCCGCCGCGTCGGCGTCGTCATGCTCGCGCGGCCCTCGTACCGCGTCGGCGAGACGGTCACCATGGCCGTCGACTTTTCCGGCGCCGAGGTCCCCTGCTACGCCGTGCACGCGGCGCTCGAGACGGCCGAGCGCGTCGACCCGAGCCTCGCGCTGCGGTCCGAGGCCAGCGTCCACCGCGTCACGCGCAAGGTGTACGTCTCGTCGTCCGAGGCCACGCTGTTTGCGCGCCGCGCCGTCTTCAGCCCCACCATCCCCGTCTCCGCGACGCCCGAGTTCGTCACGAGCGGCGTCAGCCTCGAGTGGAAGATCCGGCTCGAGTTTGTGGTGCCGACGAACCCGGAGCGCATGGTGCAGAATCCCGGCAACGAGGCCGAGGCCGAGGACGAGGACGAGGACGAGGAGTACGACGGCAGCGGCGAGCAGCAGCACGCGGGTGGTGCTGGCGGAGGAGGAGGGACCGCCGCCGCCGCCGCGACCGCCCAGTCAGAGCGCAAGCTGTTGTCTCCTCCTTCGTCTGGCGGCGGCGGCGGCAGCCAGCCGCACCACCTGCTCGAGGAGATCTCGCACGACGACCGGGGCGGGCTCGTGCTCGTCGCGGCCGAGAACCTGATCTGCGAGAGCTTCGAGGTGGCGGTGCCGCTGCGCGTGTACGGCGCCGTGACGACGGGCCTCGAGAGGCTCGAGAGGGACGAGGCGCTGGAGGAGGGGCTCGTAGTATAGACAAGGGAGCAGGGGGGAGGAAAGGGGTTGGAGAGTTCTAATTTTGCGGTTGGAGGGGGGAGAGGAGGTCTTGCCGGCTTGCACAACGGCAAGATTTCGAACATGTTCTACAGACGGAACGGTACCTGAGCAAGTTAAGCAAGCAAGCATATGTGAGAGTTTTTGGATTTTACTGCAGCAGCGGAGGAGATATGAAAGGCATCGCGTCGGGGCTGCACAATGTGTTATTAGATCACCTATAGATCGAACAAAAATGGGAACAACGGAGCATGCATCTTCGCGATCGAAACTCCCGCGCCACTAAGAGATTCTGGAGCCGAAACCCATCAAGCAGGAGTAATAGAATGTGCATATGCACAATGTAACACTGTATTGGCAATGAAAAGCTATGAAAAGCAAGGGCAGGCAGGTCTCCTCCGATCCGTACCATGAGCGCCGCCCCCCCTTCGTACCCGTCCCGAACGCCGTAGTCCTATGCTGTAGAGGAAAGAGCAGAAAGTGGTATCATATGATGGCGGCTGTGCTGTTTTGCAACGCAACTATTACGAATGTGTAAAAAGGGAGAGAGCATAGGGGGGGAAAAAACGACAAGAAACCCAACTCCCCTTTCTTCCACGCCGCGCCGGGCGAACGAGGGGGACAGTTCCTGACCCTGTGTCTCTCCCCTCTCCGTGCCGAGATTCCCTTTCCTTTGGTATCCTCCCAACCAATCCGATAGAAGGAGATAATATGTATAGTGCAGAGTGTAGCGCCGTTGCGCAATATGGTCGAATAATAATAATTATAGAAAGAGCTCATGAGAGGGAGCAGCGCGAGAGCGTCACATCACGGTCGCCACATTCGCCGAGGCTGCTAGCCTGACTGCGTTGACGCCGAGGCAGACGACTCCCCCGCACTAGGGGGGCGGTCTCCTCCCTCCAGGCTGCTGCTGTCGTCGCCATCTCGCCTCTTCTTGGCCCTGATCGACGACGACGCGCTGCCGGGCTTGCCATTGACGCCAACGCCACTGTCCGGAGGCAGTCGCCACTTCTCGTCGAGCATGAGGATGAGGCGCTCGAGCTTCTCGTCGAGCAGGCCGTTGATCTCGTCGCTCATGGCCTTGCTGCGCACGGCGCGATCCCCCAGCGCAGCGGCCGTGAGGCGTAGCTCCTGGTCCAGCTCAGCCAGCAGATCCGGCGCAATAGGCCCCTCGCTGGTCGCGAGACGCTTTCGATAGGTGCGCAGCTGCCGGCACGTCTGCTCGGTAGCCATACTGAGGCTGCCAAAGCCCGTACCGGTGGCATTCCCGCTCGTGTATGAACCGCGGAGGTTAGTGGCGCTGCTCTTCTTACGGGCACCGGGTGCAGCAGGGGGTGTTGTCCGTAGGGCTGGGAGAGAAGGCCTGCGGGTCACGACGCGTGACTTGGGACTGTCTGGCCCCGGAAGAGGCGGGCTATTGGCTGGACTGCCGGCAGATCCTCTCCTAATGGGTGTCCCTTCCGCGATTATGCTGCCCGGCGTACCCTGAAGAGCACTTATAGGGGTCCTAACCGTAGGCGTTGTAGACGTGAGGTTAAACCTCGAGGTTCGTCGCGGCAGTGTACGAGGTGGGGATCGGCGTCCAGGTGATGGGGACGGCCGCTGGAAGTCGGCTAGCTCTGCTTTTGACAAGACTCTTCGCAACGGAGGTCTCTGAGACGTTGCTGAGGGTTCCTTAGCCGGCGATGGATCCCTACTCATCGAACCTGCTGCAGGATCCCCGAGGTCGAGCCCCCAGATCATGATCGTGCCATCAGACCCTACACTAACGACCTTTCTACCCCTGTCTTCATCGTCTACGAGCGTGACCCCATTGATAGCCTCGGTATGTCCCCATTCTCGGTCCAAGAAGCCGCCAGTATGCGCATCGTAGATCCTGACTGATTTGTCGGTATTTGAGATACCTAGAAGAAAAGTCGGCTCATCGGTGCATGTGTCGCCAAAGACCAAAGAATCCAGCACCACGGATTCTGCTCCGCTTTCGTCGGTGCATTTGAACGCGTTGAGTTGCCGTCCTGATGACAATTCGTACTGACAGACTGAGCGGTCGAGGGTAGAGACGAAAACGGACTTGCCGTCCGAGGCGACGACCATCGAGGTTGGTGACGCTTTTAGCGTAATCACTCGTGAAGGAACAGCTGCTATAGCCTCTGGCTCATCCTCCTTTGTGATGATGTCATGGATCTGCAGTGTCCTGTCCAAAGAGCAGGTGATGATCCTGTCGGCGCTGGGAATCAGCACCTGCACCACTCTAGCTGCAAATTCGAGCGTCTGAACATGCTCGAAGCTGCCGTTGGGCAACCTGTGGAACAACTGTGCCGTTCTATCGCGGCCGCATGTGGCCATCAACAGGGTGTCATCGTTCTCAAAGATGGATATGTACTGGCAGTCGTAGGTATGTGCTTTGGTGTCCAGTAGACACTCGTTGGTATCCGAGTCTATGACCCTGAGGACCCCTAACTTGTCTGCTGCGACAAACAGTTTCAAGTTCTCCGTTGCCCTGACAATGGAGAGCTGGTTGACGGGATCGAGTTCGGTGGCTGATGCGAGCTGGTCGATGGGAACGTCAAGCGTAGACTTGATCTTTCCCTCCATATCCCAGGTAATGACCCTCCCCGATTCAGACCACGTGTAAAATGCCGCTCCCCTCGCATTGGCATTCGGAAGGGACTGAACACCCATGAGAGGCTCCGATTGTCCAGGTATTGGCATATGTACCCGGTGGCTCGTATTGCCACCTGGTATATGCTCAGCGTCCCAAATATCGATGGACCGGTTTGCATCGACAGTCACTAGATGGGAAGTGAGGAAGCCCATGGCAAGTAGGCCGTGGCGAGGCTGATTGGCATCCACCAGACAATCCTCCTTGTAGCACAAAAGGTCATCCACCCTCAAGGTTGCAAGATTGCCAAAGGTGCCTCCCACATACGCCAGACCTTTCCTCACGGACGCACAATGGATTGGAAAGCCCATGTTGCGCACCCTGATGAGTTTCATCTGTTTATTGGTGTCATCCAATAGACAGACATCGCCATGCTCGGAACAGACCAGGGCTTTGTGCCTATCGAGAGCCACGGCAGCTGTGAAAGTGGCCTCCAAGAGAGAACCAAGGAGGATGTTCCGGCCTGGGAGGGTTTTTTGTGCCGATGGCGAAGGAAAAGAACCGTCGCCCGTAAACTTGTGCTTCACTGGTGAGGTCGACTGGATTTCTTCCACTCTCCAAACTTTGATGTGTCGGACCCCGAAAGTGACAAGGCTGCTTCCCAGCCATGTCATTCCACGGACATAAGACGTGCACCTGCTCTGCTGCAGCAATTTTGCGGCTCCGGTCCGAGCATCGATCTTCCAGATGTACAGGAAGCCATCATTAGCGTGACCGAGAGAGGCCAGATATCTCCCGTCGGGAGACCAGGCGACTGCGTTGACACCGAAAGTGTGCTCGCTGATCGAGACCAGCGGGATGTCAGACGAGTTATCTTGCAAGTTGAAGATCAAAACTCGCGGGGCATATCCAGTCTCGCCGACTGCCAGGAACCTGCCGTCTCGACTCAAGGAGAGGCAAGTCGCAGCCTTGATCCGCTCTCGCTGCGTCCAGGTTTTGGACGAGGTGGGCGACTCGGACCAGTCGATCGGTCCATACTGAGATTCGCGGGGCCCTGGAGTTCTGTTCCTACTATCATTGGCTTTTGGGGTCGAGTTTGGCGTCGAAGGTGCATGCGGGACGGGAGAGACGGTGTAGAGAGGCTGCGCAGTAGGCCTAGCGCGGAAGAAACGCTGAGAGTACTGGTCGCCTTGGATATCGACGACAACGACGGCGCCACCGGCAATGTAGGCGAAAGAGGATTGGACTATGTCGAAGCCGGTCGCTGACGAGCAAGTTGTGCCGATGACCCTCTTGAGAGAGAGTCTAGAAGGGTCCGAGGAGGGGCGACCCCGGACGGGAGATCTAGAGGGGCGAGGAAAGAAGGGCGAGTTGGAAGGGGTGAGTCTGAGTCTGTTCGAAGGCGTGGCTGCCATTGTTGCGCCTTCCGCCTGTGTGGGGGCCCCGATGCGTGCAGAATGATTTCAGTGCTCGAGAGGGAATGCCGGCATTCTGAAGATGACCAAGTGCCAATTGATTCCAGGATTCACCTGGCCGGTGAAACTCGTCTAGGACTTGACCCGATATCGTAGGATGGGCAAAAGGAAGCTTCTAGGAGAGAGTCTTGGGGATCGATGGGGCAGTTTGCGAGCAAGAATAAAGCAAAGAACTAAGAATGCAGAGCTGCGGACAAAGCCAATTGTTAGCCGGAGGCAAGGTCGTTGCGCACAGCAGATGACTCAAACACGTACAGTGAGGTTTGTTGAACGAGTGGAAGCCCAATTGAGGCGATAGGGACTATATCGCAATGAAAGACAGGGAGAGGACCGCGACGTGATGCGCAGTCATTGACGGCGAAGGTGCGAAGGAGGTGGTGAAGGTGGACGAGATCACTGTCTTTTGCTTTTTTTCTGTCGTCGACACAGATTGACCGCCTCTTACACGGCATTGGCTGCGTCGCTGTCGGTGCAGCTTGCCCGTGGTTGGTGTGGCTCTGGTTCGGGCTGGCGGTTGTGGGCGTTGAGAACCACCCAAGCTTCGTGTCGAGAGGGTTTCCCAAAGGTACGGCGTAGGTAACTATCGATTGCAGAGAAATGTGAGGCGTGCGTGCTCGGTTGACGGGCTGTCCCCTGCTAGTCAGCTCTTTTGTCTCTCCTCATTTCGCGGCGTCTGTCTCTCGTTCAGCAGGCTGGGGATTGTGAGCACAGCATAGTCGAGCTATCTGGAAGGATTCCCAGCCTGGATCCACACAATGTCTTTGTTTTTGTTTGCTCGATGCAGGGGTCCACGGCTCGTTGACCGGGGTGCAAAGGGGGCCTCTCAGTGCCCTTTGCCGCATTGGGCTGCTGCCACGGCGGATGCAGTTTAGCGGGCGTGGGGGCCGCCCAGGCCGATCGCTCTTTCTGGCCGTGTTGGCGTCCGCCCATGACCATCTTTCAATTAAACCAGGGCCTGGACGTCGCATTGGCATCACACTCATCACACTCTTTCCAACGGCCATGGTGCGCGTCGCTTTGAATACTTGTACAGGTACTTCATGTGTAGTCGACGGGTAGAGTGACTCGGATAACACGGAGGACTCTCATGTGAACTCCATCAAGGACACCACAGCCTCGTACTTGCATTCATGCCTCGTTCTTGTCGAGTAGGTACCTCTCGAACACCAAGGGACCTTGTCTCGTATGAACGCAAGAATGCCCCAGAGGTGTGTGCGTGCATCTCGGTTGCGCCTTAGCGTGAACCCCTGCTCTTCTTTGGACTTTTACAACCCGTCACACTGGCAAAGGAGCCCATTGGTGGCCGGTGCCTTTGCTCAATCTCCCAGGCCACCCGCATCAGCTCGTCGATCCAGTCAATGCGAGGCGGACGTTGGTGACAGGGGGCATGGCTACCTTCCAGAGTCTGGGTTTCTTCGGGTGGCTTACCTCAACACCGCAAACCCTCATTTGAGCATCTGCACCATTGTTTCGGACTTGTGATGAAAAATACCTGCATGATTGTCACATCTCGATAGAATGAGATCAACATGCGTACTCGTAGGTGGCTGTGATTCTTCAAGCGCGGTGGTCTGTGCCAAGCCCTGTCGTTATCTATCGTACAAACACATGGATTCCTCCTCGGCCTATGACGGTGATCATGGCGTGGAAATGGTTATATCAAGGTTCTCGACAACCTCTGCTGCGCCGTCAATCGGTACCGCTTGCCGGGGCTCTCGGTCTGAACCTCGCCGGCCTGCCGTTGGCGCCGCTGTTTCTTCTTCTCGTGATATGACGGATCCCGTGCCACGCCCTCCAGGCGCCACTTCTGCGGCGGCTTCTTGCCCAGCTCCGCCCACCGCTCCCAGACCTTCCTGCCCCTGTTGAACCACCTCTGCTGGCGGTCCTCTTCCTCCTCGGGCGAGGCCCTCCACTTGCTCTTCAGGATGCGCCGGATCGCCTCGGGCGACATCTCGAACCGCTTGGCGAGCTCTTCGGTGGTGTAGATGTCCGGGTACTGCTGGTTCAGGGCCCGGATGCCTTCCATCGCGTCGGGGGAGAGCTTCTTGCGCGGGTTCCAGCCCTCGGGGAACTTTTCCTTCAACGCCCGCTTCTGAACCTGCCAGTCCTCCTTCTTTGGCGGCGGTCCATCCTCGCCTTCTGCCCTCTCCTTGGCCGCTTTGGCCGCGTATGGTTTTCCGACTTTGACAAATTTGCCAGGTCGTCGCAGTGCAGCCTTGATTGCTTGTTTGGTGTCTATCTCCTCGTTTGAACCTGGCGACGGAGTGTCTTTGGGTGCCGGCTGATCATCCCGCTGTGCTGATGACTGCACCAGACTTTCGTCTGGAATTTGAGTGTCTGAAGGCCCTTCACGACAAGGCGCACTCGAGGCATGGAAGCTGTGCGACCCGTTGACCAGAGAGCGTGCGATGGGGCTCTTCGCAGCCAGACTGTACTGGCCAGCGCGCTTAGATCGTGCGGCGAAGGAGGCTCTGAGAAACTCGGACGGCGTCAGGGGCGCAACATTGCGAATGAATATCCTCAGTGCCGTCGTGCGGCACGCGCAGTGCATCATTGCATTGGCGATCGGTCGGGGAAGAGGCAGCACCTCGATGGCTGTGATATTCTTGGAGAAGCTGCAAACGTGCGAACTTCCAAGTTGCATGCGATAAGGAAAATTTCAGGGGGTATCGAAGCGATTGATTAGAATGGATAAGGTAATGAGCTTAAAACGGGCCCGGGCATTTCAGGTGCTGGTGTTAGCGGGAACAATGGGGCAGTGTATCCAACTGTGCCGCTGAGGCTCCATGAAGCTCCCATGCCTCCTCCTCATGGATACTTTGGTGAACTTTGACTTCAAAAAGCCATCAAGCAAGAATCGATAATTCCCAAATGGGCAAACAGAATTGTCACGGCCTTACCATCAAGAAAGGATATGAGATGCTGCTTCAACGCGCCCCGGATGATTTCAACCAGTGCTGGATAACCATAAGCTTTCCCCATCGAGCGTGGCGCCGATGCATGTAATGCGAAGAGCTAGCCTGCTTTTGCCACACACCCCGTTCTGCCTCGACATTCTACCTAGCCATGACACTAACACTCTGCCAGAGTCTGGGCATCATTGACATTCGTTCCCATTAGCTAAGGGACGGCATTTGCCCCAAAACCCCATGTGGATGAATACGGTATGCTCCTCGCCGGGCTGGGACATGAGTTCTCGATGTTACACTCCCCCTCCTCCATCGCTCTGTATATCCTCGGGACGATCAAGATCTCCGCATCTCTGCTCGGATCCCTCGTCACATGAATGCCGACCATTTTGAGCCGGTTTTCGTTTTCCTAAGACAGTGGTTGCTTGGTCCTTGTATCATGCCTCCTTGTTAGTCCAGCGAGGGTCTTCCACTCACCCCTGAATCTCAATATCTTGTCTGTCTTTCAATTCTTACGGTATCCTGCAGAAGTAGAGTTGCCACAATGTTTTGGAGGTCCGAGGAAGGATGGGTTACCTACTGGGGCCACAGCTTCAAGTGGACGCCAGATCATATGTCGAGCGAGCAGCTCGAGCCCCTGGCCTTCACCTACGATGTGCTGGCCTCGGAAGCATTAGACAGACTAGACGAGCTATGCCCTCCAGAGCGTCCTCCGTCTCCAGAAGAGCAGCCTAGCACGCCCTCGGAGCCTCGAGCTCAAGACGCCTCCTCGAGTGAGAAGGAGAAACCCAAGAAACCCCGCCTCCAGCGGGACTACTACGAGCTACTCAAGGAGAACGCCCACCGAGACGAGAAACTCCGAGAGCTATGGGACCAGGTCAACACGGTCCCCGAGTGGGTTGACTGGGAGCAGATAGAGCGAGGCCAAAAGGTCTTCTACCGCTACGCCGGCGCAGTGGTCGTCGCGGTAAGTGTCAAATCCCCCCCCCTCTGAACTCAAAGCATACATACATACATACATACATACATGCAGACTCGACTAACACACTCCGCCCGCGCGCACACCACGTGCACAGCTCACCTTCCAGTCCCTAGTCGGCGGCATGGGCGGCCGGCGCGTCGTCGAGACGCTCTCCCGCACCGGCGGGTTCGGCGCCAGCGTCGCCCGCCGCCGCCTCCTCGAGACCTTCCAGCACCTGCTGCAGGCGACGGCCTCCCTGCCCGCCATCCAGCCCGGCGGCGCCGGCTCCGCCGCCAGCGTCCGCGTGCGGCTGCTCCACGCCGCCGTGCGCCGGCGCATCCTGCGGCTCGCCGCCGCCCGGCCGGGCTACTACTCCGTCGCCGAGCACGGCGTGCCCATCAGCGACCTCGACAGCCTCGGCACCGTGGCCGCCTTCTGCGGCACGCCGCTCTGGCTCGGCCTGCCGCGGCAGGGCGTGCGCGCCACGCCGGCGGAGGAGGCCGACTACGTCGCGCTCTGGCGGTACGTGGCGCACGTGCTCGGCGCGCCGTCGCGGCACCTCGCGACGCCGCGCGCGGCCCGCGCGGCCATGGAGTCCCTCCTGGCGTCGGAGCTGCGGCCCACCCCGACGGGCCGCGTCCTGGCCAACAACGTCCTGACGGGGCTGGCGGGCCAGCCGCCCGTCTACGCCTCGCGCGCCTTCCTCGCCGCCGAGGCCCACTGGCTCAACGGCCGCGCCCTCGCGTCGGCGCTGGGCATCGCCCGCCCGCCGGCGTACTACACCGCCCTCGTGGCGGGCCAGTGCGTCTTCTTCGCGCTGCTGGCGCTCGCCGCGCGCCGCCTGCCGGCCGCCCTGTGGGACGACGAGGGGCGCATCGCGGCCCACCGGCGCCTGCTGTACGCCGTCACCGTCGACAAGACGGAGCTGGGCGCCCTCGGCGGCGAGGCCGCCTTCGACTTCAAGTACATCCCGAGCCTGGAGGCGCCTGCGACGGAGCTCGGCGACCACGGGGAGCGGCGGTGGCGGCGGCGCGGCGTGCCGCGCGGGGTGGAGTGGCGGAACCTCAAGTACCTCGCCGGCGCGGGCGCCGTGGCGGGGGTGCTGGCGTGGGCTGGGATCCGGTGTGTGTCGACCCTGTGTCGGCTTTTGTGGCAGTGAGGAGCTTTAGTGAAGCCTTTCTTGACTGTCTGTCAGGGCATGAGGGGGTTTTGTGTCATGTTTGAAGATCTGTGCAACGTAGGTGAGTGTGTTTGATATGGTTGAGGCTGAGCTGCTTTACCGGCGTTGCAAGATGTACATATATGGAGACTATGATGGGTCTTGTTTGATGTTACATTGATCATCAGCGACATTGTGCATGAATAAAGAGCACAGTATTGATATGCACAAGGACGCTGACAATCTGATCTGCGAACCGTTCAGTGTCACATAGAGAAGGATCTACAGGGTGTCAGGATGTGTTTTGAACTTTGCTTGGAAATGGATTTTTTTGTTCTTTCCCGTCCTGCTTCTAGAAGAAGCTCGGGTCACTCTGAGGCAAGTTTTACCGAAATGCCCTTTCAGCTAATCGTACAAAATCGAGCCACGTATATACAGCCTTATAGCCAAGGTGTATGTGCCCATGAGAGCGATAGTTCCCTCCGTGTTGCTGCTCTCAGGAGGACCCTCCTCCTCCTCCTCCTCCTCGTTGACTTCTGTATCTCCAGTGATGATAGAATATGCGCTTGAAAGCAAGGTGATGATAGCTGACGCCACTTTGTCCCATGATACCTATGCCCATGTTCCCCAACGCCATTACTTGTGATAGAAAAAAAAAGTGTAGTATAAAATAAAGTGCGAACTTTTCGAGTCATTCGGGAGAAACGAAGAAAACTCTTCCCTGCTTCTTTGCCTCCTGCTTGCTTGCTTGCTTGCTTGCTCGCTTGCCAGCCTCCTCTTCTCACGCATCGTGCATCAGCTCGACGGGCGGGCGCGCCGTGTGCGCCGGCAGCGGCTTCTCCTTGGTGAACTCGGGCGCCACCTCCTCGGGCTCGTCCGTCATGTCGTGCACGGCGATGGCCGGCAGGTTGGGGCTGCTGCCGTGCTCCTCGGGCTGGTAGATGAGCGTGGAGCTGCGGCTGCGCATGCCCCTCCTGGGGCCGGGGCCGCCGCCGCCGCCGTCGACGGGGCTGACGGGGCTGTTGGTCTCGGACGAGGACATGATGACGTCGTCGAGGGGCCCGCGGTGGTGGTGCAGGCGGGCCAGGGCCTCGGCGAGGTCCTCGGCGTGGACCTCCTTGTTGGGGGCGCCCTCGAGGCGCATCTCCCAGTCGTGGGGCGGGGAGGGCGGCGGGCTGATGAAGAAGAGCTTGCCGGCGTCGGGCAGGGCGAGGTGCTGGACAGCGCCCCCCGCGCCGAGGTCGAGGGGCGTGTGGCGGCCAAAGTAGACGTGGCAGCGCTCGCCGAGGATGGCCTCGCCGTCCCAGATGGAGCGGACCTGGATGGCGGCCTGCTCCGAGAAGAAGGACACGACGATGCGGCGGAAGGACTTGAGGGGCGCCCAGGTGTGCACGGGCGCCGTGTGCTCGATCAGCTCGCGGATCGTCTGCAGGTTGTCCGGGCGGAAGACGTCGAGGTCCTGCAGGTTGGTGAAGAGGAGGGTGTTGGACGGCGGCGTGGGCTGCTGCAGCGGCGGCAGGTTGGACAGGTCGAGGGTCAGCGACTTCCTCGAGGATCGCGACGACGCGGTCGAGGTCCGCGTGGGCGGTGATGGCCTGAACTCTTCAGACATGATAGTGTTTTGTGTATGTGTGTGTGGTTTGGATTTGACTGGAGAGGAGGGAGGGAAGAGCAGAGAATGTCTGAGAGAGATAAGAGGTCGTGGGAAACCTCCTTATTAAGTAAGGTAGGTACTTTATGTCGACTTCCCCGCGCGAGTGCGGTGTACTTGTAGTCAAGTATCTGAGATCAGGTGGAGTTGTGTGGAGGCGCAGGCTGCTAGAGCAATGTCCTTGGACAAACTTTGCCTGAGAAACGGACGTTTTGAAGACGTTGCGTGTTGGGGATGCGCGGGACAGAGAATGGTGAGAGAGACAGTGTTATGGAAGATGGATGGCAAGACTTGAGAGACGACGAGTGACAGGTCAAGCAAGTTATTAAGTAATTAACAGTCGAGGCTATGGCCCTATGGGTTTGTTCTTTTTTGCCTCTTTCATCACGAGCGCGCGGATTGGACGGCGGGCGTCTCGGATCGGGGACCCGTTTGATCTGGATGAATCAATGGATGATGCATGCCCGCCTGGACACCCAAGCACAGCAGGCTTTGAAGCAGGCTGAGCACTTGGAAGTCCCCTACTTTAGAGGAAAAGAAGGGTCCAGAGTACCTAGGTAGGTACCTACCCCCAGCCTACCTACCTAGGTAGGTACCTAGGGAAGTCAGGCTCCCCTGTCCCGATCCCCTGGTCCAACTGCGTGGGCTCGCCGTAGAGTGGACTCCTTCCCTGTCGTGTCCCCTCGCCAGCGCCAAAACCTCCAAGCCACTCACCTGCCGTATCCCGCGTATCCGGCATGCGGACATGTTTCGCCCCGCAGAATTCAGTGGAATGAGTCGCCATGAGGAGTCTGGTCTTCCAGACTCTTCCTGCTTGTTTCGGCGGCGCCAATGTGCCAGAGCGTGCTGTGGCTCTCTCTCTCTGTTCTGTCGCCACTCCGTCCGCCAAGCCGCCCTTCTGGGCAGTCCGGAAGCGCTGTCTGGGATTTCCCATCCGCCGTCCATGATTGGCGAGTCAGCTGGCCTCAACAATACTTGTACAACTTTTTTTTCTCACTGCACAGCCCCGAACCCGCCGAACCCAGCGGGAGGTGCGCCGTAAAACTCTAGGTTGGGACCCCAAACTGTCACCTGCCGTGATTGGCATGTGCTTCAGCGCATGTGCCGTCCTTCGCTGAAGCACCTATTGCTCCGCGGGTTTCAGCAGATCTCAACTACGGCGGCCTCCAGTAGCGCTCCCCATCTCCTCTCCAATCCTACTTCGTACAGCGCCAATTTTTCATCCGCCAAAGTGGGCGTCTGAATAGTTGACGGAAGTTCATCAGGGGCTACCTCAATCTTAACAATCAATATCCTTGTCACATCCTTGCCCTGGAACTCGGAAGGGCTATCCCACTACCTAAATCCGATGGGCTTGATGGATAGCCAAGTACTTCTGTTAGCAGTCCGTCAACTAATTTGACCCTTGCCGCCGTAGCCCAGATCCAGGCCTTTCGTCTCTCCACAATTACAAGTACAGATGGGGGCCTCCGTCCAGCAAAGCCACTGGCACCGGTAATCTCCATTTCTACCTGCACCGCCCTCCTCGCTCAACGAGCCCGCCGCGGCTTGCGTCAGTCCAGACAGGCCTTTTCCCTCTCCTCCCATTTCCGCTTCCCAGCCAAAAGAAAACGTCGAGTGCCCCAAGTGTGTGTAATGACATCATGGGCCACAGAGACCGGTCATCTTGTTCAGACACAATCCTGAAATCGCACCCTGTCCCAAAGGAGGTTCTCCAAGAGAGAATTGAGCCGTCTTGGCCGTCCACACAGCCCTGCAGAGCTCCGTCTCGGGGGCCTCCCGCCTCCGAAAAGGCCGCACTAGCCCGACAAACCTAGTGTCCTCCCCCGCAAACTCGGCTTTGCTCAGCGTCGATCTGCCGGTCGGCAATTTAGCTCTTGGCCATCCATCCATCGTACAGCATCTTTCATCCTCCCTCTTCTACCTAGGCAATAGCTGGTCTCGCCCAGTCGGCGCAGCATCTCAGCCCAGACACGACACGAATGCAACCGGCTTTTCCTTGGCGGTTGTTAGTCATCATCCCACGATGTATAAGCCATCAACCACGTAAGTCGAGCAGTGCGCAAACGAGACTGAAGTCATGCCGTCCGTGGGCACTACATAGAGAGTTTGAGGCACTGTTTGTTCCTCGACCAAGCGGGTTCTGCCAAGACAAAGTAAGCTCAGAGGCGTAGACACGCTGCGAGGCAAATGCGAGCATTCCTAGGCTGAGTTGTCTCTTGATCATACAAGTCCGCTCTTCATTTTACACGTATTGCTACACATACACATCGTACACACAATCGTCTTATACTCCCCTTAGACCCGCGCCCGTCTGATTAAGCTCCTTGGCTGTGAGCACTCAGCCTCCTTCCCGGAGCACCGGGACGCTCCAACAGGCGCAAACGGGCTCATACCAAACCAGCCACCCCTCCCCCCCCTCTCTCTCTGCTGCTCATCTTTGACGAGAGGCATTTTCGATCTGTGCGTCTGATCGCCACCTACCGGATCTCGACGCCGAGGCGCTCCACCAGAGCCTTGGTGATCTCGTCGTGCAGGCCGTTGGTCTCGTCGTTGGTGAGCGTCCGCTCCAGGCTGCGGTAGTTGATGCGGTAGCACATGCTGCGCCTCCCCGTCCTGGGGTGCGTGAACTCGTCGACGAGCCTGACGTCCTCGACGACGTCGCCCGCCACGCTGCGGACGACCTCCATCACGTCGTTCTCGTGGAAGTCGTGCACGTTGGCCCCCCTCGTGTTGCCGCCGGCCGCCGAGGACGTGCGCAGCCAGAAGGACACGTCCTTGTAGCACGCCGGGTACTTGGAGAAGGGCACGAAGCGCTTCAGCCGGCCGAGGTCGCCCGACACGCCCGCGAACTGCGAGAGGAACCGCTCGTCCTGCGACCAGAAGAGCCGGATGTCGGGGATCTGGAACAGCAGCATGGCGATGCGGTCCAGGCCCAGGCCGAAGGCCCAGCCGGCCTGCGACCCGACGCCGGCGTTGATGAGGATGTTTTGCTTGGAGACGCCGCAGCCCAGGCACTCGAGCCAGTCGCCGTTGTAGTAGACCTCGAGCTCCCACGAAGGGCTGGTGAAGGGGAAGTATGCCTCGACCCACCTGACCTTGAGCGGCTCGTCGACAAAGTTCGGGTCCGCCTTGACTGCGGCGGCCTTGGCCCGGCTGAAGATCTCGACGACGACGAGCTCCAGTGACCTCTTGAGGTGAGCCGCAATAGCCTCGGCCTCGGCCGGGGAGTGATGCTCCGACTGCAGTGGGTTCCGCTCCGGGTGGAAGGGCGGGTTGGGGTCCTCTACCTGGATGTCGTGCTTGGGAAGCTTGTCCAGGTCCGCCCATACGGCGGCGGCAATGTCGCCGTTGGGGACCTTGGTGCGGTCCCACACCCGGGCGCCCTCCATCTGGTGGAAGACCGGGTAGTGGGTCCGGTCGACCTCGTCCCGGCGGTAGACATCGGCGCTGATGAGGTAGCCGTCACTCGCGTTGGCCTTGAAGATCTCGAGCTCGTGGGCGCTGGTGTGCGTCCGCAGCAGCGTCTCCTTGTTGATGTAGTACGTATCCGACTTGGCCCGGCCGGGGTGGTCCTCCGGGAAGCCCAGCGAGTCGAAGTTCTCAAAGGTGGACACGACGGGGTCGAAGGTGTTGTAGGTCTTGTATGTCGCCTCGGGGAACTTGGACTCGATGATCTGCCTCGTGATGGCGATCGGGTGGTCCTTCTGGAGGTGCAGCTTGCGAGACGTGGCGTTGGCGACGTTGGAGGGGACGTTGAACCACTCGTCGGTCTTATACGTCCGACCGCTGAGCTCGATCGAGGACGGCGACGTGGGCCGGCCTGTTGCTGCCGCTGCCGCTGCCGCTGCCGCTGCCGCTGGCGATGCTGCGTTGCCTGTTGGTCAATTGGGTTTAGACATCGATCGTGCGGGGAGGGAGACTGACCAGAGGAGGAAAAGTAGGCTGCCCGCCAGCATCGCAGCGAGCTCGTCGTCTGCAGGTTAGCTGCGGACCGCAGACGTGAGAAGCGGGCCACGGTGGGCGCGACCTGCGGTAGGAGCCGCCATGGGGCCGCCATATCTGGCTTGGAAATCAATCGTATGTGGACTCGAGAGAGAGAGAGAGAACTCCAACGCCAGCCAGGGTTGCTTTTGCTCTCCTCCAATTCCAAGTCTATTGCTCTCCCTGTTGCCCACTTACGATCTCTCCCGTTATCGGCTTTGGATGGCTTCGGGGAGACTAGAGGATCACCTCACGGGCAGAAAAAGTCCCAGGCGGTCTCATCCATTGCGCTAATAAGCAACCTTAGCCTATCAAGCCCCCTGGATGGGGTTCGGTGGGCCAGCCTGTGTCTCTCGTTACAGGCCCGAGCTTCTCCAATGCGCCAAGATTTGGCATGTGGTGCATCGTCTGCAGGGACTGTCGCAGTCCTACTCCTACTTGTACTTGTGCCTAGCAGTCCCCTCATCAGTGCCGTCATCCCAGTTCATTCATCCGCGCCTCCACTCGGCCAAAGTCGGTCCAAAAACTATGACCGAATTCCCTCTGGATACCCCAATTTTGAGCTTTCGGCCTTGTCCCGATCCTCGACTCTGAGAGCGCCGCGTCTGACCGATCCCCGGTATTGATACCCCGACGACTCTAATACAGCTCCTTGGTAGTGTTGAATATCTTCTTGTCCTCCCTCTTTTGTTTCCTTTTTTTCTTGAATGTGATCACCATTGGACACTTCCAAGTTGCTGTGCACACTTCTCCTGATCAGTCAGATGCGCCCAAGGTGAGAAAAAAAAAAGATTGTGTCATACTGCGATCATGCAGGCCCTCAAGTCCAGCGACCAGCCCGCAGGACCGAGCTCGGCGCCCGCCGCCGCTCCTGTGCCTAAGAAGACGCAGGATGGAGGCAGCAAGGCATCGATTCACTATCCCTTCTGGTTCGGCGGCAGCGCCAGCTGTATGGCTGCGTTTGTAACACATCCCCTGGATCTAGGTGAGTTGTGTGTTTGTGCTGCCCCTGGCTCTCTCATTATCGTCGCGACAGAACCACCTACTACTACCCCTGGTTCATGTTGCGCAATGTGCACGCGTTACAAAAGAGCTAACATGTGAGGAAAACAGTCAAGGTATGACCATGCCCATATACATTGGTGCAGCAAAAGTCCTGCACAGTCCATACTAACACACCCTCTCCCAAAACCTCCCAGGTGCGGCTACAGATGCGCACGGGCGACATGCCCAAGAACATGAGCGGCACCTTTGTCCACATCGTCCGCAACAACGGCGTGCTGGGCCTGTACAACGGCCTCTCCGCCTCCGTCTTCCGCCAGATCACCTACTCCACCGTCCGCTTCGGCATCTACGAGGAGCTCAAGTCGCGCGCCGAGGCCCGCGCCCGCGACAGGGGCGCCGGGCGGCCCTCGTCCCTGGCCCTCGTCGGCATCGCCACCGTGTCCGGCTTCGTCGGCGGCTTCGCCGGCAACGGCGCCGACGTGCTCAACGTGCGCATGCAGCACGACGCCGCCCTGCCGCCCGAGCAGCGCCGCAACTACCGCCACGCCCTGCACGGCCTCGCCACCATGGCCCGCGAGGAGGGCATCGCGCGCGCCTGGCTGCGCGGCGTCTTCCCCAACGCCGTGCGCGCCGCCGCCATGACGGCCTCGCAGCTCGCCAGCTACGACACGTGCAAGCGCCTGCTCATGGCCAACACGCCGCTCGGCGACACCCTCTCCACCCACTTCGCCGCCAGCTTCATGGCCGGCGTCGTCGCCGCCACCGTCACGAGCCCCATCGACGTCGTCAAGACGCGCGTCATGGCCAGCGGCGACCACGGCCTCGCCAGCGCCCTCAAGGAGCTCTTCGCCGCCGACGGCATGCGCTGGATGTTCAAGGGCTGGGTGCCTAGCTTCCTGAGGCTGGGACCGTGAGTTCCTCCCCCCTTATCGATGCTGAATGGAGAGAGAGAGAGAGTAACGAGCCGGGCTGACATTTTCGTGACTTGTAGGCATACCATTGCGACTTTCGTCTTCCTAGAGATGCACCGCAAGGTCTATCGCAAAACCAAGGGCCTAGAGAGTTAGATTTCTTGTTCTTTTTGCATAGAGAAAAAGGGGGGGGGGAGGGCAACATATGGAACAGGACTCGAGGATTGGCACACATTTTGTTTTTCGGATTTCTTCTTTTCTTTTGCATTAGAACCTTTTTCTTGTTCCTCTCTCTGCAAAGATGGCGTTTCTTTTTCATTCTTGTTCACTCTTGCCGTATCCCGCCCCCCTCCAAGCCCTCTTGGAACGACGGGGACGAACAAGAGAACCTGTGGAATTCTTGCATGAAGTCATTACTCTGGCGTTGGGTTACGTTTTGTTCGAAGGGACGCGATGAGCTTCCCGGACCTTTTATACATCATCGACAGCACGAAGCTAGTCATACCAAGTTGCAGATAGGGGTATCAATCAATGTTTGTTGTGTATCGTTCTTCTTTCAATTAAAAGTCCTAGTGTGCGAATCCTATGCTACTGAACAGTCCGTTCTGTAGTTTCGGCGAGGAAACAACAGGCCAGTGCTCTAGAAAAGCAGAGATCCCATCCATACCTAGTATCTGAAAATGAAAAAAAGAACTCCCAGTCGAATTTTCCGTCATAGTATGCCATGTGAAGTTGCCCCGAAGGCCTCACATGATAGTAAGATGAGGTGCAACGCCGATTTACTTTTTCCGTGTCGAGCCTTGCCAGCCCGTAGTGTACACGCAATGTCACAGATGCTTCCCAGTTTTATCCCTAGAACGCCAAGGGTCCATAACCTAAAACGCCAATGCTAGAAGTGCAGAATGCAGAGGTGGGTGGGTGGTTGTGTTGCGAACCAGCGACGAGCTTAGGACCAGCCGCCCTGGCCAGGCTGGCCGAAGGGAGTGGTGCCGTAGGGGGTGGTACCGCCGCCGCCCCAGGCGCTCTGGTTGCCGCCGCCGTAGGGAGTAGTGAAGCCCTGGTCCTGGCCCCAGGGATCGCCGCCAGCGCCTGAGTCACCGTACTCGGGAGAGCGAGGGGCATCATACTCCCCCTTCGCTTCGCCGCCCGCGTCGGGCCTGAGCTCGTGGACAATGCTGGCCAGCTTCTCCATCATGATCTTGATGCCGCCATGGACGATCTGGTCGGGCTCCATCTGGCCGGTGGTCTCGACGTCAAAGTAGAACTTGTTCGGGACGGCATCGTAGTCGAAGGGCTCGCCCTCCGCAGGAGGGTCCTCGAGAGCTGCGTTCTCAGAGAGAGGCCTGCAAAGAAGATCAATTAGTCCTCACTCTCTCTTCACCAATACTCCACGTGAGCGAGTCGCAGGGGCGAGAGACATACCACTCCTTTTGCGGATCCTCCTCATACCACAGATCGAGGTGGCGGAGCTTGTTGTGCGGGTCGTATTCGAAGCCGATGGCCGAAGCCGGGCACCACTTGACGTGCTCCTTGGCGATGCCCTTCTTGGCGATGCAGGTCATGTTGATCTCCTGTCCCTTGCGGAGCTTGACGATGAGGACACCCTGTCCCTCAGGGTCGGTAATGACCGGGTTGCCCACAAAGTGGTTGGGGCGAGCGCCGTCGACAACCATGTCACGAGCGTAAACGTTCATACCCTCGTCCGAGGTGCACTTGGCATGGAGGATGAGCTTGACGCTGCAGAGCTCGCAGTACTGCTCGCACTCGCAGTCGCGCGAGTACTTGACATCGTCGGCGCCCTTGGCGTTAAGAGGGATGAGGCCCAGGCGGTGGGCGATGAACTCGTCGGCGAGAACGCTGGTGTTCTCCTCAACCTCGACCAGGTCGATGGCGATGGTAGGAATCTCGGCGAGCATGACACGGCGCAGAGAGTTGGCAAATGCGAGGTCGCAGTTGCTGAGCTGGAAGACGACGCGCTCGTCGTTGGCCTGGCGGCGGCTCGTCAGCTTCTACCTCAGAATTTTCTCAGATTGCAGGCGAGCCTTTTCCTCGCATCGGGCCTACCTGCGAAATCTTGACGGACGGGCCAATAGCCTCGCTGTCCATCATCATCGTGTCGTAGTCCTCCATGTTGGCGGTCGGAGTGGTGACAGTTGGATTCTCGCTGGTCGCGTTGTTCGCCTCGGTCTCGTTGACCTCGTTGTTCGGCGGAGTGCGCTCAGGCGAAGGTAACTTGAAGGATCTCGGTCAGCACGAACAGAGGTGGTGGTGGTGGTGGTGAGCTGCGATCTCGAGGTTGAGCGTGGAGAAAGCGGCGATGTATGGAAAAGGCAGCCGCGCTCGTTTGAGCTAGAAATTGATGCAAGGGGAACAAAGACACAGAGGAATGGAAATACTTACGCCCACGGCTGGGGTCTCGTCCGTGGAAGCCATTCTTTCGAGCTTCTCGATTGGCCAGTGGAGGTTTTTTGGTGGTGATGATGTGAGGACCGTGCACCTTTAGCGTGTTGACAAGACACGCCTTGGTGTGTGGATAAATAAAGATGGAGGAGGAGATGGGAAGAGATGGGAAGGTGGGGCGAGCACAGGCCAAGCCTGGACATTCACACCTGCCCTGCAAGCCAAGCCCTTGGCCAATCAGATGACCGGCCCATGCTAAAGGCGGGCCTTCGATCATCCGGCCCCTCGGTCAGGGTCGGGAAAATTTCAAAAGGGCAGGCATCGGCTTACAAGGAAAAGCTAGGTCGATAGGTATTACACCAGACCACAATTGCATGTACTGATAGAGCCAAAGCCCATCATCACCACATTTCTTCACCCCCGAGCGGCACACGACCACCTCCAACTCCCACAACAACCATTCCCACTTCAAAACCGCCCACAATGCTGCGCCAATCTCTCATCAACTCTTCAAGAGCGCTCAGCGCCACCGTCAGAATCGCTTCCCAGACACCTCTTGCCAGGACGCAATTCCGGATAGCAGCGCCATTGGCCTCCGTCAGGACAGCACAGCCCACCTTGTCAAGATGGTACAGCGACGAGGCCAAGAAGGAGCCGGCCAAGGATGCCGCCGAGGAGCAGGCTGCCGCTGAGGGCGCCGGTGCTGAGGAGGCCGCCAAGAAGGAGCTCGAGACGAAGAACAAGGAGGTTCTCGAGTGGAAGGTCCGTTGCTGAACAGCTGCCCACACTCCCCCTTCATAGCTAGGAGCACGAGTGCTAACTTTCGTACCTGAACAGGACAAATACCTCCGCTCCGTCGCCGACTTCAGGAACCTGCAGGACAGGACCTCGCGCGAGATGAAGCAGGCCCGCGACTTCGCCATCCAGAAGTTCGCCAAGGACCTCGTCGACAGCGTCGACAACCTCGACCGCGCCCTCGCCATGGTCCCCGAGGAGAAGCTCAACGCCGAGGAGAAGACGGGCCACCTCCAGGACCTCGTCAGCCTGTACGACGGCCTCAAGATGACCGAGAGCATCCTCATGCAGACCCTCAAGAAGCACGGCCTCGAGCGCTTCGACCCCGAGGGCGAGAAGTTCGACCCCAACGAGCACGAGGCCACCTTCATGACCCCCATGCAGGACAAGGAGAACAACACCGTCTTCCACGTCCAGCAGAAGGGCTTCAAGCTCAACGGTCGCGTCCTCAGAGCCGCCAAGGTTGGCGTCGTCAAGAACTAGAACCGGAGTCGACTCTCCTCGATCGAGTTGGACTGCGTCATCGCTCCTCTCAAACCACTGTATCATGTATCAACATCAACACCTATACTTCTTCCTGTATTATGGCCTGGCGTTCAGCACTGGGGCCGCACTTTGTATAATGCTCCTCTCACGATCTAAAAAGCATGGCATGAAAGCAAAACGCAAAAAGTCTTTGGAGGCAAAAAAGGACCTGGAATGGGCGGGGTTCAGCATCTACACATTATCTTTGTACATAGACTTGTGCCACATTAATATCAGCATATGGGGCCGTGCCTGGCGCAAGGCTGGCTCACATGGAGACACACTGCTTGTCTGATCACCTGAGTCTCGTCTCCTACCCCGTTGGTCTCGCCAAAGAGTGTGATATGTTTAGAACATGCTGGCCACAGTCTTTCAAACGAATGCTTTGTATGTTTACGTGTCTGATTGTGTAGCTGGCTCTCGCGACGTTCTGTGCTGTCAATCATATTTGGCTCCAAAAGGCTTGTTTGAATTGCCCTCCAACAAATGCTCATGTCGCAAGACATGTGCGGGCTGTCTAGATATACATTACGGTCACAAGCTCCCAAAAAATAGACGATTGAGGCCATCCGCTCTCTCCCCAAAAAAGGCACCAGAAGCCGTTTCACTTCTTTCCCTTGCCTCGCCCGGCGGCCTTGCCCTTGCCCTTGCCTTTCGGCTTGGCTCCGCCATCATCATCATCGTCATCGTCAGCGGCCTTGGCAGCCTTCTTCGTGGCACGCTTGGCCTTGGCCTTGGGCTGCTTGATGTACTTGTCGCCCTTGAGGTCCATATCCTCATCTTCGACCTCGACGGGCTCCAGGACATCGGCGTCGTCTTCCTCCTCAATCGCCTCCTCTAGATCAGGGGCCTCCTTGGCCATCTTGCGGGGCGCGGCAACATTGCTGGCCTTCATGAAAGGCACAGGATGAGACATCGAATTATATCTGCATAGTGTTAGTCAACTATCTCTTTGGTGATTGGAGTTTGGGTTGATACTTACGTCCTGGTAAAAGCGGCCTTGGTCTGGGACTCAATATTGATATGATCCTCGCTTTGCGGACCGACGCCCAGCTCCTTGATAGCATCAAAGTCGTCACGTGTCAAGTAGTAGCTATCCATCAACTGGATAACATCCTCAACGCACTCCTTGCCCTCCATCTCGAGACGCTTGACCAGCTGATGCCAGAGGACGGGCAGGTACTGCTGTCGAATCTCGTTATGGTCACCAGAGGATTTGAGTCGCATGTGTGAGTGGATCTCACGCACAAAGCGACCAAGCTTGCCAGTCTTGCTGTTGTTGCCAAGCCAAGATGTGAAGGAAGATCCGATCATCTGGCCAGAGATGAAGCTTGCCGGTCTCACTGTGCTGAAGACAGCATGCGCAGGCATCAGGCTCCACTGCTGCTGGGGACCGTGGATCATTCTATCGACCAAGTCGCCATCGCTGATGCTCTCAGCCGCCTGGTCAAAGAGCTCAAGAGCTTTTAGCTTGTACTCCTTGGGGCTGTACCCTTTGCCATTCAGCGCCATTGGTTTGGTGCTGAGGTAATTCTCCTGAATCATCAGGTAGCTGAACTCGTGGTCGTTGAAGTACAACTCGATCTTGTCGTTGAGCGTGGCTTTGCTTGCTGGGGCAAAGAGACCACCACCGAGCATCTTCTGGCAGATATCCCACGGCTTGAGAACGACGTGTTTCTCCCATGCCTTTGACATGGACTTGCCCTGGTCGTAGCTCATCGAAGTCTGATCCAGCTTGGCAGTTGCCAGCATGTTGATGATCTGGCGTATGTCCTTGTTTGTTCCCTCGATGAGGGCATCGACAACTTGCGGAGGAAGTTTCAGGCCTTCACGGTGCGATATTGTCATGATTCGAGACCTGATCTGATCGACGGTGGGACGAATGAACTTGATATCGAAGGCGACGTGATCGAAAGGTTTCATCTTTGGCAGTCTCCGCTCGTTGCAGATGAGAATCAGAGGGACCTCGGTCTTCTTGCAGAACTTGGCCAGAGCACCGACACCACCACGGTCACCGGCTGACATGCCATCAACCTCGTCCATGATGAGCACGATGTTTTTCTTGCCCTGGTCGACCTTTTTGCCGTCACCGGCGAAGAAGCCCAGCAGCGACGTGTTGTTCATGACATCACTGACGCCGTTCTCAACAAGCTTCTTGCTTCGGGTGTCACTGGCGTTGCTCTCAATCACATCGTAGCCGGCCATCTTGGCAGCCAGGTGAGCCGCTGTCGTCTTTCCGATACCTGGAGGCCCAGAGATAATGACAGCGCGGGTGCCACCCATGCCATCAGCACCACGTCGTTGGAAATCATACTTCTTGTTCTTGGCCCAGTTCGCCAGCCAATTGGAGATCTTCTCGACTTGGCCCCTGTTGCCACAGATCTGGTTGAGCTGGGTCGGTGCGTACTTAGTCGTCCACAACTGGGCGCTGGCTGGCTGCGGCGGAGGAGGGGCGGCAGCACCGCGGGCAGAGGCAGCCTTCTGAGCCTTCTCCGCTTCAGCCTTGCGTGCCTTTTCCTCTTTCTCCATCTCCAGTGCCTGCTTCTTGATCATGTCCTCCTGCTCTTTCTGCTTTTGGCGCGCCTTCTCGGCACCGACGCCACTTCCACCATTGGCGGGCATCTTCCGGATCAGCTCGAAAAGTCCATTCTCATCAATGGTCTTGAGGCCAAGGTCCTCAATCTTCCTCAGCTTACTGGGTCCAGCATCGTCGCCAAGAACAACCCAGTTTGTTTTGCTGCTCGGGGCGCCGGTGACCTTGCCACCATAACGTTTGACAAGGGCTTGTGCCTCTTCACGGCCGATGGTCTGCAGCAGGCCAGTGAAGACGAAGTTCATTCCTGCAAGACAGTTCTCCTCGCCCTCGGGCAGCTCGGCCGCGCCAGCGTTGGGCGGAGGGCCGCTGTTTCCTCCGCCTGCACCAGCCTTTCTCCAGTCAAACTTCGCATTGGGGTCCTTGGGCGGCGGGGTGGGTGCTCGCACAGTCGGGATGTTGTTGATGATGGCCTGGATGCCTGCGTCCTCGACGCCGTTGGCCTTCTTTGCCTTCGGTGTTGCTTTCGCAGCCTTAGGCTTGGCCGGAACGGTCTTCTTGCGCGGCTTGACATCCTCCATCTCTTCGTCCTCATCGGACTCGGCTTCCGGGGTTTTGCGCTTCTTCGATCCGGCAACAGCTTTGCCATTGGAACGACCTCTTCCAGTCGCTGGCTTGACATCTTCATCCGAGTCAGACGCCTTTACAGCAGCCTTGCTGCGTGATGCGACCCTCTTTGGCTGTGGGAGGAACTCATCCTCGCTCTCTTCCTCGACATAGTCATCATTTTTCCTCTTGTGCCCTTTCATGTCGGCAGCAAAGATGTCGTCTCCGCCGTCTGCATCATCCATGTACGCGTCCTCGTCATCGTCAAGATTGTATTTGGCGTACGAGCCGGAAGCCCTCTTCTTGCTGGCAGGCTGTCCGTTACCTGTGGAGGTCTTGCTCTGAGCGGCTGGGGGAGCTGCCTTGGTGCGGGGGCTGCTTCGGACCTCAAGATTTGACTTGGATTGTGTCTTGGAAGCGGCCTTTGGGGTTGTCTGATTCTTTGTAGCTTTTGAGTTGCTTGACGCAAAGTAGTCGCTGGCTGATATAGCGACGCCTTTGACAGATGCCGGCTCTCTAAGATTGTGTCAGCGACAGAGGCTTTATTGCAAGAGGTCGCTGCACTCACGCTGCCTTCTTCTTCGGTGTCGATCTCGTTGTCGGCTTTTTGGACCTAATTTGCCATCAGAAAGTCGGTTTGGGGGACAGGAGGCGTGACGCATGGGACGTACTCGGCTACGATGGCGACATCGTCATCATCACTGTCCTCGAGCACTTTGCGACCCTCTGTAGATATTGATTAGAAAATAGCAATTCTTGAACTGAGAGTGCACCACATCAACATACTGCTGCGGCCCTTCTTTGGTGCCTCTTCGGCCTTCTTTGCGGCTGGCTTTGGTGGAGGGGCACCTTTGGCCCCGAAGAAGGAGCGAATATCCGCGGGCATGGTGACGGATGGGGGGCAACCGGGTGCTGCCGGCGATCAGTTGCTTGTGATTCTTTGCTAGAAGCTCAGAGAGACATTGCAGTTCTCTGAAAAAGAAAGCAGAGACTTTATAATCAACAAAAGACAACTCTGAAGCCTGTCAGAAGGCCAAGGCAGGCAACGAGTTGGCTGGTTTGGCTTGAGATGTGAGAGTGGAAGCCTAGGGGTCCTCTCTGCCTGTCGGGTGAAACTTTGGGGAGCTTCCAGTGATGTCGACACGCGAAGACGACGCGACTAACGTGACCACTCAATTGAAAGTGTCATCCATTAATTGAGGAGCTTAGGCGCTAGCCCGTGCTAGGCAGACAGTGGCAGATTCTGGATGCCTGAGAATTGGGGCGCCGCTTGGGTCGAGCTCCACCCCCGGTCGCAACTTTTTGAGTGATCAGACAGACACGCATAGCGCCAAAACAGATTCTTTGGTCTATGAGGAGACCGGCCTTCAACACCTGCAATTGACAACATATCAACTGCTGCAGGTGGCCACAATGAAGCACAATGCTTCGTCACAGCTCCTCCGGGCATTCCAGGGCCTGAGGATATCACCGGCAGCGACCCCCTTGCGACCTCGGGTCATCCCCGTCCCGACCTCGATCTTCACGACAGCAAGCCCATCCCCGATACTCTCCAATGTCCGAGCCTTCTCCGCTACGGCACCCGTGGCCGGTTCATGGCTCGAGCCGTTCATCAACAGGAAACGGAAGATGATGAAGGGCCGGCCCAGAGTGCCAACTGGCGGCTCTGCGAAGGGAACGACAGTCGTGTGGGGAGACTACGGCCTGCGCATGTGGGATCACCACCGCCGGATCAGCGCCAAGCAGCTCAAGGTTGCCGAGGACACCATCAAACAGAGGTTACGTGGTCAGCGATATCGTTTGTATAAGAGGGTTGCTTGCAATGTTGGTGTGTACGTCAGCGGTAACGAGGTACGTCTTTGAGGCCCCAATCATCTGGTCTTCGGGGCTAGCCTGCTGATCGAAACAAACAGATGCGTATGGGTAAGGGCAAAGGTTCTTTCGACCATTGGGCAACGAGGGTTGCCGTCAACCAAATTCTCTTTGAGATCAGGGGAGCTATCCACGAGCAAGTCGTTCGAGACGCTTTCCGCTTGGCTGGCAACAAGCTGCCTGGTACGTCGTATGACTTGCAATTGTCTCTATCTTTAAACTAACCCAGATGGCGATAGGGTTCTACGAGTTCGTCAAAAAGGGAGATGCCCCGGTTGTGGGTATCACAAAGTTGGATGGCATCACGCTGGAAGAGCTGAAGCGCCCGAGGAGAAAGCTTCCTGAGGCTGAGAAGCCATCTGTCCCTCCAACTGTGGCAAGCACACCCAGCTCTGTCCCTCCTCCATCATCATAGAATGTATCATTAGCCCTGTAGAACAGCAACAAGCATTGTGTATAATATGGCCAGAGCATGTCCTAGTATCACCTGGTCTTTTTGAGGTCATTCTCGCTGCTGGTGAACTCAGGTTAAGCAGCCTGCGAATTGAAGAAGCGAACTGCTTAAATACTGAGATATTGTTATTGATTCCACTGTTTTCTGTGTATTTTGTACTATCCAGAGCCATTCAAGTCGATATCTTAATCATGGGATCATGGGATCTTTCAGACGGTGACCAGACCCCTGCTAACACTGGTGGGTAGCCCGCACGGGCCATCGCGTTAATTGAAAGCTACTTCGCAGCTGCACTACGCGCAGCAACGCGTTCCCTCACCTCCAAAAGTCCAAGGCACATCTCAACAGCATACGGGCGTCAAAAGTCGCAGCCATGGCCCTCATAGTCGACAAGCACAGGCCGCGCTCCCTGGATGCGCTGACCTACCATTCAGAGCTCTCAGAGCGACTACGCTCTTTAGTATGTTTTTCCTTGGCCCGTTGCCTGTTGGAAAGATGCATCAGGGTGACCCCACCATGAGACGACCCAAAGGGCACGCGAACTGACATGAAGCTCTTTACCACAACTCCAGGCTCAATCCGGCGACTTCCCCCATCTTCTCGTCTACGGGCCGTCCGGGGCCGGCAAGAAGACTCGCATCGTTGCCACGCTCAAGGAGCTGTACGGCCCCGGCGTGGAGAAAATCAAGATCGACGCCCGTGTCTTCCAGACGACTAGCAATCGCAAGCTGGAGTTCAACATCGTCGCCTCGGTCTACCACCTCGAGATCACCCCCTCAGACGTCGGCAACTACGACCGCGTCGTCGTCCAGGACCTGCTCAAGGAGGTCGCCCAGACTCAGCAGGTCGACCAGTCGGCCAAACAGCGCTTCAAGGTTGTGGTGATCAACGAGGCCGACCACCTGACGCGTGACGCCCAGGCGGCCCTGCGCCGAACAATGGAGAAATACTCGCCCAACTTGCGGCTCATCCTGCTCGCCAACTCGACGGCCAACATCATCGCCCCCATCCGGTCGCGGACGCTGCTCGTGCGGGTAGCGGCGCCCACGCACGAGGAGATCTGCGACGTGCTGGCCGTGTCCGCCAAGAAGGAGGGCTGGCCGGTCGTCAAAGGCCTGCACCAGAGGATAGCGCAGGACAGCGGCAGGAACCTGCGCAAGGCGCTGTTGATGTACGAGGCCGTGCATGCACAGAAGTGAGTACAGGCTGCTGGCGACATTCACCGAGGCCGATACTGAACAGTCTTCTAGTGAGAAAGTGACCGAGAAGACGCCCATACCGCCACCGGACTGGGAGGCGTTGATCGGCCAGATCGCCAAGGAGATCATGGACGAGCACACACCGCAGCGCATCTTGCAAGTCCGAGCGAAGCTCTACGACCTCCTCACGCACTGCATACCCCCTACCATCATTCTCAAGACCCTCACCTTCAAGCTGGTGGCCGGCATCGACGACGCGCTGAAGGGCGACGTCATCAAGTGGTCCGCCTTTTACGAGCACCGAATCAAGACTGGCACCAAGGTCATCTTCCACCTGGAGGCCTTTGTTGCCAAATTCATGAGGATATTCGAGATGTATCTGATGAGCATGGACATGTAAAGCAGGGTCAAGGCGTGTTGCAGAGCGGCAAGGGAACTAGGACCCGGCCAACGGCGTTATTTGGCAGGGATCGGAATCATTCATGTATTAAAAGGAGTACCTTGGGCGAAATCATGTGCATGTTGCCTGAGCTAACGTCTTTCTAAGCGTTAGAATGGCCGAAGATAATATAAATATCTTGAAAGACACAAAGAAGCAAAGAAGAGATAAAGTCAAGATACAAGACTAACATGGAAATAGCGAGTATCTTGCAAGACTCTGTCTTATAATAATGAGTTGTTTCATTAGCTGGTACGGTGGTAATGTCACAAGCTTTGTATCTTGCACAATTGTGCTCCGCGGACCCGTCACGACACGATCGATACCTACCGCGGAATCAAACGCTTGCCGTGCCTCAATGCCTCGAAGAACATTAAAGGGGTCTGTATGGCACGATTCGAGGCCTGAGCAAGGGATTACGCCTTACGGATGATTGTCTGGATATCCGGACTACTGACCTGAAACTGTGGCAACCTTGTTGAGCTCTTAGAAGTTGTCACATAATATTCTGGGGTTCTTGCGGTTGGGACCGGGACGGTTTCCGATCCGCGGAGGTGATGGAAGCTTGCATGCAGTTCATGGCCAATTTGCTCAAGGCCCAGTCACATTTGGAAAAAAGCTTAGAATATGGAGTTGAAGGATGCCGTAGGATTCGTGAGCATGGGACAGATACAAAACTAAGAAAAAAAGTCAATTCCCGAGACTCGACTTCCCTGCATAAGGCTGCCGATTTCACCAATGGAGAATACTACGCTGCGCTCAAAGTCACCTTGCTTGTTGGTTGACATGTGCAAAGAACCTGCCCGCAACGTAGTACCGTCGCGCAAGCTGTCTCTCTGGAATCCCACCTTTGGCCCCACCAACTTACACCTATTGCGACGTTTTCCTCATCTCCCGAGTCTCATAGCATGCATGGTAAAGGGGCCAGGAGATCAATGAAGGAAGCAAAGAAGTCGTCTACGTGTACGGCGTTGAGAGCCTGCTTTCCTGGCCAGACGATTTTTTCCGGAGTCGAGTGAGAGAGCGGACGGAGGACTGAGCTGCTGTCCAACATGCACAATGCATCTGATCATCTCGTCCCCCCCCCGGTATCGCAGTGCCACAATCGGCGGCCGGGACCTTGCTTGGTCTCCGCCCTAGAGGAAAAGAATTGCCTGCGAATTATGTCGCGCATTTATGGGTGACTGGCTGGCTTGTGGTACCTACAGCCCACAATGATGGGGTACAGCAGGTTCCATTCATCGTATGTTTTGTTTGCCCCTACCTACCTAGGGAGCTAGGGAGGTTTCACGCCGGACCGGCAGCCTGGTCCGCACATTACCTCAGCAGAGGATGACGAGCCAAGCCAAGATTGTTCCATGCGACCAGTGGGGTGGCGCGCTTTCGTTCAGGGCCAGAAGGAGTACCACCTCTGCCTCTCCCAAAAGCCGCCCGCACCAAGGCACCGGCAATGTGTCAAGCTAGAACGTGCGCTATCGTGGAACTGCCCAGGAGCCGGCGAGGTGCGACAAAAAGGCTTGGTGAAAAAGAGCTTCGACTTCCGTTGGTCCAGGAGTGGATCAGGGGCCTTAGCGCCCGACCGCCAAACTCCGCAGCGACTGGAGAAACTTCAAGGTTGTTTGCCGAACTAGGCCAGACCGGGAGTCTCGGTCGCAGGGCAACACGCGGGCGGGCGCAGCGCCATTGGGAGGGAGATGAGACCACAACCACACACACACAGGACCCCGGCAAGTTGGGGCGGAAGGGAAGTTGCGTTGAGGGAGCGGATGCTGCAGAGCGAAAACGCGTTGCAGTTACCGAAGTAGTGGCTATTGGCAGCAGTTCATGTCCCCAGCCCCGGCCCTGCCTGTCATTCCGGAGGCGCCTCGGGGGGCTGCAGGCAAAGTCGGATCTCTCCGGAGTTTCATCGCTATTGTTGGTCAAAGCTGTGCTGGTCAAAGCTTGCGCAGTTGCCGTTTTTGCGGCCGGGAGAACCTGAACCAGTCGACGTCGAGGCATCAGATGCGAGACAGATGACAAGAGGACGTTACCTACCGTTGGGTGATGACGGTCCCCCAAGAGTGCCCAGAGATTTCCCCACCCCGATAGCACACGGCATCCGAGGTGTTCTACCCTTTCCGTTCATCCTCCTCGTGGTCGAGCGCCCAGACGACCAGCAACTTGCTTGGCCGAGTAAGCCCGCGGCGACGAAAACCGGTAATTGAATATTGGCATTCCGGTAGGGAGGTGGGACAAAGGTTGGCGAGTTTTCCCCGGAATGTTATCCATTCATTGTTGGAAACAATTATCAGATGGATGATTTGCCTGACGATGGCCTGCTTGCAAACCTAAGGTATTGTCCGGGAAAGAGACAGAAACAGGCAGATGGAACAGGAGTCAACGGCGGCACAGGACCAGACGGCCCTTTTTAATAAAAGTCAAAGAAAAAAAAGATGCCATAGCTCCGTCTGGTCATACTCAGTGCTGCATCTTCTACTTCGCATCTTGCACCCCGTGTAGTCAACCGTGTCGCACTTTGCACTTCGGATTACCTATATAAATGACGACGATTGACTCGATTAAGAAGGTCTTGACAGATCCTCTTCAAGTACCGGTACTTGCGTACCCCACACCCGCACCCTGCAGTCACTGGTGCATGTGTCGCAAAATGACTTTTGGCTAGAAAGACCGTCTTGGCGGGTCAAAAAGCTGGCCATGGTCATCAGCTCTTTTGCAGGGCACACCAATCATGCTTTGGGCAACACCTCCTTGAGGAAGAGGCCCTCATATCCCGTTCTGTGGTACGGCCGTCTTGCTATTGTCGCATCGTGAGCATTGGCAATGGGCAAATTCCTGGCCCGCCATCCCCCTGCCTGGGTACGGCGACAGACCAGGCCCCCAGCAGCTCCAATGAGGGCGTGATGCGGGGTTACATGGGTGAGGGGATGGTCCCCTTGGCTGTTTCTTTTGGCGGGGGACGCGGGACGTGGATGGCATGGCATGGCGGGGTTCTTAAGGATTCTGTTCAAGATGCAGATGCAGCTCGATTCTGCAGCGTCGCGCCTCTCTCACTCTCTCTCGCAAGGACAGGGTGACGAGTTGTAGCCTGCAAGTCAGCACTGGCCGCGCGGGCTGATGACGGTTGGCCCCTTATTCTTGCAGGTTGGAAAATATCTCAAATTGAACGCTGATGTACGAACGCTCGCTTCGGAGGGGGCGGCAGGGCTACCCAGCCTCCTCGTGCTCCTACCGTTGCTTACAGGCAGCGAGATGAGCCAGAAGACAAGCGAGTATTGCCCGCATTATCGGTTTCTTGGGTTGGGTGTGTGATGAGGTGTGTCTGGTGTGTCTGCACCGCCTGGCCTGCCATATCGGGGTCACTTTCTGGCAAAGCTCGGTTCAATAATACATGCCGAGCAGTCATAATTCCAAGCGCACCATTGTCTTGGAGAGTGCAACCAAATGACAGACGCCGAGATACCATCGAGATGGCCCGGCTGTCAATGGCTCGGTGTGTTGTGTCGATCAACACCCTGCAACACTGGTGGTGGCACCAATCGGGGGCGGGATGAAATCATAGCAAGGCCAGCCAGTTCTAGCTCGCAGTTTGGTGTGTGTTGACGATGGTGCACATCGGAACACAGTCGGTGCGACTCATGTGCAGTTGCGTCCTGGTCGTGTCTCAAGCCATGGGCTGATGCCAGCATTGCCAGGACACCCGTGAGTAAAGTACACGGCAAGCAGACGCTCCGCACTCGCGAGTCACCAGCTTCGATGCTGGGCCGTAGGCAGGATGACTAGCCACGGCACCTATCCATGGACACCTGGGTGTGATATCATTTCGAGGGCGGGCAGCAGACGAGCGTGGATGGATGTCCGAGGGATGATGGGAGATCCAACACCATGGCCCATGGGGCCCCCACTGCTGTGCAGCTCAGGTCCGACAGGCCCCTTGCCATGTTGTGATGGTGAAATCGATGAGGCATTGTTCATAGTGTCGGACAGACGGAATAAATCCTCTTGGGGAACGGCCATTCCTGGGTCGAGACGAGGGGGCAGTGGAAGCTACAGGGCGAAAGCACGCTACCCCGGGCCGGAGGGTAGCTGTGCCAGTGGGGTTCTGGGCCACTGCCCCCTACGTACGATCACCAACGAACGAACGCCTGGTCAGTGTCCGTCCACTCAGGTTGCGCAGAAAACTGGATGACACCCAAGACGGTGCAGGCTCAGTGCTCCCCTCCACCCATCCCCGGCACAGAAGGTACAGGTACAACAACGGTCCAGATGAATGGATGAATCGATTTGATAGCACACCCCTCGACCCGCGATTCTGCATTGGGGTTACCCGCACTCACCTCTTCTCGTTCCCTCGCTCACCCGGCCAGGCCACTCACTCGCTCCATCGACTAAGGTAGCCCAGATGGCGCCTCTCCAGACTCTAATTTTGCCATGAGACCAACCTAGATACAAAAAGCTACCTGCGACCCCGTCATACCGAGCGGTTGCCGACCTGGACCCTCTCCTTTTTTAATTATTTTTGTGCACCTCGCCCGCTTGCATTGTTCCTGTCTCACTCTCCTCTCTCTCTCACATCTTTCTTCTCTTGAGCTCTAACTTCCCACCGCAGCTCCTGCCGTGTTTGTGTCTGTCAGACGTGTGCATCATCTTTGTGATCTTTGGATACCCACCCCCCAATCGCGGCCTTTGTCTAAGCTCTTATCCTCGAAGCTATCTCGCGTGGTCGCTACCCCGCGCACCCCCCCGCCAAGATGGCTACTGAAGCTCCCAAGAACCCTGTGGTCGCAGAGGCCCATGAGGTCGACACCTTCCGTGAGTCTGGCCGAACAACCAAGATGCGTGCCCAGCAATGTCCAGGACAGTCATCGCTAAACGAACCGTCTACAGACCCCCCAGAGAAGATGCTGGCTAGTACGTTGAGCCCAAGCCGAGATCCCTTTGCGCCGCATGAGTAGCGCCTCGGCTATCTCACCGGCCTTGGCGCAAAGCTGTAGCTGTAGCTGTAGCTGTAGCTGTAGCTGGAGCTATCTATAGCTATAGCTGCAGCTCCGGCGTTGTCGCAAACCCCTTCAAGGGCCCAATTTAGCTAACAGATGTGTAACAGAGCATCCCAGCAAGCCTCATCTGAGTGGTGAGTATATCCGCGGTCTTGTTGCTCTGATCAACGACGGCTAACCGTACCGCCAGGCCTCGAGGAATACCAACAACTGTACAGGGAGTCGATCACCCAGCCCGACCAGTTCTGGGGCAAGATGGCTCGAAGCCTCCTCAGCTGGTCCAAGGATTTCCAGACGGTCCACGCCGGAAGCCTCCTGAACGGAGACAACGCCTGGTTCGTCGAGGGCGAGATCAACGCCTCGTACAACTGCGTCGATCGCCATGCCATCAAGAACCCCGACAAGCCCGCCATCATCTACGAGGCCGACGAGCCCGCCGACGGCCAGATCCTCACCTACGGCGAGCTTCTGCGGGAGGTCTGCAAGTGCGCCCACGTCCTGAAGGCGATGGGTGTCAAGAAGGGCGACACTGTTGCCATCTACCTGCCCATGATTCCCCAGGCCGTCATCGCCTTCCTGGCCTGCGCCCGCATCGGCGCTGTGCACTCCGTCGTCTTTGCCGGGTTCTCCTCCGATTCCCTGCGCGACCGTGTTCTCGACGCCAAGTCCCAGGTCGTCATTACCACCGATGAGGGCAAGCGTGGCGGCAAGCTCATTGGCACCAAGAAGATCGTCGACGACGCCCTGAAGCAGTGCCCCGACGTGCGCCATGTGCTTGTCTACAAGCGCACCGGTGCTGACGTCCCCATGACCAAGGGCCGCGACCTGTGGTGGCATGAGGAGGTCGACAAGTGGCCTGCGTACATCCCTCCGGAGCGCGTCAACTCCGAGGACCCTCTCTTCCTTCTGTACACCTCTGGCTCCACCGGCAAGCCCAAGGGTGTGATGCACACCACGGGTGGCTACCTTACCGGCGCTGCTTGCACCGGCAAATATGTCTTCGACATCCATGATAACGACCGATTCTTCTGTGGAGGTGATGTCGGCTGGATCACTGGTCACACCTACGTTGTCTACGCACCCCTGCTTCTGGGTGTTGCCACCGTCGTGTTTGAGGGCACTCCTGCGTACCCCAACTTCTCGAGGTACTGGGACATTATCGAGAAGCACCAGGTTACCCAGTTCTACGTGGCTCCCACGGCCCTCCGTCTTTTGAAGCGCGCAGGCGATCAGCACGTGCACGGCGGCATGAAGCAACTGAGGGTGCTGGGCACTGTCGGCGAACCTATCGCTGCCGAGGTGTGGAAGTGGTACTTTGAGGTTGTCGGTAAGGAGGAGGCTCAGGTCATCGACGTAAGTGGACAGAAATCACGGTTGTTGGACTTGGGAGTGACCGGCGTTATTGACAATATCTGTTTAGACATACTGGCAAACCGAGACTGGAAGCCACGTCATCACGCCCCTTGCTGGTGTGACTCCCACCAAGCCCGGGTCGGCGTCTCTCCCCTTCTTCGGCATCGAGCCGGCCATCATTGACCCTGTCTCTGGCGACGAGATTCACGGCAACGACGTCGAGGGTGTTCTCGCCTTCAAGCAGGCATGGCCTAGCATGGCCCGCACTGTCTGGGGCGCCCACAAGCGCTACATGGACACTTACCTCAATGTCTACAAGGGCTACTACGTACGTCTCACCCACTGACACCTGAGCTTTGGTCTCTGACTGACAAATCCATCGCAGTTCACCGGAGATGGTGCTGGCCGTGACCACGAGGGCTTCTACTGGATCCGCGGCCGTGTCGATGACGTTGTCAACGTCAGCGGTCACCGTCTGTCCACCGCCGAAATCGAGGCTGCTCTCATCGAGCACCACGCCGTTGCCGAGTCCGCTGTCGTCGGTGTGGCCGATGAGCTTACCGGCCAGGCTGTCAACGCCTTCGTCGCCATCAAGGAGGGCAACGCTGCCGACGATGCTCTTCGCAAGGAGTTCATCCTCCAGGTCCGCAAGAGCATCGGTCCCTTCGCCGCACCCAAGGCTGTCTACATTGTTCCCGATCTGCCCAAGACTCGAAGCGGCAAGATCATGCGCCGTATTCTGAGGAAGATCCTGGCTGGTGAGGAGGACCAGCTTGGTGATATCAGCACTGTAAGTTTCGGGGACCTGGAAAATACTACCGTGCCGCAAAGGACCGCTTACTGACACGCTTTTCTCTTACAGCTCTCCGACCCCTCGGTCGTTGATAAGATTATCCAAGTGGTGCACGAGTCCAAGAGGAAGTGATTGGCTCATATATGAAATGAAAAAAGGGACAAAAATAATAATGGCGTCATGTTCAGCAGATACCACGGGTTGTTCTTTCTTGACCACTGCAAGAAGGGGGGATTTTTTTTGAGTGCGATGATTTGAGCGTCTCATCGAGGATGCTATGACTGACATCTCACTGACTGGGAAAGGGGCCTTGGTTCCCTTCCCCCCGCCCCTATTTTCTTCATTCGAGCCTGTGGCTACGTCCGATTTGACGGACCAGGCCCTGCATCGTATCACGCGAAGATTGATTTTCCAGAAAGCAAAAATAAACGTGAAATCTAAAACCCTCCGGCTTTTCCCACCTGTGCTTTGGTTAAATCCGACAGGTCCGCGCTTTTCGCCAAGGCGCCGCCTATGCGGTGGTACGTCCCCGGTGATGGCCCCGCGAAGGCTATGCTTGGTGAGTTGCGTCGTCAGCGTCGAGGTCCTTCGGGATAACACGCGTGGCGATGGGATGGGGTCCATGCAGCGGAGTTTGTCTTTGTGTCACTGTCACCCACCGCCTGCATATGTGCTGTGGACGACGTGCAAAGCTGCATATCCTATCTCACTTGATCGTCCCGTTTCCCCTCTCGTGGCGGTGATGATGATGCTTATTCGACGGGACACCAGAAGATGGTGGATGTGGCCAACTCGAGTCCCAGTTCGTGGGAGGCCGCCCAACTGCTTTGAACAATCACGCAGAGGATGAGGAGTAGTCAGTCGGCCTCACTCACCGCTTCGGTATATCCCAACCCATCCCATCCCATCCCTACGGTCCACTCGATCCCGCTACTGTCGCCCCGCGCGGGGCCATATCATGTCGGTTCGGGAGATTCAGAGAGTTGTATCCATTGTCGTCGTCGTCCGTCGGTGGCACCCCGGAAGTCGAAAATTGCTGTTGCCTGCTTGGCACGACTGCCCGTGAGGTGAGGCCCTCGAAACGTGGACTGCGGTTGCGGCTGGGCCTGAGGAGTGGGCTCTCCGCCGGGAGCAACCTCCCATTCGACGATGTCGGTAAAAGCTGCGTTTGCTGTCGTTGCTGCGATGGAGGGCGAGGCTATTATCGGTATTGCCCACCAAATTTGCTTGTTCCGAATTGGCATATCTGTGATGTTTAGGTGTGTGTGCTTGGTGGGCCAGCCTCGTGAGTGAGAACTGGGCGGGCTAGTAGTTAACTCCAGTACTTCGAGAAGCGTCATGTTTGAAGAGTAGTCAGACGGTGTCTTTCATCTATTCATTAGAGCCCGATGCAAAGCTGTCAGGCTGCTGAAGCGCGCCTCTTTACGCGCGCCCAGACCCATGGAACGGCAGTTGGTGATTGCCGGTGTCATGGGTCTATTAATACACCAGGTAAAAGACAAGACGTTGGACTACCTTGAACTTGCTACGAAGTACTTGTAGAAAGACTACAGTCTGTATCTTCTCGCAGAACCATTCCTAGTTGGTACACACAAGCACAGCGAGGACCCTGAAACACACAAAAAGCAGCCGCGGGTCTCCACGGGGAGAGCGCCCAGAACTTGGCTGGTGCTACTGTGCGGTGACATCAACACAGGGGGCGGTGGCGTATGTGAAACGTCTTCTTCCTAAACGAGATATCGATGTCTCGTGTGTGCTCAAGAGAAGAAGAGAGATGGCGCTCATCAGTCCATCCAGTGTGCAACACGAGTTAGGGTTTCGCTCACCGATCTTTTTGCTCGATAAAACACGCGGCGCACCTACGTCCTGCCGTCATCCGTTCGACGGCAGGCAATCAATCAATCAGACACATCAGGCCTTTGTGAGAGTGCAGACATGCACACATGGGATGATCCGCTTGTCGTGTTTTGGTGAAGCACGACAGCGGCAGCGCCACGGCCGCATCGGGTCAGCGCTTAGATACATTCGCCTGGCAGTCAGAAAGGAGGACTTCCCTGTAGGCTGCTTGGCAAGGAGGCTTGGGCTGGGGTCTGGCATCGCCAAGAGTTTTACAAGTACGCAGGAGACCGAGACTGCCTACGACGACGATGGCTGAATCGCGCGCCCGATCCGTTTTGTTCGTACAGCGGTGAGGGTCGCAACAGAGGGCGAGTGCGCCTGTCGTCGGTCGGTGTTTCTCACTGTTCAGATTCAAGAAGGGTCTGCTAGTTTGGGTATTATCAAGCAGAAGCCGGCCGGGAGAAAAGTTCGGGCAGTGCATGCCATGGGATGGGAAAGAGAGTGCCGGGTCTTGCGAATAAGAGAGGCCGATGGTGGGGGACGGTTGTCCTTGGCATGCGTTAGTGCTGGGGGGTGTTTACGCAATCCCCCCGTGTCCAAAGTGGTGTCGTCAGGATGGGATGGGATGAGATCTGCCCAATAACGACCGTGACGGCCTTCACTGTTTTCTGTCGGTGATGCTGCCAAGAGTGCCGTAGTTAACTTCAGAGGCCAGAACACTTATTAGTGACAAAGAAAGGCTAGTTATCGGGTGCGCAGGATGACAAACCCTTGGAAAGGCTAAACTTCCCACGCAGGATAAGACAGGCCACGCGGACAGGGGACCAGCCAAGACCCCTAGTGAGAAAAATCAGGCTCTGCCACAGCCCTGGAAGAGGAGCACGGATTACACGGAGGCGTTTCTGGAAAGCGGAGGTCCCGGCGAACCGAATCCTCTCCTGTGGCCGACTCGTACAGCCAAGCTGACAGCCGTGGATCCATCAGATCGATCCTTGTTAGTGCGTTGAGGCTGGTGGTTAGTTAGCGGTTCAGTGGTCCTCCGTACAACCAACGTACAGCGCAGAGAATCCCCCACCCGCCGCTGTGTTGCTAAATCCGTCCCTGGCCATACATTACAGCCAACCGCCGCCCCCATCCGTCCCTGTAACAACTCGGTCGATCAACATCTTGCACTGCTGGTTGATTGATTGATTGATTGATTAATTTGCTTCTCTCTTTTCTGTCGTTCCAGTCTTTCGCTTTTCTCCGCAAGAGTGCCTCACACATCCCTTTTCTCATGGAGGCGACACAATAGGCGGCGCAGCGATCTACCTCGACAGGCTCTTCCTGTCTCTCTCTCTCTCTCTCACCCATCATCCGCCCGTCCTCCACAGAACAAACCTCCTAATCACCTACTTCCTTTAATATGCTTATCTTGAGGATAGCGGCTTGCCTCGCCGCCTACCTCTTCATCCAGACATCGATAGGTATGTAGTCATCCGATCCCGTTTGTGGCGACACCTCTGGCCGCGGTCCCTGACGGTATTGGCTCCTCCAGCGCATTCGACGCAAAGAAATCCGCTACGAAGCATCAGCCGCCTCGAAGAGCCGGTTCTCCATACTCCATCACATCGTGTCCACGCGGCTTCGACATTCGAACTGTCATTTCTCCTCCAAGATGTCCACCAGAAGGTGAGGTTATCGCTGCAGCCGAACCACGACATCCTGCCCCGTGGCGCTTCTATCCAGCATCTGAACGATGACGGGACGGTGACCATTGAGGAGATCAATCGCCACGACCACAGGATATTCCGGGGCGATACCTTCGTAAGGTATCCCGGGCATTCGGAGTGGACCAACGTCGGATGGGCGCGAATCAATGTTCACCGCGATGGAGACAAACCCGTGTTCGAGGGCGCATTCCGGATCGATGGAATACAGCATAACATCCATACAGTTGCGCATTACCGCGAGGACAGACTACGGGGCGATCCCGAGATACTGGGGCAGGCGGATGACCAGATGATCGTTTGGCGCAACTCGGATATCATGAGAAACGACGACGCGAACCTCCCGGACGAGTTGAAGAAGCGAGGTACGACGGGCCCCTCGTGCACTTCGGATCATCTGGACTTCAACATGGACAAACGCCACCCCGTCTACTCGACGGACCAAGTGACCGACGACGGATACCAGTCCATCCCCGCGCGGTTCCTTTTCGGCCGAGACATCGACCAAGGAACCAGTGGCAACGGAGCGGGCGTGAACCTGGGCTCGACCATCGGCAAGACCGCCGGGTGTCCGACCACGAGAAAGGTTGCTCTAGTAGGTGTCGCGACCGACTGTACTTATACGGCCAAGTTCCCCTCCAAGGCGAACGTGACCGCCAACATCATCCAAGTCGTCAACACTGCCTCTCAGCTGTACGAGAGCACTTTCAACATCTCCCTGGGGATCCAGAACCTGGTCATCAGCAACGAGACATGCCCCGGCACACCCAGGCCGGATCGACCTTGGAACGTCGACTGCAAGGGGGGCCAGGCGTTGACGATGCTCGACAGGCTGAACCTGTTTTCCAAGTGGAGGGGCCAGTCCACCGACAACAACGCCTACTGGAGCTTGTTCAGCACGTGCAGCACCGACACGGCCGTGGGTCTCGCCTGGCTCGGCCAGCTTTGCGTCCAGGGATCCCAGGACGACACTAGCAACGGCAGGAACCAGACGACAGCTGCGACCAACATCATCATCAAGACCGCGGAGGAGTGGCAGGTCTTTGCCCACGAAACTGGCCACACCTTTGGCGCGGTCCACGACTGCGTCTCGCAGACCTGCAGCGACGGCACCGTGACGAAGCAGCAGTGCTGCCCGCGGAGCGCGAGCACCTGCGACGCCGGAGGAGGTTTCATCATGAACCCGTCTACGAGCCCGGACATTTCGAAATTCTCCCCCTGCAGCGTGGGCAACATCTGCTCGGCCCTCCAGCGCAACAGCGTCAAGTCGACGTGCCTCAGCAGCAACCGGGACGTCGTGACCATCAGCGGCGCGCGGTGCGGCAACGGGATCGTCGAGGCCGACGAGGACTGCGACTGCGGCGGCGAGGCGGGCTGCGGCAGCAACTCGTGCTGCGACCCCAAGACGTGCAAGTTCACGGCGGGCTCCAGGTGCGACCCGGCCAACGAGGAGTGCTGCACCCAGTCGTGCCAGTTCGCGTCCAACGGCACCCTGTGCCGCGCCAGCACCGGCGCCTGCGACCCGGCCGAGACGTGCAGCGGCTCCTCGGCCCTGTGCCCGGCCGACGTGACCGCGCCGGACGGGCAGGCCTGCGGCGACGACGGCAAGGGGCTGGCGTGCGCGTCGGGCCAGTGCACGAGCCGCGACCTGCAGTGCAAGACGCTCATGGGCTCCTTCACGACCAACAACGACACGTACGCCTGCGGCCAGGACGGCTGCCAGCTGAGCTGCGCCTCGCCCGAGTTCGGGCCCCGCACGTGCATGAGCAACATGCAGAACTTCCTCGACGGCACGGGCTGCGAGGGCGGCGGCAGGTGCAAGAACGGCAAGTGCCAGGGCTCGTCGCTGGCGCGGGAGATCGGCGACTGGTTCTCGCGCAACAAGAAAATCGTCATCATCGTCGCCAGCGTCGTCGGCGGCCTGGTCGTCATCGCCATCCTCAGCTGCTGCATCTCGTCGTACCGCCGCCGGCAGCGCAGGCCTCGCAAGGGCGTCGTCCCGCCGCAGCCGCAGCCGCCTGCTGGCTGGAACTCCTACGGCAGTAACCACCCGCCCGTCAACAACAACAACAACCGCTGGGCCGACCCGCGCATGACCGGCGGGTCGGGCCCGCAGCCGCTGCTGGGCCCGGACGGCGGGCAGTGGGGCGGTGGTGGTGCGCCGCCGCCGCCGCCGTCGTATTACCAGGCTGACCAGCAGTGGGGGCCGCCTAGGAGGCAGACCAGCGCGCGGTGGGCTTGATAAGAGCAGCGTGCCCGGGAGAGAGGAGGCAGAAAGAAGAGAGAAGATAATTGTTGTTTTTTTCCCCCACGGCGAACGCTTTACATATAACAGACACACACACACACACATATATACATATATCAAAACGACAACGACGAAAGCCTCCTCTGGTAGGACCTCATGAAACGGGGAGATGGGTCATCAAGGGCGGGGGGGATCCATTTACTGTTTTTTTTCTCTCTCATGTTGGGCATATATCAACGCATGCAAGGACCGAGAGCATGCTTCGTCTGGCGGGGGAAAAAGGGGGATCCGTCCGCTTGCAAGCAGGAACAGGCGAAGCTCTGATAACAACCTCATTAGTGGTGTTTGGCGCTCATCTCATCTGATATTTTTTCTTTTCTGTTATTGGAAGGGGTTTTCTCCCCTCGCGTCACTCAGGATGGGAAGGACATCTAACATCGGTCACAACGGATTTGGGGTCTGCGGATAAACTCAGGCACGGAACGGCATCAAAGCATCGAGCTGCTTCGTGTGTACTTTTTGGGTGGTGCTATGAATTGCATCGCCTCATCGTCGTCCTAGTTATAGAGAGAAATGCATACATTGTAACACCGCTATAGCTGGCGCTTGATCACGAACTTGGTCGTAAAAGAAGGGAGCGTGAACAGATGGAACTCTTGTCCGCGCACCAGGACCAAGACCGGCCACTCCTCGGCGCCATCCTCGCCGCCATCATTGCTGCCCTTGCCGACGACCTCGGTTTGCTTGCCGCCATCACCCGCAACAGCTGCCGATTCCATCGCAGCAGGTACATTCACGGAGCGCGCGCCCCCGGGAATGTACCCTGCCTAGGCGTGAACATTCCTGGTGCCGACGTCGCTCCGCCGAAATCCGGCGGCCACGGCGGTCCTAGCCGGGGCCTGTGGCTGCTGCGCCGAAGCCTCCTCCTCCTCCTCGTAGCCGCACATGATCTTCATGAAGTGCAGCCTCGTGGCCGGGATGCTCTGTGTGTGTGTGTGTGTGGTCAACATTGCACGTCAGGTGAGGGGGACTCGAGAAAGTTGGCCAGCCACGTGAACGAAATATCAAAAAAGGGGGGGGAAAAAAAGAAAAAAAAACAAGATGGAAGGGAAAGGAAAAGGGGGGTGGGGGGGCCTTACGTCTCCGCGGCTCTGCGCGTACATCATCAGCAGCTCGGGGCTGTCCAGCACGGCCATGGCGTTGCGCCTCCTCTCGGCCTGCGCGAAGGGCTGCTGGTCCGGCTGGTGCCGTTGCTGTTGCGGCTGCGGGAAGTGCTGCTGCTGCAGGTAGTGCTGGTGCTGGCGCCGCGATGGACCGCGCCGTGCCGAGAAGCCGTACATGGAGTAATCCGAGTCGTCGTCCTCCTCATCGTCCTCGTCATCCTCGTCGTAGTCGTCGTCGTCGTCGTACCCGGAGGCCGGGACGGCGTCGTGGTTGGTGCGGTAGGGGTCCTTGCCGCGGGCCTGGCGGTCGCGCATGGCGGGCGTGAATGACGAGAGGGGCTGGTTGGCGGCGGCACCGGCGTGGTGGCTGGACCGAGAGGAGCAGAACGAGCTGAAGAGGCCTGAGGAGCTGGACTGGGGAGACGGGCGGTAGCTTCCTCCTCCTCCTCCTCCTCCTCCTCCCGCTCCTCCTGTTGAGGGCGCTGGGGTGGATGGGCCGGCGGACATGGTGTGTGATGGTGATCTTAACGTTGGGCGTGATCAAGAGTGAGTGCCAGTTGGGGGGGTAAGGGAGCAAGCTGGGGTATGACGGCCTGCTCGGAATGATGATTGATGTGATTGATGTAGACAAAATGCTGGATAGGAAGAGGACAGAGCTTGTCAAAGTAAAGCTGAGGTCACGCGTTGGTGGGTGTGAACTCTCTTGTTTAGAGTAGTCAAGCTGAGAGGCCGAATGCAGTGCAATCAACGTGCCAGACAATAAAGGGATGAGCTGGGACAACGCAAGAACTGCTGTTAACTGTTGTTGAAGAGGTCTGATGATGTTTGGTCAATCAGAGGTCTTGGTTGACTCGACGCAGGAACAATGGCATTGTGTGGAAGTCAGTCACTCGTCCTCGAGGTCGACTCGATCAGCTCTATAAGAAAAATGTGGGGTCTAGCCCCGGCTGGTCACGCCTCCTCACTGACTTGGTGATTCCTCCTCTTCCAAGATGTCTCACTTCCAAGATAAGAAAACATGCAAGGCTGCTTTTCCATAAAAATACCTAATCTGGCACCTCTAAATAACCTCACCATGCCATAAGCCAGCCAACTTGATCCTCACGGATGTGTCCCTTAGCCCAGCCATTACATCAACTCGGTCAGTCCCCTCGAGCATCACTTCTGAACCTCCAAACCGAATGGTTGATCCCCCTCACGACTGCCACCTCAGCATGGTCATGGACAGCTTCGTAAACACGGCCTTGCCCTCGCCGTTCCACTGACTCTTCTCGACGGCCACCTCCTGCTTGTCCTCGACGTTGACCGAGTCGGCGCGCGGGCCCGTGATGTGGTAGACCTTGACGGGCGCCTTGATGCCCCTGATCTCGGCCTCGAGGTCCTGCGTCTCGCTGATGTTGACGACCACCATGCTGACCATGCCGCCGTCGTCGACGCTGGCGCTGACGTCGAGCCACGGCGCGCCCTCCTCGAGCACGCCCTGCAGCCAGGCCGGCTGCGTCTCGCCGCGGTAGCTGCCGCACCGCACGTGGCACCCGAGCGTCCAGCCGCGCATGTACTTGCTGAAGAGCAGCAGCGGCCACCACGTCGTCTGCCTGGTGACGCCGTCCCGGCTCGTCATGAGCGGGCTGATGACGTTGACCGTCTGCGCGATGTTGGCCATGCCCAGGTGCCGGCTCTGCCGCACAAAGACGTTGAGCCACACGGCCACGGCCAGCGCGTCGGACAGCGTGTACCGCTCCTCGGCGCCCTCGTCGCCCCGCGCCCGCTCCGGGTCCCACACGTTCCACTCGTCGAAGCAGATGCGCGTCGGCGGCTTGGAGGGAGGCACCTTGTTCTCGATGCGCGCCACGTCGATGAGGGCCGCCGCCGCCTGGATGGCGCGCTCGGCGCTCAGCGGCGCCGTCACGTTGCGCAGGTGGTCCTTGGCCGCCGTGTAGATGTGGATGCTGTGCATGTCGACCGAGCCGACGCACTCGTGCAGCACGTGGTGGTCCCAGCTGCTCGTGCCGTCCTGCCCGCACAGGACCAGCACGATGTCCGGGTCCAGCAGGCGCAGGGCTTTGGCCCACTGGAACGCCTTCCTGGCGTAGTCCTCCTTGGTCGCCTGCTCGACCTGCCAGGGGCCCCAGACCTCGTTGCCCAGCGCCCAGTACCGGACGCGGTAGGGCTCCTCGCGGCCGTGGCGCCGGCGCAGGTTGGCGTAGTGCGTGTCGCGCGTGCCGTTGCAGTACTCGACCCAGGCGAGCGCCTCGTCGAGCGTGCCCGTGCCCATGTTGAGGCAGATGTAGGGCTCGACGCGCTGCTCGCGGCCCTCGCCGAGCGCGTCGAGCCACCGCATGAACTCGTCCGTGCCGAACTGGTTCGTCTCGGTGCCCAGCCAGGCGAGCTCCGGCCGCGACGGCCGCTGGTCCCGCGGGCCCACGCCGTCGAGCCAGTGGTACGTGGCCACGAAGTTGCCGCCCGGGTACCGGATCACGGGGATGTTGAGCTCCCTCAGCGCCTTGATGACGTCGGTCCGGAACCCGTTCTCGTCGGAGAGCGGGTTCCCGGGGTCGTATATGCCGCCGTATATGCAGCGTCCCATGTGCCTGGGGCGCAGAGTTAGAACCATCCACGTAGCTGGTGTGTCTGATACATGGTCTGCACATACTCGGTGAACCCTCCATAGATCATAGGGTCAATCTTGGACAGCTTCTTCAGGGCGTCCACCTCGATGACTGGCGTCTCGCCATCGTCAATTCTCGTAAAGGTTGTCATTGCTAGGTACACTCGCTACGCTTGCTCGAAGAAGAGAGAGAACGGTTGTCTGATATCACAAAGAGTCAGGCCAATAGCGGGCAAGAAGCAGCCAGGGTTCGACGGACAGATGCACAATGATCTCAGATGGCAACCTTGGAACACAGTTTGTGTGCGAGTGTGTGTGCCCCCCCCCTCGAGGCTCGAGAATGGCCCGGACTACCACGCGGGCTTTGCTGGGATGGAAAATCAGTTCTCTTAGCTCTCGCTCGCCGGGTTTGGCAGGCCGAACTATCGTCTGTCGTCTGCTCCGCAATCGTCCCAGTTCATGCGGCAGTTTGCGATGCATCTCGCCGTCCCTAAGGAGGAGTACCAAGGAATGATGCAAGCCAGGGTGGCGGACCCTCCCTCGGGGGGGCGCTGCCTCGAACGGCGATTGGCGCGCATATGCGACTTACACCAAGAGCTCCCCCTCCCCCGGCATGGTGACGGCACTTGTGCTTAGACAATCGACTTTCTTCCCCCCGCGTCGCGAACACATGGAGCTGCTGCCCGTTTTCGCCTGACCCCACTGTAGCTCGATCTGATGGCCCCGTCTTCCCCGGCTTGGACTGCCATTCCTGGGCAGACGCCATGGACAGGCCAGCTCGTGATACGAGGAGGAATTCATCCATTCCCAATTGCCAACCTCAAGCCGCGACCCGGTTTCTGGGAAATGATACCCCGAACGAACGGACGGCGCAGTCTGAAACCTTATGACTCTTTAGCTCGCAGCGTTGCAGGGCCGTTCATTCAATGGACTCTCTCCGCACGACTCCAAACTCCGACATGCAGTGGGACCTGGGACCGCTTGGGGGAAGGAGGAGGAGCAAGAGAGGACTCCTCGGCAACGTTGAAAGATCACGTACAAAGTGCAAACCCCCTCGACCAGACTAGCGAAGGGGATCGGGTTGCGTTCCGTCTGCGATGCCCATGTGGTTGGCCCAAGCGAGGCCCCCAGGATCCCCGGCGTAAAGAGAAATGATTGCCGCCATTGTGTGTTGATGGTTCACATGTCCCCCCAAAGGTGAATTCCCGGCCCTCTTTGCCGCCAAGATGCATTTGGCATATATATATATATATATATACCAGAACAATAAAATGTAACCTCCCCCAATTGCTGTCGCCAACCTGGGTTTGTTTACTTTTAACACCTGGGCTCCGTCCATTGTCGACTTGCACCCCATTGCTCTGGTACACTTTACACGAGAATACTTTCAAAGCCCTTTCTTTGCCAGAGTCGGACAACTGTCGCCATGCCTCTGAAACCACGGGTCTACCAGGTAATGCTTCCGTCTGGGTTTTTGCAATTTCCTCACCCAGCTGCGCCTGGCAATTGCTTCTCTTTGGCTAATGTCGGTGACGCTGCCGCGTAGTTTCTGGTAGGCGTCTTCGCCTCGATGGGCTCCGTCCTGTTCGGCTACGATCTCGGTGTCATCGCCGAAGTGGTGGCGAGCGAGTCTTACCACACCTTGTTCCACCCCAACGAGGACCAAACGTGAGTCTTGGCCAGGCTTTGTGGTGACCTGTCGAGATCAAGAAAAGCGCCATTCGCGGATTCACTATTCCGCCCAGCACGATCCGGTCGTGATACGCGCCACTCTTGACCATTCCCCGTCACAATGACTTACAGAGACAGTTTTGGCTAACGGATGGTAATTGTCTTGCACAGCGGAGTCGTGGTCAGCCTCTTCACGGGCGGTGCCTTCTTCGGAGCCTTCTTCGCCGGTCCCTCGGGCGATTGGTTCGGACGTCGCTACACCATCGTCCTCGGGAGCTTGATCTTCATCCTCGGCGGTTGCCTCCAGACGGCCGCGCAGTCGCTGGCATATCTCTGGGCTGGTCGGTGTCTCGCCGGAGTCGGCGTGGGTTTCTTGACTATGATTATCCGGTGAGTACTCTCTCCGTCTTACACAGGACTCCGGAACCTTGGACGGCGGTGTGCTGATGCTAATCGCTTCCCGCAGTGAGTCTTGAAATCTTGCTTTCCACAGGCAGAGACAGCTTTATCCACCAGGGGCTGACACATAAGATCCCACACCGCGCAGCTGTCTACCAGGGAGAGATTGCACATCCCGACATCAGAGGCCGAGTGACTGCCCTCCAGCAGTTTTGTCTGGGCATCGGTACGTCTAGCCACTAGAAACACCCTCAGCTCTAGAAACCACCCACGTCCCCACTGCATGCATAGCCTAACATATATCTTTTCACCTTACAGGCGCACTCGTCGCCGGCTGGATCAGCTACGGCACCTTCAGGCTCCACGGCTCGGCGCAGTGGCGGATCCCCCTGGGCATCCAGCTCGTCCCGGCCGTCGTGCTGGCCGCCCTCATCCTGTTCTTCCCCGAGAGCCCCCGCTGGCTGATCGACCACGGCCACTCGGAGAAGGGCCTGCGGACGCTGGCGAGGCTGCACGCCAACGGCAACGTCGACGACGCGTGGGTGAGGGCCGAGTATGCTCAGATCCAGGTATGTGCCCACCCCCACCCCCTCCAAGGCTTCGGCAGAGCTCAGGGGCGGGGAAGACTGATACAGTCTCGAATTGTCTGTAGGAATCCATCACCTTTGAGCACGAGAACGAGGCCAAGAGCTACAAGGAGCTCTTTACCAACATGTTAGTCCGCCCCCCCTCCCTCCCCATGTGTATGTGAGTGGGCACGGGGTGTGCTGAGCCCGCTGGCAGCTCCTCCTTCCGCCGCCTCTTCATCGCCTGCGCCCTGCAGGCCTCGGTGCAGATGACGGGCGTCTCGGCCGTGCAGTACTACTCGGTCGCCATCTTCGGCCAGATCGGCATCGACCCGGACAGCGCCCTCAAGTACCAGGCCATCAACAACGTCCTCGCCCTCGTCGCGCAGGCCATGTGCATGCTCTTTGTCGACCGCCTCGGCCGCCGCCGCCCGCTCATCGCCGGCAACCTGTTCAACTGCCTCACCTTTATCATTGCCACCGTCCTGATCAGTACGTCGTTGAGCTGTCTTGCTTGCTTTCCCCCCTTGCTCCCTTGACCTGCCGGTCGTCGGCCCACGGAAAATAATAAAAATTGCTGACCCCTTTTTCAACGTCTGAAACAGCCCAGTTCCCTCCCGACACGAAGCAGAGCGGCAGCGCAGGCTGGGGCTTCATCATCGTGTGAGTAAAGCCCCAGTCTCGAGATATAGTTCCTCCGAGACACAAAAGCGACGGTATACTGAACACTGACACAAAACCCTCCCCCTCCCGTGTGCAGGACATGGCTCTACAACATCTCCTTCTCCGCCACCTGCGGGCCCCTCTCGTGGATCATCCCGGCCGAGATCTTCGACACGCACACGCGCTCCAAGGGCGTCTCCATCGCCACCATGACCTCGTTCGCCTTCAACACCATGATCGGGCAGGTCACCGACAAGGCCATCCGGCGCGTCGGCTGGCGCTACTACCTGCTCTTCGTCGTCTGCAACGCCACCAACGCCCTCTTCTTCTGGGCCTTCCTGCCCGAGACCAAGCGCCTGCCCCTCGAGGAGATGAACTACCTCTTCACCAACGCGCCCTGGATCGTGCCCGGCTCCGACCGCGCCAAGTACTCGGCCGGCATGGCGGCCGACATCGAGAGGCGCGCCGGCGAGCTGCGCGAGAAGGGGGCGCACGAGGAGCTGGCGGAGGGGCACTAGAGAGAGAGAGAGAGATAGCGATGATGCTCGATGGTGGTAGGGGGTAGGTCTGTGGTGGTGAAAAGAGAGAGACAAGAGGTGGGATCGGAGACGTTGGACGAGAGATGCTGGGGATGTAGGAATTAGAGGAGAGATGGGCGGGGGCAAAAGGCCGTTGATGTTCTGCGCTGCAACTTCCAAGACCTAGGAACAAGCAACAAAGTAATCTAAATCACCTTAATCACAAAGCCCTTCCGACAGGCAAATGTCAGTCAGGTAGTGGTAATTGTGGACAGCAAGCCTCAAAAGCGTGCTGCACCTTGAATTCTTCGCTATCACAAAAAGACAAAATCAAATGATGTATGTCCTGGCTGAATTCGCACGTAGAATGACCAAGTCCGGTCAGCTGAAAACAACGCCTTTTCCTCCCTCCCTTCCGAAAAAAAAAGACCAGACACAACAAACCATAAGAGTAGATGTATCTCTTGTGTATGTGCGACAAAAGAAACGACCGTTGCTGGCTGCCATGCCAAGAGGATATCCTGCCCCAAAGGATGGAAACCCCAGTCCACACAGCTCAGCCCGGCCTCGTCATTCCTGTCGATATTGTCGGTAAAAGTACACGGCGTAATGGTGACTGCGCCAATTTGTCGAAAGAACATGCTTCGTACAATGCGCCGAGCCTAGGCGAATCCTTGATCATCATTCCGGAGCTGAAAGGTCGTCATCATGGCCCGTACGTCGCTGTCGTGATGCAGCATCACAATGATATGAGTCGGTGTATTTGACAGACGCAGTAAGAGAGATGGAAAGCGATGTATGTTCGAACAGTCGCCTTTCTGTCTTTACCGGTATTGATTATTGCGATCTGTCTCGATCGGAAATCATCACCTGAAATTGATGACAGCCAGCTATACACGTTCAATTGTCAGTAAAAGCACTAGCTAGTGTCAAGGCAGTGAAGCTAGCAGCTGCCACTAGTAGAGGGCAGGTTAGCAACATACCCGGCTGTTGGCGCCATAAGCCAGCTTTTGACCGTTTGCATCCCAACACAAGGAATAATGAGTCTCCTCCACTTCCGAGTCGCTGTCCATCTTAGGACTGAGCCAGCCCGGGTGGGGTGCCCTGCTCCAGCTGGCTCGGGGTATCGCGTGGTCGCCAACCTTCCAGATGAGGACTCGGTCTGTCGTGGCACCGGCAATAAAGGCACCGTCAGGGGTGAACGCTAGGGCGACGATGGGGAGGTCTGTGTCCATGGTCATTGAGCACTTGGGCTTGTTGTCGGGTTGCCGCGCGTTCCAGATCGAGATGGCGCCGTCTTCACCCCCGGAGGCAAGTAGCCTCTCATCATCGGCAGGGTTGGACTCGAGTGGTTGCCACATCATGGCGGTGATGACACCGACGTGGGCCGAAATGGAGCGGCGCTGACCTGTCGCATCCCAAAGCTATTCGATCGTCAGTAAAACCCCCACGTTCCGGCACATACTTTCATTGGTTGTGTGGCTTACATCGATCACACCCTTTTCACTCGCCGTGGCTGCAAGTTTCGATCTCCAATCGAATTGCACCATGGCAAAGCTGTCGTCTTTCCGAGTGTCGAATTGCCTATTCTCGACAATGGTATCCCCCGTGTAGCGGAGAGAGATGAGCAGCTCGCCGCCACACAGGAGGAACTCGGTCTCGCTGGTCCAGGCGGCGTCCAGGGGAGGATCCTGGCCGAGATCGTGGTGGGGCAACGAGTAGGTGGCGGTGGTCGAGGTGGTAGAGGAGAAGATGGTGACGATAGCACCGCCGTTCTCGGGCGATATGGCCAAGATGGACATGTTGTTGGGGTTCCACCGCAGCTTGAAGATGGGGGGCTCCTGGACATTGAAGGTGGTGATCTCGGTGCCGTCAGCGCCCCAGATGCCAATGTGGGCCTGGTTGGCGCCGGCCTCGGTGGCGACAGCAATGGCAGAGCCGTCCCAGTTCCAGGCCATGGCGGTGACGGTGGCATCGCGCGGCAACGAGTCCTCGACGAGGCTGTTGAAGGGGCGGTTGACGCCGTTCACGTGATCCGCGGCAAGCTCAGCGTCGGTGGCACGAGAGACGGTCCAAACGCGGGCTAGCGCATCTGTTCCGGCAGCCGCCAGGATGGATGGGTCCCTGGGGTTCCACTCGCAATGCAGAACAATAGGGTTCTCGTTAGCCCGCAAAGCTGACGTTTCCGCCCCTGTAGCGGTCCCTGTCGTCGCCGCCGCCGCTGTCGTGGTCGCTGTCGCTGTGGCTGCCGCCGTTGCTGCTGCTGCTGATGACGACGATGACTCGTCGGGCGTCAGGCTGAGAAAGATGGTTTCCGTGGTGAGCTCTTCGACCTTGTCGATTTGCGTGCCCTGGTCTGGGCCGTCTGTGTTCCTGAGGGTGGGAGTCTGGGCGGGCTCGCCTTCCATTGGCGAGGGGTACGCGTGGTTGTCGGCGTGGCTGTCAATTTCCATGGGGGTGATGGCTGATTCCGCCCCATTCTCAAACCCGCCGTTACTCAGTCTTTGCCGCTTGGCGGGCGACCCGTTGGCCAGCGGTGCTTGCTGCTTGTCAATTTGCCGTTTGCGCGACTGTTCGACATCCTCAACCAGTGCAGCCGCTGCTGCCGTCGTCTCAGCGACAGCTTCCTCCTCCTCCTCCTCCTCTTCCTTGTGCTGCACAGGTGGCTGCACGACTAGAGGGCCAAAGACGCCCCGTAGTTCTTCTTCGGTAGGTGCCGCCGCATCATGGGCGACCTGCAAAAAAGCCGTCAGTGCCAGCACACACTACACACATGCCTCACACACACCCTCAATCCCGGCACCAGCAGATTTTTTGAGATGCAACGAGAGGTCGCGAAAAAGCTGTCCACCTCATCTCATCGTCGTAAAAATGCAGGCGGCAGCAGATTGAGGTGACCGACAAATCTCATCTTCGCGCATGCGGGATGAGAGTCGGGGTGGCGCGCAGGCGCGTGCAAGCAGATGCATGACATACCTGTGATTGGGAGTTGAACTCGCGCTCAAGGGAGTGATACAGCAGTCCTCGATTGATGACCGAGACTAATGCATGGCTCTTGACGTGAGGCGCAAATTCAAAATGCCGATGAGGCTCTTGGATGTGCCACTCCTTTTGAAACTTGGCGGCTGTCTCTCGATAATCTGTGTGGGAGAGATGGTAGGCGCGGTCAGTTTCCTCAGCTCTCACAAGTATGCGTGCAAACCTTGAGATGACCGTATCGGGCCAAGTGTGGGAGAGGGCGGCGGCGGCGGGTGATCACATACTTGCTTCTAAAAGATATCTAAGGCGCACGAAAACGTTGCAAAGTCAGCATCTACCGTGTCTAGAACGAGACCGAAGAGGACCCGGGCATGGCAGGGCCTGGCCTGCACCGCTGGTCCTGCGTGTCGTCGTGACATGAGGGTGAAGGGGGGCGAAAATGAGACGGACCTCCAGACGAGAAAATTGACCCTGTCCGAGTCGAGAAACTCCTTCATTGTCGGAGCACCAGGGCAGAGTCGGAGACAACGAGTACGTAGAGGCGCTCCAGGGCGAGAGAGCGAGGGCCCGGCGTGTTCGGGCAGACGTAGAATGCGGTGTTTGGATGTTGAAGAATGGAGAAAGGAACATTCGACGAGGTAGAGTAGCGGGAAGGGAAAATCAATCCTCGAAAATGGATGTTGTTTTTAGGCGACCCGGGGGACCACCTTGGACTCTGGACCGGGGCTGGCCTGGGCGCCAGGCAAAGAAGAGACAACCTTAGCTCCAGCAGTCGGTAGGGGTGGAGGATGCAGCGATGCTGGTTAGGTTCATTCGCCAGAGAGATGGGACACACACACACACGATGGGACTTTGCGTGCGCTCTGAGAGAGGGAGGGAGAGAGATGGGACGGCCACGGGAGACGCAGAGACACGCCCTTGCTCACAAATCCCCAGCGTGCCTAGGTACCTTTCTTAGCGTCAAGGTACCGGGGGAGCCACACCCACTAGACCTGGACCGGACCAAGATCTGATGACGGGCCACTCCCAAGTCCCTGCTTTTGACCTCCTTTCTACTCTCTCTTCTCGCTGCTGAAACTCGCGACTGGGAAGCCTGGGGGTTCTTAAAAGTCAGGAAAATTGAGTCAAGAAGAGTGGCTTTTCAAAGAGCCCCAAATCAACGCGGCTTTGGCTGCTTTTTGCAGTGAGAAAGGGGGCAGAGATCGAGCGCGCGGGTTATGCGGGAAAAGAGACCAAGAGATGAAATCGAGAAGAGCAGCCATGTCGAGCCATCTCGTGCCCAGCAAAACGGTACCTACTGCCTGCTGTCGTTGCGCTAGGATGGATGGGGTTTTAGCTGGTAGGGCCACAGCTTCGAGATCCACTGCTGCCACAGGAGTCCCTGCAAACCAAGCCCGTCTCCCCCCCGTTCCGCCCATCGTTTCCCACACCCACATTCACCCACCCACTCTCAATCAACGAATGCAATGCCTGCTTGCCTCTGGCTGCTGCTGCTGCTGCTGCTGCTGCTGCTGCTGCTGCCGGTCCTCTGAGTCCAATGCCAGATTTCCCATCTTGCCCGCCGCCAGCCAGTCACCGTCGGTTTTTAGTGGTTTCGCCCACACCAAGACGAGCCAGCGGCAAGGTACCGTACGCTTAACCCGTAACGTTCATGTCTCTCTTTGGGGAACGTACCCCGGTCATCGATTAAACCCCGGCTGCACAAAACGCAGCACGACACATCCACAAAAGACAAGAAGCCTTGGAAAAGAAAAGCGCCAAGTGCCCCCCCAAGTGTGCACAAGAAATCGCAAGGGAGAGAGAGGCAACCAATATCCCAGCACTCTTGTCTACCTACTTGTACATTAGTCTCCATCTCTTCGTACAGTACTCCGGACATGCACAGACACACACATGCGCAGCGGTAGAGGCCGCAACTCGTATCACTTTGCCCTTTTGGGCCAGCCTCATCGATCTTCACTCCATGCAGCGCCAGTCCAACATTATCGCACTCTTCAAATCTACCTGTTTTCCCCACTCCCTCACAGTCCTTAGGCTCTCCGTTTTTGTCTCACCGCATCACAGTGTACCTACCTGTCTTGTTGGGTTGGCCCCCTTTACAGTTCACATTCGGACAGCGGAGAGGTGGCCCGCATCCATCATCTCCTAGCAAACCTACCGATCAACTTGCTTCGTCCCTCCCTATATTCTGTGTGATCTGGGCCACTGCACTCCGTCCACAGGCGAGAGCAGGCATTCACGAGGGCCCACGATGCTACGAAGGACGTACAGCCCAAAGTGATGCTGTCCCGGAGAAAGATCGCAAAGATTGTTTCACCTCGCCCAGCATGGGTTCTGAAGAGCGGGTCGTGCGGAAGGATCGTTTGATGTTTTAAGGCGCCACTACGGAGTACACACAGGAGAGTGGGAGTGAGTGGGAGTGAGTGGTAGTGAAAGCAACCATCGTCGGCTCTTCTTGACCTGGAAGACACACACACACACGCCGCCAGAATGGGCTAGCAGAGTCAGTTCCCCCCAGCCACGGTACCCGCTACTACTTGGCCAGCTCCCCAGAACGGCACTCACCCGCTACCAATGACGGGACACATGGCGTCTCATCAGGTCACGCAAGCAGGCAAGCCAACGCGCGGAGACAAGAACCTGGGCCAAGTGGGGCGGCGGCGTGCAGCGTGCATGCGGATTTTCCCAAGCACCCAATCCAATCTGGCTGGATCTCGAGAGGTACGGTACGTACCGACATTCGAGAACAGGGAAAAGGCCTCTTGTCTGGCCCTGCAGCGGCGGGCTTTGTACATGCATCCGATACACTCAACTTGCCTGAACCAGGCGGTCAACTCGACCTGCTGGCCTTTCGATAAGCACTCCATAGCGGGCCACACTTTTGACCTTGACCGGTCACAACCCGCTTGCCTGCCATCAGAGGCCGGATAACCCTGTAGCGAACTGGAGATTGGACGGCGGCCCGAGATCGACCACTGGTCACCTGCGTATCTGCGGGATCTGCCTCGCGTAAAGACACGATTGAGGCAAAACCTTGAAGTTCAACCCAGCGTGTGCTGGCCCGTTCTGGATTCTAGCTCACGAAAGGACCAACAGCACGGTCCAGTGACGCAAAGGGGATACTGGTCGCATTCATACGGATGCATCTTGGAGGAACAATTACCGCCTTGTCGTTTCCAAGGGCAAAGGTATCCTTAGGGTTTTGGTATTGCGTGCGTAGTCATACGCTCCCTGCAGACCGACCTTCATTTGCCTCCACACACCCGTGTCCGTCAACCTGCCTTTGCCTACCACCCTACGAAGTAACTAGGTGTGCGGAGGGTAAAGTGGCTGGCTCATCCAGAATGGAGACACGCGCGACAAGACAGGCATACGTCCTGCAAGGGTGCCGTGGCACCGGGGTTTCCTGTGAGGATCTCATTAACGAACCCCTTTGATTGGACGGGCTCCTTTGACGTGCCTCATCAAAAAATAGCCCGATACACACACATACCCTTGTTTCAGAGGGGCGAGGGGCGAGGGAGGGACGGAAATGGTACGCCCTTATGCCCGACCGTACCTACAAGCACATACAAACATCAAAGTGGGTGATGAGAGTCCTTCTTCTGTCGCGTTGCAGCAATCCATTGACGAGGCATCGTGCACACCGAGGCTGGATCCATCATTGGCATCTCGAAAAAGGGCGTAGGTACACAGTTCGTTCCGCCAGCTACTTGACCATTTGGGTGGGAAACCAAGTAGAAGCTGCCGTCTTCCCCCTGATGTGGATCGCAGCTCAATTAAAGCAAGCACCTTATGGAGTACTGTACGAAGGTAATAAATTGAACTCGACAGTGGAGCAACAGAAAAAAGGAATAAAAAGGGACGAGCCGAGAAAGAAGATGGATGGATGCCTCTTAGCAAAATCATAGAGGGTTAGTATGAGGCTGTGTTAGTGCCTCGGAATCCCGACGAGGCGCCATTTGTAGGGAGCTCCTCCCTGTCTTCCACCACATGGCCCCTGCTTCGAGGACGCCGCCGTTTCCCGTCCGCCCCAGTTCAGTCAGCTACTCCCCCTGGCACGCTTGGTTCCCGTCTAGCCTGAGGCAACAGCGCAGCAGACTACGGAGTAGCAAGACTCGCCAACTCAAAAGACTGAACTGGCTCCAGAAGCAGCCAGCCAACCAGACGCATCCCGCTAGTCCCGACGCGACGCCATGTGAAAGGACAAAAAGACAGCTACCTACGATCAGGACTATCCCCGACTAGCAATCCAGCATCGCCAAACCCCCGACCTCGACGAGCACTCGACGCCGCGACCATGCCTCCACGATTAAATATCCCGCCTGTTACACGCATCATTCTGATTGCGCTTGTATTACAGTCGGTCCTCAGTGCTGCTATCCGCTACCGGCAATGGAGCGCGCAGTCCGAGATCGTCATCCCCTACCTCACACTGATACCCCAGCTGTCCCTGATATATCCATGGACTTTCCTGACCACATCGCTCGTCGAGAGCAACATCTTCACCCTCTCAATTGCTTGCATGACCCTCTACAATGGCGGTCGGTATCTTGAGCGTGCCTGGTCGTCGCGCGAGTTCGCCAAGTTCCTCCTCATCACATCCCTGATTCCGAACATCCTGACCTTTGGAATCATGATTCTGTTCTTTACCTTTACACGCAACGAGCGCTGGACGTATGTGATGACACCATGAAGACCCTTCCTATTGAACACAGTCACAGGAACACTGCTAACTGGAAGGCCATCTACAGCTTGACCACCATCGCCGGCACTATCCCTTTCCAGATCTCCTTCCTCGTCGCCTTTAGCCAGCTCGTCCCCGCGCACACGGTGACTCTCTTCCGCGGTATCATCTCGCTCCGTGTGCCTCGCTTCCCGCTTCTTTACATCGGCCTCGTTCTCATCCTCACCCTCACGCCGCTGCTCACCGCGGCCTCCTTCTTCCTGGCCGTCGTCGGCTTCATCACGAGCTGGACCTACCTGCGCTTCTACAAGACCGTCTTCCCGGATCTGGACGCCTCCCAACCCACCGCCCTCCGCGGCGACGCCAGCGAGACCTTTGCCTTTGCCGAGTTCTTCCCCAACGCCGTCAAGCCCGTCGTGGCCGGCGCGGCCGACCAGATCTTCAACGTGCTGGTGGCCGTGCGCCTGTGCACTCCCTTCTCCCAGGCGGACGTGTCGGCCGCCAGGGGGGACAGCTTCCTGCAGCGCGGTGTCCCGGGCAGCGCTAGGGCCGAGGCGGAGAGGAGGAGAGCGCTGGCCCTCAAGGCCCTGGACCAGCGGCTGCACGCCGCCACGGCGAATGTGGCGACCCGCGCGGCTTCCCACGCCGTGAACGGGCCACCCCAGCAGCCGCCTCCCGCCGTCGCGACGGGGCCCAAGGTGGAGACGCAGCCGCAGCCGGGGACGCAGACTGCTATGACGTCGCAGCCGGCCGGCCTGCTCGGCGAGACCAACTACTCGCCGGATCACGACTCTGGAGACAGCAGGTCAAATTCCTAGATATTGGATGAGACGAGGCGAAAGTTTTTGAGAAGATGAGCAGAAGCTTGGAGCAGGAGCAGATACCTGGAATAGCCTTCTGAGAATTCTGCGTGGTATTTTTAATACGAGCAGCCCTTTTCTGTACCCGGTTAGTGTCTGGAAATCTAGGAGAACCAGCGATCTTTTTTGCGATGGCAAGGCAGCGCGGGTCTTCACGACGTTTTCTGGCAATATGACCCACGGACATGGTGCATTATACCCTAGGGGTTGTAATCATAGACGGGCACGACGGAGTTGTGTTTTCTCTTGTTTCGTTTTGTATTGCAGGCTCGGCTGGTGACGACGAAAGGGCAAAAGGCTTGGTCCGTGGCATGGTCAGATATCGGTGCCCTGCATTTTACCCTTCCGCAGCCGCGCTGATAGTTCTATGGAATAGCGAGCATGAAGTTTTACCTTTCTTATTTTGGAATGCAAGAGTAGGTGACCAAGTATCTCCAGACAATTTTTTTTCTTTTTTTTTCACTTTCTGCGAGCTGGCTTACGATACCTCAGCCCGGACACGTAATACGAGGCGGGTCACGGTGACAAATTGTCCTGGGTCGCACCGCATCCTCTTGCGTCCGGGTCAATGCAATGCACGTAACGCCATATCCAAGAACGCTCGTGGTATGTGTTCCGCTTGTCAACCCGTTGTATAACGTGGGCGTGCGTGAAGTAGTATTCACACAGTCTTTGATGTCTTTCGAAGCTGCGAACCCGTCTCTTTCGAAAGAAGCAAGCGGGCGGTAGCTGGAGGCCAAGTAGCCTTGGATCAAAACAACACTGGCCACCTCTTTCCAGATATTCTGTAAAGATCCGCGGATTGGCTGATCTGCGACATCCTTGCGTCTCGTCGCCCTCCTTATCCGCCCCCTCAAGGTTCTGGGCCGAACGGGCCAGAGCCACGGGATGCTGATTTACGGAGGCGATTAGACGTCGGAGTATGATCGACGTCGGCGTCGCAGGAAAGGTTAATCCCTTTTCTTACCTCCTTCTCCGATCCCTCTCCAATCTGAGCAATCAAACGTCTTCACAACTGAGAACTGAGAAACCCGTGGTTTGACGGACCGACAGGTTGGAGAATTGTTGGTAAATTTAGAGGTGCACAGCGGGAGGTGACGATGTAAGTAAGTACCTACAGGTGGGAGTGAGGTTCGTGTTTGCATTGACCAGTGATAGTACACCTTCACCCCACCCTTCCTCAGCCAAATGGAGGGGTCCACCGCTGTCACGTGCAGCTTCGCAGTGCTTGGGCCGCGTTTATACGCAAGGAGTGAGCCCTGTTCAAAGAAGCACTTGTCTTGTTTGTAACCTCAACTTTCGAATTCGCCTTTTCCAAGAGCATGAAACCTGTTCCCAGCACCTCCATACCGCCTCATCCGCATCGCAAGTGCAAGTAGCGCCCAAAGATCGTCCCCGCGCAACATTTGCAGCTCGCGATCTCCCCCCGCGCTCCACTGATCGTTCCCACCACAAACAGTGGATGGGCAGCTATCGTGGCCGGGCCTCAGCCTCCGGAAGCATATGAGCTCTTCTGGACCCGACAATGAATCCTGTACTGACGAGCCGACAAGCGGATGAGCTGTACGTCGAGTTTCCCATACACTCCCCCGCCCCCTCTTGGACCTATGGTAGCCAGACCAAACTAACTTATGCCCATGTCTCTAGGCACAAGTCTATGATAGCTTACCTTGCGGCAAATGGCTTTCAAGAATCCGCCGCCGCCATGAGGGCGGAGATGAAGTTGGGAGAAGAAGAGTTCGATATTGAGACGACCAAGAAGTACGAAACCCTGCTCCAAAAGAAATGGACAAGTGTTGTCAGACTACAGAAGAAGGCATGCATATCCCCCCTGGATGTTGGGCTGGTCGCTAACCAATTCCTCTAGATAATGGAGTTTGAGACCCGAAATGCGACTCTGCAAGCAGAACTTGACAACATTTCACCTGCCTTCATCTCGAAACGCAGTCAAGATCCCACTTCCTGGCTTCCAAGGTCACCACCCCGCTACAACCTCGAATCACATCGCGACACGGTCAACTGCATTGCCTTCCATCCGGTCTTCTCTTCACTCGCCTCTGGTTCGGATGACTGCACGATCAAGATATGGGACTGGGAATTTGGCGAGCTAGAGAGAACGATCAAAGCTCATACACAAGCTGTACGGGATGTGGATTTTGGTGGTCCCAAAGGGGCTGTTCTCCTGGCATCCTGTAGTGCTGATCTGACGATCAAGTTGTGGGATCCGGCAGATGGGTATAAGAATATTCGCACCCTTCAAGGCCACGATCATAGCATCAGTACTGTGCGGTTCATCCCATCCGGCAATCTCCTTGTGAGCGCGAGCGGAGACCAAACACTGAGGATATGGGACACCACCACTGGATTCTGCACCAGGACATTGCACGGTCATACGGGATGGATCCGTGATGTCTGCCCTTCGGTTGACGGCCGTTACCTGCTATCTACTGGTAATGACCGATCAATACGCATGTGGGACACATCATCGCCCAACCCGGAGAACATCATCACGTTGGCCGCACATGAAAACGTCATTCAGTGCTGCGCCCTCGCCCCACCAGCGTCTTACAAGCACCTCGCAGCTTGGGCCGGGCTGAAAACGCCGCCGTCGACCAACTCGGCCGAGTTCATGGCAAGCGGTTCTCGGGACAAGACGATCAAGATCTGGGACGCTCGTGGTACCTGCTTGAAGACGTTGGTTGGTCACGACAACTGGGTCACCGCTCTTGTTTGGCACCCGGGTGGCAAATACCTGCTCTCCGTGGCGGACGACAAAACATTGCGGTGCTGGGACCTCAGCCAGGAGGGCAAGTGCGTCAAAGTCCTGACGGACGCGCACGAGCAGTTCATCACATGCCTTAGATGGGCGCCGGGAATTGTCAGCGATGTGCCCCAAGCACCGGCGGATGGAGCAGGCGGCCGCGGAAAGCCTCTTGATGGCAAGGGCCAACCGCCTAACACGCAGATACGTTGTGTTGTCGCGACGGGCAGCATGGATACCACTGTAAGGGTCTTTACAACGTAGAGTTGGTAGTTTTGTTGCTGTTGCTGCTGGAGGAGATACAAAAGTTAGAATGTGTGAAATGATACCATAAAAGTAACAGGGCAAACCTCGGTGTCTTGATTAACTGATCTGGCAGAATATCAAGATCTATTGATGGGCGGAGAGGAGCTTTAGATCGGGTGCATGTCAAGTACCTAGGTACTTGGGAAGGAGAAAGGGCATAAGGGATGCGACACCCAAGTACTTACTTGCTAGTGATATTATGAATGGAGGCGTTGTGGATGTTGTCAGGCTGGCGTCGTGGGGGATCTAGACTAGGTAGTAGGTAGCTCCGAGACAGCCCTGTTTCCGGGCATCGATGCACTAATAACACCATCTATGATCGATATTTGTTTTTTTTCGGCGCCTGCAAATCCTAAATGGCCTCTACACCACCTTGACCGCCGCCACATGAAGCGAGGCAAACGACTTACCGTACGGAGTACCTACACCATCATACAAGTACATAACTACCTTACCCCTGTCTCCGTCTCCTTGTCAAGGGATGGATGGATGGATGGGGTTGCCAATTGCCAGCAGGCAGGCAAAGCCCGTGGGCCGTGCCGTCCGCCGCCGGCCCAATTGCCAATTTCCATGAACACCCACACCACACCCCCTGCCCAATCTACTTGTACTTTACACCCTGGTTTGCCAGATCAGCAGCCGAGCGAGGAGAGTAGGTACCTAGATAAAATAAATAAAAAAGCTGAAACCGTTCGTACATCTCACCCACACCCACCTACTAGGTAGTTGCCTACTATGTACCCGAGAAAGTAAAAATGCCTGTAGGCATCATCGGCGTCATATCCGGGGGGGCTCGCCTGAATTTTTTGCAACAACCCTGGGCCAGGGTTGCGTTGGAGGGTGGGTGTGTACTAAAAGACATGTCAAGTAGATAAAAGGTGTTCCTTCTACGTAGAGCGCGAGAGAGAGAGATGCCATCAAGAAGATGAGAGCGCTGCGGGATGAAGAAAGGCTATCATCTTCTCGCCCGTGGCCCTCTGCTCTGTGGCAGCATTTGCTGTTTGTGCTGCTCGACCTGCAGGCAGAGAGGCGCCGGATGACATAGCTGGCGCAGGCCGCTCTGCCTTGCGGCGCCACCCGAGGAGCCGGCAAGACATCAGCTGGCGAGATCCTTGCAACAGAAATCCAAGGGGTGGCTGACCTGACTGTCTTGATCCTTGATGACTCCCACAACCTCGTGCTCTCTGTCCGATCTCATCGTGAATCATTCATGAACGGGTGTGCTCGAAATAGTGACAAGCCCCCCCCTAACAAAAAGGTTGCCAGGTGGTGTTGCGCCTACCTAGCAAAAAGAATAGGCGGCACGTGGCCCGTTCCAGAAGGGCATTAGCGAACATGCCGCCTGGGCCGGGTGTTTCCCTTTGACGGGAGAGCTGGATGCAGCTGCCCATATTTTCTCCAGAGTACCCTAAAAAACCACCCCCGTTCCCCTTTTTCGTTTCCCTGGCGGCCCCCCCTGCCCCCCCCTTTGACGGCTAGATCGGAGGTACGTACCTTTTTCTGGACCAGGATGGAAGCTTGGGTGCTTGGGTGCTGCTTGTCATGCTTGGGAAGGCAAAGCCGCACCCCGCCGCCCATTATAACGGGTATGTACGAAAGCCTGTGTGTCTCTGACTGACGCTACCTACCACACCACCACCACTCACTCTTTCGAGACCCCCCTCTTCCACCTTCCTGACTCGCCTGCCCTGGTGCAGACGGCCGGCGGGTCTGCCACATTCCTCCAGGGGCTTGTCTCTGGCTCTGGCATGCCACGCCGGCACGCCAGGCGGGGAGAACTGGCGTTTGCAAAATCGGAGGGGGGATCTGGAATGCACAGACAGCGACCTAGATGGGGCGCGACGCGGGTGAATCTAGATGGGTTTAAATGAGGCCATTCCCACTAACTGCCGATGTCGCGTCGACCTTCATACCAAAAGACGATGACGTACGTGGGAGCCGCAGATGTGCGTGGTCCTTTTGGAGGGCAGAGCTGTGATAGTTGATGCGCAGTGAGCCGAGGTGTCGCTACCAGATGGATGGATAATTGCGGGCGACCTGACACATGTCGCGTCGCCAGGCCCTGTGACGCCAGCAGCCTTTTCGAGTGCCGGTTTATTAAACAGTTTGCCTGGAAAATCTTAATGGCATGGGGTCGTTCGTGATAGATGGTCGTTCTACTTTATTTTCTGACTTTCATTCATATGGGTTCATCGGCACCTATATATTAAACCAGTTTGTTCCATATCCACGGTTGAGGGATTGACCAGGGAAACTCGGCCGGGCCGGCGCCAGGGGTACGAGATGATAGCAACGACGTTTCTTGTTGAGCCGGGCAAATTGGTTGCGCCCAAGCCGCGTCATATGTGCGATGAGGCCAATGTCTGATGATTGGCGAACCAAGAACTGGCGAAATAGGTTCTGGAGGATAATATGCTTTCTGAGGCGAGTAGTCAGCACGCAGAAGGGGAGGAGCGGTAGCGAGAACAGGGGGCGCCTTTGGCTGAGTACAAGTAGGCTCGCGGCCATATCCCAGAATAATTCCCGATGACGAGCAGGGCCCCGGACAGAAATGGGTGGGTGGGGATTGCAAGCTCAGTCCGCCATTCAACGTCGGCTGGACACACCGTAGTTTTAGGTAATGCGCCTATTCCGCTGTGAGATGGTTCGGATTGGATGTGAGTGATGTGGCATGGCACGCAGGAGCGGCGCTGCTCACGCCCCCTTTATTAAGTAGGCTTGGCTTGGCGGGCGGGATAAAAAGAAGCTTCGTTCATCAGTGGCACTGGCTGCTGCTGCTGCTGCCCACCATGACCAAACGCCAGCCATCATCCTCGACCCCTGTCGGTGTGTGTACTCCGTATGCGTGTGAGAGGTTGTGGGATGTGCGATGATGATTGACGGGGGGTGTGGGCTGGCACGGCCGTACTTCCCCTCCTCCTCCTCCCCCCTCAGCAGCCAGAGCTGCATGGATGGGAGGTCAATTGGCGTGCCGTGTGTGAGCGAGTGCGTGTGTGTGATGTATGCAGCTCTGATGGAGTAGGTGTATGCGCGTGTGTGTGTGCACTCACACACCTGTCTCGGGTGGGACAGACAAGACATCTGATAGTGGCCGATTCTAGGTAAGCCACCTGGGCCAGGTCGCGAAGAACTCCCCGCCCATCCCGATCCAGAACTGTCAGCCAACCCAGCCATGGCACAGCGCCGCAGGCTGAGAGGAGAACAGTGTGGGTGGTGATCTCTCTTCTTTGGGGAGCTGTGTCAGTGTGTGCGCGTTTGCGACGAGGAGGCTCCAAGTGGCACTCCTGCTCCCATCGCACGCTTGTCTTGGTACAAGACCTACGTTCCGGTACCTCATGTACAGTTTTAGGGTACATTCCGTCAGGCGCTCGGCTCCACAGGGAACCACAGTCTACCAGCCCAGTTGCCTTTCTCCATCGCGCATTTCTGGAAATTGAGGGTTGCTGTACGTACCTCCGCACCACAAGCGCGGGCCACTGCAACCCCTTCCGTCGCCAACGAACAGGGCCAGTAGATTTGGGATGAAACGCAACCACTGTTCAAGCCCTGTAGCGAACCCGGATCGCCCTTCGCTCGCCGCGAGGCACACAGGCGGAGCTGGTTTCCCACTTTTGCTTTCGAAACAGGGGCAGCAACAGTAACAGTAACAACAGCGATCAGTTTTGGTGTATAATCGAAGAATAGAGACCGCGGACGGGAATGGAATCGCGACGATGGTCCCATGAGACTAAATGAAAGAGGAGATGATGGATGGTGATCTGGAAGACGAGGTGCCGAGCGAGTGGAGAATGGCATTCCTCCTGTTCTTGGTTCGAGAGCACTTCACTCAATGGAGGAGTTAAACTTCTCCTGGAGAAGTCTGCTGCTCATTTTATCTCTGCTCGTACCTGGGTCGTTGGACGATGCGTGCCCACATGGTGGGAATAGCTCACTCATCAAGCGATTGCTGTTGAGTAAGGGAAGGTCAGGTAAGGTAGGTGGTGGATGATGGGGGTGGACGGCCTGCATATTCCACCTGCACATGCATGCCTTGTCTGCACGCATTTGCCTACTGCACGCCCTGTGCCCAGTGTGACTGACGACCAAGAGGTAAATACCGGCGTGCCGCGCAGAAAAAAAGGAAGAGTTCGAGGCCACCTGGATCTGGCAAAAAGTGGGCCGGCTAACCGGCCGTGGCACGGTGATGGCGTTGACAATGATGGCTGGAGAAACCGAGGAGCTAGGGGGAGGGGGATGGTGTGGGGAGCCAAGGTAGGGTTTATTAGAGTGCAGACGCTACGGAGCAGATGATGTATCGGGGGTGGTGCCGCCCATTTTCCCAATCGCACAACCAGCCCAGGCCCACCCGAGCCCACTTCTCACTGCAGGCGTGTGGGTAGGGCACGTTAATTTACGGTCCTCTTTAGGTAAGCATGTAAAGGCGACGGCCGGTACCTCGCCCGTCCCCACTCTCGAGGTAGCGAGTACTTGTTTCATCGCAATCGTGGCACAGCCCGTTGCGTGGCCCCACACACCCAGGCAGGGGTGTGTTTGCGGGCACCTCGCCGGGGTGGGCCCCTGTTCGCCGCATGTCGTCCCAGGTCGCCTCGACCCTGGCGGGACTTGCGCCATGAGTACCTGGCCTTGGCGGCGAGGGTTTAGGTCCACTCCACCTTATCCTTCCTAAGAATCCCTGCGAAAGCGTCAAGCCCATTTTGAATCGTGCGTGGGTAAGGGGAGTTTGGGCTCAAGCTTGCGTCCCTCGCAATCCTTCTTTTTCCCCTACCCGCCATCCCCATCGCTCCTTCACCCGCAGGAAACGAAAGGGTTTTCCTCTCTCGCTCCCTTCACCTCTCCTCTCGCAACCCTCACCACCAAGTCTCGTCATCATCCTCCGCCTCCTCCACTGTCCTCTTGGGCCTTCCCAAACCTCCTCGCCGCGGCCATTACTGGTTCCCGCGGTCAGTCATTGATTAATTTCGATACTTTTATTTCTCTTTCCCTCGGCCATTTGCTTGGCTGAGTCCCCGCGCTGTTGGTAGCTCGACTTTCATAGGCTCTTCAGCCTCGCTGTCCGCCCCGTCATCGCATCGCCTCCAGTGCGCGATTGAGCAGCATCAGCAACTCGGGCCCGACGCGAGCTACTCTTCTGCCAGCAGAAGTCCCTTATTGTTCACTTTGTTTCTCTTTTTTTCGGCCGGAGAACATCTGCGCCGTCTTGGCCGGTTGCACACACTGGGTAGTCCGCATAGCGCGAGATCAACGGCTGCAACCGCCCTTGTTCCCCATATATCGAGATTGCAGATTTGCAACCACGACGAGGCGACTCGACCCTCGACCAACTTAGCGCAGGTCATCTTCGCGCATAGCAAAGATGGCTCAACACCACCCATCCCCGCCCATGTCGATGCACATGCAGCATCACGGCCCTCCTGGCCCGCCGCCGCCGCCTGGCGGGCCTGGGTCGCAAGGATATCCCCATGCGCCATCGCGACAAATCTTGGCCATGAACGAGGCCGTTTGGATCCAAATCGGTATGGCGCAAACAATTCAACTCCTGCTACGTCCAGCACTGCCGGCTGCAGTGCCCTCGTTGTCCTGCCCAGATGTACTAACTCGCGCCGCTTCTAGGGAGCTTTTCTGAGCTGCTGGGCAACCTTGACGAAGCCATGCTCGCCTACGAACATGCTCTGCGCGCGAACCCTAACTCGGTCCAAGCCATGAATGCCATAAGCTTGATCCTGAGAACTCGCGAGGACTTCGGCAAAGCTGTGGAATATCTGAATGCCATCCTCAAGATCGATTCGACAAATGGCGAGGTCTGGGGCAGCCTTGGTGAGTGCTCTCGCTCTTTGACTGTCAGGCACGTCTGCCGATCCACGCTCGCATGCTAATTGATCAAAAAGGGCATTGCTACTTGATGATGGATGACCTACAGCAGGCTTATGCCGCTTACCAGTCCGCTCTGGTCAATCTGCGGAACCCCAAAGTACGTCTTTATCTCCCCAAGCCAGCAAAGTGATTTGTGTCCTGACTCTTCTGCAGGAGCCGAAACTTTGGTATGGGATAGGCATTCTTTACGACCGCTACGGCTCTCTTGACCATGCGGAAGAGGCCTTTTCCCAGGTGATGCAGATGCAGCCTGACTTCGAGAAGGCCAACGAGATCTACTTCCGCCTTGGTATCATATACAAGCAGCAACAGAAGTACAACCAAAGTCTCGAGGTACGTGCCTGTGTTGGCAGCCTAGCAGTAGCATCGTCCGCTGACCACCTTTTCCAGTGCTTCAAATACATTGTGAACTCGCCTCCTCCTCCCCTTACGGAGGAAGACATCTGGTTCCAGATCGGTCACGTACATGAACAACAGAAAGACGTAAGTCTTCACCGCCACCACGCTCACATGGGTAGTGACTAAATGTTGCAATAGTATGATAGCGCTAAGTCCGCCTATCAACGTGTGCTTGAGCGTGACCCGAACCACGCCAAGGTGCTGCAGCAGCTCGGATGGCTCCATCACCAGCAGAGCAGCACCTTCCAGAGCCAAGAGCGTGCCATCGAATATCTCGAGAAATCTGTTGCGGCCGGTAGGTACCCACACGAACCTTTGATCATCCATTAGGTGCTAACCCATACCAGATAACAGCGACGCACAGAGCTGGTACCTCCTTGGACGATGCTACATGTCTCAACAGAAGTATCCCAAGGCATATGAGGCATACCAACAGGCCGTGTACCGTGATGGCCGAAACCCAACCTTCTGGTGCTCGATCGGTGTCCTGTACTACCAGATCAACCAGTACAGGGATGCGCTCGACGCCTACTCACGGGCTATCCGTCTGAACCCCTTCATCTCGGAAGTGTGGTATGATTTGGGCACGCTTGTAAGTCTTGCTTGTTCCTACTCATGCCAAGCATTGCGGCAATCGCTGACAGACCCTCGTAGTATGAATCGTGTAACAATCAGATCAGCGATGCCCTTGACGCATACCAGAGGGCTGCCGAGTTGGACCCCAACAACCCTCATATCAAGGCCAGGCTGCAGCTTCTCCGGAACGGGCCCACCAACGGAACCGGCAGCGCGCCGATGCCCACCGATGTTCACCCCCAGGCTTACCAGTCTGGCGCAGTTGGTCCTCCAGGGCCCCAATGGGCTGGCTCTGCTCCTCAGCAGCAACCTCAGCCGCCAAACGGCCCGCCGCCACCTGCTCCTGGCAGCAGCGGCTGGGGAAGGCTGTCGGATCTGAACCCGCCCCCGCAGCCGCCTAACCCTTACGACCAGCGAGAGCCCTTTCGCGGACCGGCTCCGCCACTACCCAGACAGCCCAGTCCTCGACAGGAAGGCCAACAGATGAGGCCTTATGGCGAGCCGAACCGACTTGGTCCGTCAATGCGTGGCCCTTCCCCTCCACCCCCGGGGCACTACCCTCCGCCGCCACCCCCGGCACAGTCGCAGCAGCCTCCCCAGTCTTCTCAGCCCCCTCCTCGCGTGGCCAACCCTAACTATGGCGGTCCCGCCAAGTCCGCGACCAGCCTCAACGGAGTCAACGGGCCGCCACCGCCACCCAACCCCCTGATGCCCTACAGAGGCAACAGCCCTCGGGCGGATCCTCGGCCTGTACATGACAACCGGATGCCTTCCCCCAAGTCTGCCTATCCGCAGCAGCCGCCGTACCCTCCCCACGCCGACCCCAATGCTCCTCAAAGTGGCATCGAGTCCGGATCCGCACCCCCGCCCCCAGTCGAAAGTGCGCATCGGGAGCACGAGCGGCCCGCGTCTGTCGGCCCCAAGAGGATCCGAGAGTGGGATGATGAACCCGCTGCTAAGAAGCCTGCCTCTGACGAGAACCGCGCCAGGATGGAGGACATGCGTCACCGGCGTCCGTCCACCCCGCCTCGGGAGCCGTATCGTCGTAACTCGTCGGAGGCGCGGCGGTTTGAGGAGCAACGCCGTCTGGACGACCAGCGAAGGGCTGATGAGCAGAGGCGCGCGGATGAGCATCGTCGTGCTGAAGAGCAGCGTCACGCCAACGATTCTTATCACCCTTCGGAGGCCGCGCACCACACTCCTGCGCACGCGATGCCGAACCACCTGCCGCCGATGCAGCAGGGTCCCTCTCCTATGCAGGGTATCATCCATGACGGCCCGGCATCCGGCCCTGCGCCGAAGGACTACCCCGCCGACGAGAGGCAGCGCCTGGATCACGGCCCTGCTCCTCACCCGCAGCCAGCCAATGAGCCGGAAAGGGCCGCTCGTAAGATGGACGTGGACGAGGACTACGATGACAGCGGCGAAGACGACAAGAAGGCCGGTCACACCTCTGCTCCCGCCTCTGGACCTGGGTCTGCATCCGGTGACATTAAGAACACGACTCCGACCAGTGCGGGTGTCAATGGCGTCATGGGTCCCAAGACGGAGGGATCTTAGCTGGATACGCTCGACTCTAAGCCCGAGCTCTGTTCAGTTGCCTAGCTGTTTTTTCTTTTTGACGCGGAGGACTCCATGGTTGTACTTTGTGGCTGGGTGGTACACCGCATTGTCTTGCTCACGCAATTCTTTCATTTCCGTCTTGTTCAAAACAACTTTGCAACTATTCCCCCTCTTCTTTTATCCTTAATTTTTTTTTTTTTTTTTTTTTTTTTTTTGTGTTTTTTCGGGAAGTCTTTACTGTAGTCATGTCTCATGTAGGAAGGAGACAGTCAGTCGTAGGGCATGTACGGTCAAAGGGTATATAGCAGTCGTTTTAGGGGGTCGACAAAAATTCCAAGTTTTTGTTCTGTTCATGAGCCTAGTACTTTCTAGTTTGTGTCTATATATATGAATTTCAACGAAGCTTCAATCCAAGCTCGTAAATCAGGCCCTGAATCGTGAGTGCCTCTGTCCCGGGTCGGGCAAGAAGTTTGGTGACGGTGGTGGTTAAGATGAAGTCTACTGATAGGGTCTGCCAGTGTACTGATAGGGTCTGTCAGTGCTACCTATTGCCTCTTCCCAGCACGGTTTTTTGCGGAGACAATTCACAGACGTGGATGAGTGAGTACGTAGGTACTCCGTAGGTGGGTTCTGTAGCACCCGCTCTGATAAGATAAGAAAACGGATGAATTTGGCCATCCCTAAAATGGCACTTCACTGAGCTGGCTCCCCACTTGAACAGGTCTTCTGCGAAAAAAAATCGAGACCCAGTCCCTCTCCTCCCATCACGTGAGCTTAGGGTCCCGAGTTCCGCTCCCACTGCCCTCCCACAAATTTTTGCGATTTCTGAGTGAACTTTTCGCTGGGAACTTTTACACACTTGGAACTCCGACCTCTCAAACATCTCATTGTCCACCCATATCCAGCACAATGTGAGCATCACGACGCCCTCGATCGCAATCAGCAACGACCATGCTAACAATCACGCAGGAGTCACCGTAAGTTCGAGGCGCCTCGCCACGGCTCCCTGGCCTTCCTGCCCCGGAAGCGGGCTGCCCGTCACCGCGGAAAGGTCAAGTCGTAAGTCTACCCCGATCTCACAAACGAAGGGAAAAACGTCCAATCTGCCTCCCCAAGGCGCAAGGGTCATTTCTCTTGGTGTACAGAGACTAACCAGAATCATGTGCGCGGCAGCTTCCCCAAGGATGACCCCAAGAAGCCCGTCCACCTGACGGCCGCCATGGGCTACAAGGCCGGCATGACCACCATCGTCCGTGACCTCGACCGACCCGGCGCCAAGGCACACAAGAAGGAGGTTGTGGAGGCTGTTACTATTGTTGATACACCACCGGTACGAGCAATGCAGCCCGCTTGGCTATGTGCCAATGGCTAACATCTTCTAGATGATCGTTGTTGGTCTGGTCGGTTACATTGAGACCCCCCGCGGCCTGCGATCCCTCACCACCGTCTGGGCCGAGCACTTGAGCGACGAGGTCAAGCGCCGATTCTACAAGAACTGGTACAAGAGCAAGAAGAAGGCCTTCACCAAGTACGCCAAGAAGCACTCGGAGAACAGCGGCTCTTCCATCACGCGCGAGCTCGAGCGCATGAAGAAGTACTGCACCGTCGTCCGTGTCCTCGCCCACACCCAGATCCGCAAGACGCCCCTCAAGCAGAAGAAGGCCCACTTGATGGAGATCCAGATCAACGGCGGCTCCGTCGCCGACAAGGTCGAGTTCGGCCACGGCCTGTTCGAGAAGCCCGTCTCCATCGACACCATCTTCGAGATGGACGAGATGATCGACGTCATTGCCGTCACCAAGGGTCACGGCTTCAACGGTGTCACGGCTCGCTGGGGCACCAAGAAGCTTCCTCGCAAGACCCACAAGGGTCTCCGCAAGGTCGCTTGTATCGGTGCCTGGCATCCTTCCCACGTCCAGTGGACTGTTGCCCGTGCCGGTCAGATGGGTTACCACCACCGTACCTCGGTCAACCACAAGATCTACCGCATCGGCAAGGGCGACGCCGACGACAACGCCGCCACCGAGATCGATGTTACCAAGAAGAAGATCACTCCGTAAGTTTCCGTCTCGATTTGGCTTTTGACTCTTTGGAATTGCTTCAGGACTTGGCAAGCTGACAGTGTGTGCGCCCAACAGTCTTGGTGGCTTCGTCCGCTATGGTGAGGTCAACAACGACTTCGTCATGGTCAAGGGCTCCATCCCCGGTGTCAAGAAGCGTGTCATGACGCTGCGCAAGTCCATGTTCACCCACACCTCAAGGAAAGCCCTGGAGAAGGTCGAGCTCAAATGGATCGACACCTCGTCCGAGTTCGGTCACGGTGCTTTCCAGACGCCCGAGGAGAAGAAGCAGTTCCAGGGTACCCTCAAGAAGGACCTGGCCTCGAGCGCCTAAGGGAGCTCTGGGGATTGTTTTCTTGTTTCTTTTCCATGGCATTGGTGTCAGGGGGGTGTTCTCGCTACTACTACGGACGGGGGGCCCGTTTGGCCTCCGAAACGGATTTCTGACTCTAGCATCCACGGCTTAATTAGGGAAGCCGCAATGAGATGAAAAAATGAAAAAGGGCATTGAACATAGATACTCGCTGTGTGGACATGATGCCCATGTGAACGACGATTGCTGTGCTGTTGTGCCATGTTTGCAAGTTATCAAGGAAGCCACATACCATTGGCCGGAGGCTGCTGCTTGGCTGAAAGCCATAGTTACCCACTCTCGGCCAGTTGCGTCATGAGCTACACAGCTCCCGGATTAGCTGCCCTACCAAGACCTACTACATCTCTGCCCATTCTCGCTTGCAAAGTGCTTCCATTTCTGACCTCATGTCATACAAGTCTCTGGCTCGTCATAATCCCAAACGTCCAAACCTGCAGTTCAGTCTGCTTCAGTGTTGCGTGTACAGTGACAGGGACCAGCAGCACTGCTCATTCGTGCCCCGCAGCCCACACAACCAACGACTGACGACTCGATTCCGATCACTCCTCCAGCCCCAACACTTCCCGGCGTCAGCCTTGTCTGCCTCCAGTGGCCTGCCCTTTCGTCGCTACTACCAAAGACGTCTTACCAGCACGAACAGCCCTAGCCAGTTGCAGCACTGCCAAAAAGAAAGCACCACCGCACCGACTACTGCTACTACTATCCCTGCTACAACAACAGCCATGTCGTCGGACCAAGACTACGCCGCCTTCCTCGACAAGGCGAACCAGGACCCGTCCGAGGGCAAGACGGCCGCCCAGGCCAGCGGTGCGGGCGGCGGCAAGAAGGCGGCCGAGTTCCGGACGACGGAGAGCGGGGTCGCGGTCCCCGAGGCGCTGAGGAAGGCGGCCCAGGGCAAGTTCTACACGAGCGACGCGGACGAGCCGTTTGTGCCGTTTGCGCTCAGGTGGGAGGGCGGCGAGGGCGGGTTGCCTGACGAGGGTTCGTTTTTTTTCAGCAAATCACGCTGTTTCTTTTTTCAGGATGCATAAACCGTTGTCATATTTCGGAGGAGCTAACGACAAGAGCACGCACGCACGCACGCAGAGCAATTCGCGACGCTGATCCGGCACTGGAACCCCGTCATCGCCGACGTCGAGATCCTGGACGCGTCCGACTGGGACCGGCAGGGCCAGTACGGGGAGCTGGTCGACGCGGTGGCCGAGGCGAGCAAGGGCAGCGACGTGCGGGTCTACCGGGTCGGCAGGGACGGCACGAGGTCCGAGTACTGGGTCGTGACGGCGTGCGAGGGCAAGATTGTGGGCGTCAAGGCGCTGGCTGTGGAGAGCTGAGTGATTGTTGTTGTTGTTGTTTGTCGATATCGAGGTTTTCTTTTGCCTGTTTGTTTCATTGAAAGGGAATTGCGAGGAGAGGAGAGGGAGGCAGAGAGGGGGCTCATGAGCTTATCAGGTGCCCTTCGGTTGAAGGAATGCAAGTCAGCGTGGCTAATTTTGCATGGCAATGCGAAGCACTCTCGGAAGAACAGCTGCAGAATGATGTATTACTTGGTTTGGTTTGTGTTTACTGATATCTGCGCAAGAGCTCTTCCCATTTGAGACTGTATCATGCTTGGCACGTTACCAGACGCTAGATGGCGTTGCTGAACCGGCTCACTGCGTCTTGGCCTTGTCTTCGACTGCCTTGCCCTGCTTGTCCTTATCCTCGTCCTCCTCTTCCTTGTACCACTGACCAGACAGGTCCTCGGCGGGCGATACGTTCTGGACACCATCGCTGTAGTGGTACTTGAGCTTGGTGAGATCGATGCCGTTGAAGGTCCGGACCTGGATGACAGGGGGGCCAGACGGTCTGGAGTCAGCACGGGTACCGGGTCTGATGATGCTGTTTGACTTGAATCTTCTCGCCTCTCTCGTTCTCTCTCTTACACTCTACTGCGCCACATGGCCACTCGAGAGGCTATACGCGTCCTCCGGAGACACAGCGCTCTCATCTTACACGCTCCTTTACGACACGGGTAGACTTGCATCATCCAAGCTTCTTCTTCTTCTTCTTCTTTTTTGGACACCGGGAACACAGTTTCCCCCGGGGGTTAAAATCCCAGAAAAAAGAAGGGGGAGGTCCCACAGACTCACACTGATGCCGTACCCGTCGAACCGGGGCTTGTTGAAGTCGCGAAAGTCGATGCCCAGGCTGGCGCCGCACCTGGGGCAGAACAGCTGGTCCTTTTGCTTGGTGTTGAAGCGGTAGACGGCGCAGCGCTCGTGCGACTCGCCGTGCCACTTGACGTCTTTGCGGTGGGGGTCTGATGCGGCAGTTTTGTCGGGGAATCCTCCCCTCTCTCTGGTTAACAACAAACCGAATATGTGTTCTCGAGGGATGGATGGATGGGGAAAAAAGCTGCAGCTAGCAAAGCAAGCAAGCAAGCAAGCGGGAGGAGAGGAGGGTAGACGCCTTTTTTTTTTCTTTTTTACCTCTACTACTTACAGACGAGCAGGTAGCCCATGCGCCGGCAGACGGAGCAGTGGCACTCCATGACCTCGTACTCGGGCAGCGGCGGCGAGAGGGTGACGGCGAACTTGATGTAGCCGCAGTGGCAGCCGCACTCGTACGTCTCGGAGGGCCTGCCGGGGTCGCGCTTGTAAACCTCGTCTGATGACTTCCAAAACATCTTTCCGGGTTCGGTCTGGGTGGTGAGAAGAGGAGGGAAGGGAAGGGGAAGTGGATGGGACAACAGTATGTGGTCTCGACCTGCGTGTTGTGTGTCTGGAAGACTCAAGGATACAAGATACCCAAACCTCTCTGCTTTGACAAAAGAGATACAATGAAAAGACGGAAAGATTCCCGGATCGTCCCCCATTGTGAACACACAGAAGAGAATGACTAGACATACTCGGTTGCAAAAGACGGGCCCGCCATATTTGTCAGACTTGAAGGCAGTTCCGGGTGACAATCGGATATAAGTCTGTTGGTTGCTTGTAAGTTTCGTTGTGAAGCCGGTGCAAGTCGATGCTTTGCTTGACAATACTGTATCTCTCGCAAATTTGCTTCCTTTACTTTCAAGTTCCAGTCCAGCAACGGCAACTTTCAAGGGGGATTACGGTGAGAGGGGATATGAAGGGTTGAGTTATAACCCCAGGTCCAGCTAGTTCTTCTCAATCGATAAGTTCGTGGCTATGCCTGTTGAGGGAACAAACAGCTGGAAGAGACTCAAGGCCAGACAGACCCCGCCTTGCTCTATTCATAGCATGTCGCTATCCTAATACGGAAAGTTACATCTCCGAACAACGGCCAACTGTCAGACACACACCGCTGCTGACTCTACCACTCAAGAGCTAAATAAACACTTTGCAGAGTTACAACCATACCAAAGACAAGGAACTCAACAACACACTTTCCAGTCTTTATTATTTTAGTATTATTATTTAGAGTAATTATGCAGTATTTGAAAGTGGTATCCAATATATAACGCAACAAAAAAGAAAAAACTAGATGCCAAGGGCCCAACCTGACGTGGCATTCATATCAAAAGGCTTGATCCCAGCTCCCATTATGAAGCTGGGGGGGAGATCTCACCCAATCTCGTCCCACTGGAAAAAAAAAACATCGCTGTGCCTCCCAAATGCAAGGATTACCCCCTCCCTCCAGCGAGAGGAGAAAAATATGAGTAGCTCCAGGAAAGAAACAACCCGGACCGAATACCACCACGAGATCTCAACGAAATCCCAACGAGCAAGACAAGACAAGAACAGTCCACTAGACAGCCTCGCCCGCCCTCTCCACGTCCTTCCGCGGCGCGGCGGCCGCCGTCCCGGGGGGCGGCACCACCTCCTCGGCCTTCTCGGCAACAGCGCCGTTCTCGGTGCTGCCGCCAAGCACTCCGCCACCGCCGCCGTTCACTCTCTCCTCCTCGTCGTCGTCGTCGGCCTGTCGCTGCATCATGGGCGGCGGCGTGGGCGCGAACTTGCTGTAGGACCGGAGCTTGTGGCCGTAGAGGTAAAAGATGACGGGGATGGGCACGAGGGCGGCGGCGACGCAGCCGAGCAGCGTGCTGGCCCACTGGATGCCCATGCCGTCAAACATGTAGGTGGCGAAGAGCGGGAAGCCGGCGCCGCAGAGCGAGCGGAGGAAGGTGTTGCCGGCGATGGCCGAGGCGGCGAACATGAGGTAGGCGTCGACGAGGTAGTTGAGCGCCTGCAGGAAGATGGACATGAGGCCGAAGCCCGACAGGATGCCCGACAGGGTCGGCACGATCCAGTGGATGTCGGCGCGGTAGCCGGACCAGCCGAACCAGAAGAGGCCCGCGGCGAAGGAGACGCCGCCGGCGATGACCGAGGGCAGGCGCCACTCGGGGACGGGGACGCCGTTGTTGGCCGCGAGCTTGCGGCTGTACCAGGGCTGCTGCAGGAGGACGACGACGCCGGCGATGAGCTGGCCGACGATCATGCCGAAGAAGGTCAGACCCGAGATGCCGGGGGTGAAGTGGTGGACGCCCTGGAAGACGAAGGGGTAGGCCGTCAGGAAGAGGTAGAGCAGGCCTAGATAGACGCATGTTAGCAAAAGAGCTGCTCTAGAATCCGAGCAAACCTGGACTCACCATAGATAAAGGCCATGTAGATGGACAGCAGGGTGACGATGGGCTCAAAGAACAGCAGGCGCATGGGACGGGAGAAGTTCTTGTTGATGAGCTCGCTGAAGTCGATCTCGATCTCCTCCTGCTTGGCGTGGATGCCCCAGTTGAGGGTGCGGCGGCGCAGCTCCGAGGCCTTGGCGACGAGGATCTGGGGCGGGTAGGTCTCCTCGAGGAAGAGGAAGTCGAGGCCGAAGGCGACGAAGCCCATGATGGCGGCGAGGTACTGGGTCCAGCGCCAGCCGAGGTGCGAGGTGACGATGAAGCCGCCGATGAAGGGCCCGAGGAGCGGACCGCTGAAGACGGCCATGGAGAAGACGGTGATGGCGATGCCGCGCGTGCGGTTGTCGAACATGTCGGAGAAGATGGCGGCGACGACGGCGAGGGGGCAGGCGCCCATGAAGCCGCTGAAGAAGCGGCAGATGAGGACGGTCTGGAGGTCCTTGGCCGTCGCGACGGCCACGGAGAAGATGGAGAAGCCGAACATGGCCACGACGACGGGCAGGCGACGGCCCTTCAACTCTGACAGGGGAGCCCATAACGTGGGACTATAGAAGCACAGACAGACGTTAGACTTTCTCGAATCCCGTACACACAAGAGTTGGTTTTGTCCATAAAAACACAAAAACACTTACCCAAAGGCGAAACCCAGCACGAAGAAGGACACGCCCAAGAGCCCGACCTCGGTGCCGACGTGGAACTCGGCGGCGACGTAGCGGGTGGCGGCGGAGAAGACGCTCGAGGTGAAGGCCGAGGTCATGGTGGTGTAGCCCAGCATGGCGGCGGTGAGCATCTTCTTGCGGATGGGCCAGTTCTGGGCGTGCATGGGGTCGTCGGGCCCGTCGAACTCGACGACGTAGTCCTCCTGGTCCGGCAGCAGGGGCGGGTAGGGCTTCCCCGCGCCGAACTCGGGCAGGGGCTTGCGCGACTTGCGGCTGGTGACGGAGCGGCCGACGGTGCCGCTGTGCTGGCTCTTGGCCGTCTGGATGCGCTCGAGCTCGGTGGGGTGGCGCTCGAGGTCGCGCGAGGTCGAGACGCGGCTCATGCCGTAGCCGGCGGCGGCGGCGGCGTGGGCGCCCGAGGAGGAGGCCCGGCGGCGGCCGCCATTGCGGGCGTAGGCGGAGGACTGGGAGGAGGAGGAGGTCGAGGTCGAGGTCGCGGTGGCGACGCGCTCGATCTCGCGGCTGTCTCGACCGGCGTAGCGGTGCGGGGAGGCGGCGTCGCGCTCGGCGTCCATGAGCTCCCGGTCGACGGCGTCGAGGTCGACCATGGCGGGCGAGTGCGGTGTGGCGCGGGACTCTCTGGTTGCTGGTATGGCGGCGAGGCTACTCGGAGCGGGCAGGTTGCGACTCAATGGCAGCAGATGCCGGTGCTGCCAAACCTTGGTCGTCGTGCTGATGCGGGGGAGGAGATGACGTGCTGACTACTTGGTTGAAGTCGACTTCCGCAACAACAACAACCGGACTGTAGACGAAGTAGACGAGGACAAGAGGACAATGGGATTGAGTAGTCAAGTATTAGACGTCCTGAATACAAGCGAGGAAGGATCTCGGTTAGTTGAAGTTATTCCTAGTAAAATAACAGAGCAAAACTCCCTCGTCGTTGGGAGAAGAGGTTCGGGTCTGGTCTGGGGGGACAATAACAATGACGAGAGGGGAAAGATGTCACTCAAGTACTTAGTCTCCCTAGTGTCTAGCTAGAGATCGACCAAGGAAAACCCACTCGGAGAACAGACAGACTTTTGACCGCCACTAATGTAATCAATCAATGACTCCTACTCCCGTCCATAACAGAAAGGAAAAAGCTCTTCTTCCGCTGTGTTCTGCTACTAAGGCTAGGCCCGACTCGCCAATTGGGCTCGCCAGTTAAATCCGAAATCCCCTGGCCGAAATCGCATTGGCACCTCGGCGCGAGACCCGCTGGCGCGCGATTCACTCTCGCCTTGCAGGGATTTTCGTATAAGTCCCTTGCCGGCCGCCACCGGCCCCTGGTGTCAAAATTCTACGAGTACCTGGTCTCTTGACAAATCCAGTCGAGGAATTCATAACAAAGGCTGCCCACCGTCTCCACCGGTTGGAATTCCTCCAGCTCTTGTTCGGAGACCTGACGGGGCAAATGGTGCCTGAAAAGCCCAGCATTCCAGAGAGTTCTTTCTGACAACCTGGAAGGCAAAAAAAAAAAGCTTGGCTCTCGCGGCTGGTGGGCTTCCCAGTGGGCCAGTGGAGCTCCAGGTCGGCCCTCTTGACCTGAATCGGGGATGGCCACAGCGCCCTTCCAGGCCCTCTAGCGCACCCACCCCCCGCCGAGGCCGCCCGTTCATGCGGCGTCCTACGGGAGATGGAACGGTATTTCAGGGCCAGCTGACAGGGATTTTCCACAGGGGTTCTCTCTACAAGTACAAATACAGGTGAGGTATCAGGCCATCGCCCAGCAGTCCACCTTGGAGAACAGGCAATTCATCAGTTGCCTTTGAGCGAGACAGCCCCCATGATTAATCAAGTCGCTTTGTCTAGTAGGTATCTGCTGCTCGAACTGTAGAAAGACTCCGTAAACTTGCGCAACAACTCGCCTATCGAATTGAATAGTATTATAAATCCAATCGCTCTTCGCGTCTTTCGCGGCAAGCCAGACCCGAGAGCGGTTTTGGGTTGCGGAATTACGTCAGGAGGCTCCCCTACAGGGGACCCCTGTAAGGCGTGGGAACAAAAAGGTTTTTGGATCGTAAAAAAAAAGGTTCGAGAGGGAAGATTCTGGCGCCTGCGTATGCGACGTTACTATTGCCGGCCGGCTATCGCCCATCAAAAATCACATAATCGAGAAAAACTCGTCATCGAGCGCGGGCAATTGCTGACAAGCGCTTTACTGGAAACCCGCTGGCGTACTTTTGTTTTTGTGTTTTTTTTTTAACTCCGTGCCTAGGTAGGTAGGCTGTGCTCTCTCACAGTTCCGCCAACACAGCGGGAATACCCTTCTCCCCTCAGACTCCCGCCGTCGTTTGCCGCCCCTTGCCGTCGGCCCATTATCCAACCCACTGTGGACATTCGAGAAGAGCAATGTCGGCTGTGTTTCCGTGCAAAGGGGGCCCAGACTTCTTGGGCAGCAAAGCAGTGGATCTACAAGTATTGTACGTACAGGGCTCCGCCGCGCAAGCCGAAGAAAGAAAAGGAGAGGAAGCTGGGATCGGGCCTTTTATCTTCTTTGGGCAGATTCTTATCGTCCCTGCCCATCACGGCCATCTCTTTACGTGGTGCATGCCCGGGCGGCAGAAAACTGGGCCTTCCCGGGCACCGACTGCACGTCTGCCGTAGCCATGCCACCGGAGCCGAAAGGCTTGGCACGGCCGGCCACACACACCAATCTGTTGTAGATGGCACGGATCTGCTTGAATTATACAAAAGAGACCAGTAGGGAATAAGTCTCACCGTAGATGGAGATCAATCAGGCTGTAATTTAAATACTTGTGCTCTAGCAGTCAGCCGATGTCGATGTAAGCTTACCAAAAAAGTAGGCCGTGCATGTATGAATAAAAACACCAAAAAAATCATCACGATATCCATCAAGATCACCAAAAGAAATGCCACCCAAAAGCGCAGCCAAAAAAATAAAATCTTAAATCAGGGGGCAAAAAAATTCAATTCCGTTCAGGTCCAGCTCCTGCAGAGCAGGACTACAGCACCCCGCGACTATCCGTTTCCAGGGCGCGGTATTTCTTTGCGGCGTTTGTCAACCTGGCTGCAAGCGAGGCTCGAACCCATGGGGTCTTCGCCTTCACTCGCCTTGGCCGTCTGCGGTTGCACCGTTTCTGAGGTAGGGCTATCGACAATGCAAGCTGGCCCTGGGACCGCTGCACCACCAACGCCCTGTGCCTGGGAACAACCGACCCTAAACGTTCTTATCAGGGATCCATCCCTTCAAGCTTGGGCCCAGGCCGCAAAGCGAAATGTGCGCATGAGCCCTCCAGTTGCAAGACTATGGCACGCCCAGCTCAGCGCACGCCCCATCCGTCCCCCTCGAGCAAGCTCGCCGCCTCCTCCAAGCTCAACCCGCTCGTCTCGGGATACACCCTGCGGATCAGCACATACCCCCCAGCGCACACCAGCGCGTACAGCCCAAACGTCCACGGCGGCGTCAGCACCTCCATCAGTGGTAGGAAAGTGAGTCCGACGACAAAGTTGGCACCCCAATTGGTCGCCGTCGCCACGCCGCTGCCCAGGGATCGCACTCCCAGCGCAAACAGCTCGCTCTGCATCCACGGCACGTTGCCCAGTCCCATCGCATAGGCGGCCACGTATATCATGATACTGAACAGGATCACACCAGCGCCGCGCTTGTCGTCGCCGCCGCCTCCTGCAGCCGGTGTGCCATCGTCACCAGATGACGACGGGATATCAACAATAGAGAAGCCATAGGCAGCCAGCAGCAGACCAACAACCATAAAAGGGATCGAGTACAGCAACACCCTCCGCCGGCCCACGCGGTCGATGATCAGCAGCGCAATGACGGTAAAAACAAAGTTCGTCGCCGCAACAGTCATCGACGTCAGCGTCGGGCTCGTGAAGCCCAGCATCGTAAAGATGGTTGCCGAGAAGTACATCAGCGAGTTCTGCAACATTGATCAGTCAGTCAAGCAAGCGTGGCGCAACACACAAAGACATCGACAGAAACCAAGCAGAAGGAAAAGTGTATGTAGACTTACAAACCCACAAAGCTGCTGCAGCCCCTGCAGCAGGCACGCAATCGCCAGCGCCCTCCGGTTCCGCCGCACGGCAAACAGCTCGTCCCACGTGTCCATCCACCGCAGCCTCGACTTGGGCGACCGCCGCCTCAGCCTCGCCGCCTCGTCCTCCTCCCGGACCTCCCGCTCGATCTCCCGCAGCAGCGCGTCGGCCTCCCGGGCGCCGCCGCCCGCGCCACCGCCAACGACCTTGCCCAGCGCGGCCCTCGCCTCCTCCGCGCGGCCCTCCTTGACCAGCCACCGCGGCGTCTCGGGCATGAACCCCACCAGCACGGCCTGCACCACCGCCGGCGCGGCGCCCAGCCCCACGAGCAGCCGCCAGTTCCCAGTGTCATCAGCTCCCCCAGTGCCAGTACGGCCCGTCAGCGCCCAGCCCGCCGCGTACGCCACGACCTGGCCCAGCGTGATGAACACGACGTTGACGGTGACGAGCCGGCCCCTGTGCGCCGCGGGCGCCAGCTCGGCAATGTACAGCGGCACGACGAAGCTCGCGGCGCCCACGGCCGCGCCGACGACGGCCCGCCCCAGCACCATGGCGGCCACCGTCCGCGCCGCGGCCTGGGCCAGCGCGCCCGCGACGAACAGCGCCGCGGCGAGCAGGATGACGCGCCGGCGGCCCAGGGCGTCGGCGAGCGCGGACGAGGTCGGCGAGACGAGCAGCGCCGCGAGGGCCGTGGCCGACGTGACGACCGACTTGTCGAGCGAGGTGAGCGCGCGGCCCGACAGCGACGTGCCGACCGAGACGAGTGTCGCCGATATGACGCCCGTGTCGTCTGTCGCCAAGACACACACACACGCACATGTTAGACAACTTGGGCAGGAGGGCGCTCGTTGAGATTGAAAGGGGTCTTACATCCAAATAGCAGTCCGCTGATCCCCGCGGAGAGGGTGAGCAGCCAGACGAACAGGCCCGGGGCCGCCGCGGCGTCGGCGTCGCCATCTCTGGCCTTGACGACCGAGACGGCGGCGTCGTCCTCGTCGAGCAGAGGGTTCTCCGGGTCGATGTGTTCGGCGCCCGCGATGAGCGGGGCTTCGGCGCCCGACATACTTGCTACGGGGTGGTTCGCTAGCTCAATATCATCGGAGGACAGCCGTGAATGCATAGGGCTATCAATCTGAAGCGAGTGAGAAGGATTGGAGGTAAGCTGGTGTGGTGTGAAAAGGCGTCACATTAAGCTCCCGTACCTTGCCGCGCCAGGGCTCCACAGATTGGCAAGGGCGGGCTGGCTGGGGTTGCATGGGTCCCCCACTCTTTCCAGATTGGCCATGTAGCGTGTAAGCCGCACACTTGACATCACTTGGTATGAGTCTAGATGTCTGGACGTATATTATTCCATTTAATCTGAATATCTCATAGATCAAATGTGTCGCAAGCTCGTAAAGCCCGTCGCCTTGAGAGCTGGTTCATCCAGACAGCGCTGGCACAATTCTCATTCGTAGACCGAATTAGGTCTTGTATTGGGGAGTTTGACAACTAGTACAAGTATATATATACATAGAATCTACGTAAGGACCGTCCTACTTGACTCCCTGTACTCTCATCATCTCGCCCAATTTATAAAAAGACCTCTTCCTCAGAAGAGACCAAACTCCGAGACGACAAGAGACATCACCACCAGGACAGTCGAGACCAAGAGCGCCCCAGCAAGACACCACGCCACAACCCGGAGCTGAAGCCGTCTCAATCCCGTCCGCGGAACCCGCACCGACGGCGCAAACACCTTGCGGTACCAGCTCAGCTTCCTATACCGCTGCACCCAGGGCTCTCCGGACCACTCGTTCGCCGGACCGAACGACTGCAGGCTGGCCTTGCGCAGGGGATCTACCTGACTAAAGTTCCTCTTGTGCGATACCCTGGGAGCATGCTTGCCACCGCCCTTCTCTGCCTTGTCCACCGGATCTACCTCGCTCCAGGCAGATTTGTCGTCGTCATCATCGGCCACGGCATCCGGGAACTGCTCCCAGGGCCGCAGGTGCCGCAGCTGTTTCGTGTACAAGCTCAGGCAGATGCCGTTGGCGGCAGCAAACAGAACCGCAAACCCCGGCCACCAGATGCCGACGCAGGCGATCCGCCACAGGCGGTCCATTCGGGACATCACGAGCAAGACGTCGACAGCAAAGCCCACCAGGATGACCAGCGTGGCCAAGAGGCCGAGGAAGACGAGTCGCGGGCGGTTCGCGTTGCGGACGCTCCAGCGTGTAAAGGCCGGATGTGATGTGGTCTTCAGGTCCGACTCAGCTGACAGAAAGGCTGGGAGGAGAGCCGATGGGTGGGTAGTGTGCTGTATCGAATGAAGACATGCCGTCCGCTCTTGTGGAAAGAGGTCCAGCTGACGGGGCGAGGACTCGGCGACATATGTGCGGATTGCCTTGGTCACCTCATCTCTAAACGGTTGCATCGAGTCTTTGGGTCTGTTAGTGCCGGCCCGAATAAAGAGGACGTCAATATGGCACCTACAGACTGGATGGCCACTTCGTGAATCAGCACGCTCGTGCAGCGATCTCGAGATAGACAAGTTCCTTCCATGTTGGAGGCCGGCACGGTCGCCCGTCTTTGAGCCCTTGTCTTTCTCCATGATCCGGAGTATCTTGTCCAGCTTATCGCTGTCTTTCCTCCTGTGAGTCGAGATGCTGACGCGGTTCTTGGCTTGCTTCTCCTGGTCGGGGTCCCAGATCGGCGACAGCTCCTTTTCTTCCGGGGACAACTTGCTCCACCGATCTATGTAGTCACAATACCAGAGGAAGAACTGGAGGTTCTCTGCCTTCTTATCCACATAGACCAGGTAGTCCATGAAGTCATTCAGTGAGCAAGGCTGTGGGCTCATGTTAGTCGGTTTCTGGCGCGGTACTAGAGCATGGGTAAATATGTACCGCAGGTGCCTTGTTCTTGACAATCTCCTCAAATGTCAGACCCTCGGATGACGTCTTGCCATCTTTCACATCACCGGAGCCGTCATTGTGCGTGTTCCCAGGCATATTCACTTTCAAAGCAGTCGGTTGACTGAGCCTATACTTGGTGATTCGAGTGAAGGGTGTGTGATGGGTGCTGTAGGCATGCGAGGGAGGAGACAGACTGGGCTGCGACTGCGTAGAGGCGCCGGTCATATAGGGACAACCGTTTGGCAGTTTCAGAACGGAACAACACGTCGCTACCTGTCAGTTCTTTAACCGTAGAGGAGGGATGACGGGTTCGTAAATCCCAAACTGATTACCGGAACAAAACGTCGCTGACAGGCGATCGACTCTAACCCACACGGCCGAGGAAGAGGGCGTCGGCAGAGAAGACCGGGGAAGCCTTCATGCAGTCGTGGCTCCCATACCCACGAGCCGGATATATGTGCCTTGGTGCGGGAGGAAGGCCGGTCTTGGACTGACCAATCGCTTCTTCCATAGACTGTTCAAGAGCTATATGGCCCACTGGTAAACTGTCGCCATGCATGAATGGCGGTGACCCGAGAACGAGACGCGAACCAGCATTGATGTATATACAACCCCACGGTTCATCATGAACACGGGACGTCCGAGGGATTTTCCAGGTCCAGCTCCCAATGCTGTGGCTGGTGCTGCATCTTGTGCTTCAGGTGTAGAGAAGGCTGCCCATCCTTCAGTCACACGACAGAGGTCCGGACCTCCAAGATCACGAACCAAAGTTGTGAGGGTTTGGAGCCGATTGGTCATCGCCAACTGGCTTCGTGGAGACTACACCGCATTGACAGCCATGACCGGGATTAATCTTGTAAGCCAACACGAGCCGCGACCAGGCCTTGTTTCAGATGGCCCAGCCCCATGACGACCAACACACACAGATGCGGGGAGCTCCGCGAAAAGCGAAAAAAGCAGCACAAGGCAAGAAAAGATGGTAAGTGAAGAGCAATAATGGAGAGCATCTTACCTGCTTTGCATCGGTAGGGATACCTATCCTCTCAGAAGCATGACGCCAGTCTCTGCCAGTGTGGTACCTGAAGAATATTGTACGGCAGTAGATAGGGGATGGCCCGGGCAGCATTTCGCTCCGCTCCGGTATCTTCAGGCCATCAAGATCCAAGGCGCCGAGAACAGGAGGATGCTCATCAGTCACGGCCAGTGACAACGACATCAGGCCATGAGCGAGCACCGGAGGAAGCGCGGGTGCACAGTAAGCCTAAAAGGAACTGTGACAGTTTCAAAAGAATGACCAACGAACGATTGAGAATGCCCAACACAGAACCGCCAAAGGTTGCGTGTTGCAGCGGTTGGACCAATCGACGAGTGTATCAGAGTTGCGAATCACCTCGCCGTCTCGGGGTCTTTCCAACCCCTCTTGCGCTTCGAAAATCCGGGAAAGAAAGCCGAGAGTATATTTCTGAAACAGCGATCAGCTCCAGGGAACAGCCTCGACAGGTGATGCGAGTCGTGGAGGAAGCTATGGCCCCATGGAGCTGCACGTTCCTGCAGGAGGAGCCGCCCGATCCCGCTTATCGACGAATCGCATCTTCTTAATGCTTCTCTTCCAGGTTTTCCGATTCGAGCTTGATTGCTTACCGTTTCAGGCGCGCAACCCTCCTGCGACAAGATTATCCCGTGTTGCCAGAGCTTCCGACTACGACGCGCCTGTCAGCTTGCCTGGCCTCTCATTTGATTCTTCCCCGAAAATGCCCGCAGGGCAACATTTGATCGCCTCTTGGGGCGCGCGCCCGGTAATGATACTCATCCGAGCTGTATGATGTTCGCCTGACTGTGAAGCTACATGTAGTAACACGATAATTCCGAGGTCACGAATGTGCAAGTATCCTGCCTGGCAGTTCCGAAGATAGTAAACGTCATACTTGGGGGCCAATTTCAACGGAGGGCATATCCATGTCAATGCATCTCGACTGAACCATGGATTGCAAATCATTGCGACGCACGGTGAATGTACGTGCCATTGCCGTTGGTTCCTTCGTAAAACTTGGTCGATTGCCTGGGCCTTGATATCTAGTTGCTTCCCAGTGAGCGGTATGTCCCGGTCTTGGTGCCCGATTAGGAGCCCGGGAGAGGTCACCTCCGGCCGAGAATGCGTGAGCGTGCGCCAGGGAAGCTCCTAGGACAAAAAAACACGAGGTGAACCCAGGGCAACGTAGCATCATCTCTCCCAGAACATCTGTGCACTGCTTCGAAACCGCATGTTTCCGCATGTTTCCTCAGCCACCCGGATCCGCAGCGAGAAGGCAAACATTTCTGGACGATCCTTCGTCGTCATGTCCGGGGGGCATTGTTTCCAGAAATACGAGAAACAGTCTTCGAGAGTCTCAGGAGTGGAGTGTGTTCACCCCAGGCAAGCCACGGAGCAGCATGATCTGTGTCCTGGTGTCAACATGTGAGCGGAGTTGAGGCAAAACAAGCAAAGGAAACATATGCTCACATGGGCCTCCCGAGATGTTTGTATGCACTTCACTTCGTCTGCTTTGGCAAGCAAATCCCTCAAGGTCAAAGCCCAGCTGCTATTGACTCTGGACCTTGTTCGATTTACTTTGCTGGCTGGGAGGTCTTGGTAATGGATGCCATACCAGTGGCAGCAGCAACGGCAAAGCGGCCGGTGTAGTCGACCGCGGTGACGATGTAGAACAGAGACGTGGGCACAATGCTGAGATAGGCGACGTAGGTGAGAAAGGCCCTGTCAGGCCCAAACACCGTCTCTAGGAAACCGAAAATGACTATGCCGACGATGAAACAATAAGGTATGGCGAGGAAGTAGGGCATAGGTGTGAACGAGACTGGCGTAGGTGAGGTCATTGTGCTTAGGTGTGGTGAGCAAGGCTTGCCGAGTTGCATTGACGAAGCACGCTTCCCAGGATTGATAGAATAAAATCTGGCAAAAGTGTACATCGGCAGGCAGCCCCGTCTCTTTTGATGTTTGACAGATCAATTTTGAGCCATATTGTCAAGTCTTGAATGAGGAAGGCACATGTGGCCTGGGCACTTTGGATAAGGAAGGTGGAAGGGAAGGCAGCGGCTGGGCATCGTGGCGGGAGCGGGCCATAAGCAAGTCCCCCCAGGTTTACACCCAGAGAGATCGGTCATTGGAAGGAGCTAGTAAGAAATGCGCCTCTGCCAAGGAAACAAGTCGCATTTTCATCCCTTAGCATTAATATCAATGCTAGCGCTAAGATTGGTCGGTTGCGAGTTGCGTAGGGACTTACGACGCCTCGGTCGAGACGAGGCCCCAGCCACGATGACAAGCGTTTCTTCTATCTACTTGCCGAACCATGATGCCAAAAAAACCCAACAACACGAATACCTTCCGTCAATGAAAAGTACATCCCCTCCCAAGGAGCGCCCAAGACAACAAACGCCGTATACAATGCCTTGCCTCTCTACCATAGGGTATCGTATGCTTCAATCCTCCATCTCATCGCAGTGGGGTATGCGAGACATAAAACGTAAAACACATGCCGTGACGCATTAAAGATATGCAAGCCGCTCCTTCAAGATGCCAGAAAAAGGGCACAGGAGCAAGACTCAAAAGATTATAGTCACAAAGGCAGAATTTGCCAAGGAGCTCTGCAGAGCAATGCAAGTGGCTTACAGCCACAGGGTGAATATGAGCATGACGGCTGCCAGGCCCGCGCCCATGCCCGTGACCTCCTTGTTGATGGAGCCCAGGTTAGGCTTCTTGGTCTCGGTCGGCGAGGCTGAAGAGGTCGACCCTGAAGCAGGGTCCACAGTCGGAGTGGGCGTGTAAGAACCCTTGAAGGTCTCGCCCAGGGTCGGCAGAGCCACATTGCCATTCACAAGCCAGCCGCTGGCGGTGGAGGACGGGCAGGAGCGAGTCGAGACGGACGAGGGGTTGTAATTGGAGCTGGCCACGCCCGAGGGTGTAATCTTGGCCCACTGAGACTTGAGGTTGGTGAAGTCCGGGCTGACCGGGGTGGGCTCGCCAGCGCGAGTGAAGCCGCCCTTGATGTTGCTGCCGGTCGCGGTGGGGTCGGCAGGAGGGCCGTACGAGATCAGTCCATAGTGATTCGCCTCCTCAATCCACTCGTAGATTATGGAGCCGCTCCAGTCGTTGACCATGGGCTTGGAGAAGATGGCCTGCTGGTCGTCGAACAGGCGAGGGCCGGGGACGTTACAACCCGTCTCGGAGAAGAAGATGGGGACTGGGAAATCCTTGGCCATCGCCTGGAGATTCGTGTAGCCCGAAGTCTCGTAGGTCGAAGGGTCGCACCATTCGTACGAGTTTAGGGAGAAGAAGTCAATGTTCTGGGAGGCATTACCACCGCAGGTGAGATAGTCCTGGAGCATAGGCCGCAGCTCGGCGATATCGGCAGCTGAATAGCCGATGGGCACCTTGCGATATCCCTTGGAGTCTCGGTGCGCCTTCATGTCGCGGGCAGCTGCCTTGATATAGGGGGCGGCGTTGGACTGATTGTTAATCGCGATGATCTCATTGCCGACAAAGAAGCCCAGGGTGTTGTTGTATTTGACGAAGACATCCAGGACCTCGGCATAGCGGTCATGCTGCGTCTGGTTCCACCAAGGGTCATTCTAGCGACGAGAGTCAGTATGGCTGCCTGAGGGGGAGATCCGGTAGTGGGTTCGTTTGACTGACAGGAAGGATGTAGGTGTCAAAGGTGTCCAGATCGATCAGGGTGTAGATGCCTGCATCATCGAAGGCCTTCATGCACCCGTCATGATTGGCTTTGGCGTCGACATGGTAGATACGGATGCAATTGGCGCCAAGCTCCTTCATGAGCTTGGCATCTCGTGAGCACTGCTCAGTATCCACGAGAGGGTCATCTGCGGATCAAGTCAGATAAAGCTTGCCAATCGGGCAGGAAAGAGCTTGAATTGACGTCGTAGACGTACCTTCGGTCAATTGGTATGCAATGCCTAGGAACGCGGGGGATTAGTACCGTTGATGCTCTGAGACATGCTCCCGCCCAGATGGGCTCTGCCGCAGCGTACCTTTCATAAAGAACTGGTTTCCCTTGCTGTCGAAGAACTTGTTACCGACCGCCGTGATCGCAGAGAGCGCGGCATTAACAGCAGCTGCACTGGCGATGGCGCAGGCAATTGAAGCTTTCATTGTGCTTGATTGGCCGAGGACCGGGTGTAGTTGCGCGGCCGGAGCTGATAGCAATTTTTTTTCTCTCTCCTGTCCGTGCTAGCAGAATAGAAAGAGTCGCAATGAAGGCTCGAGCAGAAACACAGAAGACAGCAACAAAGCGAGTGTCAAGCGGCGCTGCAACCAGACTCGTATGATTCTTCTCGCGTCGCGAAAGGCGCGTGGTCGAGAGATCGGAGGTCGTTGCTCGAACGATATTAAGCCAAGCCCTGAGAGAGGATGAAGCGAGAGTGGTGGTGGTAGCACAACAACACACCAGACGACAACAATTCACCTGGGAACAACCTGACGCCGGGCCCAACGAGGAATATATCCAGACCCCAACTTCAAGCAGATGGCAAAAACGAAGGACGAGAATCCTCTCTCCCAGGAGCAAAAGAGCGCAGATCGTGGGGAAGGGGAACGAGGCAAGCCACAGACAAGACAAGGGCGAGGGAGCAAAGGTCGAGCCAAGACAGGAAGATAGCTAGGATCAAACGCTAGCTTGGGATGTTTTGGGGGCGATCCCTGCTGTCAAACCTGTTTTCCAGGTTGGCAGACTGGCCAAACATGGCTCTCGGCAGGTCGCAGGGCGGTGGAGCACGAACCAGGCGCCACATGTGCATTCAGTTGATGGGATGGCTTTGGGTCTGCCCGCGATCGGTGATGAGCGCCCGGCGAGGAAATGGCTCGAGGAGCTGGAGCAGAAGCTCCCAAGTGGCTCGAGTGGCTTCCCGTCGTGCCGGACAAAGAAATTGGCCCCCCCTTGGACTGGCAGGACTGGAGCTGCGGCTCCCCACCATCTGCACGTTTCGGCCGCTAATTCTGCTTCTAGCCTCTGCACTAGCTGCATCGCGTTGCACAGTTCCTGCGCCGCGTCATCCTTAGCTACAAAATTGGAAGTATGAGGTGTGTCCTAATCTGTGCTGTGGTCTGTTGGTTGGTGGTGTGCGCCAGCCCGAGCTGCCCAGTCGTGGCTCACTATTTCGCTTTTCCGTAGTGGAATCTCGACAGAAAAACAAAAAGTTGGCAAGAACAATGAAGCTTCACCATCCATGCATGTTCGATCTATCAAAGACAAAGAGTGCGGGGGTTCAATTGAGAAGGAAGATGCCATCTGCCAAACGCGAATCGAGATTGGACGTCCGCTGATCACCCCCTGTTCGCGTAATCTTAACTGACAAGTTCGATACCTGGTATCGTGAGGGGTCATGAGCGAATGATGGGAAGGCCTGTGCTGTGCCGTTGGCATTGAATTGCTGCCAGGTTGCCAACGACTGCCCACAGACACCGCTCATCATTTTTTCCCCCCTATTGTTCCATTTTCCCGGTTCTAGTCGAGTTGGCCGCTTCTTTCGGCTGCTCGTTTCCGGATCATTCGCCCTGGGGAGCACACCGTGGCCGGGTGTTTCATTTCATCTCAGGTGGAGGAGATGTCACTAGACGACAAAAGTGCTGAACATGGGGACTAAAAGACAAATGGACCACCGTGGGCCACTTTGGCGGATCATTCCCCTTGTCTCTCTGTCCGGCCGGCCTGGCGACCACGAGCCCATGCTTCAGGTTGACTGCAGTGTGACGTTTTGTGTACAATGCGACCGCTCGGTCTAACTTGGGGGCGGGTTTTAGTTGATGTCGATCACTTCAACGGCGTCGGTTTCACTGTTGGAATTTAGACTTCCGCTAGACTGCAGATACTCAACGACTATCCGTGAACACTGTGTAAATATCGAATCTTGAAAGTAAAAATGGCTTCAAATACATACGTCAAATACACTATGCCTCTCAAGAGTCGTTGGCATGGGTTCCTCCTACAAACACCACAAACACCATCATGAGGAGTCGGGTCGAGTCTTTTGCGGAAGGTGTAAAAGAAAGCTGCATTGAATTTTCGTCATCCCGACAAGCTGATGACGCAATGTCTCGAGAATCTCCAAGCAACCTCACGGCATCTCGGCACCACCGACCGGGCTCACAACAAGCAAGCCACAAAGCTGCTCTTTACGTGTACCAAACTCTTGACTCTTGGATTTTCCTTCAACCCAAGCCAAGGCCGAGCAATCGCATTTCCTTGAAGATCAAAGACGAGAAAGGGTAATACCAAGACAGATAATGACCACCCAAACCCGAAAAAACATATCCCTGGGGTGCGCCCGCACTCATGAAATCATTCAACCAACATATCCCAAGCGCCCCCCCCCGCCGCCCAACTCCAATCAAATGCCTAAAACCCATTCATCATTCCTTGGCAGCATCGTCACATCGCGAAGACGATCTGACTGGCCTTCTCCGCTCTCGCTGTCAAACTGTTTCAAAACGGCCGTGTGTCAGACTACACATACCCATGGCGATAGCATGAAAAGGAAAAAAAAAACAGCGTCATAGCCCGTGGAAAAAAACTAACCTGCCACGCCCATATACATGGAACTCCGCCACGTCCCCCTCGCCCGGCCGCCGCCCTGGCTCGAGTCCGTGCCCCCGGACATGTTGCTCGCCCTGCCCGCCCGGCTGTGCTCGCTGCTGCGATGGGACGACGCGCTCGACCACCCGGCCACGGACATGGCGTCGGGCGACGAGGCCACCTGCTGGTGGTGGTGGTGGTGTGGGCCCTCAAAGTTGAACCCCCAGCTGCTGTACTGGTGGACGCAGTGCGGCTCGGCCACGCCGCAGGTCCCCGTGAGGACGTCGTACATGCGCATCTGCACCTCGTGGGCCGTGGGCCGCTCGGCCGGGTGCGCGGCCAGCATGCGCTCCACCATCTGCAGCACCGGCGGCACGCCGCTCAGGAAGATGTCGCCGTCCTTCTTCTTGCGCTGCGACACGGCGTCCTCGGCCAGCTCCGCCATCCACGTCTCCACCTGGCCCAGGTTCCGGTGGAAGGACGCGTCCGGCGGCGCCCCTCCCCTGCCCGGGGTCTTGTGCTTGGCGGAGCGGTGGGCGGCAAACGACCGTGACGACCGCTTGACCAGGAAGCCGACCAGCTCGAGGATGACGCAGCCGAGGGAGAAGATGTCGGCGGCCTGGGCGTTCAGGCAGGGGCTGGTGGCCGGCGCCGTGGCGATGGTGGGACTGCGCACCCCCGACTCGCGGCGGCTGATGGAGAAGACGTAGTCGCTCGCCGGTTGTTTTGGCGACTGAAGACCGTTCTGGCGACTACGTCCGTCTTTTGAACCCGTCGATGGTCGAGATCCCTGCTCTGGAGCGGCGTAGACGTATGACTCCTGATCGAACGAAGACTTCTCCGTGGACCCGGTTAGTAGTTCGGAGCCTAACTTCGTGAACCCCGAGTAGAATATGTGATTGTCTTCGGTGATCAGAATCGTCGACGGCCTGATGTTCCCGTGAGACAGCCCTTTGCTGTGGAGGAACGCCAGAGTGTCGACGAGGCAGTGGATCCAGTCCATGATCAGATATCTCCTGAGCTGCTTCTCCAGGCTCTTGACACTTGCCGGCGTGCTTGCCAGGAATGATTTTAGGCTAAGGGCACCAACGGGGGTGAAGAGGACGTATCCTTGACTCCGGTGAATGTAAGACGCCCAGTACGACACCAAGTGGTCGTTCTCGATGGTCCTGATACTCTCAATCTCGTCCTGGAAATCCTCAGAGGACAGACCGTGCTCGGGTCCAAGCCGAATATGCCTACGGCAGAATATCCTGCCGGGCTCGTTGGGAAGCATCACCTTGTCTGCGGACTGAGTCGGCAGCAGTTTCTGCCTCGCGCCTGGGACTTCGATGGGGACGATGTCCATGTCATGGTAGTTGATATGGGTGCCCTTGCGCAGCGGCTTGAGGATGTAGTGAAACTGGCGAAAGTAAAATAACCTCCTGAGCGAGTCGTCCTTGGAAAAGCGCGGGGTCAAGCGCTCGACCTGCTCCGGGTTGATGGGCAGGTCGGTGTCGTCCCACGAGTTGTCAATCATGCCAAAGATCTGCTCCGTCATCTCGAGGTCGACGAGGATGAGGAATATCCTCCTGGCCTTCTGCTCGATCCATTCCCAGTAGGTGTCGTTTGTCAGGCCATCGCCGAACCCGGGCGTGGAGTCCAGCTGCTCGACCTCGCGGGCCTTGAGATGGGAGCACACATAGCTGCGAGTGACAGTCGCCTCGATGCGCGCGTCGTCCCACCAGGCCATGTTGCATTCGGGGGTGATGCCTGGATGTGTAAGTCAGGGAAGTCAGGGTGTCCAAGTTTGTGTGCGTAAGAGTCTCGTCAAGCGTTGGCAAGGCGCATCTTGATGGGACGGCGCACTGGTGGGGGGGGGATATGTTTCCTCTGTGAAGCGGAGTCGTCTTGTCGATATGCGAAAGGGGAAAAAAAGGCAAGATTATCCAGGCAGGCAGAAGTCGGGCCAGTCACACAGGCACACGGGCACACACCAGACACACACAAAAGATACACACACACCTACACGCGTAATGCAACCAAATGAAATGAAATGAAGACAGGTTGGAGGGCATGAAGAGAAGTCTGGTATAACCCCTCACCAACTGCATGCGATCCCAGGCTGACTAACCCCAGTCCAATCCTTCCCTCGCTTAGTCCCCCAACTCTGGACGCCCAGGCTGGAAGGGAGGGAGGGAGGGAGGGAGGAGGAGGGCCAGGACGGGACGAGTGCAGGCAGACGGGCAGAGACGGGCATACGGACGTACGTACCTCTTCGACCTGGGGGCGGATCATCACAGATGTGTTACCGAGGAGTCGGGTCGATAGAGTGAAAGTGAACGCACGCACGGATTCGTCCCGCCCCGACGTGCTCAGAGATTAGGGGGTCGCATACCCGTTTCAACGGCTGACTCGTCCGGGTGGTGGACCGTCGAGAGACAAGAGGTGCGAGCCATGTAACCACCTTAGCTACCTTGGCGAGGAGAAGTAGCGAGAGAGCGAAGATGCGCCTCTTTTCCCTGCCTTTCTCTTGCTCCCTGCCCTGCCCTGCTTATCGGACGGCAAAGGAATAAGCAGGGATGGCGAGGTTGCGCATGGGGCCACATGTGTGCTACCCAGGCGTGTGCCAGGCGAGAAAGACCAAAATGCTTCTTCCCCCAGAGTTATGTGGTGGAGTGCCGCCATGATTGGGCGGCGCCCCCGCGGACCGAGATAAGGGCAGGGCCGTCCATTTGCTACGGCGCTTCACACGCCAAAAACGTCCAAGACATCAACGAACTAGTTGCCTAGGTAGTCGACTACTTGCATCGCCAGATCCCTGCAGCATGTGAGAGCCGACGCGATAGACTCAAGGTAGTTTTCCCTGGGCGCCTTGTCTGTGTGCCGGACCCCCATCCTACGCCTACGTAGGTTGTGTGGCGTGGTGTGATGATGGTTCCATGGAAGATGACCTAACTACCTACGAGGCGGGTGCACACGCGACACAATGGCTTGCATGTACGAAGTCGATATGTTGCCCCGTGGGCAGACAGGCGGCTTACTCGGCACAGGTTCGTGCTACCGTGCGGGAAGAGTATGTGCGGGACCATTACTCAGATAAGAAGCTGAACAAAGAGTTGTGCATTTCTGGCTAGTACAAGTGGAAGAGCAGCAGGTCAGATGTGAGATGGAGCCTCGTCACTTTCTCGGCCTTTTGATATATGCGCGCCTTGTGGGGTTTCTCTGATATCAATCTTCAACGGAATACGTCGGTTTTGCTATCTTGCCTACATTAGTCTGAGCAATATCTCCATCATTCGACATTGCGTGGCGTTTTGACAGCTTGGCCAGAAAATATCATGTGAAGAAGTGTTGGGAAGCGGAGGTCCTTGGTCCTGACACATATCTTTCGAAGAGCTGAGTATTTCGTGTCCAGATGATCTGTCTGATGTACCATCGGGGGTGTGTATGCCTATTCTCAGAATAGTATGTTCCACAGCATTAGAGCACACGGCAGAATAGTCCACCATCAGTAGCCATTAAGTTGCGTCTATTATGGTCATGCTCATATATCTACACAAGTAGATACCTTGGTTGTCTAGGTACTTTCTTTCTTCGGCCCGCCCCTTGTTCGGTGTGTCCCGTCCCGTGGCTGCCAGCAGCCACCCGCCGCTCACCGAGACCCTGCCTCCAGCCCCTTCTTCAATGCACCGCCGCCCCGTTCTTCTCGCTCAGCTCCGCGGTGGCGGCGGCGCCCTGCCTGCCCACAAACGTCGACATGGCCGTGTCGACGCCCGCCAGCTTGCGCACGATGATCTGCACGCCCACCGGCAGCACGTTGTACCACGCCATCCACCGCGCGTACAGCGGCATGCCGATGTGCTCCGCGTTGCCGTTGTCGATGGCGAAGATGACCTCGCGCGCCACCTCGACCGGCTCCACCACGGGCGCCAGGAAGCTGTTGGGCGTCTGCACGCCGTAGAAGAGCGGCGTGCTGAGCTGGCCGGGGGTGACGAGCACGGTGCGGATGTCCGGGTGCTCCGCGCGCAGCTCCGCCGTCAGCGACTTGTGCAGCGCGATGAGGCCCGCCTTGGCGGCCGCGTAGTCGCTCAGCCGGGCGGCGCCCACCTCGCCGATCACGCTCGAGACCGTCACGACGGTGCCGCCCCGGCCGGCGCGGATCATGGGCGGCAGGAAGGTCCTGAGGGCGTAGAAGCTCGAGAGGAGGTTGGTGGACAGGCTGCGGTCGATGTCGTCAAAGTCGAGGTCGACGAGCTTCTTCCCGACAACGATCGCGGCGTTGTTGATGATGACGGTCGGCGTGCCGAGCTGTCGACGAGTAGCAGATTAGCTTTTGGTTCTCGAACTAGCAACGTGATAAATGTGCGCCGTAGACTTACCTCCTCCTCGATCTTCTTCGCCGCCGCAGCGAGCTGCTTCCGGTCCGAAACATCGCACTTGTAGTACGAGACGCCTCTCGCCTCGCCATTCTCCATCTCCTTGACGTCGAGGACGGCGACCGAGGCGCCGCGCATGCCGTAGACCTCGGCGATGAGCAGCCCGAGCCCGCTCGACCCGCCCGTGATGACAATGACCTCCTCGCTCATGTCGACCTCGCGCGGGATGCCAAAGGCGATGCGCTTATTGACAGCGCTCGCCGTCCAGCACACGGTGATGAACGTGGCATAGGCCATGGCCACGCGCATCGGCATCGCGTCCCAGTGCATATGCTCCGCGCGAAGGCAGAGGACGGCCACCCAGGCCACGAAGGGATGCAGGAACGTCACATAGAGCACCTTGAGGAAGAGGTCTATGGATAGGGGCGCAAACCACGACTCCCGCTGAGGAGGCCGGCGGAAACCGTCCATCGTGGGATATTTGTGTCTTGGTCGAGGGGTGAACGAAGGACAGGTAAGCTTGCCCGGAAGACGGAACCAGAACGCCAATTCCTGGGCTGCTCTAGAGAAGATTAAATATGTGTAGGTGCGAATGAATGAATGACAGAGCAATTCGTCTGACAGGAAGTAGAGAATTAGATTGTATCAAAGAAAAAGTACCAATTCTCCGATCACGACCGGAGCTGGGAAGATCAAGCGAGGGAGAGCTGTGGTGTCAAGGAGCTTTTGAAACTTCAGGCCCAAGCGCCGGACCCCTCGTTCGTTTCAATCCAACTTTGAGCTCCAGCTTGAGGCAGCTCGTGCCGCTCCGGCCCCTGATTTTACCTGGCATGTGCCTGAACCTGAGCCTTGTCCAGTGCGCCATGGTGCCCCGCCATCTCCACTAAATAAGGCTACAGAGTCTAGCCGAGCACGCTGAGATCTACCAAAACCAGCCTCACAACACGACTGACGCCATGGCTTGGATGTGGTGGTAAGAAGGAAATTTCTCACGAATGTTTAGGGGGCCCGTTCGGCGCTTGATTGGAACTTCGATGTAGCGCGGCACCGGTACATTAGACTATGGTTGAAGTCTAGAAGCAATGCTTTCTTCCACTTCCGCAAATCAAGCCTCCAACTTGGGGTATAAGAAGCTACCTGAAGTACTTACAAAGGGCACAACAACTTTTCCTGCCTTTCCATCCCTTTCCCAAACGCCGATGCAATGCATACAAAACGGTAAACAATAGCCTGCAGAGCTGTGGCGCAAGGCCACGAGACTACTTTTGCTTGGCCAGAACCATCTTCTCTCTCTCGCTCTCCCGCTTCTCGAATTGCTTCTTGGAGTGCTTGCGAATGTTCTCCTCGCGTCGCTTGATCGCCTTCAGCTCCTCCGACTTGATCTCTCCAGCCTTCTTCACAACCTTGGGCAGATGCCTGTGGCGCTTGATGCGGCGCACTTCCGGCATGTGGCCATATCTATCCACGAGGGCCTCGTTGTACTCGCGGGCTTGCCGCTGTCTAGTGGACACCACGCCTTCTCGCTTGCTAGCGTTGGCTCTCCAGAGCCTGATGTTGCCGTCGTCTGATCCAGACAGGACATATTTACTGTCAGGTGTGAATGTTACAGAGAACCTAATGGCACATGTCAGCATTCAAGGATAAGAGAATGATCCGCCACGGACTCCGGGAAGACTTACACTCTCTGCTGTCGTTTTGTGTGGTACATATCTCGGGAGTGACCCTGGTCACGCTTCCATAGTCGGATTGTCCGATCTTGAAGTTTGATGTTAGCCTTTTCCAACCGCAGGTTCTGACAAAGTGCAAGTCTGCTCACCGTAGCTACCGCTGACAAGCTCCTCTCCAGTCGGAGAAAACTGCACAGACATTGCTGCGGCAACGTGACTTTGAAATGTTAGCTTTTCGCAAGAATGTAGGTATCGGGAAGAGTGAGTATGTGTCTTACCCCTTCAGCACATTTAACGCACGATCCATCTTGCGCATGTCGAATACTACAAGATCATCATCAGCTCTCAGTGTCGCCACAGAAGAGGCATCAAGCTACTCACAGTAGATGTTATGATCTTCGTTAGCCACGGCAAAGTTCATGGCCTCCATGGGGTTCCAGGCAATCTGGTTCGAGGCAAAGTTCAGCACCGTCCTGTGCAGAGGCATCGATGTCCGCAGATCGAAGAGGACGATGGACCGGTCGACGGCGGTAGAGGCCAGGATGCTCTGTTCAACCTGGTTGAAGGCGACATTGGTGATCGTGTCCGTCGACGAGGGCCATTGAAGCACTTCAGGGGCGGCAGTGTGGCGCTCTAGATCGTAGATGGATACGACATTCGAGGAAGCGGCGAACGAGTTCTTGGATCGGTGATGGCTGATGCTGGTGAAGGCGTTGGTGCCCAGCCAGGTTGATAGAGGTGCTGAGTTATTCTCTGTCTGATATGGCGAGAACAGATGAATCTTGCGATCCGTACCGCAAGACAAGAGCTTTTGGTCCCTCGTCCAGCAGATCCTGGGGATGTTCTCGTGTGCGTGATTCACCTGCCAGACCTGCTCCCTCGAAGTGAGATCCCACACCTTCAGACTTCCATCGCCGGCGCTGCTTGCAAATCGTTGGAGAGAGTTCGGGTCCGAGACGATGTTGTAGACACCATCGCTATGGCCATTGCCGAGCTGCGCAATGAAGGGCGCAGCAAACATGCGCTCAAGCTTGACGGCATTGAGAGCTCGGGCTACGGAGAAGCCGGTCAGCAACACTGAGCAACAATATAGGGCGGCAAGAATAATCCTGGATGTGAGTCTGAGGGCAGGTCTTACTGTATTCTCTGGCTCTCTCAAAAGGATGGATGGCGGGGTCTACATTTCGAGGTTGCTTGGGAGCCGTCGACCCGGGCGGCTGGTAAGCAGATACAGATCTGCTCAACGCTTTGATTTTCTAAGATACGGACGGGTTAGAGGAGGTATCAGAGACTGAGAGACAAGGTACGGTATCTCACCATGTTGACAATGTGTCCGTGAGGTTCAAGGTCACGACTGCAGGGTGTTTTCGAAGAGGCGATCAACCAGTCTTGCCTACCAAAATTTCGATGGAGGTTTGCCCACCAGGATCCCAAATGTTGGGCTTATCGATAAGGTCTTTGATGGCGATAAGAGTGGCCCAGATTTTCGCTGTGCAGTTTTGCACGGACCACCTCAGCGCACCAGAACCAAGTGGAGTGGATCAAGCTCTCTTGCCTTACCTAATGCACCGCTTCGCGTTCACTGGTTACCTGGAGCTTCCCTGAGGAAGAGGCTGGAACATTATCACAAGAACGTCAACTCTCACTGTCTTGCTCTATCAACACCAACCAACCGCGATATCGAGAAGAACCGTCACATTGACGATCGCCAGACTATTCATCTTAGTAGCCCTCACGACTTGACTGAACGGCACGGATCGCGAGCCGGCTACATTTGAGACAACCTAAAGCTCATCGTCATCCAACCCAACAGCCTCGCCTCCCGAGCAGATAGAGACCAGGAGAGACAATGGCAGCTGGGGAATCGCAGAGGGTGCAGGAGGCACAAAAGATCGCCAAGGCCAATCCTCAGCAAGCAGAGTCCATCTACAAGGAGATCATCTCCAAGCCCCCCTCTGTCACCTCCGATGCAGCGGTTCGCGAGTACGAGACGGCGTTGGTCAGCCTAGGAGAGCTGTACCGGGATCAGAAGTAGGTTCATCTGGCAATTGGATCTGCCACCAACAAGGCCACAGACTAACATGCTGCGTATAAGGAACACAAACGAGCTGGTAGAGCTGGTGACCAAGAGCCGGACGGTCCTCTCATCATTCGCAAAGGCAAAGACGGCCAAGCTCGGTAAGGACTTGTCGCTAGATCATCGAGTGATGCAGTAACTGACCTTGTACTCTCCCTCCCTAGTCCGTCAGCTCCTTGACCTCTTCGAAGACATCCCCAACTCGATAGAAATCCAAATCTCCGTCACCAAGTCATGTATAGAATGGGCCACCTCTGAGCGACGAGGCTTCCTCCGCCAGAACCTCGAGACCCGCCTCGTGACGCTCTACATGGCCAAGCAGTCCTACTACGAGGCCCTCACCCTCATCAACGGGCTCCTGCGCGAGCTCAAGCGCCTCGACGACAAGCTCGTGCTCGTCGAGGTCCAGCTGCTCGAGTCGCGGGTGTACCACGCGCTCGGCAACATCCCCAAGGCCCGCGCCGCCCTCACCAGCGCCCGCACCTCGGCCGCGTCGGTCTACACGCCGCCCCTGCTGCAGGCCAACCTCGACATGCAGTCGGGCATGCTGCACGCCGAGGACAAGGACTTCAACACGGCCTTTAGCTACTTCATCGAGGCCCTCGACGGCTACCACTCGCAGGACGAGCCGCAAAAGGCCACGGCGGCCCTGCAGTACATGCTGCTCTGCAAGATCATGCTCAACCTCGTCGACGACGTCAACCAGCTCATGACGTCCAAGCAGGCCGTCAAGTACGCGGGCCAGTCCCTCGAGGCCATGAAGGCCATCGCCCGCGCCCACTCGAACCGCTCCCTCGAGGAGTACGAGCGCGCCCTCGCCGCCTACAAGTACGAGCTCGGCTCCGACGCCTTTGTCCGTAACCACCTGCGCCGCCTCTACGACGCCATGCTCGAGCAGAACCTCATCAAGGTCATCGAGCCCTTCTCGCGCGTCGAGATCGACCACATCGCCAAGATGGTCGGCCTCGACACCCAGCAGGTCGAGCGCAAGCTGTCCCAGATGATCCTCGACAAGGTCATCATCGGCGTCCTCGACCAGGGCGCCGGCTGTCTCATCATCTACGACGAGACGCACCGCGACGAGTCCTACGACGCCGCCCTCGCGACCATTGAGAAGCTGAGCAACGTCGTCGACCTGCTCTACACCAACCAGGCCTCGATGCTGGAGTGATGTTACTGTGGTGGATTGTAGGATGGCGGAAGGTCACATAGGGGATGCATACGGTGCAACAGTATGGAGCACCTTTGCTCAACTTGTACTAATAGACTTTAGAGAGAGCAGAGACAAAGAGCGAGAGGTGGAGATGCATGGGCGAGGTCGCAGCTCGCGCTTTTTTGATGCAAATACACATGGTAGCATATCAGACGTATCAATTCGGAAAAGGATATCTGGCGAATGAAGGCATGAAACCATCGTATCGATCGAGAACGCAAAAGACCTCCTGAAGGCCATTAACACTGACTGAACTGGGGTATATCGTAAACCTTTCTCGATCCTGCTTCCCTTATCAAAAACACCGTTCGACCCAGATGCAGGTGAACGAATCGACAGACCAGGTGAAGAAAGGGAGAAAGCGTTTTTTCGCTCTCCCGCTGATGCATCCCAGTGACCAGAAACCGAAAACCAGTGTGAAAACCTCCCCTACCCCAACATAAATGCTGCCGTCCGAACCCAGACATGACAATTTAGTACAGCGAAAGGAAAAAGAAGAAAATCCGCACCAGACACTCCCCCTGCGACAATCCATCCCTCATAAAGCTCATAACAAAACCCACAACACCATTACCAAAATCAAACAACAACCTCGGCCCTCCGCCGAGGCACAAGCCCAAGCCTCCTCCTCTCCTCCCCAACGATGAGCGCAAAAAGCCTCTTGGCCAGCACGTTCTCGTCCCATGCACACGACGCCGCAGCCGATCCGCCGTCGCCGAGCTCCGCGGCAAAGGCATCGACGACGTCGAGGTGCCACTGCTCGAGCGTCATCGTCTCGCCCTGCGCGGCGACCTGCTTGCCCAGCAGCGCCGAGGACCGGCGCCTCGACGGCGGCGCCGCGGCCGCCCGGTGCTGCAGCTGGAAGTTGAGCGGGCCCGCGCGCCGCCGCTCCTGCAGCAGCTCGTCGAGGCGCACCCAGTGCCCGCGGGACCAGGTCGTGTGCGACAGCGGCGGCGAGGCCTGGCGGCCTGCGGCGGCAGTGGGTCCGCCGCTGCTGCCCGCCACCACCGACTTCGGCGTGCCGGCGAGCAGGGACGAGGTGAAGCTCATGCTCTTGTTTGCCGCCATGGCCTGCTGCTTTTTGCCGGTGGCTGGGCTCGGCGCGTTCTCCTTGTCGGCCTCCTCGTCATTGGTGACGGTGGCACCAAGAGTAGAAGCAGCAGACTGCGGCGGGAGGTTGCTCCGAGGCTGGCTGGCCGTCGAGGCGCTGAAGTTCTGGCCCCACGAGGCGAGCCCGCTGCTCTGTACGTTACGATCGGCCCGGACCTGGGCCTGGGCCAGCGGCGACAGAGTGCTGCTCGTGAACTCGACGACACGGCCGGGCGTCTTGGGCTTGAGTGGTGAGCGCAGGCACGACTTGGTTGGCGACGCCGTCTTCTCCGGCAGGGGCTTGAGATCAGGTGTGTCAAAAGACGAGTCGTGATCCGGCCTGGGAGCAAAGTTGAGTGACTTCTTCCCACCGGCAAGCAAGCTCGGCCCCGTTCGTTTGGCGGGTGACTTGAAAAGAGACCCGCCTGATCTGCCAAGTCGAGGGGTGAAGTTCTGCTTTTGGGCAACATGCATAAAGGAGGAGCGATCAGGGGTAGAAGGAGGGACCGGCGTTGGCTCCTTCTGGACCTCATCCGCATCAATAGCTTCGTCTTCTGGCTCTAGAGGTTCACCAAGGGAGAAGAGGTCAGCACTCTTTGGACCGCTGGGCTGGAAGCTCTGGGCCAACACGGAAGAGCGAAGCTGGCTCTGTGCCGCCGGCTTCTGAGCCGCGCTCTGCATCCTGTCACGGAACTGAAAGCGCTTCTGTGGCAGCGAGGGTGTCGGCTGAATGGGTTGCGGTGATGGCTCCTCTGTCTCCTCTTCTCTCTGCGGCACCGAGGGGACGATTGGCTGTTGCATCGTTGGAGGCTGCATCTTGGGTAGCACTGCGGGCGACGAGAAGAAGGAGGACAGGTCCACCTTGCTTGTCTTCGGAGCGGTCTCCTGTGGTGCATTTTGTGCCTCTTTGCTGCTTTGGGCAGATAGCATAGAGTACTCTTCGGTTCTCGAAGGCTCCTCATTGGCAGAAGCGACTGCATCTCGAGCAACTTCATCATTGTACTGGAATCGCCTGCTGTTCTGCCTCCAAGGGCTCGGGAGCTTGCTCCGTCGAGGTGGGTTGATGATTGCATGGCGCGACTCTGATAATCTGGAGGAATCTTGCGTCGACCGTTGTGCCTCAACTGCCCAAATGTCCCAGTCGTCATCGCCCGCTTGGGACGGAGCAGCAGGTGAGAAATGCTGCATCTCGACGTCTTCGTCCTGGCCCATCGGCTGATCCATGGATCCTTTCGTCGCAAATCGGCTCGAAATGGAATCTCTTCCATCCCCGGCCATGCTCAGATTTCGTGGTGGGCTGTTGTTCACCTCCCACTGCATCTCATCGTCGCTAGGAGGATGCACTCTGGTTGAGCTGAGGGTGTTAGCCGCGAAGACGGGTTGCTTGAGAGGTGAATCCGAGAACATAGCCTCGGACTCTACAACTGGCTCTGCCAGTCGTTCCTCGGACTCTGAATCAGCAGATTCTTCCGGGGCTGCTGTGCTAGCCATGCGTGGAGAAAAGACCTGAGCGCTCTGCACGACGAGATTCTTCAGCTGGCTCAAGGGAGCAAAAGCTTTGGACCATGACCTATCCGACTGCGGAACAGAGGGCGGCGGTGGCTGGGTAGGAGTCGGCGCAGTCACCTTGGGAGTTGAGACAGGCGCAGTTGCCTCCCGCTGCATCGGTGCTGGAGATGGTGTAGGCCTTCCAACCGAGCTTCGGAAGGGGCTCCCAAGCAGACTCTCCCTATCCTTAGGTGATGGTGGATCCGAAGTAACACTCTGCAGTGCTCGTCCAGCACGAACGATGGGCGAGAGTGCCGGGCGTGAGCTACTTGACGGAAGCGAAGGACTCTCGGCCCTGTTGTCAACTACAAACATTGGCGGCGGCGGCAACTGCGGAGAAGAGGCGAGTCTTGGCGGTGTAGCGGAGGAGTTTTGCCTCGAGTGATGTGTAGAACTCCAACCGCTGAGCTGCTGTTGGGGAGCATCGGGTGCTGGAGGAGATGATCTGCTCGGGGAGCCTCCCATCAGCCCGGCTTGGCTCATCTTCTCCTGGAACATGCTATGCACGCTTTCGATAGGAGACGGAGTCTCGTCTGGAGTCAACAGCCTATTTGACTCGGATTCCAGCTGATTTGCGGAGCTAGCGATAGAACCGCGACGGGAAGCAGATCGGGAAGGACTCTCCTCTTGCACCTCTGCCTCTTCCACTTCGCCCCCGGGTAACATGTCGACATCATCCTCAGAGTGATCCGCTGCAGGTAGCATGTCATTATCATATTCTTGTTCGTCCTCCTGCTCCTCCTGCTCCTCCTCCATTTCGAAGTGATGAGAGACCGCCGGCCTTCGGGGAGTTGCGGCTTCCAGAACAGCTTCAGGGATCTCCGAGAAAGAATCCTCGTACATGCTGTGATCTTCGATGGCACGCTTCGAGGTATCGGCCCTCGGCGTGCGTTCAGGAGAGTCAGCCATTTGAGGTTGTTGTGGGCTGGACGGGGCATCGCTTTTTTGAAGTGCCTTGAGGGCCACCTGCCGGCTGAGAGGCTGTGGGCGATTCCTCCGAGGGCTCTTAGTCCACATTTGCGGCGAAGACGGCTGGGAGAAGAGGGGTCCATCGCTCTGATGGGATGTAGCATCAACTTGAGGTGAGTCTTTAGGTGGAGATGAAGAGGCGGGGATCTCTTGGTCGGTCGAAGGCAGGACCAGACTTCTTCCTTCATTTTGACTCTGATCATGTCGCAATGACTCGAGTGTTCTGCTGACAATGAGACTTGTCACCTCGCCCATCTCAGGCAAGGCCGCCTCGTGCATGCTAGAATTGGCATGGAATGATTGCATGGTGTCAAAAGAGATCATGCTAAAGTCTTCGCCATTGACGATGGTGTCCTGTCCACCCACGCTAGGTGCGATGCCCTCGCTGATGACTGATTCGGCCTCGCTACGATGATCCATGTCCATCATGGCCTCCGGGGCGCCATCGGATTCTGAACGTGCACGGCCAGGTGAGCTTGACCGTGTTTGGGATCGTGTTGATCGCGTTGACCTTGTTGACCGTGCTGAGCGGGGTACGGAGCGCTCAAAGGAAGCAGATGTGTCGGCTTGTCCTCGGTTCGAGTATTGCCGTCGAATGGAGGGCTCTGGAACGTTGATAAGCCACATGTCGTCGTCATCACCGCCGCCGCCCTCCGCTGCATCGCCGGCATCAAAATTGTCCTCGGTGGCATCGGGAGCTTGGATGGCGACTCCTGGATCACTCGCGAGAACCCGGTCGTCTAGTGGGCTCGCTGGAGCGTCATCGATGGACGAGACCGAGGGGTCGCTAACAATTATCGTCGTCTCCGTGGCGTCGTATTCCTGTTCTGCAATGACTTCGGCCTCCTCTGGTGCAAGCGCTTTTCGTGGACGTCCACGTTTCCTGGGTTGAGAATCGGGCGCGGACTTTGGTTCCTTCGCCTTTGCCGGCGTGGCAGACTTCTTCTTGGGTGTCTTCTTCACCCGAGGAGCCTTTGGCGTAGCTTGGTCGCTAGCTAGACTGATCTCCGACGCCGTGTCTTCTGACGCGAGCCTCGCCCTACGAGTCTGTCTCGGAGTGCCTTTGATAGGAGTCCCTGCTCGCTTGCGCGTACCCGGCGTCGGGGTCCCTGATCTCCGAGGCCGTCCTCGTTTTCGCGGCGTCGCTGCGCCTTCATCGTCCGTCAACCCCTTGAGGGGTACTGAGGTTGTGGTTGTCATCTCTCTCCTGCGGATGCCGGATCGTGGGGTGGGCGAGGCAGCAAACAGCCGGCGGCTGACGCCGTTCTCCTTGTCGGAACCGTCAGCCTCGACGGTGACGAGGATCTTTTGCGGGGAGCGCTCGTCGCCGACGTCCAATTCAAAAGTGCGCTTGCGGGGCGATTGCGACAGCGACGCGAAGCGCTGGGTGCGCTGGCTCCGTGTTATGCGCCTCGTGTAGGGCGCTGTCGAGCTCGGGACCACTGACTCTATCAGCGGATCCGGGGAGGACATCAGGTCCATTTCGGCGGACGACATGATGGCAGCTTTGACGGGGAGGCATCCAGTGTTATGGAGCACGATTGCGACGGTGTTGTTTCGCAGAATTGGCCAAAATATGTCAATCTCGGATCTGTCGTCGAGAATTAGACGTGAGACATGTGGGCTTTTGCGCCGTTGTCCACAGCAGGCACGAGTGTTTGTTTACTATTTGCCCGATCGGGAAAGGCGCTCCCGCTCAGGACACTGGGCTGCACTTGCACGTGAGGGACCCGAGTGGGGTTTTCCAATTGATGCCCCCACCCTCACAATTCCCCTTACCCTTTCGAGGCAGAACGATTCTCCTCCATGCCCGTTTTTATGCAGAAGTTATGTAATGCAACTTGATGTCATCGCCCGCTTGATTTGTCAAAACCTGGGGAAAGGCAACGGCAACATGTACATTTCCACTTCACAGAACGAGCACCAGACAGCGAGCACCGCATCCGGGGTTTAGATTGCGTTATCCTGTAATCTGACTAACATGGAGCGCTCTCTACAAGTAATGCCCTTCCCCGTACTTTCCCAGACCTTCCTGATTCAGCAGGTTCTGCCGTAGCGCCGCCAGACATCTGCAACATTGATGGCGTGCTCGAAGCATCTTGCATGATGCAAATGCCGAATAGTTTGTAAGACAGACACTTTTACTAATCGGACTCGCTTTCTTGAACTTGATTTCCGTAGGGCGTCGGGAAGAACTTCAATTATAAATCTACAGAAGCTGTATATAAGTTGCCTTTGCCACTTTGCATTTTCAAGAGAACCCCTCAACAAGGCAGAACAGACAATACAGTACAACTGGATATAGCCTTCCGTGTCAGAGCTCATACCACCACCACCAACTAATTGTTCACCCCTGCCATCACCAACACGGCGCTCTCCATCCGTCCCGTTGCTAGAAACATCATATCGGCCCTCACCAAAGCAACCGCCTCACCCCGCAACACACCCCTCCTCGCCAAAATGGCAGTACACCCGGACCCCGTCCCCCGCGGCCCCGTCCGCGCCCAGCTGAACTACTACACCCCGCCGCCCGACGGCTCCCGCCCGCACAACTACGTCGAGCCGGCCGAGGGCCAGCCCCAGCGCAACTTCGCGCAGCAGGCGCACGCCGTCGACATCGCCGACATCCGCGGCCGCGAGTCCGACTTCCAGTCCCTCGACCGCGACGCCTTCCAGGTGCTCCGGGGCCTGGCGCCCTCGGCCGAGCGGTCCTTCGCCGACGACGCCTCCATCCGCGAGCGGTACTACCCGGAGGTGGAGGAGCTGCTGCTGTCGCACATCCCCGGCGCCAGCAGGGTGCACCTCTTCGACCACACCATCCGCCGGACGGACCCCAAGAGCCCCCGCGCGCCCGTCACCTACGTCCACATCGACCAGACGGCCAGGTCGGTCGAGCAGCGCGTGCGGCGGCACATGGGCGACGAGGCCGACGCCCTGCTCCGCGGCCGCTACCGCATCGTCAACGTCTGGAGGCCGCTCAACAAGGGCCCCGTCGAGACCTTCCCCCTCGCCTTCGCCTCGTCCGCGTCGCTCGACGACGCCGACGTGGTCCCCGTCGAGCACCGCTACCCCAACGGGTACACGGGCGAGACGGCGTCGATCCGGTACAACCCGGGCCAGAAGTGGTACTACCTGAGCGGCATGACCGGCGACGAGCGCATCCTCCTCGAGTGCTTCGACAGCGAGGCCTTCAAGGCCGGCTCCGGCGTCCAGGGCGGCAGGGTGCCTCATACGGCCTTTGTGGATCCCCGATCAAGGCCGGATGCTGAAGGCCGCGAAAGCATCGAGGTCAGGGCCCTGGTATTTGGGCCCTGAGCAAGCCATTTCTATCTTTGGAAGTATGTACATATCAGGCGTTCGAGTTGCACGGACTAGGGGGAGCGATAATATGATGAATGATAAGAGAAATTTGTATAGCGAGAATCTAGCTGCTATTTAATGAATTACAGAAACAACACGCTCTGCATGGAACACAGAATGTGATAATGTTCGGGTATAGTAAGTAAGATGCAGCCACTAAGAGCCGCCCGTGTGCTGCTCAACGCAATCGCACATACGAAAAACTCCTTCTCTCTTATGAGTATTGCGCCGGTACGCCCAAGCGAAAGAGACCACCAGTAAATGGCGGGAAGATGGCCGCCACGATGTCAATATAGTTGAATATCGCCAAATCTTCCCCAAAAAAATATGCTAAGCTGAAGCGCCTGTCAGAAACGAGCAAAGCCCATAGAGGCATTGCACAACCCATGCCGCGCTCAAGACATGTGTCTCCATACGCGCCGCTCTAATTGCGCTTCCGCTGCGCTCGCGTGCTGCTTCCTTGGCGGCTCATAGCAACGCCACCTTGGCTGCTCTGCCGGCTCATAGGGCTGGCGGTGATTGGGGGCATTGCAGGCGGTGCACCAATCACGGGCAGCGAGCTGTTGCCGCCGGGAGTAGCAGGATCGTTGGTGGGGATCTTCAGGGACTTGCGAAGCTCGTCCGGGTCTTTGCGCTCGTGCTCCAGATAGGCGGCATATTTCTCGTCATTAGCAGTAAATGCCATCGCCTCGAGGACCCTGCGGCTACCGTTCTCAGTGTCAAGATTCGAGCCCGTACCGTGAATGGCCTCATACTGTCGAAGGACGTTCATCACCCGGAGATCAGAGCTGATATCGTCGACAGGCAGTGAATTGGGAGTATTGGCCTCCGCCTTCGAATGAGGTTTGGCGTAGTTGGAGAGGAAACTGGGCGGCATCTTCGGCTCCGCCGCGATCATCTTCTCGAGGTTGCCGGGCATCTCGAAGTTGGCCAGTGCCTCAATCCCGACGAGCTTGTCGTCCACAAAGTTTTGGTTGTGGACGCCGCGAGTGCTCCGAGTGGCGTGCGAGGGAGCGCGCTCCATTGCTGCAGGGGTGGCCAAGTCGTCATTATCGTTATGATCACCCGAATCGCTGTCGGAAGGTGTAGAAGCGCCATTGTTGGCGCCGTTCATCGGGCTCCTGTGCGTCAACAGGTATTTGTGGGCAGCCAGAGAAGCGGCATTGTACGTCATTGCCAGCTCTTTGTCGGTGAACAGCTTGTCAACACTGTAGACAGGGCCAGTAACCTTGCGGTAGCCAAGCCTGTCACCGTGCCAAAGCGGCGTGGTACCATTTGCATCCAGCCTCTTTTGCGGCGCTGGCGAGCCGTCATCGTCTGCACCGTTCCTCTTGCGCTTCCGGCTATCGCCATAACCGGAAAGGTCTTCGGCATTGTGGCGCAAACGAGTCGCTCGCTTGCTATGCGTACCACCCGGGCTGGACGGGTTGGTAATGGAGAATTGGTTGGGGTGGAGGAGGAGTGCAGATGCGTCGGATATCTCAAGAGCTTCCTTTTCCTTGCTAAGGCGGAGCTTCTTGGCCGTGATGGCGTTGATCAGACGATCGCGCAGTGTTCGTGACAGCGCCTTGTGCTCTCGTCGGGCAGTGTCGGTCTTGTATCTGTGTAGCCACTTGTACTCGTTGGCTTTGGTCCGGTATTCGTTCTGGAGTGGAGACAGTAATTAGTACGGTGTAATTTGGAGGGATCGATGTGCTCGAGAGTGGCATACCTTTTGCTTCGTCAACTCGGTGTCGCGCTGCTCAACCAGATCTTCTATCTCGCGGAGCCAATCGTTGAAGTTGGGGCCAGCCATCTCTAAAAGAGTCGGGCCAGGCGCTCGGCCCTGTTGATCGGCCTCGCTGGTGAGGCTCTGTGATTGCTGTCGCTCCGCCTCGATGGCATCCAGAGGCCGCTCAAGGTAGGGGTCGATGCGCATGACCAGATTGGTGTCAATCTGGATCTTTTGCAGCTGCTCGCGGTAGGTGACGTCGCGATCCCGGTTGAACTTTTCGGAAAGCGCTGCAAGACGGTCGTTGATCATCTGGCGCTTCTTGTCGCGCTTGGACTGCGGTGGAGGAGGGGAGCCATTCGTGTGACGATCCGCTCGAGAGCTGGCGCCGCCCTCCAGCGGAGGGACTTGAGAGTCGGCCGCTGCCATTTGGGAGGAAGTCGGGTTCGACAAGATGTTGATGTGTATGACTTGAAACGTCGACAAGGTAATGGGCAGGAAAAGAAGCTCGTAGGAGGCTTGTCGGTGAGGTCTAGACTGGGAAAAGTCGACTGACGACGGGATTACTCCAAATAAAGCGAGGCACAGACAAGTCAAGCCTTTACATTGGGGAGGAGGGGGAAGAAGTCGTCAGACGCTGGAAAACTGAAAATAAGACAGGATTTTGTAAGATAGGATGTGTGCGAAGGCCACAATAGGCATTGAGAGTCTTGCTGGTCTTGTGGGAAGCGGTAGAGTAGAAAGAGGGTGAAGAGAAGGTTCTCTGGCTATTGTCGGAGAGTCTGGAGAGAGGGCAGCTATTGTTCGGGGCGGAAGCCATACCACTGCCACTGCCAGTAACTAACCTAGCGCCCACACTCAGCACACAACCGGGCTTCACATCTTGTGCCCACCTTGACCGCCCTGGTTCCCACAATAGCCCTGCCACCTTTCCAGCTTCCCATTGGTCGATGGTACAAAATGTCACAAGGTGCACTGCGGAGATCGGACGATGGTTTGGCCGAGAAACCACAATTGGGGCTCCCGCCAATCAAAATTGACTCTCCAGCAAGGGGGGAAATCCCAAAGCTACACTCTGTGCAGTGACGAGAGACGAGTCGATCACAGGGCCGCCGTGTTCCACCCACTCCATCCACTCAGACACCACCAGATATCGGGAATTGCGCCCGAAGGACCCTTGGTCTTGCTATGCTCCTGTAGTGATACCTCACTCTCTCCCTACCGCCGAAAGGGACAATCAAGCAATCACCAACACACCAACCCCCACGTAGCACCAGGAGCCCGCCTACACGTCACATGCTCCTCCTATAGCGGCCGACTTGGAAGCCCGACTTGACAACCGCTCGATGGAAAAGTGCAGGACCCGGAACACCCCAGTCCACCTCCAGATTCCCAGCACGTAAATGGAGAATCTGACAATATCAGACTCTCCCCAGCCGGGGCCGCCCCGCGCCGGCGGCGGTCCCCAGGGTGCCCCGGGCCCTATGCTCGGCGGTCCTCCCCCGCCACCGCAGCAGCCTCAGCTCCCTGCGCAGATGTTCACGACAGCCGCGCAGCTTCTCGACCTCACGGACAGTCAGTGGACTCACCATTTATGGGGCACGCTCTTGTGTTGTCCCCGGCCAAGACGAGAGCGGAATAGTAGCATGCTGACAATACTATCGGACTGCAGAGAAACTCATGATTGTTCTAAGAGATGGCAAGAAGATGACCGGCATCCTCCGCAGCTGGGACCAGTTTGGTAGGCCTTCTCCTGGCGCATGGGGCTTATACTCTCCAAGAGACGTGCGATTGACCGAGAACACTGTCACATAGCCAACCTCGTACTGCAGTCTGCTGTCGAGCGCAAATTTGTCCCGCCAGAGCTCGCACCTGACAACGGCGCACCCGGCGGCGCCGAGAAGCGCGGTCTCTACGCTGACTTCCCTCTCGGCACTTACATCGTCCGAGGTGAGAACGTCTTGCTACTCGGCGAGATTGATCTCGACAAGGACGACGAGGACCCCGTCGGTTACGACAGGGCCGAATATGAGCTGGTCAAGTCGATATTGGAGTCCAAGGCCGCCGCAGACAAGTCCAAGGAGAAGAACAAGATCAAGAAGCTGGCCAGCATAGGCTTTGAGGGCGAGAACATGGGCGAGATCCTACTGTGATCAGTGACTACCCTCTGTATTAGTAAGATGAAGGAAGGGGGCCGGAAGCGGGGGGCTAGGACAGCGATACATCAACACCTCATGCGTCGAGAGGACGGCACGCACCCTTTTCGGAAGCCTATAAAGCCCTCTATAGAACACAGACTGGTGGATCCGGCAGCAGAATATTGTGAAATGCCGCCGGATCATCGGGGACGACCTCGGTGTCGCCTCCCGGAACAGCACCAACCGACAATACTCGACGAAGTATTGTAATTTTCACCGTTAGAATCAGGAAATTCAGACCAAAGGTGCTCATGTTCAACGAATGGCTTTTCCATTTTGTCTATATACGTCACGCCCCCTTTTCCTTCATAGTGCAACTTAGACCTCTACAGACCAGGTATGAACCCTTCGACCTTGACGTCCCACCCCTCGGGGAAGTGCATGCCCTCGGCGCCGTCCCACCCGCCGGCCATCATCGCCACAGTGAGCAGCAGGGACGCCGAGTTGGGAAAGTAGGGCGTGGCGACCCGCGTCCCGCCCAGGGGGTAGCCCGCGTCGTCGAACTGGAAGGCCGGGTGCAAGAGGTACTCGACGCACTGGCGCGCGTCGCCGAGGCGCAGCGCGTTCATGGCCAGCATGGCGAAATCCCAGCCATACGAGCGGTCGAGCGCCCAGGTCTCCTTGATCCTGGCCGCCGTGGCCCGCAGCGCGTCCATGTCGAGCGGCGGGCCGCTGCTCGGCGGCGGCGGCGGCAGCAGGCCGTAGATGGCCGCCATGGCCGGGTGGTCGTAGACGGTGTCCCGGTCGACCCACATGTCCCTTATGCCCTCCCAGACGACGTACGTGCCGTTCTGGACGGGCAGCGGCGCCAGCCCGTCGCGCACAGCGACCCACTCCCGCGGCACGGGCTGGCCCTGGCGCTCCTTCCACCGCTTCGCGACGTCGAGCCCGAAGCGCCAGTACGCCAGCTCGAAAGTCGGGTTCATGGTCGTGTTGTAGTCGCCGTTCTCCGAGACGGGGTAGAGCGGCGGCCCCAGGTCGTAGACGCCGGTCGACTCGTTGAAGAAGGCGTACGAGGCCATAAAGTCGGCGGTGGCGGTCAGGACGGCGTCCCAGTTCGCCAGCGTCGTGGCGTTTGGGAACGACCGGTAGTCGATCTCGGCAAAGTACATGGGGTGCGGCTGTTGCCAGATCAGAAGCGAGTTGATCTCTCCCGGGGCGCTGCGGCCCGTGGGGTCTGTCATCTTGCCCCAGCGGGCGCCTTTGTACCCTTGGTTCTTGGCGCGGATGACAGATGAGTCGAGGAATCTCCGGTACATGTTGGGAGAGCTTCTCCAGAGGAGCGGGAACTGGTTCCAGCGGGCGAACTGGAGACTGTGCCAGAGGTACATCTCGAGCTGTCAATGGTGTGTAAGCTGAGTGCTTCACTTGACAAGTGAAAGGGGACGGACAACACTTACATGGAACTTTCCGTACCACCCGTTGTTTACGAGACCAGACTCTATGAGAGAAGTCAGAAACCGTAAGATGATCTTCTTCACGTAGACAATTGGTTGCCCAACATACCTTGTGGCGGGTTTGTTGAAGCACTGTTGACCGCCATGAGGTACTGCGACAACAGTACTCTCCTCTGCAACTCGGTGGCGTTGCCCGTCTTTGTGCCAGTTAGGTCTACGAAACCTCCTCTTCTCCAATAACCTCTCCACCACTTATCAGTGGCATTTGCAAGCTCATCCGTCGTAGGGGGTTTGATCTCGTCCTTCTCGTAGAATGCAGCGGTAAACTTGAGCCTGTTGCTTCCAGATACTTTGAGTGTGTAACGGTGGCTTCCATCCCGGGGTGCAGAGACAGCACCGTCGCCTTCCCATTGTGCAGCCATAAAGTAGCTGCTATTATCAAGAACATGCTGAATGGTGGCCTGATTGCCAGAAGCACGTAAAGTCGTGGTATGGCTCGAGGTTGCGTTCCAAACACCCACGTACGGTGCATCGAACTTGTTGATGTCCGAGTAGGGGAAGTCAAAGAAGATACCCAGGTCACCAGAGAGGAGTAGCTTGGATTCTACCTGCACTCCCACAACATCTGAGTCCGGGTCGACTCGAGTTTCAACAACGACTTTGTTGCCCTTGTAAACGAAGGTTGACACGATCTTGCCAGACCACATATCGAGCACCTGAGACTTCTGCTCCAGGTCCGCTTCGGCAACGTCTGCTCCACAGAAGGAGAACCCTATCCTGCCGAGATTGAGGCGTTGCGGGTTCTTGATGAGCCATTGAGAGATGTCGTTTTGAGCCTTTGTTGGGTTGTTGTAATTGACAAGTCGACCATGAGTCCAGATATCCTGTCCACGGAAGTCTGCAGACACTTCAGCACATAGGCAAGTATAATGGGCCTTCACCTACTGACTGACCTTCTGGAGACATCTGGCCGGGAGTGGTTGGTAGACTAAAGTTGTGCCACCCCCAGGTTGACAATGTTCCAAACGGCTTGAACGTCTGTAGCCCGGTCACGTCAACACCGAAGGCAAAGTTCCCATTTCCTACTTGAAATGGGGTGGTATCGGAGCTGGCATTACGCGTGGGATTAAAGGCCTGCACGACTCTGCGTCGGGGGATGCACGTCTTGGACTCCGCGACGAGCGGATACAGGAACAGGAGGGAGACGAAGAGGTCACGCATCGTGAAGCATCTAGGGACCAAGCCGAAGGCTCAATTGCTTGCATACTTGACCAGGGCAACAGCCACCATTCGAACTTGCAATACAGAACGCCATGCGGTGAGATTGAGGCTATATACCAGCCCTTGATCCGACAAGGTCGACCCAGAACGACATAGTGAGTGCCCCGGACTGCGCAGACGGCAACGTAGGATGAAATTGTCCGTAATCCGGACGGCCGGTACACCAGACGACGAGATCAGCACGAGATGAAGGGGGGTGATCATGACTTAAACCGTTAAGCTCATGCTGGGAAATGGGATAGTGCACTTGCTAAACGGCCCCCCATGTTGCGGGGTTCGTGGCTCTCGGTTCTTCTTGGCCCGACGGGAGTTATTCTCGAAGGCAGAAAGAAAGGCAAAGCTTGGACAGGGTGGAAGCGAACGGGTATTACTCCTATATGTCCTTTGAATCATCGGCTTGCAGCTTTGCATTTGCTGGAGAGATTCATAAGGTCAAGATCAAGTTCAATGGCTGTCCGTGCATGATGTCCCAGCCCAGGAACCTTCGTGAGGTTGAGTTTGAAGGAGATTGCTTGTCGCTTCGCAGGCGATGACAAGTGACAAGCATTCCCCGCCAAACGGATGTGCTAAAGTGACAACCCAATGGCGGCGGCTGCAGTGGGAGAGTGGGTGACGAGGAGTGCCACAAAACCCACCACCCACCCACTAAAGCGACCCCTGGCAACCACCCAAAGCAGCAACACCGTAAACACCCCGGGCCACATCTCCATCCATCTGCGACCTGACATCAACCCTCCCTGATCAAGCCAGGTGCATCAACCGCGAGCAACGCTGCAGCAACACCGAGCCCATTCATTACGAGGATCCATCCCATTGCTTCGTTCAGCACCACCGGCAATAAACGTATGTCGATCCACCTCTGCGCTTGCTATCTTGCGTCGCGCATCTTGATTGAGCTACCCCGCTAAGTAGAGGCTCACAGGTCTCGATCTCGACGCAGCGAGTTTGCCCGTACCGGCGCCAGCATGACTTCGCTGTTGACTACGGTGTGAGTATAGGTTCACCGCGGGAGTTGGGGCAATATGTTCTGCGCCTTTGTCGTTCTGACACCATCATCACAGCAACGCGCGTACGCGCAACCAGTTCCGGCCCCGGGTCACTGGCAAGGGCGGCGCCACGAGCTACCAGCTTCGACAATATGCAGAGGCCACGCTGGGCGGTGGCAGTCTGCGCAAGGTGGTGAAGCTTCCCGAAGGCGAAGACGAGAATGAATGGCTGGCAGTAAACAGTAAGCATCGACTGCCTCCGTTCTGTGCTGTTCGATAGAGCATTCGCTGACTCTTGACGCGCAGTGGTGGACTTTTACAACCAGATCAACTTGCTGTACGGCGCTATCACCGAGTTCTGCTCACCGCAGTCGTGCCCCGAGATGAAGGCAACCGACGAGTGGGTGGCCCCAACCTCTTTGGCTAGCATACGTAACGAGCCGTTCTAACCTCGCCGCAGATTCGAATACCTCTGGCAAGACAACGAGAACTACAAGCGGCCGACCAAGATGGCTGCACCCCAGTACATTGAGCAGCTCATGGCTTGGGTCCAGGGAAGCATCGATAACGAGGCGGTGCTCCCCAGCCGGATTGGAGTGCCCTTCCCCAAGACCTTCCCATCTCTGGTCCGACAGATCTTCAAGCGCATGTACCGAGTCTACGCCCACATCTACTGCCACCACTATCCCGTCATCCGCGAGCTCGGCCTGGAGCCTCACCTGAACACGAGCTTCAAGCAGTACGTCCTCTTCATTGACGAGCACGGGCTCGCTAGCGGGAAGGACTTCTGGGGCCCGCTGGGCGATCTGGTCGACAGCATGCTGAGGAGCGACTAATGCGCCCTCGGGGCATGGGTGTCTGGAGGATCAGTATTCTTGAGGTTTCTTTCCTTTAAGGCGTTGGGTATGGTCATTCTCGAATGGAGCATAGAGCGAGAGCCCATTGGACATGGGTAGACACTGGGTAATGAGCAGGGCGTCGCCATCTGGACAGAAAGTTGAGGTCCTGGATGAATGGGTTTCCCACCGAGCATGGCATTGTACAAGAATCAAGGCGTTAGACGTATGACAAAATCAATTCAGATTCCCTTATGCACGATGGACTGTCATGGCGAATTGAACTGGCACCCGTTGTGAGACCGCATTCTCTCCATCGATCATACTACGTGCAGAATAATGCAAGATGCATCACTAATGCGCTAGCATAAGCGTGTACAAAATATTATGCTGATCCATCGAGCTTGTCTTCCGTTGCGCCTAGAAATTTTACCTAGCACACCCGAGTGAGTTGGCGCCTGAGGCAGAAAGAATCCACCCCCATTGCCGAAACGACCAAACCTCGAACCTGGAAAACCCGAGCTAGGCCTCACGAGAAGAGACAACTCCCCCCCAAAGGTTCCGCCATCCTCCCAATCCAGATCCTCCCCTCAGTCGCCATGTTGTCGAGACAGGTCCTCCGCGCAGCCCGGTCTGCAGCTCCCCAGCGGGCGATTGCCTCCCAGGCCCGGTTCTATGCCGCTCCCGCCTCTGGCGCCAACGAGAACGTCAAGGCCCCCGTCGCCCTCTTCGGCCTCGATGGCACCTATGCCACTGCCCTCGTACGTCTCAATTGGGTTCCCCGGCGCGAACATGGGGCGGGCGATTGATCCCCGAGATGGATTGACCGGCTGGAGAGCCTCGGGCAATCGCACAAGCAAGGACAACGGGCTAACAATTCCTGCGTCATTTAGTACACGGCCGCCGTCAAGACGTCGTCCCTCGAGCCCACGGCCAAGGCCCTCGCCTCCCTCGGCGACATCGTCAGCAAGGACGCCAAGCTCTCGACCATCCTGTCGGCCCCGACCCTGACCGCCGACGACAAGTCGGCCATCATCGCCGAGCTGCAAAAGTCGGCCGGCGCCCAGGGCGAGACCGTCAAGAACTTCCTCGCCACGCTGGCCGAGAACAACCGCCTCGGCCTGCTCGAGGGCGTCTGCGCCAAGTTTGGCGAGCTCATGAGCGCCTCGCGCGGCGAGGTCGAGATGACTGTCACCAGCGCTCAGGTGGGTTTTTCATCCTTCATCGTTTTTGGTTCCCAATGCTCGAAGATGCTCCGGTTCAAAAATGTGTCTTGAGATTGGAGAATGCTAATTGGTTGCTTGCTATAGGCCCTCGACAACAAGACTCTGAACCGCCTCGAGACCGCTGTTGCCAAGTCCCCCTACGTCGGCCAGGGCAAGAAGCTCAAGGTCACCAACGAGGTTCGCTGCCCTTCCCAAACCAGTTGACTGGTCTGCTCGAGAAAGAGCCTGCCCATTTCAAAGCAGAAGATGTACTGACTCACTTGTTCAATACAGGTCAACCCCGAGATCCTGGGCGGCCTCGTCGTCAACATTGGCGACCGGACGATCGACCTCAGCGTCTCCTCCAAGCTCGCCAAGATGAACAAGCTCCTCACGGACTCCCTGTAAATTAAACACTGCACACAAACAACCTTTCCAAGAGAGTCGAGAGAAAAAAAGATGACGAGATGGGGGATGGGGGAGGCAAGCCACGACGATTTGTTTCATTTGTCAGGCATGAGTTGTGAAATGGGGAGAGCAGAGGGGAGGGCGCAGAGGCCCAGACGGACGGCCCGGCTTTTGTTGCCAGTATCTAGAGGCTACCTCAGCTGGACCATGTGTATAAGAGAGCCTTGAAATAGAAGCATTTTCCCATGCATGCGCGCCCTCTTATTGATGAAGCCTTTGTGACCAGGCTCTTTGCTGATCCCGCAAGCCTCTCTGGGTCTAGGCAACTATCCGAGGAAGAGGACAAGCAAGATACGATGGCAAATTCGACAGCGATCATGAATCACAGCTCAGACGTATTTTGACCAACAATTTTCTATTCTCTATGAAACGGAACCCCAGACCTAGTAAACACCTCCAATATCTCTAATAGAACCCATATGACTGCTTATATCGTATATTTATTCCTCCTTGCAACATCCCTTTTGACTCGACTTATTACCCGGGGTCATGCTCTCAACTCACAAACCCCCTCCTAATACCGGAACCCACTTCACTCAGATGGGAGAGTACGCGTACCAGGCATCACGAGACCTGTCAACAAAGACACATCCCACGGATTCACCGCGCCTAGTGTCTCACTCAGCAGCATGCGCCTCAAACTCGTCACCGGTCTCAGACCCAGCGGCGCTCCTCTCGGACCGCACGCGCTCCAGCTGCTCCGTGATGTAGTGGTGCATGTGCTCGTCCGCCTCGGCCCGCTGGCGCAGGCGGTCCGGGTCGTCCGTGAAGAAGATCGAGCTCGTCCGCGACGGCCGGCGCGTCGAGACGGCGCTCTCGTCGCCGTCGGCCTCGGACTCCCCGTCCGGGAAGTCGCTGCGGGCGCCGATGGACCGCGTCGTCGAGGAGCGGCGGATCCGCGGCATCGTCGGGGAGCGGGGCGTGGCCATACCGTCCTTGTCCTTGATGTTGCGGTGGAAGATGTCGTCAAAGTAGTGAGCCATGCCGACAGACGGCGTGCGTGGGGTCTGTGGGAGGCGGCAGGAGATACTGTATGTGGGTGTTAGTACATCTGTAATGAAGAGTTGCAACGCGTGTAAGGAGTCCTTACCCAGTATCATGGATCATGCGGGCAATCAGGCCAGTCCATCCGCACTGGTGGGTGGCTCCCAGACCACGTCCATTATCTCCATCGAAGAACTCGTAGAACCACAAGTTGTCTTTCCAGTAGGGGTCGAAATCAAGACGGTCATCGCCGGCATTGATGCTTCGTCGCCCATCATCGCCACGAGCGAAGAGGTGCTGCAGTCTGTGCTGGATCTCTTCCGAGACATGGCCCAGGTGCATATAGTCACCTGAGCCCACAGGACACTCCACCTGCAGGTCTGGTCCGAAGAACAGGAAGAACCGCTGAAGTGATTCCACAAGCAGGAAGTTCACACACATCCACACGGGGCCTCGCCAGTTGCTGTTGCCTCCGAAAAGCCCGCTGTCCGAATCTCCTGGAACGTACCCGACACAGAACTTTTGTCCGTTGACGTCCATAGAGTACGGATGTTCTTTGTGGTACTTCGAGAGAGAGCGGATACCATGAGGACTGAGGAACTCGTCCTCGTCCAACATACGCTTCAGAATCTTGACAAGACGATCCTTGCTGACGATTGACAGAAGGATACGATCACCTTTTCCACGCTTCCGGATGGAAGCCATGTTGCGCTCGGCAATGTCACACCGGTTCTGCATGAACCAGTCCAGCCTCCTCTTGAAAGCAGGAAGCCTGTTGACCAGCTCAGGCTCGAGCGTCATGGTCGCGTACAACGGAATCAGTCCAACAAGCGACCGTACGGGCATTTGTTGAATCCAGGGGCCGCCCCAAGAGATGGCATCGTAATAGAAGCCATCTTCGTCGTTCCAGAGAGATGCCTCGTCTTTCTGACCCATCCTGAAAGTCATAGCATCGCTGATTAGGATGAAATGCTCAAAGAACTTGGTGGCCATGTCTTCGTAGGTACGACGATATTTTGCCAGCTCCAGACACATGTTGAGCATGTTCAGACAGTAGAAGGCCATCCAACCCGTGCTGTCAGCCTGCTCAAGCACACCGCCCGTGGGCAGAGGCTCAGAACGGTTGAAGAGACCGATGTTGTCAAGGCCAAGGAAGCCGCCCTCGAAGACGTTCTTCCCATCCAGGTCCTTACGGTTCACCCACCAGGTGAAGTTCATTAGCAGCTTCTGGAAGACTCTCTCCAGGAAGTCTAAATCTTGACGCCCGTACATTTTGCGCTCGATTTTGAAGACACGAAATGTTGCCCAGGCGTGAACGGGTGGGTTCACGTCACCAAAGTTCCACTCGTAGCTGATTGTCTCTACGTTAGCAATTGTATGGAGCCAAGAGCAGGATGCAAATTGGGGCTTACGCAGGCAGCTGTCCGTTTGGATGGCAGTACCACTCCCTGGTGAATAGATCAAGCTGTTTCTTGGCGAAATCCGGATCGATCATAGCCAGAGGAATACAGTGGAAAGCCGAGTCCCAAGCGGCAAAGAACGGATACTCCCATGAGTCCGGCATGGACAATATGTCGTCACAGTGGAGGTGTTTCCATTGCGAGTTGCGAACAGCTTTTCGGCTGGCAGGGGGCGGCGGTTGAGTTGGGTCACCGTTCGCCCACTCGTCCCAGATAAAGTAGTAGTGCTGCTTGCACCACATCATGCCCGAGAAGGCTTGTCTCTGGATGTTCCGCAGGTCATCGGTCATGGGCAGGGGGCTAATTCGGTAGTAGAAGTCATCCGCCTCGTCCCTCTTTTTGTCAATGAGGTAGTCGAACTCCTCCTCGTCCAGGTAGGTCTCGTTCTTCTTCGAGAACCGGAATCGCACGACTACAAGCTGTGTGTCAGCGAGCATCAAGAGAGAACAGACATGTTTTCGACCTACCGGCACACTCTCCGGGTCCGACACCGCCAGCTTCGTTGAAGGCGTACCAAGCAGCAGACTTTGTCCCGGTCTTACCAGGATTGATAGCCTCTTTCTCGCCGTCGACGATGTAGCGATGAAACGCATCCTTGACGTGCTCTTGCTCGTTCTTGCCCTCATAGAGAAGCTCGAAGTTGGTGTCGTTCTCGGTGAACATGACCTCGGGGAGAACATCGTCACCGCTCGGGCCAATACCCGGGGAGGGCGAAAGCAGCATGTACCGCTCACCAAGGGAGTGATGCTTCGATTTGACCACATTATCGGCGTACATCTTTGCAGAGGGCTTCATGTCAGCTGCCTCGCGACCCCAGGCCCAAGTATTCCGGAACCACATGTGAGGCACGATGTGCAGGGGAGCAGGGTCAGGGCCACGGTTCCAGGCAGTGACACGGAAGAGAAGCTCGTCCGGGTCATCGTCCTCCTTGGCAGTCTCGATGAAGATATCCCAGTACCGGTCTTGGTCAAAGACCCCCGTGTCAATGATCTGGTATTCCTTGTCCTGCTTCGTTCGTTTTGCGTTGGTCTCGCGGAGATCTTTATACGGGAATTCGGCCTGTGGGTACTTGTAGAGGTATTTCATGTAGGAGTGCTAGTTCTGTTGTGAGTTCTACGTTGAATCTCGTCATGCTGGCTGGGTCTCACATACAGTCTGCAGCTATCGTTAGCAACTTGGTCATAGTATGTCATAATGCTGTCGTTGACTTACAGGGGTGTTGTCGAGGTGAAAGTGAGCTTCCTTGATACTCTCGCCATGGTTTCCCTGAGGGTTGGACAGACCAAAGAGGCGTTCCTTGAGGAAAGGACTGGTATCATGTTAGTCGAGATCATTCCCGTCCACCAAGCTTGAGATCTCGAAGTAACATACTCTTTCTCGTTCCAGAAAGCAAAAGCGATATTCTGGAAGCCGTGTGTATCACAAACTCCGGCAATGCCATCTTCACCCCAGCGGTATGTCCGAGATCGCGCATGGTCGTGCGGGAAGTCTGCACCAAGGGTCAGCTATCCAGTGACTCCAACAAGCGTCAACACGCCCAATAAAAGGAATACGTACGACTCCAGGCATCACCATCGGGACTATAGTCCTCCCTCACTGCAATTGGACGGTCAGAAAGTCTTCTCAAGTTACTGAAAAGCACCTAGGAGCAGTATTTTTACCAGTTGCCCATTGCCTCTCCGAGACGTAAGGACCCCACTTCTTCCAGTACTTGATGCGCTCGCGATCTTCCTTGAGGCGCTTCTCCTCTTCGCTGAGGTACTCGTGGCCGTCAAACACAACCATCTTGGCAGTGTAGAGGGAGGGATCTCGACTGCAGTGCCCAAAGCAAGAAGAAATGGAGTTGTGAAGGAGGGAGAGAGGGTGGAAGTGAATTTTCGAGCAGCGGTAGTTCAGCGTGGCAGGAGCGTGGAGGGTGTGTACATGCGGTCCACCCAGTCAGCTATGGTGGCAGCAAACTCCGTCTTGCAGCTAAGGTAGCTCTCCGTATCTCGTGGGTGGCGCTGACAAGCTCCTTCACCAATGCAATGCAAGAAAACTCAAAAGCAGCTACCGGGGTCAAGGCACAGGCGCAGGCATAGAAAGGGCCAATTAGACTACCTTGCTAGGCACCTCATATACTTGTAGATGCAACTAGCCCGAGAGCCTCTTCACACGGGGAAACCGAAAAGCAGGAACAGCACCAAACGCTATCAAACAGATCGGCCGATAAATACCGCGAGACGCACGTTTTTGGCTCTGACACCTCCCGCTGATAACAATGACGCAGTTGGCACGGCTCTGGCCCCGGTCGGCTTTTTTTTGCTAGTGACTTTAGGTAGCATTGGAGGCGGCATGGGACTGGGAGCAATGCCATGCGGCTACGCTAGGCGATCAGCAGGAACAGACCGCCGAACGACACACAAGACAGGTTCCGCTCCTTGCGCGCCCCTGGCGGCTCGCAGCCAGAAGAGCAAATTCCCGGCGAGCGAGAGGGAGAGGATGATCCCGCTAACGGTGCCCGCCTGACTGACGTTTCATGCATATGCAGCATGCATGGCTTTCTTTCAGTCACCTGTGCCCGTGTCTGCAAAGTACTCCTCTGCAGAGACCGCGATTCTTGTGCTATTCCTCCGGCAAGCGACATCGTTGCCGTATGGCACAGACTGAACTGGCCCACTGTCGTGCCTAGGTACGAGACCGGGGCGCTTGCTCCTAAAAAAGAATCACTTTTCAGAGCTAACAGCACCCGGTTTGGTTGACGTCATGCTGCATTTGTGACCATCGCCTTTTTGGCCATCGGCATCACAGAGACCAGAGCCGATGCTTTACCGCCATAGTAAGAGCATCGAAATGTGGAGGATGCGCGCGAGAGAGAGGGTTGACAAGGCTCTAGATGCAGATCGCGCAGGAGGGTGTACCCGCGGTCCAGACGTGCCAATCAATAACAATGGATAGTGCTGTAGTATTGATGTACACGCTTTGCTAATCAGATCTCACCAACCCATACGCTAAGTGCCTGCAAAAGCACCCGACACCAGGCTGTACAACCGGCCGTGGTAATCCTGCGCAACGCCGTCCCTTGTCGCCCATCAAAGCTTCGCACTGAAGACTTCTGGCTTCTCCGGAGCAGTGGCTTCCTTGTTGACCATGACCTCTCCGGTCTTCTCTCCGTATCCAAAGAAAATAACCTGGACAGTAAGATCGTCACTAGACAGACATGCTTCGTTAGTACGAGGTGCGCAACGTTTGCCCGCCGCCGGTCTGACAGGACTTACCGGTATCTCCTCGAGTAGGGCGACGGCAGTGTCAACAGCGCCGAGACCTGGTCGTCATTCTTGCCTCCCAGAGCATTGCGAATGAGGTGCGTAGCCGCATTCTTGTCCTTGACCACGAAGCGGTCCTTGCTGTCCGGAGAGATGCCCCATTGTTGCATGCGGTACGGCGTCTTTTGACCATCGCCAGAACCAGTCTTGCCTGCCTCTACAGGAAGTGCGCCTGTTTGTGAGCCAAACACCTTGGACCAGACAGAGTCAAACTGTGAGTTGGAGGTTGAGCTGGCCTGGCTCTCAATCCACTTCCCGACAAGTCCCACGACCTCCTCATTTGTCAACATCTCCCAAAGGCCGTCCGTGGCCATGACCACAAAGTCACCCTTCTCAGGCTCAATCTTGGTGGTGCTCACCACGGGCTCAGCGGTGACATAGGGAGGCGTCTTGAGGAGCGGTGACTGTGACCGGCCAAAGAATGACTGGCGGAGACGGTCGGATATCTCGCGAGTCCACTTGTAGCTTGCGTCTCCAAAGGCACGAGTGGGCTCGAGACCGCCCAGAACTCTGCCATTGCGGACGACATGCTCTTCGCCGGGGTGGAGTTTCCTCATGCGGGCAGCCTCGTCCGGGTTGCTCCCAGTCTGGTCAACTGACAACGGCGTGGCCGACCACTTGCCATTCTCGGATCGACGACCTAGCACGGCGCGAGAGTCACCAGTGCAGGCAACTCGGAGAAGCTTGGACTTGCTATCGTAGAAAGACAACAGAGCACATGAGCCAGAAAGCGCAGGGGCCAGAAGCTCCGCGGCCACGATCTTGGACTTCTGTTTGAGAACCTTTTGCACACTCTCGTTGACGATTTCGTCGTCCAGCCTGGTGAATCCCATCTTGATAGCACCTTCAATTGCATCCTGAGGCGGGAAAGCGCCGGGGGCAGCTTTGTACGTCTCGTTGAGCTCTTGGGCCACTGATCGGATCAGAGCTTGCCGAAGTTTCGCAGACGTGGTCCATCCGCTGGAAGAGGAATTGCGTAAGTCAGGTGTACATGAAGTGTGCGCAACCAGAATACAACTGGAATTGACTCACGAGTGACCATCAAATACCCCCCAGAACATCCAGTCGTTGATCTTGGAAGCCTCCGTCTTGTCCGGGACCTCGATGATCTTCTCGGCGTGGTCGTCCTCGATGGGGTCATTACTAGGCAGCTGGACAAGGTCATACCTGACCACGCCCTGCCCACGGTTGATAAAGTACGACTCCTCCGACGAGCGCATCTTCTGCGTCGACTGCTCGGGTGTCAGCATCTCGAGCACCCTCCTACCCTCGCCATCCACGTGCTTGGAGATGGGGCCGTCGCCGACGAAAGTGCCCGTGTGCAACTCGTTGGCGCCTATGACAAGGACGTTGCGCGTGGGCGCCGCGGCATCGCCAGCCTTGCCGGCAGAAGAATAGGCCCTCGAGACCGCGAGGGCGGGATCGGTGCCGTTGCCCTTGTACGAGTACCAGGCGCCGTAGCCGACTAGGCCCGAGACGAGCGCGACAGAGAGCCGGCGAGCGTACATTGAAGACCGTATCGGCTCGCCTACCGCATACTCAGGGCGCGGACGGTTGGAGACGTATCGAGCAGTCTGGTAAAGGTGACGAGGGCGGGCGAAGTGGCGGGCGCTGCTCGGGCCTCCGAGGGGCGCGATGCTGAGTCTCTGGAGAGGCTTTGTGATGCCACGGCCAGGGCTCTGGAAGGTCGTACGGAACAACCTCAAGGCAGCGCAGCGCATGGGGGGCGTAAAGAGAGGTTTCTAGGGTAGAATGCTGGGGAATTGAGGTTCTGGCCTGCCGGGGCGTGGCGAGTTTCGAGTGAGCAAAGTCGGCGGAGATCGGCCCTCGTGACGCCGAGACGAGATTAGCGGCCGAGATGCTACCCTTGAAACAATTAAGATACTCTTGCAATAATGAATCTAAAGACGCTCTTGGAGGATCAATTCTGTGCTGTATTCCTCGAACAGAACCCATGGACTGTGGACGAAACAAAGTTTATCAGAGTGCAAACAAAGTTGATTTGATTTGGGTTACAGAGCAAGGAGGGCAGCACTGGTGCAACATGGGGGGTTGAATGTTCGTCTAGCCTCCACTAAGTTGTCTCAATTTCAGGCAATGCAGCGTTCAGTTTACAGCAGGGCGGCGCCTAAGCTCACCCATTCGTTGAGCACTAAATTGGCGCTCTCTCACACTCACATGCTCAATCCCAACAGCACGAATTATCAATCCAATCTAATCGCCAGTCAAGCCGATAAGCTCGCAGCTACTCCCAGCTTTCCCCATGACCCCTCCACATCATCCCGAGGCCCAACTCTCCGCCCACATCTCCAACCTCACCAGAGGCATCTGTCAAAAGATGGCACAGCCTCCAAGCACAAGCAGCGCAACGATAGCGCACATCCAATCCCTACAGAACCCAGACGATGTCTTCAAGACCTTTGACCGGTGGAATTGGCGCAAGAACCGTGCCTTTCTTGTAAGCCACGATGCCCACTTCACTTACAAACGCCGAGCAAGCTTTCGAACTCCCGAGCACTAACATCCCATGCCTCGCCACCCTCATAGATGCCGCTCATAGCCGCCCTCGGCGGGCCCTCGCAACTCTCCCAGCCCAACCCTTCGCACAGGGGCATATCCACCTACTGCCGCGTGATGTACTACAAGACGCAGACCGGCGTCCAGATCGACCTGACCGCCTACAACACCTGGCAAGCCTCCTCCGCCGCTCCCGGCGTCGATGACGAGGTCCTCGCCGCCCTGTACGCCGCGGCGCAGCAGCTCGCCGCGGACGGCAAGCTCGACAGGCCCGACGCCGACCGGCAGACCGCCCAGCTCGCCGCCGCGTGGGAACCGCCCGCCGCGGGGCCGAGCTGGCAGCAGAGCGCGCCGCGGACGGAGCTCCGCATAAACCGGGAGGCGGGCGCCGGCGGCTCGGCGGCGGGCGGCGACGCACCCCAGCAGCCGGCCAATTTCGCCAAGATCATCGAGGCGGTGCAGAGCGGACGGCCGCCCGAGGGCATCCGCGAGATTCCCAATACCATTGCCCGCGCACCGGTACGTCTCAACGAGGAGGGGGCAATATTATTCAATGCGTCGCTGTGAGAACAGGTAGATGAGACAAGTGCTAACCATGGCGATATAGGATGTGACACCCTTTGGAAAGATGGCTGCGCCGAGGAAACCGTGGGAGAGAGCAGCGCCGGCTGTTGAAGAGCAGCGCCGTTCGACACTAGATCGGGAGTTTCCTGCAGTGGAGGAAGATGCCAACGGCGACAAGCCTGCCGAGGCGGCAGCCTAGCTTGTGGAGAGATAGTCGAATCCAATGATACCCGGCCTCGATCAGGGCCTATGAATGCCATGAAGCTCCACCATCAACCTCATGACAATAACAATGACTATGCAGCGTCGGACATGTGGCGTATTAGTAAAAACATTTATTTACTCGTCTTCCCCTGTACTCCATATATGTACACAATCGACAAACGAAAAGGGAGCCAGCCATTTTGGACGAGTCCTCTTGCTTCTTCTCTTCACGCTCTACACCCTTCGGTATCACATCTCTTACAGCCCATGCTCTTTCTCTATGCACCATAAGCAACCTGACCCATCGGCTTGTCCTCAGTCATACCAGGAGCCATGAAGTCCGTCTTGGGGTTTCCAGTGGCCTTGGCAGCTGAGCAACGAGCCATTGTTGGTGAGCTAGGGATTTGTTAGCATATGTGTCTTTGCAGATCCAACCAATTGTTCAAACATGCCTTCTAGAGATAACGTCGGTAAAGTAGAAATTGTCGATAACCTTCTTCAGGGGAGCACCGCTAGGCTTGGAGCCCTTGTTCTGGTCCACCAACTGCACCTTGCTCAGTTGCCTCAGCGCAACGGGCTCGACAACGTCGTAGGCAGCCAGAGCCGGGCTGATCTCAACCATCCTGTCGCGAAGAGCGGCCACATCATCGTAGGGCAGAGGGGCGCCGAGGAACTCGCTCACGGCGCGGATGATCTTCCAGTCTGTCCTGGCAGCGCCGGGGAGTGACGTGGCAGCACGGGTCATCTGGACACGGCCCTCAGTGTTGACGTAGGTACCGGCCTTCTCGGTGTAGGCAGCGCCAGGAAGGACGATATCGGCAATCTGCGCGCCCTTGTCACCGTGGTGGCCCTGGTAGACGATGAAAGCATCCTTGGGAATGTCGGCCTCGTTGATCTCGTCAGCACCAAGGAGCCAGACAAACTTAGGTTTGGTCTCAGCCACAGCCTGGGATGGCGTGACGAAGCCAACCTCGAAAGCGCCAGCTCTTGAGGCGGCCCTCTGGAGGACGTTGTAGCCGTTCCACTCCTCGGTGATGAAGTTGGCGGCGTGCTTGTCGACAAAGCCGCCAATGAGCTCATAGAATGCCTTGGCATCGGCATGGTCGGTGACGCCAGAGCCGACAATGATCATGGGTCGCTTGGCGGCTTGGAGCTTCTTGCCGAAGGGACCAGCCAAAGCCTTCTTCAGGGCAGCAAAGTCGGTGCCAAGGTGCTCAAACTCGAAAGTCGAGTCGAAAGTCTCGCCGACGAGACCAACCTCAAGATCAGAACGCAGCCACTGTTTCCTGATACGAGCATTGAGGACAGCCGCCTCGTGCCTGGGGTTGCTGCCAACAATAAGCATGCAGTCGGCCTCCTCAATGCCCCAGATCTTGGAGTTAAAGAGGTAGTTAGATCGGACATCGACACCATGGGCAATAGGCTGAGATCCAGAAGGCATGTCGAGAGCAAGGTTCTCAGAGCCCAGCTTGTTGGCCAGGTCTTTCATGGCTACCAGGGACTCGACCTCGGTGAGCTCACCGGCCACAACCTTGAACTCATTGCCCTGGGGCTGAAGCTGCCGGTAAGCTGCGGAGATCTCCATCAGGGCCTGCTCCCAGGAAGCCGGCTCGAACTTGCCCTCCCTTCGGACAAGAGGAAGAGTGAGTCTCTGAGTCTTAAGACCGTCGCAGGCAAAGCGAGTCTTGTCGTCGATCCACTCCTCGTTGACGTCGTCGTTCAGACGCGGGAGAATGCGCATGACCTCGAGACCACGAGAGTCAACGCGAATAGCAGAGCCAAGACCGTTCAGCACGTCAATGGACTCGGACTTCTTGAGCTCCCAAGGACGAGCCCTGAAGGCATACGGCTTCGAGGTCAAAGCACCAACGGGGCAGAGGTCGATAACGTTGCCCGACAGCTCAGAGTCGAGGTTCTTCTCGAGGTACGTGCCGATTTGCAGGTCGTTTCCACGACCCGTCGAGCCCATCTCCGGAGCGCCAGCGATATCGTTGGAAAATCGCACACATCTCGTGCAGTGAATGCATCGGTTCATCGACGTCTTGATGAGGGGGCCGATGTTCTTGTCCTCCACAGCACGCTTGCCACCAACTTCATGGAACCGACCACGGTCGGCACCATATCGCATTGACTGATCCTGGAGATCGCACTCCCCACCCTGGTCGCAGATAGGGCAGTCGAGAGGGTGGTTTGCTAGCAAAAATTCCATCACACCCTCGCGGGCCTTGTGTGTGAGGGGCGAGTTCGTCTTGACAACCATGCCGGGCTGAACGGGCCAGGCGCAGGATGCAACGGGCTTCGGCGCTCGCTCGACCTCCACCAAGCACATACGGCAGTTACCGGCAATCATCAACTTCCTGTTCCCAATTTGTCAGTGATCGGTTGTGTGAGGGTTTTCGGAATCGGCACGGTCGAGGGTCTCGTACTCATGATAGCAGTATCTATTCCCAACGTCAGTATAATGACTCAATTGCATAATTGGGCCCATTGGAGATGCGTACCTTGGAATCGTGACGCCTGCCTTCTCGCAAGCTTGGATCAGGGCGGACCCAGCTGGTCACAGGTTAGCATCACCACAGGCACTCCCAGCACCACCCTGCACATCGGCATACCTTCTATAGAGACCTTCTTTCCATCTAGATAGCAGTTAGCATATGGCCGGCGGTCAATCGCAAGAGGGCAGAGCTCAATTCACTCACCAATGGTCAGTTCCACTTCTGCCGGGCGCTGAGCTGTTGCCGAAAAAGCTCTCGAGGCATTGGCGGCGTGCCTGCCTGTCCGCCAAGCCGAACGTGCTAGAGTGTGCCGCAGCATCGTGCCGTCCTGACGGAGGATATGGGAGAGCAGATGAGGGATGTCGAGGGGTGGCGGCGGGTTGAGTGGCCTTCTCTCGAGATGTTGACGTCTGGGAAAGAAAGATGCTCGTCAAGCCGAATGGGTGGCGCTAGTGCGTTAATCGTGATTGTCGTCGCTCTGATTGGCCGAGCGGAGCCTTGGGTTATCCGAGCCACCAGACCTTAAGATTCCCACTCGCCATTTTTTCCGACTCTCCTTTCTCTTCTCTCTTTTTTCTCATCAAAAATTGTACATGGGCACACTTTATTGTAGGTGAGCTTGAGCAAACGATGCCTTCGGGTATTCCACTGCTTCTATCGAGTCTTCCTCTATCTTGTGCTCTAGAGAAATTATCATAAGCTCCGATTATGGAAGCATGCGAGAGACACATCGTGTCTCGATGTTCAAGGCCTCTTACCGCCGGTTGCTACATTATTCTCGATTTGAGATTTTCCTGTGATTCCATGACTTGAAGCAGCGCGCGGTGTTGCTACCAGCATTGTGTCTTTGCATGAGCCGGTTGTCGTTGTTCGCTGAAATGGGCAATATGGGCAGTGAATGACCCTGTCGCTCTGCGTCGCAATACCAAAGCATCTATGCTTCTTTTCTCTCCCCCAACCAGTCCAGAGACATCGGGACATCGGCACCATATAGCCCACGACCAAGATGGAACCAAGTCTCAACCCATCTCAACATCCTCCGAGGCATTATTTGCCTGTAGCTCCATCGTCTTCTGTTCTCTCTCCAGCACCTCAGTCCAGCAGGCCTTGTTCTTGTCCATGTGCGCCTCGTAGCCCTTCTGTTGGCACAAGCTCTGCTCCACGAGCAGATGTAGCTGTCTCAGCGAGTCCGCCTCGTCAGGTCTGTCCAGATGAGCCAAGAAGTTGGGAGGAGGGACTCCTTCCGTGGGTGTATTGTAGTCTACACCCGCCGTTCGGGGCGCAGACATGCACCGAATCATCGCGTCGACCTCCTGCGGAGGAACACCAGGTTTTTCCTTGTCCTCAGTGCCATGCTCCGACTTCCATCTCCTGGCCTGCCCGAGAATCCGCCGCCGCTCGAGCTCAGTGAGATGCTCGAAACCCTTGAGGCCGCCGGTTCGGTGGAATTCAATGGATTCAAGAGCCATCCTTGCGCGTTCGGCCCCATTCTTGGGAGGGGTGAAGGGATCCGTATAATCGATCTCCACCGGGACGAAGATTGCTGGAACAACGCTCACCACTCTGGGCAGCATCGCGTCGTCATCCTCCGCCGTGGGTTGGATAATTTCTGGATTATGGGAATCGATATCCATTTGTGCTTCAGAAGCGATGCGGCCACTAGTATCGTTCACTCTTGCCATCGTGACTGTTTGGCTCTCTGATCCGGACTCTCGACTTCGTCCCCTCCACAATGATCTCGAAATTGCGGGCAAGATTCGAAGAAGAGCTCTTCGAAAGGCCAATGCAAGGGTGTAGTTATCGATCTAGGTTGGATTGCTATGAGTATGCCTGATTTCGCTCCAATGTGAATGTTGTTGTTGGGGTGGTTCGGTTTTGTTCGCTGGTCGGACTGGATAGGTTAATGTAACTCATGTGGTTGTCTGCCCCGCAAGCCACAATTTATTGTCTAGGTGAAGGGACGACAACTTGTCACAAGTGACAACACCAGAGTTTGAGTAATCTTGGAGATTGTATCAGATATTCACTCTTATCTAAATGCTATCGGGTCTTGTATGATCAAGCCCCTTGACCACCAAGTATCAAGTCGTTTGATGCAAGTGCTAGCGAAAGGGACAGCCTACAGTGTTCGGTTTTACAACCTCGATGAGAGGGTAATAGTTTTATCTATCTTGGCTCTATCACTTCTAGATGACAGCCCATGCAATCATAAATGAAATCGTAAATATCAGAAGGGACGTATTATTCGGTGGCCACGACATGGTGAAGGCAAATAACCTACATGCCCTTTGATTTGCGTTGTCCACTTCGAAGCAGGAAACAGTACCGACCACCATCACCAGATCATCCCATCAACTATTCGCTGATTATGATTTTCCCCGTGAAGAGCCACAGGGAGTTGTGTTCGTGTTGATTGGGGATTGTTCATGGGCCGGTTTTCTGGTGGAATGCGTCGGAGACGCACGAAGCAAATAGGCCCAGATCGGCGCTCGGGAAGCGCATAGGACCCCCAAGTCTAATTTCTTGATGCGCTGTGAAGCAGTTCGTAGGATATCTCTCCTCTGCTGTGGAGAGCATTGAGGCGGTTGGCAGTCGGTCACCTAGACGGAAGCACCTTTCTGATATATTCCCGTGCTATCCGCAACGCCGCCCGGACATGGTCCTCGAGTCTTCGGTCTTTTCTCCTCCGCATCCAGATCAAAACGATGGCGAGGATCACCAAATCAATGGCAAAGTGTTTTGTGATCAGCCAGAAGAACCAGCTCAGCCAGGCCCCGGGGCTCCTCTCCCGCTTTGATCTCCACTCCCGGCCCGAGGTGATTTGTTCCCGTAGGGCTGCGATTTCTGCTGATAATCGGACGATGGCGCGCTCCATCTTCTTCGACCACCTATCTCCTTTCTTGACGTACTCTCCATCTTCCTCGTCTTCCTCCTCTTCTGCTATGCGCCTCTGGTAGTCGTGCTCAGCCTCTTGGTCTTCGCTCATGGGGCTCAGGATCTTCATCGGGCCTTCTGTCCCGCTAAGGGGCTGCTGGAACGTCCGGACGGGGGCCGTATCTTCCGCAGCGGCAGCACTCCGAGGCGAGGTCTCCGACGATGTCGGGCTATTATTCTTGATTTGATTCCAGACGAATTCGAGCTCGTCGACAAGCTCTGTAGCGTTTCTGTAGCCCAGACGTGTCAGTCTTTGTCATCAATATATGCGGAAAGAATGTTTGCTTACGGTGTTGTGGCATATGTGTGCATCGTTTCGATCAATGCTTCGATATACCGCCTCTTAGCCTCGGTCCGTCCGATACCCCTCTGCGAATTCCACGCGTCGAACTTGTCCTGCTCCCTCCGCAGTTCCTCAGCTGGTATGCCCGACTTTGTAGATGGGCGTTCCATGACCCCGTCCACGTCGCCCTCCATGGCCTGCTTGTATAAACCGTAGAGCCGCATGCGGTCTGCGGGCGGGGGCCGGGTGGCCCCCGTCTTGGGGATCTTCTTGACGGTGTTGAGCGCATGGACAAAGACTCGGTCTGCAGATGTCACGGAATAGATGGTTAGCACGGCTCGCCCGGGAATAGATGTTTTCCAGGCAGATGCGCACCGACAGAGTCGGCCATGGTGGTGACGTGCCCCGGCGGGCTTATCAGGGATACCGCGGCACTGGGATATGGATCGGGCTTATCGCCCTTGTCGCAGGCTGTCGGAGAGCGAGGGATTGCCGGCAGGATTGAGTAGTTAGATGGCTTGCAGGATGATGTCTGCTCGTTCCACAAACGGATTACATGCTAGAAAATTGACCTCTCCTTCGCCCAGAGAAGAAAGAGTGGATGGCCGCGGAGTTGTTAGCCTGGCGGGCGAGGGGTGAGTGTGCAACGAACACATTTGGGCGAAGCCGGCTAGTCGCGTCCGTCTCACGGCGGTAGGCGGTTGGTGGTGAAGCTCCTCCATCCTTTTGCCTCGGCCGACACGAGGGGTGGTCCCTGGTTCCCCGGTCTGGTCCACTTTTTTGGGGGCACTTTGGCTGCTATGCACTGGAAATGTCAACCGAACAATGCTGGGGATCATGCACTAACATGCACCACTAATTGACTAGGTCCCCTGTGTTCCTTATTAGCATTTGACTCAATGCCATCCTGCCGTTCAATAACTGTGTCGAGACATGTGATCACCAGTCCTTCGGAGGTATCCTTTCTAGGCTAGATGAAGCGACAACATGTTGTGCAGAGGAGCTGGTTTCAAGAACACTAGCATGTCGTTGTGGAATGCATACTCGGGTATCATTGAATGTTCTCCTCGTTCCTTAATAATCGAGACTTTCCTGAGCTGCCAGGAAAGCTTTCTTCTTCTCCATCAAGACCTTCATTGCTTTCTTATTCTTCAGTGCTTCTTCGGCAGCCTTGGCGCCCGCCTCCTTCTTGGACAAGGCACTGGCGGTCGCCAACAGCTCTGTTTTCCCCCAGGCGTCGACGTAGACTCCAACATGAAATAACGCCAAGTTCTGGTGATCTCGGTGGCTTTTGGCTTTTCCAGGCATATCCTCGTACCGTATCTTGACGGGCCTGCAGCCAATGAGACGTGAGAGCTCCTCCTTAGGGCGGCGTTCCCTTGGCTGAACCACCGCTGGTCGATCCTCGGCTGGCTTCGCAGTCTGGAATGATCCTCCGTTGCTATTCTCCTCCTCTCTGATATCCTTGGCGATTGTTCTGCTCCACAGAGCCTTGAGCCAGTCGATGGCCTGTTTGCGGCCCTGGTCACCATTGGACCTCACAAGTGCCCCGACGTATGCTTCGAAGATGTCGCCCAGGGCCTTCTGACGCTCCTTGTCAGTCGCTTTTGTCCCATTGACACGTCCCGCCCCGAAATACTCGAGTGGAAAGTGGGCTCGCTTGTCCAAGCCATAGTCCAGCGAGTACTCCGCGAGGGTAGAATTGCGTAGCAGCCTCTCTCGCATTTGACTACATCTCCCCGGGGAGAGGTTGGGAAACGTTTGGCCGATCAGCTCCGATGCAATGTGGTAAATGAAGGCATCTCCAAAGAATTCAAGCTGTTCGTAGGACATCTGGCCAGGTTGTCTAACCATGCCTGAGTGGGTGAACGCTGCCATCTCTAATCTTTCGTCTGAGATTGCAGGCAGTGGAGGAAGCTCTGTCGGGATCTCTGAGGCTTTCCATCGTGTCAAGTCGGGCAAAGCAGGTATGGGGCTGCCACCGAGGGATTCCCCGGAGAATTCACTGTGTGTTCGCTTAGACATGGCTGATGGTGGTTGGGATATAACGAAGATGAGAGGCGATGAGAGGCGTTGGGTAAGGATAGAAAAACAATGCGATGACGTCGTAATTTAATATGTCAAGGCAGGGAATATGAACTTCGTCATTCGGGAACTTTTCTTGATCCCCCCCCCTAATTTCTTGCAAAAGAAGGTTGAAGAGATCTTTCCTCCCTCCAGCTCATCAACTCTTCCTCTTCAAAGCTCTACTGGAGCTTCGAAGGAAGATCTGCTTATCACTGTCAGGCTCGGTTAGGGATTGATGGTAGTGCATGTGGGGCTTCAAGGCCGCTGCCATCTGCGCACCCAATCACAAGAGCGCGACCTCCAAGATGGGTCCAAAATTTCACGACATCTGATAGTGGACGACGGTGATGAAGCTTGCTTGATTCACTATCCAGCACCAACAAAATGTCAGTCCCACGGGCTCGGTTACTAGAGCTCATGAAGGTACAGAAACCTCATATTCAATCTCTTCAGCACTCGACTGACAACACTGCAGGCTCAATGCCAGGTCTTCGCGACGACGTATAACCCCGATGGAGTTCGCATGGGCAACAAGATCCTGCGCCAGCGATTAAAGGGTCCGGCGCTGGCGGCATACTATCCCCGAAAGACCGTCACCTTCAGAGATCTTCAGAAGGAGTTTGCGCCAGAGCTGATCGCCGACGATGAGGTGGACGACGACCGCTTAGAAAGCATTGCCGCGTAAGGAGATAGGCGCTTCTCGAACCTGCTCCAAGCATCGCTGACACACACACACACAGTTTGAAGGCACGCGGGAAGGGAGCACCGAAGAAGCAGAGAGGACCACCGGGTGCAGCGGGTAGGTACCATTCAAATCTCCAAGAGCTGCTGTTCGGCCAAGGTACTGACCGGTTTACTGTGCAGATGCGAAGAAGAAAGGCAAGAAATAGACTGGCGGCGTTCAATCCAGGCCTATCCTTGTATAACATACTGTACAAATCACGATTAATCGATTATTATACCCCGATTATAACCCTCCTAGCTATGTGAGAGAGCAGCTTGTTGGCGATTGCTAGCCTGAAGAAGTCGATGTCTAGTCTAAACCCTGATGCCGGCAATTTCGACCCGTCAATGTCGCTGAGATCGGTGTTTGGCGCTTAGAGAAGAAAATCTGAGCCGCCGTATTGCTTGTGGCTGCTGGGAAGCTGTGGCGGATTGCCAGAAAACGTAGTTGAATGTCTGGATTTGGAGGAACAATCGCTGTTGGCTGGCACGAAAGAAATCAATAAACTAGAAAAACAGTTACCGAGCAAACGAGCGCTGCAGCTTGCGCGCGATCTTTCCGACAGCTTCGGCATTCTTCAAACAGTGTCGAGGCAGGCCCAGCTGGAATCTTGAAACGAGGCATTGGAGGACTGTGATGCAGCCTTTTAAACAATCTCTACAGGTATATTTACATGCTGCTAGCCAGACGGAGGCATCCTGTATTAGGTATGATCCACACCAGACTCCAGGCTCTATTACAGCGATGGTTGATTTTACTTATTGTGCTCGAGTGAATTGGGTGGAGGACTGGTGAGCGATTCAATCAAACTCGGGTGACAAGCGTCACCTCTAAGCAGACCTTGCCACTTCTTTCATCCCATCTACCAAGCACTTGACGCGCCGGCTTATTTCAACACGCGTGACCCATTTCACCTTCGTTTTCTGATTCCCCCGACAAGCTGGAGGCTTCCCGACCCGACAATCGCCATCTAACCTTGAGCCAAGGTTATCTACTCTCTACCTTCTCGCTGCTGAAGCGTGGTCTACCTTTCCATCTTCGGCCGTATCAAGTTGGTAACTCCTCATCTCAGCCACCGGCTCTCCTTTCCTCCATCCTTTTCCCTTTGACATCGCATTTCTGCCATTTATTGCTGCCTCCGGAATCTCGACACATTTCAGCGTCGGAACAGTCGTCACTGAAGAGATCACTATATCTGCCTTATTTTCCCATCAGATTGGGCCTCAGCCTGCCCTGACTTTAGGACAAAGGTGAGGTTCTGGAAGGTGGACGGCTGAACCCGGTGTCGTACCTGCCTGGAGCTGATGTCATAAATACCCCAATCACTTGATCTCACTTCCTACCTTGATCTTCCTCATCTCCCTGACCCCCCTCCCTCTTGACTTGACAGACCCGACAACCAGCCTCACCCTCGGGCCTATCTCCCCTCCCTTTGGTCTATTCTTCACATCTACGCTGGCATCTCTGCCATTTCACATCAGCTACACTCCCAATACATCCTTCCATCCGTGAATGCTGGGTATTTCTTGGGTTTCAGAGTCTGGCCATCATGTCGACAGCTGCCTTGACGGGCTCGCCGACCCAGCGACGTTCCTCGGGATCTAGGAACGTATCTCAAGACGAGAATTCCAAGCACTCTGATGAGAATGGCTTCCAGGGCCCCCAGGTAAACAGCATTTCGTGTTACCCCCTTCCCTCCGGTTTGGCTCCGCGTCGCTCTGCTCCGTCCACCAGATACCAACCATTTTCAAGGTTGACCAACATCCTCACACTCTGCGGGAGAGGCTGACACCTTCTGCAAATAGGAGCCTTCCTTCAAACTCAAGCAGGGCGTTGTGGCCTTGACTACCTCGAAGCTTGCCAATCAGGGATATTCTAAGGTATGACTTTCTTCCCCATCATCGGATTAGATGTGCGTGCTAAGCCGAGTTGATAGGCCAAACTCGAGACCACGTCCTCGCGAGAGCCACATCCAATGGATAAACTGCTCGCCAGGCTGTCTGAGCAGCATATCTCAGCCCGTGAGAAACGCGGTTCGCTCAAGAACCCCGGCGAGGAGACCTTTGTGCCTCCTGGTCTGGATCAACAATCATCTTGCAGCTCGCTGCCGATTACTCCTGCATCCGACAACTTCGACACCACTGCGCCGACTACACGACCAGCTAGTGCCAACCCCGTTGATGCCAATGCAGCCACTGAGGAGTTACAGCGGCTGAAGATTGAGCTGGCCCAGGCCCATACCCACATCAATCGTCTCGACAAAGAGCTGGCGCAGAGCCGGGTCCCTTCTCATGGAGATGGTGGACGTGTCACCCCGATGCTGTCAACAGAGCCTGGATTTCCCAGCGCGATCGGTGCTGGCAACAGTGTCCTGCGAGAGCCTGTTGTTGTACCCCAAATCCCCATGCTTCCGAGAAACCAGTTGACTCAGGATAATGCTTGGTCCCTCCAGGACGATTGTCCTTCCGACGGGGTTGACTCATCATCAGTCGGAGCTTTTTCCCGATCTCGAACCATCTGGAACAACGGCAAGGCCAGCGTTGGCAATGGTTTTGGACCTTCCATTGCAGCCCCCGAGGTTGCCTCGTCAGGCCCTTGGCCCGTGAGCCGAGGCTTTAATCAGAGCTTTGTTGATGCGGGTGTAGGAAGCTTTGGCGGTAGCATGCTTGACGCAACGCGTCAGGACCGTCTGACCCCCGACCCTGAACTGATTATGAGGTCTTCCAACCATCGTCGCGGCAACCGCTACGACCATAGATTTGGTCCACCCCCGTCATCTTTCGGCAACAGCTTTGGCCCGTACAATGCCGGCCAGGGTCAGTTTGATCCGCCTCCTGGATATCACACTTCGGCCGGTCCTATGCTTGGAAATACTGGGATGGGTGTCTACACTCCCTTCCAGCAGCAGTCCATGGCGACCGCACTCTCTCCCCATGCCACGGAGTTCACTTCGAGCTCTGGTCCCGGCTGGAAGACTGATGTGGGTTGTCATATTATCTATCCCTTCTCATATGACCGTGACTAACACATCATTTCCGCAGACCATTACCACTGAGGGCCAGACTTACCTGCCCACCACTGAACCGCTGAACTATCGACGTCTCTTGGATCGGAGTGTCAACTGCAATTGGAAGTATATTGTCGACAAGATTGTTTGCAACAACGACCAACAGGCTTCCATCTTCCTGCAGCAGAAGCTCAAGGTTGGAACGCCGGAGCAGAAGTATGAGATCGTCGAAGCCATAGTGGCACAAGCTTACCCGCTCATGGTCAACCGCTTTGGAAACTTCCTGGTCCAGCGTTGCTTCGAGCATGGCACGCCTGAACAGGTGATCAAGATTGCTGAGGCTATCAGGGGCAACACACTGAGCCTCTCCATGGACCCCTTTGGCTGCCATGTTGTCCAGAAGGCATTCGACTCTGTTCCTGAGGACTACAAGGCCATCATGGTCCATGAACTTCTTCGCCGCATTCCCGAGACGGTCATTCACCGCTATGCCTGCCATGTCTGGCAGAAGCTTTTTGAGCTACGATGGACTGAGACTCCGCCGCAGATCATGAAGTTCGTGAATGAGGCCCTACGCGGCATGTGGCATGAAGTTGCCTTGGGCGAGACGGGCAGCCTCGTCGTGCAGAACATCTTCGAGAACTGCCTCGAGGAGGACAAGGTCAGTTGGAGCTCCCTTGAGTCGTCACTAGTCCGAAAAGAGTAAATGCTGACGGGTATACAGCGTCCTTGCATCGAGGAGGTGCTTGTCAATATCGACATTGTTGCGCACGGTCAGTTTGGAAACTGGTGCATCCAACACATCTGCGAGCACGGCGCCCCGGCTGACCGCAGCCGCGCCGTCGACCATGTCATTCGCTATGCTGCCGAGTATAGCATGGATCAGTTCGCTTCCAAGGTCGTTGAGAAGTGCCTCAAGATTGGTGGATCGGATTTCCTAGGCCGTTACCTTGATAGGGTCTGTGAGGGGCGAGTCGATCGCCCGCGCATTCCTCTGATTGATATTGCCAGTGATCAGTACGGCAACTATCTCATTCAGTACATCCTCACCCACGCAAGCCCTCAGCATCGTGAGGTGGTTGCAGCTCATATACGGAAGCACATGGTGTCTCTTCGAGGTTCCAAGTTTGGATCTCGCGTGGGCATGCTGTGCACCAATCCGGCTGTGGCAACTCGGCCCGGACCTGGTGTCGGCCCTGTCCTCAACCGTCTCCCCCCTGGTCCTCGCTACACCGGCCCGTATCGTTGAGGTACCGAGTGAGCTGCATAGTCTTTGCAAATGCAGATCTTATAACTGTATGATTCAGAATCGCGCTCAGCATGGGGTCTTGACCTTCAGGTTGGCATTGCGGTGGTTCTTGCGTGCCGAATAGCTCGGTACTCCCGCCCGCCAAAAGACCTTTCTTTTTGTTTCCCAACCTTCCATTTGTCAGACCAGCAATCTTTTACTCGTTTCTCAGTGGATTCATGATTCGGAGATTCACCCGCGGGATATGGCACGCCTTCTTTCTGCGAACATATTCCACAACAGCAATCTACAAAGACTCGACATCCTACACTCGAACGGCTACTGCCCCCCTCGGGTGCTTTGGACATATCATGATTACGGAGTTTTGCAATATCAGACAAAAGTCGTTGGGTTGTCGCAAAGTGCCAGAGGTTTGTGCATATGATTCTCCAGCATGGCAGTCCTCATTCTCTTTGTTTCTCGAAGCTGACTTCTCTCCAGCACCACTTGCTCTTCCGTCGACCATTGACCCTAATATAACCCAGGCTTTCGCGCCGCTCAGTGATCTAGGGGGGCGCTTACGGTTTCTCGAGAGAAGACAGAACAGGGGCTGCGATGGATGAAGATGAAGATTGTAAACGTTTTTTGTGCTATCGAAAGGGCCATAGACAGCCTACATTTGTACTAGAACCACCTAATTAGACGTCGCCACTCGTTATTCAATTCACGAAGATTTTTCCTTGGTACAAGAACTGACGTTAAGGAGGCTCCAACTCGTGATATACATGTCTATTTTACAAGTCTATGAAACATTCTTTGCCCGCTCATATCAGGAGCGTTGGCGACTTCTAACCAAATCAAGAACTGCAACTGCACTGCTGTGCTCTCTGTGTCCGCGGGACATCGCTTGTCCATCTTAACTCCTCCTCTCGATCGCCTTTGTAAACGGCACCGTCGAACGTCTGGCCATCCCAGGCGTCTTCAAATGGGTGGAGAGCCATGTGCATGATCCTCCTGAGCACGTCTCTTTCCCCATCCCTGTCGACCCTCTGGATGACCTCGTCCAAGATCCAGCCCCTAGGGATGAAGCTAGGGTTGACGCCCTTCATAGCGCGGCTGCGCTCTTGGTCCTTGCCCTCGCCCCAGTCCTCGACGACACGCGCCCTCCACTTGTCCAGCCACTCGCCGATCCTCTTGCGGCCCTCCTCCTCGCCGCCGATGCCCGTCACGCCGTCCTTGTAGAAGAAGACGGCGGCCTTGTCGCGCCGGCCCTGCTCGGCCGCCAGGTCGGCGAGGCGCACGGAGCTCAGGCGGCGGAAGAAGAGGTTGAAGTCGAGCTCGAGGGCCTCCATGGCGTCGAGCAGGGCGCTGAAGAGGTCGTCAAAGTCGGCGTCCCTGTGCTCGCGCAGGCCGAGGCGCGCCGTCATGAGGCGCTTGTACTCGGCGAGGAAGACGGCCTTGTACTCCTCGCCGGCCTGCATGATGAGGCTCTCGGCGCGCTGCGCGAGCCGCTCGCCCTCGGCGTCGTCGGCGACGCCCGACTCGACGAAGCGCGGGTCGTCGACGCCGGCGCCGGCGCCGAGGAGCTCGCCGAGGGCCTCACCAAAGCGCACGAGGTTCCACCAGATGATGCTGGGCTGGTTGCGGTAGCTGTAGCGCAGGAAGTGGTCGTCGTGGTTGGGCGTGTACGAGGGGTCGAAGTTGTCCATGAAGGCAAAAGGGCCGAAGTCGATGGACAGGCCGAGCGGGGAGGTGTTGTCCGTGTTGAGCACGCCGTTCATGAAGCCGTAGGCCTGCCACTTGGCGACGGTCAGGGCGTTGCGGCGCACGACCTCGCGGTACAGGCGCTGGAAGCGGTTCTCCTGTGCGTCCTCGGGGCCCTCGACTTCGTCCTTGCCGGCGCCGCGGGCAGGGGGTTCGGCGAGGGCGCCGCCGCCGTCGACGGGGTCGTCCGGGTTGGGCAGGCGGCGGGGCAGGGCCTCCCAGCCGCCGAGGACGTCCTCGGCGAGGTAGGTCGCGGTGCGGCGGATGAGGGCGCGGTCGCCGCGGGCGCGCATGATGTCAAAGGTGCCGAGGCGGATCCAGCTCTGGGCGAAGCGCACGACGACGGCGCCGGGCTCGATGGTCTCGCGGCGGACCTTTTGGTGGGGCAGCAGGGAGAGGGCGAGGGCGCGGGTGCTGGGGATGCGCAGGGCGTTGAGGGCCTCGCTGACGACGAACTCGCGGATGCTGCTGCGCAGGACGGCCTTGCCGTCGGCGAAGCGGCTGTAGGGCGTCAGGCCGGCGCCCTTGAGCTGCAGCTCGTAGCGCGTGCCCGTGCGGCCGTTGGTCGTCTCGAAGAGGGAGATGGCGCGGCCGTCGCCGAGCTGGCCGGCCCACTGGCCGAACTGGAAGCCGCCGTAGCACTGCGCCCAGGGGTAGCCGCCCTCGAGCCTGTCCTCGTCCCAGCCCCAGAGCCTGTTGCCCGCGGCCGTCTGGCGGAAGTCGTCGGTGGCGGCCTCGGCCGGGGCGAGGTCGAGGTCGCGCAGGGCGGCGGGGGATACGGCCAGCAGCTCCGGGTCCTGCTGGGTCTCCGGGCGGACCCAGGTGAAGAGGGCGTTGCGGACCTGCCGGGGCCGGATGTCGGCGCGCGGGGTGCGGTGCGAGTCGGCCGGGGTGGGGAACATCTGGTCGGCGGGCAGGGAGGAGGTGAAGTGCCAGGTCTTGGGCAGGGAGGCGAGCGTGTGCCCACCGCCGCCGCCGCCGCCGCCCTCCTCGCCAGTGCCGTCGCCGGACGAGTTGGCGGTCATTATGGCTGTCGCCGTCGTCGGCGTCTGGGACAGGAAGAGGCGCTGCTGCTGGAGACGGGGAACGGTGGCGAGGGCGCGGCAGACGGTCCCTCGGAAGAGCATATGGAACTGCGTGTGTGTGTATCAGACAAGACCTCTTTGTCCGAGCTTGATGCAGGACTTTTCTCAGGTCTCTCGTCTAGTTGTATGTATTCGAAAGCTTGGGTATGTGCAAGGGTCTTGAATGATACATCAATCGAAGGAGCAGTGCACTTTAGGAGGGTGAGAATAAATGTAGTTTTTCCCCCATCAAGACTGTATGTATGGCTTGGAGCTGATTATTCACGAAGCTCTATTCCCGAAACGAGATTATGACGTGCCGTTAGAGAAATCGGCGGGGTGGCGGGAAGGCGGAGCGATCTCTCCAGGGGTTCTGATCCCCGCTGATAGCCGGGCGCAAACGGGACTGATTCCGGGGCATTTGCGCCGCTGTATCAACCGACCAGGGGGGGCGAATGGTTCTGTCAGCATTTTACTGTTTCTTCTAGAAGTCCTCAACGATGCCAATGCCTCTGGAAGGGACTTGGGAAATACCAAGCTCGCCCTTTCATATCTGCACATTCGGTGGCCCGTGCCGATGGAGTAGAGAGATACAATACTTGACAGTTATAACACCGAAGACAAGAACTAAGGTAGACACCATCATGGCATTGATTGCGTCATTGCTGCTGGAGTTGGCAATGGAAACCTTGGTGCCGATTCTAGATGCAATGCCGACCTACCTAGGTACGTAGATAGCAAGAATACTTGGAGAGAGCAGGGCTTCAAGATTCCTCATGCCCGAACTCAGAATAGGTACTTTTAAAGGAAGTTGACGACTTCGGGCAATGGAAACGACGGCCTTGCTATGAGAAGGCGCGATGAGAGTCGATCTAAGAAGGGCGCTATTGATAGCTCCTCCTACTCTAGGCAATTCCCGATCTCAAGACGTCACCGAAATCGGGCGTCTCCAAGTGCGATTACATGTACACTGTAGACATTCTATCAGCTCTCAGCTCTTACACCTCATACACCCATCTATTCTTCCATCCGGGCAGCCTCGCGGATCTGCATGTTTCGTGTGCCTTGGTACATCTCGCTCTCGATTGAGTCTCATCTCGCGACATCTCACAGTACAGCCGCGCTCTAAGATGAACTCGATGAGTTCGGCGTTTAAGCCCGATGCCTCGGGTATCTCTCCGAAGCAGATGGACTACATTCCGTATCTCACGCTGAGTGATGGTCGTGAAATCCCCATGGTACGCACTCCAGCTTCTGTCCAGATCTCAAACCCAACGTGATGCTAATAATACCGCTCGCACAATCAGATAGGCTACGGTCTGGGCACCGCCAACCACAGCAGTGGCGACAAGAAGTTCGATCAGAAGATCGTCGACGACACCGTCACGGCCATCAAGGCTGGCTATAACCACCTGGATGGCGCCGAGTGTAAGTAATCCCCGTCCTCAAGCTTTCGGCTGTATGTAGGCTGACATCACGAAACCACACAAAAGCCTACGCCAACGAGGAGGAGCTCGGCGCCGCCATCAAGGCCGCCAAGGTGCCCCGTGAGAACCTCTTCGTCACTACCAAGGTGACCTGCGCACCCGACCGCCCCATCGAGGAGGCCTTTGCCGCCTCCCTCAAGAAGCTGCAGCTCGACTACGTCGACCTGTACCTCATCCACTCGCCCTTCTGGGCTGGCGGCGATGCTAAGCTCCTGCAGAAGAAGTGGGCCGAGATGGAGGCCATCAAGGCCTCTGGGCGCGCGCGCTCCATCGGCGTGTCCAACTACCTCAAGGAGCACCTCGAGGCCGTGCTCGAGACAGCCAAGGACCCGCCCGTGCTGAACCAGATCGAGTACCACGCCTACCTGCAGCACGCCGACCTGATGGCCTACCAGCGCGAGCACGGCATCGCCGCCGCGGCGTACGGCCCGCTGACGACGGTGACCAAGGCCAAGGGGGGACCCATCGACGCGCTGCAGGACAAGCTGGCGCGCAAGTACGGCGTCAACCCCGGCGAGGTGGCGCTGCGGTGGTGCATTGACACGGGCGTCGTGGCTATTACGACGAGCTCCAACGAGCAGCGCCTGCGCAGCTTCATGACCAAGCTGCCCAGCTTCAAGCTGACGCCTAAGGAGGCCGAGGAGATGAGCGAGCTGGGCAAACAGAAGCACTACCGGGGCTTCTGGCAGAAGCACTTTGACGACGACGACAGGCGGTAGAGGGCTACGTCAAGTGGACAGGTTGGTGTACAGTCTATTGGTAGATTCTACAGATACATCCAATACAAAAAGTGATACAACCACGCTCAATGCTCAATGCCCAATGCTCAATGCGCAATCGCTTTCTGATGAACTCTACAGCTCATCATCAGAGTCCGTGTCGCTACCTCCAGCCGCAGCAGGAGCCGGCTTCGCGGGCTCAGGCTTCTTTGCAGGCGCCTTCCCATTGTTAAAGGGAAGAGCCCTCCTTGGTGGGGGGGCCTCGTCGGGCTTGTTCGTGTTGCTGCTCTGCGAAGCCCCTGTGTCCTTGGCTGCACGGCTCGAGATAGCCTTGGGCGGTGAGACAGGACTGGCATCGTCGTCATCCTCGTCTGGTTCGCTCTCTGTCCGGGAATCGGCGTCGGTAGTCTCCGCATCTTCATCGAGGGGATCCTGCTCGTCCTCTTTCCGACCCTGGTCCACGTCCATCTTCTCGAAGCCGTCATCCGAGTCCTCGTCGTCACTGGGCTCCGCGGCCTTGGCTTTGCGCTTGGGGGCACGTGTTCCTTTTGCTGCCGCTTTGGCTCCTCCCCTGGTGGGCTTGGATGTCGCCTTAGTAGGCGGGGTGGCCTGCGACTGTTTCTCCTCCTTGATCTCGGGAGTCTTGTTCCGCGTAGGACGACTGAAAGAGGCGGAAACGCCTCCAGAGGCCATAATCCGCTGCTGCTCGCGAATTTTAAGCTTTTTCTCGTTAAGAAGATCCCGGAATTTCTCTAGCAGGACGGATTCGTCGTCTTCCTTGGTCTTGATGAGCTCTTCGAGTTGGTCCTTCAGCTCGTTGACGGCGGACTCCAGCTCGGTAGCCCTGGCGTTGGCCTTGGCTAGGTCGAGCTTGATCTGGTTGCGGGCCGTGATAGCCGCTCCGCACCAGTCATACAACTCGATGGCTTCATCTTCCTTGTGAGTCAGGGTGAGTGCACCAAGCCGTTGCTATGCGGCATGTTAGCTGCGTTCTGGGTTCGAGATTCACGGTCTCGGATGTGTGGGCTACGGATGCGTACAGTGATACCGGATATCCTCTTTCGGAAGGTGATAGTCACGGACTCCTCTTCCTGAACTGCTGCCGCGGCCTCGATGTCCTCGACGGGCTGGCCGTCGAGGAGGATGGATGCCAGGATGTGCTCCCATTCGTCCTGAGAGCAGGGGCAATTCTTGACCTTGAGCTTGTCCACGCGGTCATGGCGCACTGTGATAAGATGGTCAGCTTTCCGCTATAGCACACGCACACACGTCACGCGACAGAAGGAGAAGAGCATGACGAATAGGCCTGAGCGGGATAAGGTGGGCGGGCGTGCGTGCGTACGAGATATGACATAAGGCGCAGCTCCCTCCGTGGCGACGATCTTGAGATTCAGTGGCTTTGAGCCGGAGCCGGTGGGAGTGACTTCAGCAAGAATGAAGGACCCCTCCTCGTCGGACCTGGGGAAGCGCAGGACGTGAGACTGGTCGGAGGACATGGCTGTAGATTGCGGGTTGCGTGACTTTGGGGTCTAGTGCGGCCCTATGTGTGTGTATTTGCTGGGTTCCGGGACCCAGAGATCGCAAATCGTGGGGTCGAGATAGAGTGGCATGAAAAGAGAGCCCACAAAACCGGCACCAAGGATGAAACAAGCCCAAGATTGGCAGGGTGGCCGAAAATATGGGCGGCCAGGGAAATCAGGGACGGTTGATGATAGTCACACTTTTGAGCTGAAAGGACGGGCCGAGTCGTGGGAAGGTGGAGACCGGGCGGTTTAGGTAGCTATTTTGGGTTCTGGGTAAGGGATGTGTGTCCAGTCATGTAAGAGCTGCTCATGACCAGTGCAGAGAGAATCGAGTCTTGCTTCCGGTGGCCCTAAATGAAAGCCGTCCGAGATATTTGCAACATGAGTCGCTTGTAGGATTTATAGAGTATTGCGAGAGCTTTGGAGGCCATTTAGGCAGCTCAGGCAGTAGTAGGTAGCAGTACAAGTCGTCACTCCACTACCTACCTAGGTAATTCACGTCTACAGTAGGAGCTCTGTTCTCTCAAAGTAAAGGACAGCAGTCATTCCGGTTCATAGTTGTCTATGAATAGGTATGGAAAATCCCCAGACTGGTGACCGACTGGCAAAGAACACACATCACACACTTAATGACAACTGCTGTGTTTCGACCGACTACCAGGACAGGGCCAAGCAAGGAAGGCCATGAAACAAAAGGGCACATCCGCAGAGAACAAGGACAGTGCCAGGGTGTGGTCCATAATGTGGCCTTCTAGAAGCCAGGATCAGAGTAGAGACATTGGGGAGCATAATTGATCGTCCTGCTCTTGATTAAGTTGAACGGGATTGATTGCCTTGAAACAAGACGGACGGGAGCCGGGCTCGACTGGAAAGAGGGGTTTCCGAGGGTGGGACGAGAAGCACGCGTCGCGTTCGCGTTTTTGGCCTCGTCAGCTCAGCTTTCTCTCGACCTGGGCTGTGTCACGTGATACTGTCACACAAAGAAAGGTGAGACAAAATCGACCTTGCACTGGCATGGAGGAAACGGGGAAGGCCCGAGCTCAGCTAACAGCCTGCCACAGTTCCCTGCACTGAAAACTGTTAAGGCGGCCCCAAAACCACACCTAACTTTACTACCTTAGTGCCCGTCCCCGCCGCCAAAAAGAAAGCTCCCGCCCGCCCCAGGTCGATCCGGCAGGCCCAGCTCTCACCCAAATCCCCCCCAACCTCTTCCCTCGGCCACCCCCTGCAACGCCGTAAACTTGGACGAGGTCGCCCAAAAATCCACCACCCACCCAGCCATCTTTTTACATCACACCGTAAATCAATTCGCACTTCGACCAAGATTTACCCTCGCCAACCCACTCAACCCTCGATACCCACGGAAGTCAAAGACACATTTCCTACATCGCCATCTTCTCTTTGGTCGGCTGCAGTTATTTTCTGCCGCTCACTTGGTCGAGAAGTCGGTGGAGGACAGCAGCAGCTTCTCGGGGTTTTCTAGATAGCAACCTCTCACGGACCCTCCACCTCGCCCTCACCTTTCCGCCAGCAAAACCCACACCATACCATATACCTCCCCCAAGCCATATTCGCTACTCCGCCTTTTCCCTCGACATCAGCCTACGATCAATTGACCACGACCGGCAAAAAATACTCCTAACGAAAGGACCTCGTCGCCGTCTTTAATCGCTTGTGCGGAACGGATCTTCTCCTCCGCGCGGCCGACGTCTCGTCTTTCTCGGTCGCTCCACTCACGATATTACTCGAAACTCTGCAGCCTGCCTACCTTCGCTGCAGCGACCGCACCCGAGAAAACCCCCTCGATACTCTTGAGCAGTTATCTTCTTCGTGGCCCGCGAGGTCTTTGTCGAACGACTATGAATCCTCATCACTGACCCCGCTACCCTCGTTATCACCATTTCCAGTCGCTATCTTGCGACATCCCGACCGCAGATCATACTACAAACGGCCATTTGTAGTCTCGCCAATTGAATTCCGGTCATCTGCGCATCGTCACAATGGAGACTTTGCGCCTCAAACCACGCCAACCCGTCCAAGACGAGGTCGAGAACTGGGACGACGACGACTTCATGATTGAGGCCGACGAGCTCAACTTCCGCAACTCGCTCGCCTCATCTGCCAACGCTACTTCGCACCGACGTGACTCCCACTCTTCCTTCCGGTCTGACCTCGAGTCCGTCCACGGAGAGGAAGAGAAGCATGTCCACCTTCCCGGAGATGACGAGAAGTCCACTCTGGATGCTATTGCCGCCGCCGAGAACGCCGGCATTCCCATTCCCCGTAATGTCCCACCTTCGGCCCTGATGGGCGGTACCATCAAGCGCCTCGGTGGTCGCAAGATCAAGAAGATCATCCAGGAAGATTGGGGCGAGGACCTGGAGCTGCCCGAGCAGGGACAGCCTCTGAACATCAAGCCCCAGGACGGCTCGAAATTCCCCGAGGTTCTTCGACAAGTTAGTGGCTCGTCGACCTACACCAGCCCTTCCAAGCCATCAACTTCCTCTCCCATTCTCCCTCAGGAGGAGCTCAAGATCGTGAAGAAGACGCCCGCGGTCGTTCCCATCAATCTTGACCGCTTTAAGGACGATGACGACGATGACGACTTCTTCGGCGATGGATCAGCCACTATCAAGGCTCCCAAATTCCGATCACCCGCCAAACCCATCTCTTTGATCACTCCTCCGACTCCGCAGAAGAAGCCGGATGGAGATGCCGAAGACGACTTCGAGCAGGGTCTGGAGCTGCCATCTGACGGCAAGCTGAAGCTATCCAACCGTAGAGAGATCCCTAAGACGCCCTCCGTCAACGGCTTGGACGATTTTGACTGGGGCGAGGGCAGCCTTGGAACTCGCTTTGGAGGCACTCGCCGTGATGGTCGCTCTAACCGCAGCTCCGAGATCTCGGCCCTGAGCCCGAGCATTGCTAGCTCCATCACAGCTGAGAGTGAGGATGAGGCATTCGACGGCCTCGTCCTTCCCAGCGGTCCTCTCAACTTGGGCGAGCGACTGCAGAAGCGCCGACAGAGCCGCTCTCCGGCTCGCGCTGGTGAACAGTCGCAGCAACGTTCGCCTACCAAGCAGGCCCAGCAGCAGCAACCTCAAGTCAAGCTGCAGCAGCCCCAGCCGCAGGCCGAGGCAGACCGCGATGACTTCTTGGCCGGCCTCGACATCGGCGATGGAGAGGTCTTCAACTCTGCCAAGTTGACACTGCATCGCAACCTCAAGATCAAAGAGACTCGTCCTGCCAGCCCTTCGAGGCCCAAGGCTGCAGTCTCTTTGACATTCACCAACAAGCCCACGCCCGTCACTTCCCGCCTCCCACGGCCCATGATTAGCCACGAGCGGAGCCACACTGCTTCTTCACTGGAGCCCGTCTCAGAGAGTGGCGGTCCCATCTACAACATGGCTCGACGATCCCAGTCACGTCTCGGCCACTCGGCTCAGTCGTCCATCTCGAGCATCCCCACTCCCACCACTCCTTCATCGGCACAGTCCATGCCTCCCTCTACCCCGCGTCGCCGAGAGATCAACCAGAAGACTTCGGCCGCCTCTCTCCGACCGGAGCCCACCACCACCAGCGCACAGCTACTGCGTCTTAAGCGGTCTCTACCTGTGATGCGACCTCCGCAATCGCCCGCTCGGCCCGCCACCACCACTCGGGGTTATGAGCGTCCCCCGTCCAGAACCGACATGGGACATCGTCCTCAGTCTTCGCTTCGGCCCAAGACTCCGGTCGAGCGAACCAGCGCAGGTTTCGAGAGCGCCGCCGCCCAGGCACGCCGCAAGCCTTTCCTCCCCGCCGGCAGCTCGCAGTCGCAATCTCACCACATCGCCGCCAAGAGCTCTCGCACTTTCCGTCGCCATGACTCTGACACAATCGTCGACTTCCGACCCAACTCCCGGGCGGTGTCGCGATCGACGATGCGCTCCCCGAGCCCTTCCAAGAAGCATCGCAGCGTAGAGAGGATCGTCCAGGAGAACTGGGCCCAGCTTAGCAAGCCGCGCCGCCAGCGACACTTTGGAGACGGCCACGAGCTCGACGGCTTCGATGATCTTCCTACCTCGCAGCAGACCGAGGCTAGATTCATGCGCCAGCCCGTCGCTGCAGGACCAAAGGCACAACTCCGCAACAAGGTCTACCAGAATATCCTCCCTGATAGAACCAACACTCCTACTCCTCTTACTCCCTCGACCACTACCGAGCACCTGCCTCATTTTGCTAGGGACACGACTGCGAGTCGTATCAACAGGGAGGCTGCTCTGGCTCAGCGTGCCACTTCGAACAGCGGCCCTCTTGCGCCCCTGACCACCCAGCGCGTTGCCCAGCTGTCCTCCACCAGGAACTACAATGTTCCCTACTCCAGCGTGCGGTCCAAGAAGACTCCGCGCAAGCCAGTACAACTGAAGCCTCACTTGATCTCGAACCTGAACGCACACAAGGAGCCGAAGAGTATGTCCTCAACACACCCTCCACCCACCTCTCAACTTCAGCAAGCTAACAGCAACCCACCAGCCCAAAACGGCATGTATTACAACCCGGAGACCATGCGTTGGGAGGGCAACGAGAACGCACTGTCGGGCTTTGACGCTCCTGCATCCTCGCCCTCCACCGCGTCGATGCCTCCCAATATGCTGCGCGAGAGGGAGAATGCTACTCCCCGTCCTGCCTTGATCACGCCCATCGGTGCCACCAAGGGTGTCCAGGTCGTCGGGGGCATGGTCTTTGATGCGCAGAACATGTGCTGGCTCAAGGTCGGCGCTCAGGGATCCAACAAGTCCGAGGGAGGCGACACCATGGATGGCTTCAACGCCATTGATGACGACGATGACCCCTTCAAGGACATTCCCGATCTCGATGACAATGTCGGCGACTCGACTGAGGCTGGCCACGGCCGGGTGAGCGATATCAAAGACGACTGGCTTGTTGGCGAGGAGTTTGATGTCGGTCCCGAGTTCATTCGCCGACAGCGCGAGGAAGAGGACCGCTGGAAGAAGAAGTGCGAGAAGTGGCTCAACTTTGAGGACCGCGACCGCACCGCCTGGGCGTGGACGATTCGCGATCTTGCCTGCGCCATCTGAAGCTCGACAAAAACCCACACAACCAACTTTCTACTCTTGTTCTTCTCAAGGGATTTGCTTTTTGCATTTACATCTTTTTAATGTTCTTTTTCCTGTTTTGTACCATCATCATTCTTCACGCACTGTACAACAGCGATATCATTGCGGAAACCAACACGACATTACGGACTGCATCACGAGCACACAAAGGTGCTCAATCAAAGGAGTCTGCAAGTAATTTTCCCCTCTTTGCAGACGAGGAAGGAACATATGGCTTTTGGCATTGCATAGAAAAAAAGGGGGGGTCCGGCCTGGATACGGGATCTCGAAGGCTGTGCAGCATCGATGGTGCCAGCCCGGAGCACATACATATCCCACTGAACATAGAGGGCCGGGAAGGGGTTGGTTTCTTACCCCGATTACGGCTTTGGCTCGGCTTGGGTTTACTCATGACTGGATGGTTTATGGATTATGATTTCTTCTGGCTGTTGATGATGATGGCTTGATACCTCTGAGGAAGGCGGATTTGGAAAAAAACAGGAATGTTGTAGTAGCATGGTTGGTTGAGAGTATTAGACGGAGAGTTGATGTAGAAGTATTCGGACGAGAAGAGAAGACTTTATGAAACAGCAGAGGCTCGTTGAAGATGTGACGATGGGTGTCGTGAAGGTCGTGAGAGATGCTGTATGGCTATGATGATACTGGAGCAGACTTGGACCAAGTTTGAGTGAAGACTATGTATGGCCAAGCCACCAGCTTCACATCATAGTAATTCTAATGCCGGTAATTTTATGATCGTCGAAGTCGATATCGGTATGACTTGTGTGTGTACGGAGCACAACCACCAGCCACATTCAGCATGTATTGATACGGAAACAACCCCTCTGACTGGTGGTATCTTGACAAGACCAGCTCTGTGAGAATCTCTGTTACTTTGTCATGGGCATCAAACGTAGTTTATTCTATAGAGGTCGATGCGGTGCGCCGAGCTGAATCGTCGACCCGGGATAACATACAGAATGGGTGATGCATGTATGGAGGGAGGCCTGAGCTATTACGATGATGTGGGGACCTCGCAGCCGGCCCGCTAACTTGTAGCACCTCAGAGAACGCCGCCTCCTCGCCGACAACCTCCCACCCTTTTCCTGTTTAACAAGCTTGCCTTGCATCTTCTCCCCCCCCTCATTCTCTTTCTTCCCTCTTCTCAAGCGTGAACCCCTTTCTCGCCGAACCGACAGACAACCCCCAGAGCAGCAAGCTCGACTTTGTTACGGACACGTAGATAGTCCACCGAACACCGCCGCCCACCACAAGCTTCCTCCTCCTCCCGCGACGAGAACAAGCAGACAGCAAAAAATGTCCGAGGTAGCCTTCGCAAAGACCTTCCTCGCGAGCGTCGACGCGCGCCCGCGCAAGCTCTCGCCCGACCACGTCGAGGACCCGCGGTCCTTCCCCGCCCGCGCACCCGTACGTTCTCGCATCACCACCCACCCTCTCCAACCCCCCCCCCGCCATCCATTCCTATGCCCCAACCACAGAAAGCTAACCACCCACCCCTCGCGTGTTCGTATGCAAACAGTACATCCTCCCCCGCGCCCCGAAGCCCATGTCCAAGCCCACGGGCGCCGCCCGCCCGGCCCCGGGCCAGGAACCCGCCGTGGCGGTGACCGTCCGCTCCCTCCGCGCCGGCGCAGGCGACGCCGAGGCCGTCCGGCTGCCCGCCCAGCCGGCGGGCACGTCCCTGCTCGACATCAAGACGGCCGTCGCGGAGCGGCTGTCGCTGGCCCCCTCGCGCGTGCGCCTGCTGCACCGCAAGAAGCCCGTCGCCGACAGCAAGGTGCTCAAGGACCTCCTTGGCCCGGGGGACAGCAGCCTGGAGCTGTCGGTGATGATCATGGGCGGTGGCGGAGCTGCTGCTGCTGCTGCTGCTGCTACTAGTACTACGTCGTCGTCGTCGCCGCCGCCGCCGGTCGCAGGAGGAGAGGACGTGGTTGGACGGACTACGGCTGGCGGACCGACGGGAATGGCGGTGGTCGAGGGCCCCGAGTTCTGGAACGACCTACGTGGGTTCCTGTTGCAGAGGGTCCGGGATGAGAAGGTGACGGATGAGGTGTTTAGCTTGTTCTTGCGGGCTTGGGAGGAGAGATCGTAGAAAAGGAACGAGGTCACTCATAGCATGTATACAGTGGGAGGAACACTAACACTACCGAGTACGAGCGTCTTCGTATCATAAGGATAGACGGCAATACGTCAGGGACAGACAGACAGTCGAACTGCATCATACAAAATGACGTGGGCAAAATCATCAAGGTCTACATTCCAGGAAGCTTCCGATCTAAAGAGTCAAAAAAGGCAATACCCGCCAGAACAGGATGGCATATCCATGGAGAAACGTGAATCCTTTTTTTGGTAATTGTCGCGCATGCCCACAGGATGAGAGAAAATTATGTGTGAGAAAACCCCACCATCTGGCCCTGTTCATGCCCCTCGCGGGACCTGCCGCCGCATCACCAATTCATTTCAGTTCCCCCCCCTTGTAGATTTTTCATGGCGGTCATGAGTCGACATTGAGACCGTGTCCTCCACCATTGTCTCGCCTTCCGAGGACCACGGCGGTGTAATCCTCCTTAGATGGTAGGGTGTGTGTGCACATCGGGCTGTGGCCAGCTTAAGCCAGGCCCTTGCTGACAGTCTTCAGGACCGTGTCGTACTCGATGTCATCGGGGTCGTTGGCCTGCAGCTCGGTGGCAATGCCGTTGAGTGATCGCTTGAGAGCCTCCTTGGAAGAGGCGTAGATCATCTTGGCCTGTGTGGGAGGGAGAGCCAGTGAGTATAGGCCCCAAGCTTCACCGAATAGTAGAGAACAGCTTTGGCTTACCTTGATGCCAGCATCATCAGGGGACCAGGCGAGGAAGGTGATCTTGTTTCTGCGCACATGTCAGCTCTCATGCACTATGAAGCTGGGAGTCGAGGGACGCTCAGCACTCACCGCTCACCCTCGCCGGAAGCAAGGCTGTACTCAAAGTCGTAGACGGCGTAGCGGGGGCCCTTGCCCTCCTTGCCCTAGGAGGAGGAGATGGCGTGTCAGCTTCACCTTGTCATTCTCATGGCATATGGTAACTTGGTCGAATCCAGACTGCCATCTGTGGGTATGCCATAGCACCAAGAAAGCAACACGGGCGAGAAGGGTGGGAGGGTGTGTGGGTGTGTGTGTGCGTGCGCATACCGACTTGTCCTTGGAGGTGGCGTTGATGAGCTTCTCGCGGAAGTTCTCCCAGTCCTTGTCGGCGGAAGCCTCCTCGACGACGATCTCCTTGTTGTCGTCCGACAGCTTGTAGATGATGTACTTGTACTTCTTGGCCAGCTTGAGGTCGTTGTAGGCCGTTATGCACTCCTGCGAGACGGAAGCACTGCAAAGAAAGGCGGGGCACGGTCAGTATTGCGGTCCTTTTTCTCCATCCCCCTTTATCGCCCAGTACGAGGCAACGCCTCACGTCTCCCGAACCCCGTCCCAGAAGCTTTTCAGCACTCCCTCCCCACACCCAGCTCCAGCCTGCAGGTCATCGGCGGCGCGGTGTACAGGTAGTAGCAAGCGAAGGGAGGAGGCGGGAGGCGGGAGGCGGGAGACGGCGGCGGCGGGGTTGCGGCGGGATGGGCAGGTCTACTAACCCGGATTGAGACTGTAAGACAGGAGCACGAGGGTTAGTGAAAATGGCCCCGAGACAGGATCCTCATGCAGTCTTACCATGATGACGGTGATTTGGGGGGGAGGCGGTCACTGGGAGGGCGTGCGTAAAGGTGTCAGGTTTGGCGGGAATTCCCTTCTTATGATGCGAGTTGTCAGTTGAGAAACGTTGAAGAAGGAAGAAGTGGGGGGACGACGACGCAATCGGGATAAGAGGAGCTGTTTATTTAGGGCGCAACGGAGGGCAGCAAGCAAGCAAGCAGGCAAAGGCCAAAGCAAAGCAAAGGCAGCCTAGCCTGGACCAGCAGTGGCTAACAGGGTAACCTGATGTCCAACCTCAACCTACCTAATAAACTGGCGGACTGGGTCTCGGTCTAGGAGGTCCTCTTTTTTCTTCTTACGTACCTCGAGGCTGTGTCTAGCAAGGACCGAGGGAGAGGAAGATTGAAGGGAGGGTGGTTGGAATAAAGCTTGATCGTCACAGATTAGAATTCAAAGGGGAGCGATCGGGTGGGAGGGCTAATTTTTATGTGGTAATTGGAGAAACTTGCCCGTTGAATACCACAGTTCGAGAAGATGGTCTGCAGAATGTCGCAAAAACAAGAGTAAGGTAGGTAAGGTAGGTCGGCAGGCCAAGAAGGAGAGGGGGGAGGGGGGAAATGGAGGGGGGGATCCCAAACAATGCGACGGAGCCCAAGCAACGCAAATAAATCGAACCCCACCATTCATCCATCACATCACCCTATCACCTACCTAGGTCGGTAGGTACCTGTTGTCCCGTTGTCAGTGAGACAGCGCTTCAGGATAACGAGTGCTCCTCCGTAATACACACAGATGGACTAGGCACGTACAACATACTTGTAAGTACATAGTTACAGGTAGGTATGCTTGCAAGACTACGATGTTTCTATTGTAACGAGTGGGTGCCTCCATGCTCCCGCGACAAGGCAGATTCGTCATCGTGGTGGCCGGTATTCTCTCTCCCCAGGCAGACAGATAGTTATCTCCATGTTGATGACATGTGTGCCTCATGCTGGGACTGCTTCATCTCGCTGCCTCGATAGCTCCAGTCCAGCCACGCGAGCATACCCAAACCACCACAGGCATCAACAATTCACACACACACAAAGATGCATCCTGCTTTCCTCCTTCTGTTCAATCATTCTTCTTCTCTGTCTCTCTAACTTGATCGTGGCAGTAGTATACAAGAGCGCCCAGCCCATGCATGCTGTACAGGGGAATAAACGCAAAAGAAGCTATAAACACAGAGCCGCGGAGGAGGTTAGAGGGGAGATTAGAGTACATGTACATGGGCCATATGGCTTCCCACCTTTTTTCGGTAGCAAAACGAAAAAGAAAAAAAGAACTCCAGACCCAGATGCCCTTTCCTAGTCCAGACAAATGCGGTGATACATCAAGAAACACTTCGTCTCTTTCTTTCTTTCTCCCTCTCAACTGTTCGCTCGTTCACTCATCCCATCCGAGGCAGGCAGGCAGCCTTACATCATGCCGCCCATGCCGCCCATACCACCCATGCCGCCCATGCCACCAGGCATGCCGCCAGGGCCCTTCTCCTCAGGGGCCTCGACGATGGCGACCTCGGTGGTGCCGAGCAGAGAGGCGACACCGCTGGCATCAATCAGACCGGTGCGGACAACCTTGAGAGGGTCGAGGATACCGGCAGCAATCATGTCGACGTACTCGCCCTTGGAGCTATCAAAGCCCTTGTTGAAGTCGCTGGCGTACTCGTCGGTCAGCTTGCCGACAATGACAGAGCCCTCCAGGCCGGCGTTCTCGACAATGGTGCGAGCGGGGCGCGTGATGGCGTTCTTGACGATGCTGACGCCGAGCTGCTGGTCAAAGTTGGCAGGCTTGACGTTGTTGAGAGCCTGAGCAGAGGCCTTGAGCAGGGCAGTACCGCCACCGGGCAGGATACCCTCCTCAACGGCGGCGCGGGTGGCGTTGAGCGCATCCACGAAGCGGTCCTTCTTCTCACCGACCTCGACCTCGGAAGAGCCGCCGACCTTGATGACGGCAACACCGCCGGAAAGCTTGGCGAGACGCTCCTGGAGCTTCTCCTTCTCGTACTCGGAGGTCGTAGGGTCGTTCATGACGCCACGGATCTGCTCGCAGCGCTGGGCAATGGCGTCCTTGGAGCCCTCGCCGTTCAGGATGATGGTGTCCTCCTTGGTGATGGTGATGGAGCCGGTAGAGCCGAGCATGTCGACGGTGGCCTTCTCCAGCTTGACGTCGAGCTCGTCGGTGAAGACGGTACCGTTGCTGAGAACAGCAAGATCGCCGAGGATGGACTTGCGGTTGTCACCGAAGCCGGGAGCCTTGACGGCCGCGACCTGGAGCTGACCACGGAGCTTGTTGAGAATGCAGACCGCGAGAGCCTCGCCCTCGATGTCCTCGGCAATGATGACAAGGGGTCGGCGGAGCTGGGTCGACATCTCGAGCGCGGGAATAATGTCCTGGACGGCAGAGATCTTCTTCTCGGACAGCAGGAGAAGGGGCTTCTCAAACTCAACCTTCTGGGACTTGGTGTCGGTGATGAAGTAAGGCGAGACGAAGCCGCGGTCGAAGCGCATACCCTCGGTCACCTCGAGCTCGTCGCTCAGAGTCTTGCCCTCCTTGACAGTAATGACACCCTCCTTGCCGACCTTCTCCATGGCGTTGGCAATGAGCTTGCCGACGTGGGTATCGCTGTTGGCGCTGATGGTGGCGACCTGGGCAATCTCCTCGCTGGTAGTAATGTCACGCTTGTGCGTCTGGAGGAACTCGACGACGGCATCGACGGCAGCCTGGATACCGCGGCGGAGGTCCATGGGGTTGCAGCCAGCAGCAACGTTCTTGACGGTCTCGGAGAAGATGGCACGGGCCAGCACGGTGGCGGTGGTGGTTCCATCACCAGCAGTCTCGTTGGTCTTGGAGGCGACGTCCTGGAGGAGCTTGGCACCGAGGTTCTCGAACTTGTCCTTCAGGGTGATGGCCCTTGCGACGGTGACACCATCTGCATGCCGTTTGTCAGCAAGACCGATCGCTAAACTTGAGGATCAGGGGCTGATCCGCTTACCCTTGGTGATCTTGGGAGAGCCATAGCTGGACTCAATCAGAACGTTGCGGCCCTTGGGACCCAGAGTCGTTGCGACGGCCTTGGCCAGGGTTTCGACACCGGCCAGGAGGGCGGCGCGGCCCTCAACACCGAACTTCAGCTCCTGTGCATGACAATCGAATTAGCAACAGCGATCCAGCGGCGAGAGCAAAGGCAGCAATGCCCATCATCAACTGCCAATTGCTTTGCATACCTTGTGAGCGAAGCGAAGCTGCTGGGAGAGACCGGCGCCGGGACGGAACTTGTTGGCAGCAGCGGATGAGAGCGAAGCCCTCGCGCGGCTTGTCAATGCGCGTTGCATTTTGTGAGATGTGTGGGGGGTTTATGAAGAGGAAAGGAAGCAAACAACGGGATCGTAGGTAACAATGGCTCGTTGGAGAACCTCCCAAGGATCTCTAAGACTGCGCTTGGATGGTGAAAGGGAATGGGACAGAGAGAGAGTAGAAGTCTGGATGGATGACCAAGGAGAAAAGTTTCGCAAAGGAGAGCGGCGATTTGGAGAAGCTTCTCTCCGGGTAGAAAAATTGTCTGGCCCCGGTTGCTGCTGCCCCAGCCAGCGAGAGCCAGAGCCGGAAGCTCCATGCGCACTAGACTTTTTCAGGCAAGGTGTTGATTCCGACGGCTTTCCACCCATTTCTGTGGGGGGAAGGTTCTAACTGGTTCGCTGCTTCCAGTGCTTTTCCCTCGGCTGTCCAAGGCTTGCAAAGGCCCAGCGGCGGCACGGACCAGCGCCTCCAAGCTCACTACAAGCCATCCAATTGCAGGCCGTCTGATTGGCCTCTGGTCAACGACACGCATTGATGTAGGGGGGCCTCATCACACGAGAGAGACACAGAGAGGGTGAACGAATTGTCGACGAAGAAGAATGCCATTCGCAAAACCATGCGAGAATATCTAGAAGCCTTTGATAGAGGAGCCTAGCTAGAAGTACAGGATGCCTTCTTTTTTCCCTAGCCATCCCAGCTCCAACCCCCTGACCTTTGAGCCTCTCCTGATCCTCATTACCCCAGCTCCAATCCGAGCGCTCTCACCAGGTCGAGAGAGCATTGAGAGAAAGAAGAGCTATCCGCCGTCCGCGATCCCTCCTGGTACCAGTGGGCAGATGATCATAAGAGCTGAAATGAAACAAACCGATACTGTGCTGGGGCGAGCTAGCCAGCACAAGGGCCCGACCATGCTATTGTCTTGGTAGGCAACCGCAAAAGAAGAAGCTGAAAGGAAGCCCCTGCATGCAGAGCATGCCATGCCATAGAAAGCTCCCCTCAGCGAGACGAACTCTGAGGAAGCGATGACGCAAACGAGAAAACGTAACAAGGTACCATGATGCGGTACCGGGATGCTGGTAGAAGTACAAGGAAGACTGGTGCAAGGATGTGTTGATCTCCAGTATGGAGCGACCAGTAGAAATAAGGATGAAAAGCCAGTCAGGAAAAGACAGTGGGCAAGCCATCTGGCTGGATACATCTCATATCCATCTTTGTCCCAGCTGCCAAAGGAACGAGTGTGAAGCTTGTTGTCCATCATCGAGAAAGGGTGAGAGCCAGGCCAAGGCACTGACCAGCCAGCCAGCCTTTGGTGATGAAAGGAGTTCAAGATGCAAGAAATTAAGTCGCAAAAAATTGGTCCCGAGAAGTTCGAGATGTGAAACGAGAGAAACTACAAGACACTAGTCGCCAACTCGACAAGAAGCAATTTACTGCTTCCTCAGCGGATTGCTGTCTCCGGGTCCTGATCTCAACCTTAAGGTCCGTAACCAACCTACGGGGTCGATGCATGGTCAGCTATGTTCTCCTATCCTATTTCAAGTGCTGAGTGTAGGTCAATGAGCGGATTGACTTACCCATTGGTTCGGGACAGACGGGACTTCCATGTAATCCTCAGTCGAAGCAAATCCCACCGGCTCATAATGGAAGGACGCGAAATCACCTTGGCCCAGCTTGGCGCCCTGGTGACCGTCGAGAGTTCCATCCGTGCTCAGCTGGTTGGGACCGAAACCGTGATCTTGCAGGTTGGGATAAAAACCGAATGAAAGTTGCTGAAACGCCGGCCAAAGGGGGCCATGTTCATGTTGGGACCCTGCGTATTTGGAAAGTACTGAGGCATGTGGGGCGACTGGGCGAGGTAGGGAGACTGCGGAACCTGAGAGACCTGGCGAGAGCGCTGGGCTCGGGCCGTGAGAGGAGATTGAGAGTACTGGCGGGCCAGTCCACGCGGAGTGTGCTCGGGGGTTTGGGCGGCTTCGAGGGCCCGAGGGGTTTCAGGGACGGGGGCTGCCTGGATGCCGCGAACAGAACCAGGAGAAGAGGTCTCCGACTTGATCTTGAGCTCCTCCTGCTCGACTCCACCAATCTCGCCCGAGTGGCTCTGGTAGCCGCCAGTGTAATCACCAGCATATCCCTCATCCTGTTCATCATCGTACTGAGCCGAATCGTCTTGCTCGTAGCCGTCATCGTAGCCATCTTCATCATCACCGAGACCACTGTCACCAGAGCCGGCGTTGCCATCATGACCGTTCTCATCGTCTTCATCCGCATCGTAATTGCCCTAACATTTGTTTAGTAACTTGGCATGTCTTCTCACTGGATGCGTATGACTGACCTCGCTGGAGGAAGGGTACGAGGCTGGATGACCCTTGTCCTCGGAGTCCGAGTCTCCCTGGCTGCTGCTGATCTCCTGAGCGTCGGCATCAGCATCGGTCATTGGCTCCTCGTCCTGATCAGAAGGACTGGGATCACGGTAGCTGAAGGTGGACCTGGCACGCGACGATCGGCGGCGGCTGGTGGTCGATTTGGTGGCCGAAGGGTCGTAATCTGCGTCACCGTCGAGATCAGCAGGATCAGGAGACTCGGTCTTGATGACGGCCTTGGACTTGGTCGTCTTCTTCTTGCCCTTGCCCTGGCCCTGGCGACCAAGGCCCTCTCCTCCCTGCTGCTTCCGCTTGACCGAGCCCGGAATGGTTGTATCGTCAAAGGTGTCCGGGATGTTGAACCTGCGGTCATCCATGGGCTCGTTGAAGGGGACGGGCCGAGTGGTGACGCAATCCTGGCCCTCCATGTTGGCACGTACATAGCCTCGAATGGAAGGGTCAACTCTGACGCGCGAGCCAGGCTTCTGGCAGATAGGAGGAACAAGATGGCCTTCGGCCACGAGAGTGTGGCGCAGACGGTTCATATGCTGAAGAACAGCGCCGCCAGACGATCCAGGGTGGAGCCGATGAGAGATGGCATCCCACGGAAGCTCGATCTTGTGTCGAGAGCACTCATACTGGATATGCAGAAGAAGCTTCTCTGCCATGCGGGGTCCTATGGTGGTGTCAGTGAACAAGAGATTGAAAGGAATGCAAGCCAGAACAAAGAGATGATATTTTTTATCAGTGAATGGGATGAACACATCGTAGCAGAGGGCATCGGCCAAGTAACAAGGAGAACAGAAAGGTAAAACACAAGGCAATCAAAACTCACGGGTCCAGGTAATCAAATTGCGGCCCTCCTGGCGGCCATTGCGACCGCGATCCTCAGGGAGAGGAGGCAAATGCGAGTGGTTCCAGTTCTTCTTGGCGCTGCTCCTCTTGCGAGTCGAAGCCTTTGAAGCCGGAGTACCCGGGGTTGGAGGAGACTTGGGGCTTCCACGAACCGAAGCGACGGAAGTGGAGCGGGAGCTTTTCTCATGGCGCTCAAGAGCGCTCTTTGACCCCTTCTTGGAGGAGCCTTGGGGCTGTTTGGCGGATCCCATGTTGAAAGTCTCGAAGGAAAGATGGATGGGAGCTAGCGACAACTTCGGAAGGGGTCTGTATTTCCGAGACGGACCAGCTGTTTCTTGTAGATGTTCAGTGGTAATTGACAGTGAGCCAATCTCTTCTCTTTTTGAAAGACGAGATCCTGTCTGTTCTTACTTGGTCAGCCCACCGCTATCAGGGCGCGCTTGGAGATCAGACCTGCTGGCAGATAGGGGAGTCTTCATCATGGAAATATCTCAAGAAAGATGGACTTCTTCTGGAGGCAAGCTATTTGCAAAATGGGCCCCAAAAATACAAATGCTACCAACTCAGGCCACGACCGTAGCATCGCACTGCACCCAGGAAGACGAGCTGCCGAAAGGGATGACAGGAGATGAACTCCCCAGGCCAAGTGATGAATAAATGCATTTCACTTACCACGAGATAGATGTGCGATCAAGCACAGTAGGCCGAGGATGAAAGCTCGGACAAGGACGAGAGTCGTTCTTGCAATCCTGGAAGGGGATCAAGGAGGGCGAGGCAGGCTGAGGAAGGTATGTTCCTTGGCAAAAGGAGTCTTGGGCTCAAGGGCACGACAACGGCCAATAGATGGAGAAGAATGAGACAGAAGGCCAGTGGCCTTATGAAATACTATGGGAGATGGAAAGTGTGGAGAGGGAAATAAATGGCGAGTGGCTAGATGGATTGGGGCGGGCAGATCGAAGCTGAGAAGGCTCGGGGAGATCAGCAGATTCGGAAAGATCTTGCCTTTTCAGCAGCCGAAAACTCCAGAGACTCGATGAGACCCGGGAGAGCTCTTTTGCAGAGAAGGCAGGAATCTTCGACAAGAAATTGTGGAGAGCAGGGTGTGTGAAGGTGTTGATGGGAGAAGCGTGGGAAGGGGAAGGTGGGTGGGTGTTGTAGATTGGTGGGGAGAAAAAAGGTCGAGTCCGTCTTGAGAAAGAAAACGTCGCGTTGATAACGCCTTGAATGGCTTCAAGCACTGGCCAACAGTTCCTTTTTGAGGATTTCTTTGTGGGGAGGCCAGGGCTTAGGGCCTGGGGAGAGGTTGGGCGTTCAGCCTGAGGCGGGAAAGTGAATTGAGATCTGAGTTGGAGGAGTAGGTGATTGTTCGGCAGTGAAGGGAAATGTCCTCGGGCGGCTGGCAGCACGTAAGTAAACAAGCTCTGATCTACAGCTACTTCAGGCCTCATACAGCCCCAGTGCTCTTGCAGCGACGGAGAGATAGTTGAGCTGCCTCCTCGTTGCTCGACCGACCCTTGAGACTCTAGCACTGCGAAGGCCCTGGAGGCCGGGCAGTCAAGTCAATGGGCACCTTGATGATAGCGGTATTCGTGATTTGTTTGGAAATGTGCCTTTGAGCTTCGGGACGACGATGTTGCGAAGCAATATCAGACTTAACTATCCATCCGGCATGCCTCCTTGGCAGCCTTGCTGACCACTTTCCTCACCCCTGACTCGAGTAGCAAGACTAAAGTGACATAACAATGATAACTATCAGTAGATCATAGTATATACCACCTATCACAGATAATTTCATCGAACTCCGATCTCTACGTCTGCGGGAGCCGGGTAGAGCTGCCTATGGTGGAAAGAACCAAAGTTGATGTTGACTGATGCGACGGGCTGATCCGATGCCAGCCGCATGCACACATCTCTGTTTTGGAACGAACTAATGACTGAATAGGCTGACTGGCATTGGCCGAGCAATGGATGATAAAGCAACACTACAATGCTATCAGGACGCTCATATTGACCGGATAGGCTGTCACCAGCCCTGCATCGTGGGAGGAGTTTACTTTGACAGAGCATCCTCCTGGCCCATCGCCACTAGTAAAGGGCTTCTGTGCTCTTATGTACATCACGGGCACGATACCAGGCAATCTTGGGCGAGCAAGGCGTGACCTTGGTTACTATACCGAGTTGTGCAATCCGTATCTATAGTCCGACTTAACTAGTAAACAGCTCCATCTCGTGCTTCGTTACACCTGTTGACTAGGTCTGATAGCTCGAGAAATTACGATCGAATTGCTCAGGACACAACGGATCACATGATGACGAATGTCAGAAAAGTTAGTTAGATATTTCTGTGCTATTCTTCCGGAAGTTTTCGTATTTCTCCTCCGTCGTAGGCTGACTCAGTCTCAAGGCTAGTCATCAATGATAGTTTCGCCGAAAGAGCCAAGCCTACTCAAGATAATGCATAATGCAATTCCAAGTCACACAACAGCAGCAACGTTCCACTGATTTTTTTTTTGATCATGCCTTGCAGTCCATAAAATCCAGCTCCATGCCAGACCATCACGCAACGAGCAGTAAAGCAATAATACCAGGACCAATCTAAGTCGTCTATTAGTTAGTGATGCGGCGAGAGAGAAAAACTCCCCGTTGGAAAGCATACCTCAACGTTGCATCTCAAGACGACTTCCACTGGTTCTCCGTCTTGGGGACGACGTGATAGAACGGGTAGACGGACGGCTGTGCAGAGTTATACCAGTCGACCATGGGTGGAAGCGCGTAGCCCGCGAAGGGCTCAGATGGCGTAGTCGTCCTCAGAGTAAGCGGGGGCTGCGACATGGGGAAACCGTAGTTAGTATGGTGCTCGCATGAGTGCTGCAGCATCGGCTGCGGCGGCGGGGTCGGTTGCTGGGCGGCCGACGAGACGGCCTGGCCGGGGCAGGATGCGGCGGTGGCATTCTCGACGGGTCTCTTTTGTGTCTCGTAAACGAGCAGGACGTCATCATCCGCGTCGTTACCGGCGGACTGGCCGCTGCTACCTTCTTTGGGCGCCGAAGTAGGCGTGGGAACGGCAGGCGATTCTCCCGGTGCCAAGGCCGCCCCCGCCGCCGCCGAAAGAGCAAGGTAGGGTCTATAGTCTGGAATAGTCGCAAGCGAGGACATGGACGCACCGTTCAGCCGAGCACCAGCAGATTTGGCCTCAGCCTTGACGCCCTTCTCGACCTTGAGGTCTTCTTCGTCATCCTTGGGAGCGGTGATCTCGTCGTCGGCCGCGACAACGGCCGTAGTCGCGCCGGTCTTGCGCTTCTTGCGGGCCGAGCCGGGACCAGGGGTGCTCGGAGCCGAGGCTGGAGTGGAGCGACCGCCGTTGCCTCCGGGGGTGGAGTTGGTGATGCCGTGAGCTTTCATGAGTCGCTCGTAGCGCTTGGCTCTGTTTGGTGCGAAGTTTTCAGTTTCTCATTCATATTAATCGGTATGGCATGAAAAGTCGCTCGCTCCAAACCAGGGAATGCGCGTTTCCCACGTGAATCAACATCGTGATTGTGGTCTCCTGAATGAAGACAAGAAGAAGGAAATACTCACGCGGCGCCCTTCGAGACAATACCGAGCTCATCGGCAACGCCCTGAAAGTCGATCTGCGGCCTACAGTCAGTGGATGCTGTCAAGCTGGCCTGATTAGAACCGACTAGATCCAGCTGCACACACCTTTCCAGGAGATGTCGTGTTCCGGATACACGAGATCAGGAACTTAAATTGGCTCTCGATGGTCTGGTTCGACATGTTTGCGGTCTTTTTGGCAAAGATGGACTGGAAGGTAAGATAGATTTGTATGTCTGCTGAGAGGATGGTCAACACAAGCTCAGAAAATGGTGGGACGATAAATATTTGGGAAATACTATGTGAGAAGCACACGGAGGAAAACAAAACGTCGCGTCGAAGCGATGAGGCGATTCACTTACGGAAGTGGGTGGCGAGTAATGAGGACGAAGAGACGGAAATGAAGTCGAGCTGAGCAGTCACGATGGCCAGTGAATGCTTGAAGAAAATAAGAGGGGAAGAAATGACAGGAGAGGAGAGGAGAGTTGCCTGGAGATAGGGCCCAATGCGGTCAATGCTCGATATTGAACGCTCAGGGATTTGGTCTGACGGGGCTGCCGGAGCTGGTGAAGTAGATGAGTGACCATGGGGATAGCCCGTCGTTGGATGTGTCAACTGTCTGCTTGACTCAACACGTCAAGCAAAAAAAATCGATCTGGTCAGGGAAAGTCAGGCAAGCAGATCCAGGACAGGATGGTGGCTGAATTTATCTCTGCAACAGAGATAACACCGGGTAAGGAAGGGGGTTCAAGGACAGTCATCAAACCGTATTTTTATTGTTGTCTTCTGAAGCAGGTCTTTCAGGCTGATGTGAGTATGCTGATGTACACAAAGCCTCCAAGGCAGCCTGTGTCTGCTGCCATAATTGTCTATAGTCTGGGCCCAGACTACCAGTGTCTTCACAGCCCTTTTCTATCAAAGGCCCTTTAGACTGTCGCAATCCTGATGAAAGACTTGCAGAAAGTATGTCTTTGATCATTTTTGTCAATCCTGTGTTGCCGAGAAACTTTGCAAACATGCCCCCAGGGAAATGATGCACTTACAGTGCAAAGAACTCCTTGCCACCTAGTCCTGTCCATGGCTTGGATGTATGGCAGTGGTATCATTCCAAACAGGAGGCTGGTGTTGATACTAGAAATGGAGTTACCGGCAGATAGCAGAGAGAATCAGATCTCGCCCAAGGGCTCTCCAGCAGTTGGGTGCGCCTGATACGACGACTCGGCTTGATGAGGATGGTCGAGAATGCACGGTGACATTTTTGATGACAATCAGGGTTCCAGGTCATGGTATAATCATCGAGTCAATTCCTATCGGACGAGTGCGTGTATGTCTCATCTTCTCAACCTTCCACCGGGACTATTTTGGGATCGAAGAGCAACTGTAGCAAAGATCCGAGGTAGTCGCGGTCTGCAACGACCTCATCAACCTCTCTGCTCCCAATGAGCATCAAAAACACTCCATGATCCCAAGTAGTCTTGACAGAGCCCCCCCCCCAAAAAAAAAAGAAATCCATCCATCAACGATACTGCCCTCTGGGGTAGAGTGCAGGTGACTGAGAATACCGTCTAAACCACATCATACTCGTCCTCAGACTTCTCGACCGAGGGGATGACTTTCTCGGAACCGGTGCTCTGCTCATCATCGGCAAGGTCCTCATTCGAGCCACCAGCAAGACCAGCGACAGAGTCGGCAGGGCCCTTGCTGTTGTTGGCAAGGTTGGGGAACAGCGGACCTTCCAGCAGAGCGAGGTCGCTTCGCTCGTCGAGATCATCCCGGTCGTCCTGGAGTTTGGCGCGCTTGTGAGGCGGGGCTCTAGCCTTGGGTTCGAGGACGAAATCGTCATCTGCATCAGAAGAGGCGGATTGGTCGGCGTCGGCATAGTTGACAGCCTTCGCAGCAGCAGCACGAGGGGTGCGCTTGATCGGAAGCGGAGTGCGGCCGACCCGCAGAGGAGGACGCTTGTTCGGCAGAGGAGTACGGCCATTGGGCAAGCGAGTACGGACGGCGACGTTGGGGGATGAAGCATCAGCCTCCTCTCCGGTCTCGGGCTCCTGGAAATGGACATGAGCGCCAGCCTTGGCCTCCTCTTGATCAGAAGGCGTATCGGCGCCATCACTGTCCTCAACCTCATCGAAGCTGCGCTTCTTGCCCTTGGAGGCCTTTGCACCAGCAGTCTGGGCCTTGCCGCCTTTGGCCCTGGTGGAGGAAGCAACGGGGCCGCGGGGCCAGTTGAACTTGATGGCCATGACGCGGTACTTCTCCATCGCCTGCTTCTTGTCCTTGCAGCCATAGTCGACGGCGACCTGCTCCCAGTTGGCGTCCGGGCGGCCCGACATGGCGTCGAAGACGGCCTTGACGAAGCGGGCATCGCCGACGGTCGGCTGGGCAGGCTTCTCGGGAGCATCTTTGCCCTGCCAGCCGTACTTGATGGACATGACGCGGAACTTCTCCTGGGCTTGCTTCGCGTTCTTGTAGCCGATTGCGGTAGCGACCTGACCCCAGTCGCTGTCAGGCTTGCCGGGCATGTTATCCATGACGGACTTGATGAATTTGAGGTCCTTCGCGTTGAAGGGGAAGTGGTCAGAGTCGGCGGAAGCGCTGCCGCCTTTCTTCTGGGACTTGCCAGGCATGTTGAAGAAGTCGTCAGCTTCTTTTGACGCTGGTCAGTATTCTTGTGCACAGAGTCATTCGACGAAGAGACGTACCTAGCAATGGGTCTTTCACTAAGTTGAGTTGTCTTTGTAGTGGCCGAGGCCCTTTGACTGCGCGATGGAGAGTGAGTGAACTTGTTCACACGAGTAAGGGTGAGCTGGCGAGCCGGGAATTCGATAGTGACAGAGGGAGGGGGAAGGGGATGATTTACCACCTATTCAACGCGAACGTGAACGCGAGGTGAGCGAGCGGCGAGAGAGAAAGAATCTGAGATGCGTTTAAATTTGCAGAAGAGCAGGAGTCTTCGCTCTGGAATAAGCCCAGGAGAAAAAGGGCTTGGAAAACAGCAGCGAGGAGGCCTTTGGAGCAGGGAGGTCCAAAAAGCTGGAGGTGGACAGGGTGAGGTTGGGAGAAGGGTGGGAAGAAAGGTCAGTTGTGGTGAAGGGCTGGACCGAGCGCTCTGCTTGAAAATAAATGCAATCTGATCGGATTTCTTTTGGAGGACATCTGCTCAGATCAACCGAAATGGAACCCTGCTAACAGAAAGGAGTAGAACGGGAACCCTGACTTAGAACCTTCCTCGCTCATCACTGACCTCCTCGCTGGTTTCAAACAAGATATACATGCAAAGGAGCAGATCTCCATATGTGCTATGCTCCCCAACTTCAACACCTTTTCGAAATTTACACGATCACCACGGCAGTGCGTGGCAAAGCCGTAAAATATTAACAGTCTTAACGGTCACGTCGTTGATAGTAATGCAGTCACAGTCTACGGGCATGATATGTCAAGTGGATGTACCATCCGAGTTTCTCATTCAAGTTCCTAGCCGAGACAAACGTCCATAATCCTTCCTAATCGCAAATGAATCCGGGTATCAGCAATGGGCAGTACTGAAAGAGGCTCCGAAGGAACCTCGACTACCGTGAGAAGAGCTCCAAAAGAGAGCCGAAAATGTCAAGGGCGACCGAGTAACAATCATCCACCAAGTCCGACCGAACCATGTATCCCTCCACAAAAGTCCAAGCGATCCAGGAAAAGAAAAAGAAGAGAACTCAAGAGTTCCGTCCACCCCATTCCCAGCTACCTAGATTGTATGGTGTAATTCAGGCCGTCGGTTGTGATGCCCGAGCAAGAGATTAGATCTCAAGCTCATCGATGTTCTCAGCGCTAAGCAGGAGAGGTGATTAGTATCGTGAGCCCGATCTGGGATGACCAGAGAGAAACAAAAGGACCGACTTACGGGTAGCGATCATTGTCACCGGCCTCGGTCTTGACCTTCTTCTGGTCGGGACCAGCCTCGTCATCGTCCTCATCCTCCTGGGGAGCAGGATCGACGTTCTTGCGCTTGCGGCCAGAGGCAGCCTTGCCGGTGCCAGGGGTCTTGCGAGGGGTTCGAGGGGTCTTGGGGGTCTTGGGTGTCTTCGGAGTGCCGACAGCACCGGCCTCGCCACCGGCGCCCTCCTTGCGGCGGAGCTTCTGAAGATGCTGACTATGAGATGAGGAGAAGGTTAGCATCGGCCAATGCCTGTTTGTCCTTTTGTAAAAAGGGAAAAAGGTAGAAAAGGTATTTGGGTCAGGGAGTTGGTGTTCCAGTGAAATCTGGACGGAAATCAACATGAAAGGAACGTGGGGTGAATACGTGACAGCCCTGAGGGTATATTCATATCCCATGGCCGAGGTCTTGTCGACGACCTCCTTCATCTGGTCGCCGGAGCAGACCTCGTAAAATGCTGCGAGGAGGTCGCAGTGGGTTTCCTCGTCCCAGGTCTGGAGCTTTCGACCTTGAGAAGCCATGGTGGTGCTGGTGATATGGAGATGAGAGTGCGATGAAAACAAGGGGTGAGTGATTTGGGGTGGATGTGGCTGTTGATGGAAGACTGAGATGAAGAAAGATGTGTGTGTTTGAGGAATCAGGGAAAAGAGCGCTCGAGCTACCACTCGGTGTTTAAAAACCCGAGCAAGGATGAAAAAAAAATGAAAAAGGGAAACATACGTCGCAGCACTAGCTGTGTAGGTATAACCACGTGTATGGGTTTGATCAATGATTTGTTTCCATTGATCGGTGCTCGGTGGCATGACCGCGAGGACCGCAAGAAGCAGGTCGGATCGCGTCTTATCGTCCCAGGTTGTAGTGGAAGGAGGCATTGCAGATTTGGTATGGACGTGTGATGATGATTGAGCAACGCAAACTCGAAGCCTCGGAGAAGAGAATATTGATGTGAGAAATGAAAAAGGAAGAGAGGTGTGAAGCAGGGCTGGTAAAACTTGAGTTTGGGGTACTGAACGTGGTGGAAATGGTGGGAAAAAGTGAACGATCTTTTCAAGAGTTTGCAGCAGGTGAAGTGAGCCTGAGGTGAATCGTATCTGCTCGCAAACAGATTGGCAAGAAAACAAGGAAATCTGAAGTTAATGAAGAGGGAAAATTCCCAGACGAAAAACTAGACCGTCTTGCACTCGCAACACCAAGGGGAGAAGGATGGCTCGCAGAATGACGCGCAGAGCGTACCGAATCGCATCCCAGGTGGTTTCGTGGCCTTTGGCCTTCATGAGCTCCTCAACCTCGACCTGCTCATCTTTGTTGAGGGGCTTCATGGTGAAGTAGATCATAACGAGATCAGCGTAGGTCTGGGTGTCGTCCCAGCGAGCGACCATCTTGGCTATCGTCGCAGATCGATCGTGGAGTCAGGAAATGGAGTGGTTGTGGATGATACACTGGTCTACCAGCGATGCGACACGGACGTGTTGAATTTTTTTGAAGGTGGGGAGAAGGGGAAGGGAAGAAAATTTTGGGAGGAAAGCAGATGGGATAGGGGTTGAGGGCTCGGGAGAAGAAGATCGAGGGCCGTCGCTCGATTGCGTGGGAGAAAGGGGTTGGGAGCTCTCGGCCATAGAGGGGAGTCACTTGATATCGCCCTCTAGCCAGCGTGGATTTTGCTAGAACTGCAGCGACCTTGGTGTCGACGACCAAGCCGACTAGGCCAGTCATAGGTGGACTCGGCCGGAAACCCAGCAGGCAGGTAAGGTGACTCGCAGAGAAGCTCGAGAACAAGAGGGCGTAAGGCATACCGGATTGCGTTCCACACAACATCGTGGCCCTTTTGCTGCATGAGGTTGACGATCTCATCCTTCTTCTCCCGGGAGAGATCAGTCGGAGCGAGAACTAGGAACATCGCCCAGAGTAGATCAGATACAGCGTCTGCATCCCACTTGACAGGCATCTTGACGGTCGATGGACGAGTGATTGCTGCGTGCAGGTGATTTGCGAGTGTGGTTGGGTGAATGATTGTTGCGATGGCAAACCGATGGAATGAGGGGAACGGGAAGCGTTCAAGGGGGGATCGTGGCTTGGGACAGCAGAGGCAGAAAGAAGGGAAAGGACTGAGAGGTATGAGTAGCAACTGCCACCCGGAGAGGAGAGAAGAGAAGAGCGGCTTCAAAAAGTGATGGGGAAAGTGATTGGGATTTGCGAAGGAGAAGATGGAACAATAAGCAAGGAACACATAGTGCAAGACATACCGGACAGATTCCCAGGTGAAGATAGGCTCCTCACTATCCCCATTCAGGGCCGCCAAGATGGTTTCCTTGTGCGCCACGAGGGTTCCGCCGGACTCAGCGAAGGCATTCGCAAGACCCTCAGCAAGCCTAGCATGGGCATCGCCATCCCATTTTTTAGCGACTCGCTCCTGTCGAGGCATGCTTGAGGTTCGGGATGCTTGGCCGAGTATCGATTGGTCTGAGCGAGACAGAGAGACAAATCCAGGACAAATGACGGCCAATGCTCGACGTGTGTACAGTGATGAGATGGATGCACACGGGTGGTGTGGTTGTTGTCGTGGTTGTTGTTGCGTTGATGAAGGCGAGGATGAGATAGTTGCCAGGCTTGAGAAAGGCGGGAGTCAACGCGACTGGTTGAAGAACGCGTAGTGCAAGAGGAACGCGTTGCGTTCGGCTCAACAATGAAAAAAAGTGATTTGCTATCTGAGAATACCTTTTGGAGTCTAACACATCTGTCGACCCTGATAACGCACGCCCCTTTAGAACCCTAAGTCAATCCCCGCAACAACCAACTCCAGGAACAGGACAAGACAGAAAGGGGTTATATTTTACCAAAACACTAAGGAAAGGGGGCCGACAAAACCATACCAAATGAAGCAGACAGGAATCTTAATAGACAATGGTTGCTTCTGTATCCATGACGGTCTATTCCTCCTCCTCTCCAGCATGAAGAGCAGGCCCTCAAGGCCATCTCATTGTTTGTTCCAGCCCTTTTCATGCATCACCTCCATAGTTGAACCTGTGTTTGGACATGCTGTCAGTGCTTTGGCCGAGGATGACCTGCGAAGGCTGGCGGCTTGAAAACTTACTCCTGGCCATACTGATCCACGGACGATTGATTCTGGTGGTCGGTCAGGCTGTTTAAGATGGCATCATCCTCCAATGACGGGTCCGTGTTGTCGTCTAAACGCTGTCTTTTGGCGGCCTGCTCCTCGAGCTCATCGCCCTGTTCGAGCCCGAGGGCATCAGGGACCCCCAGGTGTACCGGCTGTGGTAAAGGCTCACCAGGACCCATTGGGGCAGGAGGGGCTGGGGGTAGTGACTGAAGCTGCTGAAGCTGCTGAGGGTCCTGAGGCTTCTGGGGTGTCTGTCCAGGGGCAGTGGCATCGCCAGCGACCGGGGCAGGAGGCTGTTTTCGAGGCCGACCTCGACCGGGACCCGGCCTCCGAGTGATGGGGTTCAGGGTAGGGTCAAGCTGCTTCGAATTTCCATCGCCCGAGGTGCCATTGGAAGTGTCTACCTTGTTTTGAGCCCTCCTCAAGCCTTGGAAATGTTGACTAGCCATTGCGTTAGTGCCAAGTTGTGAGCAGCCCGCCCCCGGGATAGGAGGAGTGATGGTGCTGATCCGGCAGAACATGCGCAGAGGAGTTGGTCCATTGCGAGATAGGCTTCACCCTAGATGACTACCATCGAGGTGGGGAAGAGTCTGCAGAGCTTGCCCAGGACTCCTGAGGCAGTCGCCAATGGCTGGGCCTTTCATGCCATCACGCGTGATAGTCCAACACAGGGTTCGTCACATGAGCACGATGAGTTGGGCATTGGAGGTGGATGTCAGGTACAGTGAGACAAGCGCGGACTAGCTGTGACAACGGGAAGAAGAACCAAGCTGTGGAAGATATGGCAGGCAAGGCGGGGGCGTGAGGCAGGATGGCGGCAGGATATCAGCATGGGAGAAAAGGGGCAACAGAACCAGTCAGGTTGAGTAATGTAGTTAAGAGAAAAGGGCATAAGCGCAGGCCGGAGGGTGGACGAGAAAAGCGGAGGCTTACCGGCAGCCTTCATTGGTGAAGCCATAGCCCATGGACCTCATATGGTTACCGATTGTAGTCCATTCGCTCCCGCTGATGACACCAATGTTCTTGACGGAGAGAATAGTGAAGAAGAGATCCTTATCGGCACGGTCATTCCAGTTCTTGTTCATGTTTGGACCTGTCGTCGTCGTCGTCGGGCGCGGGCGGACAACAGCTGCGACAGGGTGGGGAAGTCCTGCTCCGGTCGGTGCAACTGGCACTCGTGGTCAAGCTGTCGGCAATGCTAGACCGTGAGGCTCGCTTCAATGGCAGCCAGAAGACAGGTTGGATCGCAGATGGAGTTCAGGGAACGGGGCAGTAGAGAGGTTATCACATGGAGAGCATGAACAATGAAGCCGCAAGCGGGAGGCTGGTCGCTGACGTTAGTGTGGGACCTACGATATGGTGCGACAACCGCGGGTGCGACGGGTACCGGGCAAAGAGGAGTGCCGATGTTGGTCTTAAGGGCAGAGACGAGAGGTGCTAAGGAACTAGAGGAACATTGAACGAGGCTGGACTTGCTCGAAGCAAGACCACACCACCAGTGCTGGTTGGGTTGTTTTTGGGTGGGTACTCGACTCAGGTACATAGGTACAAGTACGGACTTGCTTCAGGCTGTTTGGCGAAAGTGCGGAATTGCAGGGCGGGTAAGTAACTACCTAGGTACCTAGGTACCTCCCTACATACCAAGTCCAATTACAGCCAGCACCTTCCGTACGACAGGGTGGGACAAGGAGACAAAGAGTCGGAGACAAAGAGTCAGAGGCCCCAGGCAGCAAGGCAGCAAGTGTGACGAACCGCCCCGAGGTGGTGCCTCCCCTCTTTTTTTGGCAGGTCATGTGAATTGGTGCCAATATCGCGCGGTACTTTCGAGCACAGTGACGATGAGCCTTGGTCGGACGCGTCCCCCTCCCGATCTCGACCCCTCCCTCTCTCTCTCCTCTCCTGGCTTCTCTCCTCTCCTGACCGACTCCCGCCCACCCATGTTGAAAAGTTTGCTTACCCGGCCAGCCACCTTGTTATTTTTTGCTTTGGTGTCTTGACCCTCCCTCCCATATGATTGATGTCTGTAGTTCTCCCTCTCGTAGGTCGTCGGTATGAGTATGCGTATTGATTGGCTTGATCTTGGGCGACGTGCAACAGCGATGCTTGCCACCCATTTGGCGACACGAATTTCATCCACCTCAACCAATTTGATGTCTCCTTACTTTTGTCAGAAGCTGAACAAGTCCTCGGCCGTGCATTAGCGGCGACGTCCCGGGCCACTCTAGTCTCCAATCCCACCGTCTTTCAGACCGGTGTACGCGCCTTGTCTGACTTTTTCGCTCGAATTGGCTTTTCTCATCCCTGCTAGGATGCCATCATTTCTTTTCAAGAAGAGGGTTGGAACGCCATCTCTTGCACACTTGGCTGCCCAAAGAAGTCTAGGGCAGCAGGGAATCAATTAAACCCCCGGTCGAGTCCCGCCCTCTCCGATCAAATTCTCCCGTTTGTCCCATGCACCGGCGTATCAGGGATGTGCTGTCGTGTTCCCCAGCCCAGCCCCTCTCTTTTTTCATTCCGACGGAGCCCTCGAATGAGTCACAGGTTTCATATCATATCACTCACTCATCTTCCGTCGCATGCGCTCTGCTGATGCTGATGCTCGTCCGACGCGACGCCTCTTCTGCCTCTGGCCGCAGTGAAGGTTGAGAACTCGGAAGAGCCTGTGTGAGCGGACAGCACATCATGGACCGGCCGGACTCCTCATGGTACCAGAGCCCAGAGAGGCCCAGCCCGAAGCGAGACGGATTGCTGTATCGTTTATTCTCTTTTCCTCCAGTCTTTTCCTGTCCTTCGATCCTGCAATTGCAGCCCGGTCTGCTGTCCTTTCTTGTTGGGTGGGCGGAGATCTGCCAGAACCACTTTACGCGAAGGCGCCACGAACCCGCGTGCGTCTCCGTCTTGGAAGTCCCCCCACCATTGTGTTTTAGTCCTCCTTCGCCCTCCCAATCACGAGTGCATATCCCTGCCTCTTCCCTGTCCGGGCTTGGATCCCATTCCCGCCCTGTCGAGTGATGAGTAAATGATATCCCCCAGGCAACCACGGGCACCTTGTATGTACAAGTAGGTACTCAGCTGGAGGTCTGATCAAAGAAGCAAGGCGCTGACCTGGTCTATGCCGGGATACATGGCTCTGAACCGCCGCACTGTGCCGTGGCAGCCTTTCACCACCCCACCCACAATGGAGTCTTTGAGGACAGCAGCAAGTCGGCCGTCCTCCTTGTATCTAGGCGCTGGTAGTTAAAGGAAGCCGCTGCTCTCCATTATGCTAGCCTGAAAGATCTCCCCAGCTCGCCTCTCCATTGTCTCATAGTTTGGTGATTGAGCACACAAAGTGTGGGCCATGCTGCCCAGCTCACCAGTGCCCATCCTCTGCCCTGCCGGGCTTTTCCTCATCTCTTCCTGCCTGGTGAAATAGGCATATATTGCAGGCTGGCCTTGCCTCACCCATCTTCACATCTCCCAATCAACCAGCTCACTGCTGCCAAAACCCTCTCATGCCTCCTATCTGATCGCTGAAGCACTCCATCACAAGCTACGAATCGACGGGAGAACCCGAGCCTTGCCTTGCCTTGCCTCACCAGACAGTATCCTGTTGCTTCGCTGGGAAGCACTCGATCCTCAGCCATGGCTAGTGCTCATGATACTCCCATGACCAGGTTCCTGTTCGCCATCCTCAAGCAGAAAAACCTCAAGGACGTAAGCTAAACCATAATCATCATCATCATCATCCTCGTGCCTCCTCATCACTCCGCAATGCGCAATGGGAGCATACTAATCTCGCCGAGCAGATCGACTGGACCCAGGTCGCCAGTGATTCGATCCTTTCCCAGCCCATCTCCAACGGTCATGCCGCCAGGATGAGATACTCGCGATTTCGCAGCCATATGCTGGGTCTGGAGCCTCAGCGACGGAACCGTCCCAGTCCGGTGGCCAAGTCTAAAGTGACCAAGTCGAAGAAGACGGCCCCAGTCAAAAAGGACGAACCAGTCAAGTCTGATCCTGGTTCAGCCGCGGAGACATCGTCCCTCCATGCAATACCCAAGGCGGAATCGCCTACCGTGAAGAAGGAGCCGTGCCAGACACGAGACGAAGCCCTGACTCAACATGATTCGTCGCCAGCTGTCTCGGCACCAATAAACGAGTCCCAGGTGCAGTTCCAGTCGAGGCTGCTTACGCCAGCCAGTGACACCGACCCCATGGCCACGTCTCAGAGCTATGCCTCAAGCCCGACAAGCGACCTGCTCCCTCCAGATGCCGCTGCATTTGACTTTGCTTCGGCATCTCAACTCGCCCCTGATTCTCAGGGCATCTGGCCGCAGGCTATCCAATACCACCCACTCGGTCACATGTACAATCCTGGCCCTTGGGCTCCAAGCCTCTACGACCCGCATCACCATCACCAAGTCCTTCATATGCAGCAACACGAGAACAGCCTCGCTCATCATTACCATCAACAGCACCAGCACCAGCACCAGCACCAGCACCAGCAAACCCCAGCTCATCTGCAATTGCAGCCGGGACATGACCTACAACCCTTTTATCGTACTCACGATGGGCATCTTGCGGGCATTACTACACAGACCACCGGCATTGACCCGGTTGCAGGCTCGTCCGATGTCAAGCAAGAGGATTGATCTTTTCTCTCGGCGTTTCATGGACTTTTCCCTTTAATGAAGTTGTATTTGGTCATCAAATTGGATAGACGTCAGGTTGGTGGGTTCTGTTTATGGATTGGGTGGGATTTGTGGTCGAAATTATGGCTTCTTGATAGACACAGCTCTACACAGACACATTACCAACTGTTCTTTGTCCATGGCATGGCTCAATGTATGTATGGCCGGCGACCCTCTGCCTTCTCATCCCAGTATTCATATTCCATAGGTAGGCCGAACTGTGCATGGCATGGGACTCTCTCCTCCTTCTTTCTGCTTTGGGCCTTCCCCTTTTCCACGTTAGTATGCACCCAGACATCATGGGCATTTGTAGGTAAAGGACCTGGCCTTCACTGTGCCTACTACAGTCAACCATTCTTCCTCAGCAATAGCCTCTATTCTTGGTGATTCCCCTGCCGGAGTCGTCATGCGCCCTGTGCTTCTCCTTCGCCAGACCCGCCTCGACGACTCATCGACGACATAATCATGACGGGGCAGCAGTATGCCCTAGATGGCCACAACACAGGAGGAGGTTTTTTTTTTCTTCTGGTTGATAAATAATTTCTGCCACTTGGAGATCTCCTTTCTCCTCCCCATTACTTCCTCATCCCGTCGGGCGATCTCAACCCCACAACCTTGACACAGCTTCAGCAACGAGGCCTGTCTTCGGGATTCAACTACGTCTTCCACAGCTACCAGGTATGTACACTCACTCCTTTCGATATTCTAGACCTTCAGAATACTGCGTGGTATGTCGCTGTTCTTGCGATTGTTCAGTATCGCAAAGCGCGGCCTCCTCTTCGATCAAAGCGCGGCCTCCTCTTCGATCGCCGTGTCCTCCTCCTCCCCGCTCGAAGTCGTGACAAGACACGCCACCCGGCGCCCTCTCTTCACCTCAGCGAACGATTTCTATCTTCGATGAAGTCGTCGTGGTCTCGAGCAAACAAGCTGCAGGTGTTTCTGTCTTCTCGCAGACACTGTATCTTAGTGCCCTCTCTCTCTCGGGAAAACACCCCCTTACAAGTTGCCCATCTTCTCAAGCACCACGCCAGTTCCACAGCAGAGACACAGACAGTCGCTGACAGATAGTAGCATCTTGCTTGACTCTTCAACAGCTCCCAAGTACGTCCTCGTTCCGCACATCTGACCAAGTCGAACCGTTCGATGGAGCTCAAGCATCTCACGTTATCAAGCACCAGCTGTTTCGGAGCGAATGTTGATCGGTGTATGGATTGCTAACGTTACTTAAACAGTTCCATCTCGCACTCGTCGCTTCGTTGAGGAACAGCATCGATCATGTCATCCTCTGCAACCGCCATGGACGCTGAGGGCTTCATCAAGCCAAACAACTCGGAGATGGAGGTCATCTGTGCTGTTCTGAAGCACATGAAGAGCGAGCCAGAGGTTGATTGGGAAGAGGTCTCCAAGACAGCCGGCCTTAAAGATGGCACCGTCGCGCAGGTACGTGATCTCATTGAATCTTTTTGTGACATGTAGTTCACCGGCACGGGTCACGGCCCTCAACATGACGATGTATCTTATGGGAGTTCAAGTCTATCATTGCTAACACACACTCCCAGACGCGCTTCAGGCAGGTCTGCCTGGAACTCAACCTACTTGGAGCGATTACCGCCCCCAAGAAAGCCAAAAAGTCTTCTGCTGGCAAGTCCGAGGCCACTCGAAAGGTCTCGCGCACAGTTGCTGAGGTCGTCTATGATGACCCGCCCACCCCTACCAGGCCCTCCAAGCGCGCCCGCCCTGCTCCCGGTGCCTATCACCAATCTCCCGCGCAGGAATTAATCTCTCCTGTTCTTCAGTCCATCGAGTACGATGGCTCTGACGAAGCCGACGAGGCAGGCGAGGCAGGCGAGGCCGACGAGGCAGGCGAGGCACGCGAGGCACGCGAGCCCGTCGTCCCTCCGGCTGTCGACGATGCTCTGCCGCCTCACCTGACGGCCTCCCGCCCCGACCCTGCTCGCAACCATGACCCCAGCATCGAAACCAGCAGTCCTCCGTCCACCAGTCAGATTTTGATGGATACCTGCGAGGCTTTAATGATCGCGGTTGACCGAGGAGTCTGGAGGAGCATGGAATCCGTCTCCGATGAGTACAGTCTTCTGGCTTACGACTTTGCTAACGTCCACACCCGCCGCTCGGTCGAGGAAATCTCCATCTACATCCAGTCTGTCGTGGAATCTGATAGGCGCTATAGTGGCTACGTGGTTCCCCGTAACACCGACCCTGGCACTGCCACAACCGACAACGATCCGCTCCATGTGCGCACTCCGGCCACTCCGGCAGCCCGGCCCGGCCCCACTCGCGCCGGTGGTGGAATCGCGACCCACTCGGTCCGTACCGCCCCCGCAGGCCACACCCCGATGGTCCTCCCGCCCTTGGAGCGCGCCGCACTTGCACCGCGGACTGGTTTGCAGAACCAGCTGCCGCCCCGCTCTCCGCTGCGGGAGTTCCCCGGCCACAACCAGCAGGAAAACGCCATCCCTCCGCGCCCTGCCCGGTGGTGGAACGATCCAGTCGCGTATTCCAGCGAGAACGCGGACCCCTACGAGATCTAGATCTGCAGGAAGGGGGCGACCATCGACGACTCAGTGATCCTCGGTTGTCTTCCTTCTTTCATCTCTCATTCTCGATTGTTCTTGTTTTGGGATCTTTGAACTTTGTTTCATGGCCAACTGTTTTCTTTCGCGCTGTTTCATCGCTTGGTCTTGGCTGCTCAGCATTGAGCTATCGACCTCCAGCTTTGACTCGCGATCCAATATCGGCGTTCGTTTGACGGGAAAATATCCATTTGCATTCCTGACACTACACACATCACGACTTGCTCCTTGCAAGCATCTATCTTCCCTCAAGGACAGATAAATGCCGAGCGACAACAGGTCATCCCCCCATGCCACTACACTGATACAATGCTACCCACAACCACGAGGACACTATTACGGCATGCTATCCATAGCTGGATAGTCACGCTAAGAGTCAAATCCAAAAGAGAGACTTCATCACTGAGAAACATGAAGAGAGTTTGCATGACCATTAATTTGTGATATGGTGACTTTTTAATGTCATTTCATAGAGACTAACTGAGAGAGTAAAGAACAACAAGCAACCATGACAAGAGAAAATGCATCGCGAGCAAAACAAACATACGCAGGTCTTATCGTAGCACCTCTGCCACGTCCTCACTTCCCTTCAGAGTGAATTAATACAACACAGTTGGCGCTCGTACACGTAGTTGTCCCCCGTCGAGAGAAGAAGAAGAAGTCTTCATAATCCCTCCGAGACAACGCATCCAGATCGGCCAAGTCAAAGTGCAAGTCAAGTGCAAGTCAAGTGCAAAAGCTCGATGGCCGCAGCACGCGCGCAAAAGTGGAAGTCGAGGTAAAACTAAAACTGCACGTTAGATAGTCAGGACGCAGAACCCCAGGGAAGAACAGACAACCTGAATGACATACGAGCTCCTTCCCTAGACCTCATAATCATCCAGGCTCGAGTAAGGAACCTCGGGCTTCTCGTTCTTGACTGGCACCTGAGTCTTACGGGCCCGAGCACCACGAGCAGCAGCAGCAGACACGACAGGAGACGAGGGAGCAGCCTCGCCCTCGACAGTGGGATCCTCAATCGGACCAGCCGCAGCAGAAGGGGCAGCGGGCTTCTTCTTGCGCGGAGACGCCTTGCGGGAAGGGGAGGCGGGATCAGTCGCCGCGTCGACGGCGGCCAGATCAGCGTCACCACCCTTCTTCATCGCCTTCTTGGTAGCGCCAGGGGCACCAGAACCAGAACCAGCAGCAGCAGGCGCCGGCTGGGCAGTAGCGCCACGGCGGACTCGCTTGACGTTGGCCATGGGCATCTCGTCGCTGTCGAGCTCCTCCAGGTCGTTGTCGCTGCCATCGCCGTCCTCGCGCTCAGCGGCCTCGGCCTCGGCGCGGGAACGCTTCTTCTTGGAGCCCTTCTCGCCGCCACGAGCGTTGGTGCCCGTGTTGGCCTGGCCCGAGCCGCGCGGAGCGACGGGGTGGATTTCCTGGCCGCCGATGCCGTCGGTGCGGCGCTTCTTGAAGTCGCCGAGGATCTTCTTGTTCCAGCGCGAGCTAACGGTTGCATCTCTTTGTTAGTCCATTCCCCCCCCCCTTTTCTGTAGCTGTTGCTTTGTTCAAGGGCCGCGTTTGATGTCTTATCTTATCTGGTTGCAGGGAAGGGAATGACCAGAAAGAGGAAAGAAGAAGGACTGGGAGGGAGATGGTGCATATTTGCTGTGGAATAGGGGAGCTGAAACTTACATCATGGCATCCTTGTTCCACTGGTATCCCCAGCTGTGCATAGTCTCAGTGACCTTATCCCAGCCCACAGTGTTCTTGATCTTCTTGATGTCCTCAGCAGACAGGTAGCCGACGACAGCAAGAGTCAGGTCCTGCTCAGACTCTCGGGTCCAGGTGTTCTGAGCTCCACGGGGAGGCATGGTTGATAAGATGATGTTGTCAGGTAGAGTACTCTAGGCTGATAGAACCAGTGCTATCACTATGAGATGAATGTGAGAACCAATCTGATCAGATAGGTGGGTTAGATACGACAGAGCAGGTCGCAATAATACTCGCCTATCGTGCAATTTATTTTGTGGTGGATTCAGAGAGTGAATCCGGAAAGGTGAATAGTTGAGAAGGGGAAGGTCTCGTCAGCTCGAAAGAGGCAGGGAGTGGAAGAGATGAATGAGGCAGATGAAAGATGATGGAAAAAAAGATGGGCAGTGATAGTTGAGAGGTGTTGGTTGAATCAAGGGGGGTGGCTCATCTAAGTTGTTGGTGAAAACAGCTAAGTGAGATGCTGCTGTTCTGAAGTTTTACTAAGAGAGGGGAGAGGTCAGGGGGATGGAGTAGAGGAAACAAACAGGACAGTCAGAAAGAATAGTCAGATATGAATCCTCCAGTGAATATCACTCTCTTAGAAGATTGGACAACTTCAAGAATTGGCAACTTGGTCAATGATTGTCACCTTGGACGTCACTTTCAGGTCGTGCCGAAATCATTTCATTCTGCTTATGCGAGTCTCAAGTCTCGTTTTCATTTCCACTATCCGGATTACGAATGAGGCCTGTCTTTTTTCGCTTCATAATTGACTTTGGTGTGCTTCTGTGAAAACCATCAATGGCTCCAAGTAACTAATCAGAGTCTATGTCAACCTGATCAGTTGCTCGTATCAATGCACGTAAAACAGAGCGAGCAACCGTCCTAAATGTCCTAGCAAAACGCCGTAACACCGCAGGTGCCTCGTATCTAGGCCTTCCGGCCGTCCAACCGCCTCCCTTCGCCAGCCTTCTTCTCCGCCGGCTTGGGCTTGGAATCAGCTGCGTCGCCCTTTCTCTTAACAGCGCCACGCAGTGTCTGTCCCTGGCCGGCGAAATGCGGCTTCTGAGCATTTGCTGCCTCCTCTTCCTTCTGCTGCTTGGTCTTCAGGGGCTTAATCTCGTAGCCAAAGAACAGTTTGTTTGGGGGTAGTCGCAATGGCATAGGGCCATTGACGCGTCGTCGGGGTAAAGCACTGGTATCGCTATTTGCTGACTGGCCGGCTACTGGTGTGGCGGCTTTGGGTGTCGAGGTCTTGCTGCCCTTCTTGCCACCTATCCGGTTGCCCTCGCCGTGGAAATTGGTGGCTGCTGCAGCAGCAGAAGAGGGCGCGATGGCGTCGTAGTTGATGGCTTGTGCCATAGTACCTTGGCTGTGTAGAAGACCGCCTGCGGGAAGACCTCCTCGCACACTCCTAGGCGTGCTGGTACCGCTTCCCTTGGTACGCTCTGGTTCTACGTAGCCGACAGGCGGCGCGAAGTCGACTTCGACGTCAGTCTCCAGCATCGAGACACCATTCTTCTCCGTCTCTGGCTTGACCTCTAGGACGGCCACATCAAAGACCTCGTCGTTGTATTCAAAGTTGAAGACATCACCCTTGGTGAGGGTAGCAAAGTTGCGAAAGGCCCGCTCAAGTACGGCTTTGGGATCACTAATTTCCAAGAAGGCAGGCGACTGTGGCTGGAGCTTGACCCGGCGGGCCAGCTCTAGGGAGGTCGACTTGATCTGGATCATGTCTCCCACATCGAGTAGAAGAGTCTGCATCATCTGTATCATTCATATGTCAGCATTCAGCCGAGTCCAAGCGCATTTCCTGCTGCTACTGACCCATTGTGGCAGGTACGCCCTGCCCTCCTCGGCCACAAACTCCAACACACCGCAATGCGAGTGCGTTCCCTTCTCTCCGTTTATGAGCTCCATAAGAAGCGGCCACTGGACGTGCAGTCTCGAAACCTTGTCAAGAGCGGAGGGAGGCAAGAGAATCTTGGAGCCATAGTTGAGCTCGGGGCGCTCGGCGCCAGGGGCCATGACGATGGGATAGCATCGGTAGTATTCGTCAAAACGCTGGACAGCAGGGCGGCGCATCCCGCGAGCCATCTGATACAGATGCTCCGGGTTGCCAGAATCGTATCCGAAGCCGGCGTTGAACTGGCGGGGAACTGGTGTGAGTAAGGCTTCTTTAGAGAGAGAGATATGATACTCTGTCAGCACCTACCATTTTGATGATCCTCCCACCACTTCGGGGTTGCTCTTCGCCAATCTTGCGATGCCCGTAAGATGATACTAGATCTGCCTGGGGTTTTTCCGCCTAAAGCGCTGAAGGCAGACGCAGCATTCAAGAGTAAAGGTGCTTGGACTGAGGTGGGACGGTGGTGTTGAAGTCGAGCGGCAGGCGCCAGAATGACGAAAGCTACCAGAGGTGGAGCTTGGTTACCTATTCGCCTGATAGACGGTAGCTGTCACTAGCTCGGGCTCTCCATGAATGTGGTGGCAAGTTTCATGGATGGCCAGCAGGCGATCAGGGCAGGTGGGGTGAGGGAATGGATCAAGTAAGGTAAGGTTAGGTAGGTAACTAGGTACCTACCTAGGTAAGCAGTGCCGGGAAGTCACTTTTCATACTACCTACAAGTATTGTCGCTTCGGTGCATCCACGTTCTTTGTCACTGGCTTTGCTTTTTGCCAAATATGGATGCGATGTCCTTTGTTCAATACCTATGACCTTTGAGCCAGGACTATGCGAGCTTCTGTGCGATCTATAGTGTCATTGTCGTCGAGGGCAATGGAGAAGACAGCTCTTGACTGATGACGTCGGAGTCTTTATCATATAGTGAGGCCGCCCTCTACCCACTAGCGCTGTCTGGGGTCAGAAATGGACTCTTTAAATGTCACAGTGCCTTCCTCCAGTAGAACTTCGAAAAAAGTATAAGAAACTCGGAAAAGTAATGCTGAGATTGTTTCGTCACACTGCCCACGCCTTGTCCGCGTAGATCAGCGCCCAGGTCACTCTTTGTCAGACGACTGCACGACAGACGAGCCAGCCACCAACTGCGAGCCACCGCGAATTCTTCCCACAGCCTCGTCCAACTTCGACTTTGCCAAACCACTCCAGATCAACACCTCTCCCATCGTACACCCCATTGAGACCGCACAGCAACCGGGCAAATACAGCGCTGCTCTACACATGGCATCGAGATACTCCGCCGCGCGGCCCCGGCGCGCCGGCGAGGCATTTGCCCGCTCGCACCACGGCGAGGGAGGCGACGGCGGCAGCGGCGACGACGAAGGGGGCCACTCGGCTAAGAAAGTCAAGTTCGACGTGCGCAATCCCTCGGCGCTGGCCCCCGACGCCCGCGAGGAAGACGACGTCCTCGACGCAGACGTCATCGGCAGCGGCGCCGGTGCCACGAAGCGCGGCGCCGTCAACATCGACGGCTACGACTCCGACTCTGACAACGACACGTTCAATGCGCGGGCCGAGACGAGGACGGCTGGGGGCAAGGGAAAGGGAAAGGGGAGCGGTGAGGGTGACGTCAACCTCGCCGATCAGTTGGACAACTACGACTCGCGGCTCAAAGGCGACAAGCCCAAGGCCGATGCCGACGACGACGACGACGATGATGACATGTTTGCCATGGACGACGACGACGACGACGCCGAGGAGGCGGGCAAACCCGCCGAGGCCACGACCACGGGTCAGGGCAAGAAGGACAAGTCGGTGCGCTTCCTGGCGGACGAGGACATCCTCGGCCAGGAGGAAGAGAGCAAGAGCGGCGGGCACATCCGGCTCGACGACGAGCCGAGCAGCGACGAGGAGGACGCGCAGCTGGCGATCGCGGAGGAGGCCGTCGACGAAGAGGTCGGCGCGGGGGGCCTCAAGCGGCACGCGCCGCGCATCGACGCCTTCAACATGAAGTCGGAGCAGGAGGAGGGCGCCTTCGACGAGGCCGGCAACTTTGTGCGCAAGGCCGCCGACCCGGACGCCGTGCACGACCGCTGGCTCGACGGCCTCAGCAAGAAGGACATGCGGCGCGCCGCCGAGGCCCACGAGCGCCGCGAGGCCGACCGCCGGCAGCAGCGCCGCGAGGCCGACGGCGTGCAGACGGCCGACCTGCTCGCCAGCCTCATCCGGCACCTCGAGCTCGGCGAGACCGCGCTCGAGGCCCTGGCCCGCCTGGGCCGGGCGCTGGCCAAGCACCAGCCCAAGAAGGTGCCCAAGTGGAAGCAAAAGAAGCAGCACCAGCACCAACAACAGCAACAGCACCACAAGAACGGCGGCGCCGAGGCGATGGACGTGGACCACCGGCAGGACAAGGAGGCCGACAGCCCGCAGGTGGTCAAGATCAAAAAGGCCATCGACGCCATCACCGAGGCCGCCGACGGCATGCTCGGCAGGGACAGCCTCGACATCTACGACAAGGAGAGGGAGATCCTGATGCGAGAGTACCGGAACGAGACCGGCGAGGCATGGGTGGACCCGCCCGAGCAGGAAGAGGCCGAGGACGACGTCGCAAAGGGTTCACAGATGTGGGAGTACAGGTGGACGGACGGCAGAGACGGCGCAGACAAACAGGGTCCCTTTGACGGACCGACGATGAAAGCGTGGCAGGACGCGGGCTACTTCGGAGAGGGAGTCGAGTTCCGCCCTGCTGGCGAGGAGGGAGGGTGGACAAGGGTGGCGCACTTTGTATGAACAGTGTACGGGATGAACAGGCATGGATCTTGATCTAGAATACCAACAAGGACGGAAGAGAAGTCGGGGAAAATTAGGCCTTCACCATTGCAGAATCTAATCTAGGCCATCGGCGCCTCTAAACAATTATACCCGCCTACGCCTGTTTTATATCGCAAATAACCTATGATACACTTTGACACCCGGTTTGATGAACTGCCCACTTGAAATAAGACCCTTAACGCCCAAACGACAGACCCAAAACTCAGCTCACGTCCATTCTGTCGGCAGCAGGTGCAGCAGGTGCAGCAGGTGCAGCAGGTGCAGCAGGTGCAGTAGCTGCGCCAGGTGCGGCAGGTGCAGCATGGCCGTTGGTTATGGTGAAGTCGACACCGCCGTCGTTCCCAATCAACCGCCTCTCAGAGTCGGTGACGAACTTGACGCTCCTGCTGGGGTCGTAGAAGAGCTTGAAGCTCCTCTGAACGTCCTCGACGCTGACCTGTGTCGCGCGCCGCTTTGCGCTGATGAGTTGTGAGGTAGTGATCAGGTTGCTGGCGTATCGCAGGCCGGCCTCTTGGCCAATCTTGGTAAGCAGTGCCAGGGCATCCGGGCTCAATTCAATCTCCTCCTCCTGTGCTCGGATGGAGAGGATCTTGTTCAGCTCCTCGGGCGTGTAGCCGTGCGTGGTGATGATCGCGGTTCGGTCGAGGAAGTCGAGGGGAAGGCCGTGGGGGCTCTTGTAGTCGGTTCCTCGGATGCGAGACTGCCCCCTGTTGCTGGCCATGATGACAATAGGGGCCAGGTCGACCTCGAGAGCCCGGTTGATGTACGAGAAGCACTCGATGTCGAGCATGTGGACCTCGTCGATAAAGAGAACACCGGGGACAATCTCGGCCTTGCCCTCCTCCTTCCACTCAGCTACCTTTGTGTTGATCTGGTCTCGAATCTCGCTGCGGATCTCGCCCGTGTCGCCGCTGAACAGGGCGAGGAAGCCCTGCGTCCTCGAGTTGATGACATCAATCTCGTGCAGGGTAACGGTGTGCACGACCTCCTTGCGCTTCTGCAGCTCGCCCTCGGGGCACTGGAGGAACTTGGTATCGACACCCATGGCATCGTAGTCGCGGGATCTGGCGTAGGACCGGCCGAGCTTGGTGATCTTGCCCGAGGACTTGTCTATCGAGATGATGTCGCCGGCCATGACACGCTCCTTAGTCATGGCATCAATCATTTTGCTTCCCATGTCGTAGATGGCCTCCATGTCAGTCGTCTTGATGGTCAGCTTGCCCTGCTTGGCGCCACCGGTGACACTCCTGTCAATCTGGATCTCGACAACCTCGCCCTCCATGATCTCGCTCTCTTCTTTGATGCGAACACCGATGGATTTGCGGAAGGCTTGGGTCAGCGCTTCCGTCTTGGACATCTCGAGGGAGAAGATCTCGGAGGAGGCTAGGGACGTGAAGGGAACGTCGGGGCCAAGCGACTGGGCCATGCCCATGGCGATGGCGGTTTTGCCGGTACTAGGATGCAAGTTGGGCTGTCAGCCGTGGGACTAGATGGGAGGAAGTGCGAGCGACCTGGGAGCGGCTCACCTGGGAGGCCCTGCGATGAGGACAGCTCGGCCGGCAATCTTGCCCTGCTTGATCATCTCGAGGATGACGGCGGCAGCCTTGCGCGCCTTCTCCTGACCGACGAGGCCCTGGGAGGCAGCGCGGGGCTCAAGGGTATCGGCATCGACGCCGAGGCCACGGATGTGGGAATGGGCTGCGATGAGGTTCAGACCACGGAGGTCCTTTGTCTCGGAGACGGTCATCACGGGCTGGGTCGCAAGGCACAATTAGCTTCCGGGTTGCGGCAAATCCATCTAGAAAAGTGCTTACTGCTGCCATGATGGGCGACTGTACTGGATGTGTTGGCGACGGGTGTTGACTTTGCGTGCAGGAGCAGTGGGCGCCGTGACAGGATGGGGAGGCTGAGAGTCGGTAGGGCGACGTCGCGGAGTGACCTCGAAATTTTGGATCGCGTCGTTGTGTGGCTGGAGCTGGGCTGGTTTTGACTTTTGGGTGGTAGACTAGTTACATCCGTACCTGTGTGGTGGGCAAACTGAGAGGCGCCACAGCTGAGAACCTCCGTGGCACGGATCTGTCAATGGGCGGTGGGGGCTCCAGTGCTCAAGAGTGCTGTACTCCGTAGGTATTCCAGCCCCAGAAGCTTTTTGTGGTTAGGTAAGGTACCTAGGTAGGTGCTCAGAGGGTGGACCACGGGGTGCATGTGGGTGGGCACTAAAGCCGAGAGGGAACATGCCAGGATGGTTCCCTTCCGTTCCTTTGAACCTTGAAGTGCCCAATGAAAGCAGCACAATTGCTACAAGCTACAAGTACTTAGTAGAAAGTACGCCACGGTTTGCAAGGCTGCTTGTTCTAACTAGTCCATGCAGTCACACCGGGGAAGGGCGGCTGGCCATCCCAGTGCCAGCCAAGAAACGTCTATTCATTGGCTCGCCGTTCTCATGGAACGAATGAAGCATCTCTTTAGTATAGTTTTCTCGGACCATACCTAGCAGGGGGCAAACAAGACCAGTTCTACTTGTACATCGGCGTGCTGGTACTGTACCACTATCCCTATTCCCCCAAGGTTTGAATGCTGCCAAGTTCGTGCCGCGTGGGGAATCCCCGATGCCTCAACCGTCAATGATGGCCTTCTTGTCGATGAAGCTTGTATACTATGCAGCATATGTATATAGATAACCTAACGATTGAGGTGCGTACGGTACATCCACCACGGGACTCTCCTTTCTCGATTTGACATTTGGCACTTGCTTTTTCCTTGGCATGTGATTTCTTCCCTGTCCCTTTTCAGTGAGCTGAAATAAGAAAAGGACTACGGATGCGCGATGGAGGGAGGACACAATTATGTAGGAGCCCGCCAAGGGACAGTTCTTCCGCCTATTGCATCCATGATCCATCTGCATGTGCAACATCTGATGCACGGAGACCGAGTTTTCTCATGGCAGTCGGACAAGTGCATTGGTAATGATGTCGGCATTTGCAAACACGAAAAGGAAACATTGAAGCAAGAAGCAAGCAGGAGGTCAGGGGACATCACGGTGTAGACCGCCGCAGACCGACATTTGACTGCCACCCATCTACAAGTACACCACCGACCCCGGCTCGAACCACCAGCACATGACAGGGGGCCCCGGGTGGTGAGGCGATCGCTGAGAGACCCATGGTGCACTCCTTAAAAGAGGCCCTCGCCACTGGACGGACAATTGGTTGTTGGGCAGCCATCATCACACATGCAGCTCCCCAGTCTCGACAAGCCATTCAACAATCTCGTCCGCAGATCGAAAAACTCACACGCATCGAACATATAATATTCGTTAGGTACCTTACATACCAGGACTACCTTTGTTCATTTCTGCGCCCTTGTCCGCAAATCAATAGCTGAGGAAAAACCAGCACATGATATAGGTTTTTTTCCCTGTTCCCGCTCCTCCTGCTGCACCTACATTGCATTAACTACATATCGTTGCCTTGATTGGAGCTGCCGGTGAGCTGCAGCATCGACTGAGTGGGTGGTCGGTGCGTGTGTTTGCTGGCGACCCTCTTAACTAGTCCCTATTCACTTTGCACAACCCTGTGAGAGAGAGAAACACAGAAGCACCGCATGAAGGAGGGGGGCAACCTTTCAGTTTCTACCTATCTCTTCGTGCTCATGTCCCCAAACTGAACTGAAGGGGAAGGAAGTCGTCTTCTTGTTTTGCGCCTCCTCTTTTTCACTTTATCATTCAGTGGCTTTTCTTTTTTTTTTCTCCCTCCCCCTATCCCCTCGACAACCTGCAGTCGCGTCTCATCTGATTTAATCAAACGCGCGTGCGTCAACTCCAAAAGACAGCCCCCACCACTTTTTCCCACATTGTTGCACCCAGACTTCCAGGCCACCATTGATCGACTCAAATCTGCTCTTTGGGCGCTGGAAAGTTTGGTATCACCATAAAGCACCGACAGCGGTATCTAGAGCGGCCCATGCCGGCTCCCCGATGAGCAGCCATGTCGTATGGGGAGCGTTACGACCTTTATGACCGCCGTCGGTCCTCCGACGTTTACTCTAGACGAGACTTCGCCCCGCATAGAGACGGCAAAGGTGCCGCGCAGCGCCCTAGAAATGCTTCTGACCAGCGCCCGAGAGACCAGCTCGACGGAGGAAGCCATGATAGGCCACGACCTAATCTCCCACCAAAATCCAAATCCCATGGAACCAGCAGCGCCTGTAAGTTCTAAGATCATTAGACTCCTGTACATAATGGGGTGATTGGTGTCTATGAACCTCGCTTTCCCCATTACAAGTATCGGATATATACTAATCGCCACGCAGCATCGAGCCCGGGCCCTTCGCGAGCTTCTGTCTCAGAGCATGAGTTAAGCCCGATGTATAAACCCATCGTTGATATCTTGTGGAAGGCTATGGGTTTTTTGGACAAGTTCATCCGAGCTAAACAGGACCGTGCCCACATAAAGTCGATCGTGAAGAAAAAGAAGGCCGAACTAGACCGCGCGCGCCAGACGGAGTTTGCCTCTGTATCCGAGATGTGTGCAAAGTCTTTGGCGACTGCACAAGAGAATCTTACCCAAGTCGAAATCCACATCAAATCCTATGAACAGGAGCTCACTAAGCTCTTTGAGAGCCTGGCTCGCCGGGTCACACAACAGGATGACTCCTCCTATGCTCCTACATGCAAAGAGCCTGGAGAAATCGGGCCGCCATCGCCGTTGGATGTAGGACTTCAGAAGCTCGATGCTCAGATGAAGGCCCATAAAATCGACATCAGCTCCCTCAAGAACCTCAAGACCGACTTTGAGGCACATAAGGTGGACATCAGCACACTTAAAACCGATATTGAACACCTCAAGAGCAAGGACCTGGACACCGAGGCTGCAGGGCACGTTAGCGGAGCCGAGGAGAAAGGCCCAGGGGCGACAGAGGAAATCTCAACACTGAAAGCGGAACTCGAGTCTGTCCAAAAGGAGAATGTGGCCAAGTCGGCAACGATCGACCAACTTATGGAGACGGTCAATAAGTTGGTCGGTGAGGTCAAGCAGCAAGGCGAGCAGCTTCAGGCCTTGAGGAGCGCAACGGACAAGCACGAAACGAGACTGGATGAGGTGGATACAACTCTGCACTCGCATGACGAATTGATCTCGGAGGTTGATGTCGATAACCTTAAATCAACCGCGGACTTTTTTGCCTTCGAGAAACCTACATTGGAAGCAAGCATCAAGGCGCAGCAAGTGGCTCTGGATACGGCCAAGAGACTGGCATCAGAAGCCAACAGCAAAGCCGAAAAGCTACACCATGCTCAGGATAGCATCATTCAGACCTTTGGTGGTTTCGTGGATGTGTTGCGGCAGCGCACGACATCGCTCGAGGAGGACATGGAGACAGTCAAGTCCATGGCACAGAACCCACCCGTGACTACAAGCCCGGCGGCCGATGCAATCTCCTTGGAACAGATCCAGGCTCAGGTGGATAGGACGGGAGGTCGCATCGACCAACAGCGCGCGGACCTTGATGCATGCTTGGAAGCTCTGAAGAAGGAAGTAGAGGACCTGAGAGCCTCACACAACAAGGAGGATGCTAGGCTCGGCTCCGAGGTGGAAAAGGCTATCAAGCCGCTGAGGCAACATTTTGATGCCAGGTGCGATAGTATCGGTCTCATGGTGGAAACTCTGGACATGAGAGTCAACAACATGACTACCAAAGAGCTCTTCCAGCACATTGCCGGTCACATGGAGCAGCTTTACCCGGATCAACGCCAGATCCAAGTCAGCCTGGCACAAGCCATCAGCAAGTTGGAGGAGCTAGAGTCAAAGCTGGAAACGGCAAGTCGGGACCTAGCGTCCTCGCGGGACGAGGTCAGCCTGCTTCGCGAATCAAATCACAGTCTGTACCGACTTGTGAAGCAAAACGGCGACGAGATGATCAAGACAGGTCGCAAGTACGAGAGCACGGCGAAGGAGGCGCTCAAGAAACGCAAGTTGGAGCATATCAATGGAATTGATAGGGCCAATGGGCATGGTGGGCGGAGTCCATCAGCGTCGGTGAGCATTTCCCCGAATTAGGAGGGAGTCCCTACGACATGGAGTGGCGCATGCATACGGAGTACGGCATCAGGCTCGGCGTTAATCAAGGCGCTTTGGAGTTTCGTCATTTTCTCTTCTCGTGTATGCTTCATTACCAAGCCGAATGGTTTCTTTTCTTGTTTCGGTTTTGAGATACCCGACAGGCACGGAGAAGGCCAGGTCGAATGGCAAGGGCTGGGTTGTTGTTTTTTTGGACGGCATCACCAGAGACGATGCTGCCGGGGGCGAGCAAGGCGCATTCTGCAAATCTGGGCAAGAATGGATCGACAACGTTCTCTTTTGCCATACCATAAAACGTGGGTCGGCGGCCTTGTGTGCATATGAGAGAAACATGTACGTATTCGTGAATCCGTCTGCGTGGGTACTGCAGACTACCTGTATTTCATAGATTAGCAATTGGGGATCAAACTTCTACTTCTACTTCTACTTCTATTTCTGCTTCTGCTTCTGCTTCTGCTTCTGGTACGGGTGTGGCGGCCGACGGCTACCTGGCTACCTGCCGTGATGGAGATCCATGGATGGACTCTTTCGGCCAGCCGTGACAATTGGAATAGGTACTTGGGTACCTAGGTAGTGTGTGCCTGGCGCTAAAGTCCCGCGTGGGTTGAGGACCTTGAGATAGTCTGATTTGGTCGCGGGCGGGTCAGTCTCACGGCCAGCTGGGTCCAGGTTATGAAAAATATATGTACTCCACGGGGGACGACCACCTTTTGATCAACGTGCTCGACATTGATGTAGGTAGATGTAGATGTGTAAAGTACGGTAGGTAGCCTTGCTCCAGTCGATTCGACTCAGCCGCGTGCCGACCCATGCAGAGAACAGAGCAAGCCAACACCGAGTGCCCCCCGCTAGCCTTGCAAGTTGCGTTGTACCACGCTAAAGCCCGCAAAAAGCCCACTACCGCGTCCGCTGTCCTCCCTCCATTAGGTACCTACTCCGTGGGTCTTTTTCCATGCTACCCGCTGCCGCTACCAACTAACCTGCCGCCATAGTTACCTCCAGCTCGTCTACACCACAACGACCACCACCCTACACACATCACACACCACCACCACCACCACCCACACCTTGATCCATACCCTGGTTCATACCCTCTCTCACTCTCTCTCGTGCCTCATCTCTCTACCCCCCCCCCCCGGCGACGCACTGCACTCAATTTCTGCCGCCGCCATTGACCGATAGCTCGATCAGCCGCTCGACCCAGGATCGTCTGGCCCGTGTCGCATGAGGTCGCTCGAGCGCCGGCTTTCACTTATGGGGGATGCGCCCGTACGGACCGTCGCGACCAGGCCGCTGTTTTAGAGGCTGGACGGATAAGCCCGCTGTCAGACAAATCGCCATTCTGTGAGCTCCGCGAGACTCGCCAGACAGATCTGAGCGTCCCATTCAATCCGTAAGCCGGCCTTCTCCCTGTTGATGGCGTGCTGATGGCTCGCGTGGTCCCTCCGCTCCGAGCGCATTCGTCTATCGTCGGCCCATTTGCTAACTCGGTCTCCGCAGTTTCTCGCCTGCCAATTCGCGATCCCACCGCCCGCCGCCGCCGGAGCTCTCTCACCACGCACGAACTCCCCAGAGCAGGAGCCCTTGTGGACTCCTTTGTCACTGGTGTGCCTTGTTCGAGATCATCACTTGCAGTTGAAAACAATAGCCCCGGGCAAAGGAGAGAGCTTGGCGCTCTGCTCCAGTGTCCATCTGCGACCTAAACAAAGCAACGCAGCACTTGAGACCCTCCGCGTCTTTGTCTTCTCTCGCGCCGACCTCAGCTCGACCGACACATATTCGTCGCGCCGGCCACCTTGTGTGGTCTCCTTCCCTTACTCTTGCTGGTTCTTTTGCACTTGTCACCGCATGCGGATGACACCTTAGGAAGATGGATGGTGCGAGAAAGAAGGTGAGAAAACTCGCTCAGCACTTCTTGCCCGAACAGCCGCATCATCTCGCCCTTTCGCCTACCGAGCGATATCCTGAGCCCACGACCTTGTGGCAGCACAATTCGAGGCTGCAGTACTCCACATACCTGTCCGACGCCGACCGCGGCGTCCTCCTCACCCGCCCATACTATGATATTCGGCAAGAACCAGAGAGTGCCACCGCCAGCAACAACGACTCGGCACATGCCGGCAGTCGACCCGAGATGAAGAAGGCAGTCACCAAGATGTCCTTCAAGGACTACCAAAATAAACAGAAGAAGTTGTCAGAGTCGCCTCCCGATTCAGGCGCGTCGGCGCCGAGAGCAACCGACGCGAAATCGCAAAGCGGTGAGGGCAAGCCCTCGAGGGACGGGCCCAGGCGAGAGGAGCTTTCGAGCAAAGCCTCAGGCCACAGACAAGATGCCAAGGTTGCGCCGCGGCAGGAAATCAACGGCGAGAGGTAATTCGACCATTCATGCAAGGCAAAAACTGGAAAATCGCTAACAGTGGTGTCCCTTCTTCTAGGTCAAAGCTCAAGACAGCCCCAATCGGCGCTCCGAGCCCAAGCCTCGAGAACAAGAAGCGTTCCGCGGACCACGACGATAGTCCTCGCCCGCAGAAACGAAACAAGTCTGACTCTGTCTCCCAAGTTGACCGAGTTCACACCCCCCGATCCGATACCCAACGCGGCTCGCAGGACAGCGCGAGCACGCAGACCAAGCAGCCGAACCGGGATAACAAGTTACTCGCGAATGGTCGGAGCAATCTGGAAGGAGGCAAAGATGGCGCGCGACCAACAGGAGCATCACCACGCCCTGTGGTGAACGGGACCAAGTCGCAAAATACAAGCAGCAGTCAAACGACGCCAAAGAAACCAGACAGTGGAGGAAAATCAACAGTACCGCCGTTACTGTCGCCTCTCCGGCTGCCTCTAGGCGAGGATCGCGGCCCCAAGAGCCCCAGAAAGCGACCAACGGAAGGAAATACGGCATTAAAGGCGCCACCCAAGCCGATCAAGTCGGACACAAACTCGTCCCAGAAGCAGAAGCATTCTTCCATCATCCCGCCTCTCCTTTCCCCGACCTTACCGCCGGTTTTGGAGCAAGAAATTGCTCGAATGAAGCGAACGTCTTCCAAAGGCGACTCGAGTCAGGGCACCAGGCAATCGTCTGAGAGCCCTGGCAGCATAAAGAAGTCGCGCGCCCCGCAAGATGACGATGCAGATAGGCCGCGGGCGCCTCAGAAACCGAGCCTGATTGTCACCCTGAAATACAAGAAGAGGAATGCTCTGCGAGTTCAGCGGCTGCTGGCTCTGCCACCAACACACGAGAAGGATGCGCGACGGAAAGAACGTTCCGAGAGCATGGAGGATACTCCTCCGCCAGCTCGAAAGCATCTCGTCGAAGACGCGATCGCAGTCAAGCGACCCAAGACTTCGTCCGACAAGACTGTCGCCTCCAAGTCGCTGGCAGCGCCTTCGACGCCGGTCAAGACGTACTCCATGTCCCGCGGCCCCTCGAGCAACTCGCAGACGGCGCAAACCCCCGGAGACAGCACAACGCTAACACCGGGGACCAACGATCGGCCACCCACGAGCCACAGCGGCGAGAACGGCGCCGTGGCCCCGTCGTCGAGCACTCTGCGCAGCCGACATGCCCAGTTTACGAGCCTGGGCACCAAGCTCAAGCACGACCGCGACAACATCATCAAGGCCCGCGGGGCCAGCTCCCGCAGCGGCGAGTTCCTGAGCCTGCTGACGCCGTCGGAGCGCAAGCGCGTCGCCGCGCTCAGCCTCGAGATGGTCATGGCCTACATGATCGCCTTCAAGTCGCTCAACCAGGCGCGCGCGCTCGACCGCAAGGCGTGCGACTTCAAGCCCTGGGAGGACCTGCTGCCGCACCTGGTGGAGCTGCGCAACTTCACGCGCGCCTACCAGCCGCTCGACGCGCTGGCGGTGCAGCTCCGCGCCGTGTGCCTCGAGCAGCTGGCCGACGCCTACAGCGCGAGCTCCATCTCGAGCCAGGACGCCGCGCAGGTGGCCGGCCCGAAGCTCGTCAAGCTGAACCGCAAGCGGGGCGAGGCCTGGGCCGAGGCGTACCAGTGCCTTCTGGGCATCGCCGACGAGGGCATGAAGGCCACGGTGGGGCCGTGGTACGGCGCCGACGAGGTGGTCCGCGTGCTGCTCCCTGTCATCCGCAAGTGGGCCGACAAGGAAGGCAGCAGTTGGCGGCCCGAGATTGTGCTGCCCTGATTTCCCCCCCGGGGCCTTCCGGCCAAGGAGTCGCCGTATCCCTCCCCGATCAAAGGATAGCGGACCTGATAATGGTGTGATATCACGATTTAGCGAGCATGTCTCTGTTTGTTTGATTGTCTTTTTTGGCTGTGATGTATTATGACACGATATACGAAGCGGGTCGCTTCACTCGGCACTGGGGACTGGAGAGTTTTTTTTTATCAACAACACATACATACAAGAGTGGCTGGGAGAATTTTTAGGAGGGGAAGCATATGTGGTTTTCTACGGCAAAGCTTGGTGGCGACATGGAAAGAGGAGAAACAGGGCGTTATTTGGTTCTTTTGTTCGTTCTCGGTTTCTCTCCAACCCACGGTTTCAGGAGGCGGTGTTTAATCGTTCTCATCCCCGCGTTGGCGCCGGAATTGGGTGCGAAAGGGGATCGCCGGCGGAGGGAGGGGCCCAGGATGTTTGTCGTTTTGTTTTTTTCTGGGAAGTGGATGGGCCCTCTTTGTTATATTCTGTTTTTCTTCTTCTTTCTTCTCATGATGATATCCCTGGGGCTGTCAAGCTCGGCCATCGAGTCTTGCCTCCAACGTCTCTCTAGTTGCTGTTATTAGTAGTTGTTGCATAAAGTCCTCGGAGTCTTGTAGGTAAACGAGGCGAAAAGATAGTAAAGCGGAGGAAAGGCAGAAGGCCCGAGTAAGCATTTGATGATGACGAAACCATTTTTTGCTTCAATGAATTCGTTTGTGTCTCATATCCACGTTGTGAATCAGGTCCCCCCAAGTCGTTCGTCCGGTCAGAAAGAACCTGCTCGAAATACAACCACGACATCAAGCCGGCTCACCCGAAACGAATAGACTGACGAATGGAATGTAACACGTTTCAAACTGACCATGACAAGTCCGCAGTCACATTCGTCTTGTAAATGATGCGTGAGATCACATGTACGACCGCGACCTCTCAGTATGAACACAACTGTCCCAACCTTCCTCAAAGGAAGTCAGGGTCACGGCCTGCCCGGCCAGGTTCGAAACGATGGAGAGAACCACGAGCACTCTCTCCGAGATCAAATTCGAGATGCCGAGCCACGAAGACGCGTGGTTTTTCAAACACGGCACCACGTACTTGTATAGCGGCGATGAGGCTATGTCGTATTTCTTATAGTCTTTCGGCGCCACAAGAGCTACCACAGTCAACCCACAACTCTTCATTCCTCTATATCGACCCATGTCCAACAGACTCCGGGACAATCTGCCAGTGTACAAAGACTTGTCGCGTGTCCATTTGTAGAGGCCGATTCGGATTGATCTCAAATGAGGAACTGCACAATTTTGTTGTTGACCTTTTGTCCGTGTTTCGTTGTCTATAGTCGTCGCCCCTTCAGCCTCGCGGCTCACGCACAAAATTCAACGAGTTCTCTTACGTCACTGACAACTAATTATGAAAGTTGGTCTCCCAGAAGTAAGTCTCGTAATTCCATCCCGCATCCTATATCTGTTGATTTCTATTCAAGTATATTACGGACAAAAACTTCAGAAACAGCAGGCGTTCATGACTGATTCTAACTCCTAGCAACTGGTGACGGCTGTATGAAATTGGCTACAAGATCATGTACACACACACAAAGCATTTATATGTTAATTCGAGTGATACACCTTTGGTATGAGTTCTATCCCTTGGTCGTTGCTGGAGGTGCCCAAGCCCAACCTATTCCACTGTTGACGACGAATCCTGGGATCTATCTTGGCGTAGAGAAGCGTTGAGATTCCACTGAACCATTCCAAGCATTGATGCTGTAATTATTGGTATTAAAACTAGCGCTACGTGCTCATCCGCTGCTATTCTCGTCATCCACTGTGTTATACAAAACAAAGGACCATGGCACCTTGGTGTTGAAACGCGTTCTCATCTAGGTCGTCATGACCAACTACCAGTCCCCATCACAGCTGAGATTTGGTACATGGGCATGCTTTTGTTTCAAAGGCTCCATGAAGGAAGACTCCGGGACAGGGCTCCAAGCTTTTCCATGATCAGTATGCTTACAACGTCACAGCATTGAATAATCATCGCCTCGAGGTTGCTGGATCAGGTCGATTTGCTGAGGATGCCACCCATCGAATTTCGCCACGACGAAGCCTCCTGCTCTCCTACTTGCTTGGATTGGAATTCTCCGCGGCGGGCTCCGCACAGCTGTTACAGAGCCAGCTGGGGCTGTCGACCGGCACTGTTGCCGTTTTGCGTATGCAGTCATCGTGATATAATCGCTTTGTGCAATCCTGCGCCAAGTCCTGTCAGCCAACTGTGGTTTTCATAGCCACGCGATCGACTGGGGTTCCATCGATACTCACTTTGTTCGAGCAGATCAAAAGCGAAGGGCCGCGCACGGGCAGCCCACAGACTGTGCATCCATTGCAGCTCTTGTATGGAGACTCCTTTGGCGAACTGGCGGTCGGCTTCAAGTTGGAGTTTCGGTCCTCAAGTTTGCTTCTCGCTTCGGCAATGCGTGCAAGCGCATCGCTGACCGTCTGATTGTCCAATACATTCCTCGCGATCAAGACACTCAGATGCTTGCCGAACTCGATGGTTCGGGATGGGGACTCTACCAGCCACTGGGCCTTCTCGGTGACAAATGCGAGCATTGCACGCGGGATGTACGCATCAGAGGAGATTCGCTTCCTGAGGACAAAGGCATCCCATTCCTTGATGTACTCTTTCTCTGGAGGGTCCACATCAGAGAAGTCCTGGACAGTATCGCGGTGCTTATTGATGAGCCAAGTGTCGTCTGCAACAACGGGACGGATCTCGCTGCCCGGCTCGAGAAGTGCCTTGCTCAGGAAATCGAACAGAGGCTGCTTCGTTCTGGGTACAACTAGACTGTTGTCCTTGCGGCGAGTGGAGAGTTTCTAGGACAAATTGTTAGTCCGTTGGCATGCTCTTACATGATGGCACACGTCTGAAGATCTGGCCCGAGAACTTACCTGAGGAACCCTTGCGACCGTCGGCTTTGTCGGTGCATCATTGTCTGGACCATACCTCGACGTGACCCATGATTCGTCACCGTCTATGAGCTTGTCCAAGTCAAGCGGCTTGGTAGCCCTGCCCAGTTGGTAAACCTTTGGCCACAAAGGCGAGCCGGGCCGCTCGGTGCTGTGCGACACGGCAATGGCAAGTCCCCCACGGCCACCCGCGCCCTCAAGGTCAAATTGATAGTTGGGATGGCTGAGGAAGTGAGCTCGTAGCTGGGTGAGATTCTGTGTTGGGGCAAGACAGAGGCAGCACACAAAGCCGTCCACAGGAAAGTGCTCTTCGGGGAAGAAGTACGTGATGCTATTGCCGGCCTTGGCCAGCTTCTCCAGCTTCCTCCGCTTGCGGCGCTCTTTGCCTTGGGCCTTGTCGCTAAGGACTTTCAAGTTGTACACCTTGTCACCACCCCTAGTGCGAAGCGATCGGCTAGGGGTCAGCTCGCCATCCATTTCCTCGTCGTCGTCGTCCAGAACCATGCCATCGCCATTGACACCATTGACTTCGTGCAGGCCATTTGTCCCGTTGGAAACGCCGCTGCCGTGACCGTTGACATCCTCTGGGATTTTCTCATTAGGGTCAAACACAGTGATTGATGGCAAGACGCCCTTCTCGTTGTGCTTGTTCACCAGTGATTGCGAGAAGCCTGTGGTCCAACGGGCATCAACTGTCATGACAAAATCGGTCGACAAGCCCTGCTGGGGTCCTTTCCTGAGCTTGACGGGAGCGTGAGATCTGGCTGGTCCAAACAAGTCGTAGACCGTTGAGCACAGCACCCAGTGGCGCGGGGGAACGCTTCGCTGCGAAAACATATGCACATCGTTCACGGGCGAGATAACGTTGATGGGTGGCCAGTCGGCGGCTCCAGCTGACTCGAGCTCGACCTGGAGGGTGTAGGAATCGGCCAGATCAAAGACTGCATCGTCCTCACGCATGATGAGTATCTTGTCCTTGGGGATTATGAAGGGCTTGGCACCGTAAACTCGGGCCATCTGCGAAGGCCCAACAGGATTTTTGAAGGCCTTCAGGGTACAGATCTGGCTATCACAGTGCAAGATCTGCAGGCCGCCCTGCCTTTCGCAAAAGATGGTGATCCTGCACCGGGCCTGGGTACTCAAAGCATCAGTGCTCCCAGTGGGATCGCCGATCCGGCTGTAGGCCCTGTCAAACTTGACGCGCGAAGATTCCCTGTGTTCAATTTTGAGAATATCGACACGCAGAGCGCGCTCGATGTCGTCTGCATGGTTTGGTGAGCCTTGGACTTGTCCATACGACTGATCCATGCTTTGCTCGGGCGTCAAGCTCGTATCAGGGTCTGACAGAGACACAGGCGTGGACTCGGTCACGCGCCTACGCTTGGCAGGACGTGAATAGAAACCCATGTCGAATTCTTCCTTGAGCGGCTCGTGTCCAGGGGTGGCAGAAGGCGGAGAGGGTTTGCTTCCCAAGTTTTGCCACGAGTTGAGCGCCGTGATCCAGTTCCTATGAAGGAACGGAAGGCGGTGTTGTGAGGAGAACGCTGCCATGACTGCGGTGGAGTAGGTGAGCGGGCAGTGATGAACGTGCTTCAGGCCACCTAGGCACGTGTGTTGACCTGCGCTGGAGAGAAAGGACCACCGATTCAGAGCGTTCTCATAACACGAGTGTTACAGCTCCAGAGAATGAAGACGGAGAGACCGGTGCGCCTCAAGAGAAAGATCGGCTTCAACTCGAGGGTCAAGCACAAGGGCGGGCCTCAATGAGGACTGTAGAAGATCCTAGGGCAGCCGACCACTGAAGTTTTTGACCTATCCTCTCCTCACTGGAAGACCAAGTGGTTTGGACCTGGTTCAAAGAGGGATGCAGGGCGCAAAAGGATGGCCAAAAGAATCGCTGTGAGCGCTTTGATGTGATGCAATGCAAGATGATAACGCCAAACGCAATGAGCAAACAGGTGCGCACACAGAGAGACGCCAAAGGCTTTCCCCAAAGCGCGGCAGTCGCCGCCTCCAGAAGTCTCACAGATCGTCTGCGATGCGGCGGCCTGGTGCGCTGGGTCGTGCGTGCTGACGGAGAGGTGAGCCACGGAGACTAGAGAGATCCCTATTGGCGATTGTGAAGGACCACTGCCTGCCGGCGCGTGAGCTTTTCGCCGTCTTATATGACTGATAAAACCGCCTCAAGATGAAGAATGGCGCCTGCTTCCATCCTCTTTCCCAACAGTACTACACTCAGAATGGAGCGTCAAGGTGAGCAACCACTTGAGGCGCCGCTGTTGTCACTGCTTCTCCGTCAGGACACGGCAGGGGAGAGCGTGGATGTGATGGGGGTCCAGCAACGCCGGGCTATATAGGAAAATGAGAACAAAATGAGAGAAGGAAATGAGAAAACTAGAAATGAGGGAGGGAGGGGGGTTCCACACGTTGATACCAGACTCTGGGCGTCTCTTTGAATCACGGGTGGTGATGCACTCGTGATGCGCAATGAGATGAGAGATATCGACGGCGCATCCTCCACAGCCAGAGAAAGCGAATGTCGAAGTCGAGTCTTGGTCGGCGGAACAGGGGAGACGCGTGCAGTAGCAGCAACAACGACCCAGAAAAAAAAGGTCCCTGGGCACTCGCCCCGGAGAGACGAGAGCTCTGGCATTGGCGCCTGCCCAGCCGGAGCCAGGGCGTCCCACCGACGCAGGTTGCCTTGCTGGCCCCTGCCAATCAGCGCTCCCGCTCTCACGTGTCTTGACAAGTAGACCCCTCTTAGCGCAGTCGCGGTAGGATGGTACCAGCCCTGATGTGAGTGGCATCACCACTTCAGCATGTCACTCTCTATCCCCCATGGAAACCAACCAGTCAGACGCCTCATTCATCTGGCTTGATGTGTGTAAGTTGCTCAGGGAGGCATCTACCAGGTATTTCTCAAGAGATGGATGTGTGTATCATGGCCATGTTTTCGTTTCTCTGCTATCCTTTCATCATCTTAAGCCCCTTGTACGTTAAGCTGCTGTTTTTTTTTTTTTTTTCAGAAAAAAAAATAAGAGAAGAGAAGAAAAAAAAGAAAGGCCACGAAGACATCAACGTAGGTAGATGTAGTTCCAATTAGTTACTATAAGCCAGCATCACCGTGACAGTCTACACCGTTGACGAACATCATTCCCACCATATTGTAGCAAATCCTAGAGTACAATTCCGACTATACATTTTGATGCGACTTTAGTCTTCCCTAACTCCCAGCGCCGTCCAAGCCACCTCCGCAGGCATCTCGTGCACTTCGTACCAGGTCTAGCCAGGATCCTAAAGCAATTGTCGAAAGCCCTCATACCGCGAACTCCTGTTTTTTCCCACCACGTACCCCTCCCAGACTCCCCGCAGTCATCTGTTCACCAAGCATACTCGGCCTCCTCGTCAACATTGTTGTCGCCCGTCCAGTCTTCATCCGAGTTGCCATTCTCGCTGTCCAGGAAGTCATCCATGCCCCACTGCTCCTCTCGTGGTTTTTGATTGTCGAAGCGGATGTCGACCACTTCGCACATCCCGTGGATGAACACCTCACTCTTCTCTGCACCCTCTGCCACGGCCGGACTAGCCCCTCCGTCACTGGTGGAAGAAGAAAGTGCGTTTTCCGGCGCTGAGTCGGACTCTCCCAAGTCCTCATCAGTGTCCGGTTCACGGTAGGAGAACGCCTCCCCGTCAAGCTTCCTGAGACCCCGTGCGGTGCTGCTGCCGCGAGACGATGGCCGTGAATTGACATTTGCGATGCGATTGCTCCGTCGTGACGGTGTTTGGCTCGCACTCGGATGAATGCGTTTCTTGGGAGGCGTCTGGGGCTCCTGGACCTCATCGACACGTAAGCTGTAGATAGGGAGGGGCGGCTCGCTTTTGCGCCGGAAGACAGCATCGAGTCTAGCAACCCATTTGTCCCGCAGCTCACTCCGCTGCCGCCATGGGATGTCGAGCATCGCCTTGATGGAGAGGTGCCGTAGCATTGGCAGATTTGGGGCGCTGTCGACCAAGGACTGGAAAAACATCTCGGCTGCTTCAGCATCCCACTTACGCAGCTGTTCCAGTTCGATGACTTCGATGCTGCGCGGCCAGTTGGGGACCTGCGTCGATGAGAGCAGCTGCGCATAGAGCGGGTTGGAGTCGTTATAAAACTCGTGATGGTTGTAGTAGATCAGATCCATACGAAGGCCGCGCAGGTTGGGGCAGGCTTCTCCAAGAATGGGCAGAAACTCGAGGCTGAGAGACTGGTTGTGGTTCAGAGTTAGGTATCGAAGCTGACTACCGTGTGTCAACAAATATTCGGCGAAATGCTCCGCCGTCACATCCCAACAGTTGACGAGCTCGAGATGCTGCAGTTGCTTTGGTAGAAGCGGAAGAAGCAGCTCGTTTGCCGCAGTGGAGGACTCGATGGCCAGATGGGTGAGGTTGGGTAATGCGCCGATACAGCCCGCGAGTGCCTCGGCGGCGGCTTGATCTTGAGCAACGACCTCCGGATCCTCGGCGTCTTTGGCCTGCAGCGACGGTCGCTGGTAGTTTACAAATGTGACACTTCTCAAGGTGCTGAGGCAGGATGACATGTGTAGAATCCTGAGCTCGTCGAATGACATTTCGCGTGGCATCATTCTCCAGTTCCATCGCCAGCTCTTCAGTCTCAAAGACAGGGTGCCGTTGCTGTCGCCAGGCTCAGTCGGACCCAACGCCTTCAGCAACGCAGACGGATATGTCCATTTCAGGTTATCATCCAGGCTGCGGAAGGGCGCCTCATCCTTTCGGTGAGAAAGCGCGACGTCAACCAGGCGGGGGCACCTGGCAACCATTGCCGTAATATCGAGGTGCTGGCCTCTGTATGTGAGAGTCGCGATTCCGCCAACTTCAACACATAACGACTCGATCTTCTGGCGGTAGTTGAACATAGTCTCTGAAGGGTTTCGTTCCAGCAGTGCCGCCAGGCCGTGCGCCATAGGCATGGTTAGGATCGGCGGGGACTTGTACAACGCTGTCAGAGCTGGTTCGGCGAATGCACGACATGTCCTGCTCAGGCCCAACAGTAGCCGTACATTGTCTGATTTGCTCAACGGCGCCGAAGCGAACGTGAAAATCTGGACAAGGATCAAGTATGGAAGGCGGTTCCATGCAGGAACAACCTTGTTCTCAATGAAAGCCGGCCCAGGCGCTTCTGCACGCCTAGCCTTCTTGGGTGTCGACCTGGACGAAGCTTTCCGAGCACGGGCAGTCCGAGCTGAGGTCTTGCCCTTTCGCATCTTGGCCGCAACCGCCGCAGATGCAATGCGAACTACATCGACGTGAGAAGATGGCGACAGGTAGGCGCCGTCATTTTGCACTAGGTCGTCATCATCGGCATCACCATCACTCGTATCGTCATCATCGTCTGCGCGTAGCCGCCGACGCTTGGCAGCCGGCCCAGCTTTGCGCCGGAGTGGACGGGTACGTTTGACGGAATGAGAGGAAGATGTGAAGCCGCTACTTGCATCTGACGACTCGGCATCGGATGCGGATTCAGATTCATCGTCGGCACCCAGCGCGCGGTGGATCTTGACGGCTGCGCTTCGTGTAGCACGGCGGTTTGACGAGCTGCGAGCCGATGCGCCGGCAGAAGCGACCTCACGAGACTTGACAGCTCGTGGTGGAGCACGCCGGGCCGGGGCCGCGGTGGAGGCTCGGGTTTTCATGACTCCTCTCTACGACGGGAGGATCATGGAGCTGCTGCATGCACTTGAAATGGTCGTAGGTAGCCGTCCAGTTGAGTGGCCAGTACCGTGTCGAATAAGCGAATAAGCGCAGGGAGAAGGCCTTTCGTGCGGCAAAGGCAGAGAGAAACAGAAGCGCGGAAGAATGGTCTTTCTGTGACGGAGGGGTGAAATGGATGATGAGTCGAAGGTGGGTGTGTGTAGAACTCTTTTTGGGGCCTGCGCTACCTCTCAGCGCAGTTGGTTACTGAACTGTGGGCTGCTGGGTAAGGTGGGGTGAAACTAAGGTGGTAACATTTACCACAAGCAGCCCTGGAGGGTGAGCAGAATATCAATCACGCTAAGACACGGGTACCGGCATTAGCGGCCAATCCAGACGTCAGGATACCTACTCCGTGCAAGGGATGCTGCACCAAGCACATCCACGGATGATGTGCTGTAGCTTCAAGTACCCGAATGCAAAGATGCAGAGAAATGATATGGAAGCGATGTTGTTGGATTATCAGTACTCAATGTTTACATCAGTAGGTCAAGTATGCATCCACATATCTGATAGCTTCAACAAAAGGCATGCCTTCGGCAATCCTTTCAAATTGTTGATCTGCTGCTCGTGTCTATAACACACACGAGTCGCCTCTATTCTCCGTCCGATGCATGTCCTGCGAGACCGATAGCTCATCTTATATCATACAGTACCAACGCCAAGTAGACTCCTTCCAGCAACCAAAGTTGGTGGCCGAGCAATTCCCTCTTTTGATGTAAAGAGCCATACATATAGACCGAGCCCCAGAACGCTTGATATTTATACGAGAAGTAGACCACATTCCCCAGCGTCGAGGCGTTACCAACCGACCCATCCATAACGGAAAAGAAAATCTATGTTCATGAAGCAGCAAGATAACTTAGGCTTTGCCCACGCGTTGGTCGCCGGCCCGCCAGGTATCCTCCTGTTTCGTGCCGCGTGCCATCCAGGTGGCATTATTAGCACCCCCATTCTGTGGCAACCCCCGGTCGTCCGACTTCTTACTGTCGTTGCCTGCCGGTAATGCGTAGCCGTTGGTATATGGATGGGGATTCGCCGGCATGCTTGCGGGGCTTTCAAAGACAGAACCGTTCTGGCCCAGCGACAAGGGCTGTTTGGTGTTGAGAGGCAGCAGGGATTCCTTGGTATCCGCCATAGACATTGCTCGGCGGTCCGCCTTGCTCTCCTTGGTGCGATCGTACAGGTACAGGCCGAAAAATGTAAGAACAATGCCCACCGCCTGCATTTTGGTCGTGGGGCTTCGGAACCAGATGAGCGCGATGACAATGACAAACACACGCTTGATCAGACTCGCCACCGAGTAGGTGACGGGCGAGACCATCGACAGCAAAATGAATGCCAGGATGTTCTGGCCAAAGTGAAAAGTGCCATTGAAAACGAACTCGACGAAAAGCCTTCCGTGGTCGAAGGTGCCCGGGCCCGCGGTCAAGTCGACGGAACCATCGTAGAGGAAATCGCCAATGATGCCGATGCCTTCGCTCCAAAACCAAATAGGTCCAGTAATCAGGAAGGCAAGTCCAGATGAATAACAGAGCAGGTTGAGTTTGTCGAGGCGTCGCGACTGGGCCGTCATCCCCTCAGCCTCTGCCCGATTCGCCTCGTTGAATAGTTTCTTGGAAAAGATGTTTTGCGTCACAAAGATGATGGTGGCCAGAAGTGCATAGATGATGCCCAGCAGTTCGCCCCCAAATGCGTGCTTGCCGGAACAAGCAAGCATCACGCCCATTGTCAGAGGTATCAGCGACAGGTAGGTGGCGGTGGGATAGCGGATGTCGAAGACAAATCGGTAGGCGAAGACGGTGAACAGAGGACTCAGCCCCTTGATCGTGTGCACGAGGGACACGGGTATCTTTGCCGTGGCTGTCGAGCTGAGAAGGTGGCCACCGATCTGGAAGGCAGCCAGAGGCAATGTGGTCTTGAGCACTTCAGGGGAAGGAGGGCGGATGCCATGCTTCAATGCTGGTATGGCCCTCTTTAGGGCCGGGAAGACGGTCGCTAACCACGATAGTAGGATGCAGTAGAAGGCCACAAAGGCAAATTGCACCATGGTCAGCGTTGCCGGTTTGGCAAAGGCATTCAGGATCGATTTCGACGAGGTATTGGTCAGTGCGGACGAAGCGTACCACATCACGCATAGTATCTGCAACCACAGCACGTCAGTCCGAGCGGGCGCACATGAGCGCAGCGTCGAGGAGAACCTACAATGAGCTTGGCTGACACTGGCGCCTTGAGAGCATCAGCGATCTCGTGGGCGTTCTGGCTCATACTGCCATTCCTTGTCCTGATCGTCCGGATGGCATCACTCAGGCTCTTCTGCCTCCTGTGGCCCTTGGAGTGCGACTGTGGCTCGTCGAGGCCCCACCGTACTGCCCGTGTGTGGCTGTCTTTCGCGGCCTGCCAGCGATCGACGGGTCGCAATGCGCCGTTGGCATGGCCATTCAGCCCGTACGGCTGGGGTGCCGTCCCATTGACATGTGTGTCGAAGTCGGGGAACTTCTCGGTGGCTTCCTCCTTGTCGTCGACAAAGTCAACGTGAAGCTTCATGTTGGGAGGCCGGCTCGTCGATCTCGACCGCGTGGACGGGTGAGGGGATGTCGAGTGCGGCATTGTTAGGCCGCGATCCTAGGAAGAATCGTATCGCAGGGTAAGAGGGGGAGCGAGGGGTGTGTTGGTGTGTGAAGGTGAGTCGAGAGGCCGTATTAAAGAGGGTCACACAATAGAGCGCCTCTCATAGGACATTGCCTCGTATTTTGTCCGCGACGAAACCCGGTTCTAGTTGGTCGCGAAGGACATGTTGCCAGAGACGCACACGCTGGTAGGAAAGACAGGTGCTGACCGACTCGAAACAGAAGAATCTTTGCGTCAATTGTTTCCGGTGCAACAAAAAAAGGGTCTGGGGGGCTTGGAGTAGAGGAAGGCGAGTCGTCGTTAGTCCAGCCCATGTAAATTAGACATTGAAAGATCGGTGATGAACACAGGTGGGCAATCTGAACTTGTAACTGGATAGCACGTCCACTAGCACCAGTGACCAGACCAGACCAGGTACGGCGGTCGAGAGCGCTCACTGTGTCAAAACCAAATTTCACTGCTTACATTCACCCCACCCCCTATAAAATCTGAAATTATTAGGCTGTCCCTTCCCACCTAGACAACCCTATTAAAGGTTGATCGACTTTAATTGACCTTCTTCCTACCAGCCTTAGTTATATTTTCTTTCTCTCTCTAACTATTACTTTCTTTTATTCTTATTATCAACCTCTTATCTTTCTTTCTTATAATAACTTAGTATTATCTTATTATTATAGGCTATTATATTTAGAAGTAGTTATTAATTATAGACTTTATCTATATTAACTTATTTCTTTTTAAATTATCTAATATTATAAAATAATATATAACTATACTACTTATAATTACTTTTATTCTAAATAAGTTATATAGCTTTAAGTATAATAATATTTAAATTATTCTCTATAAATCTAAAATAAGTTAATATATTATATTTTATATTTAATTATATAATACTTATTATATTATCTAGATATTAAAATATCTCTTTATATTAAAGTAGATTATTAAGAATAATAAATTTAGTCTTATTACTTTTAAGATTAATAATATTATTAAGATAACTATTATAATTCTCTATCTTTTTAATAGAGATCTATATAAGTATTCTAATTTATATTTATATTATAATAAGTTAAATAATAAAGAACTATTTAAAGATTATATTATTATAAATATAGAGTTTTACTATAGAATATATCTTTATTACTATTATTATAATATAAGTAAAAAATATATCTATTATAAGAATAAGTATATATTATCTTTACTTATTAATATAAAATACTAATTAAAATATAAAGTAGAAAAAATAAGAAGTAGAATAGAAGATAAAGACTAAGAGTACTTTTACTAGCTTTACTAAGATAATATTATAAAATATAACTAGAGGCTTATTATAGAAATAAAAAAGAATTATTAAAGAGGAGCTAGAGATTTAAGAGATAAATCTATACTCTTTATAAAAGAAGTAGGAGAGAAATTAAGATTTAAAATAAGAAGACTATATAGCTTTAGAGTTTAGTTAGATATAGCTATATAATATAAGATACTTTAAATAGATCTTAATTATAAGACTTCTATATAAATAGGCTTATAATTAACTTTTTACTTAATAAGATTTATATATTATATTATAATTATATATATAGACTTTATAAAAATAAGATATATAGTAAATAAGAATATTTACTAAAGGATAAGTCTAATAAGATTAATATAAAGTAGATACTTAAGAGATAAATAGAATTAAGATAGATTAAGCTTAATTAAACTAAGAGGTAAGTATAGAGATTTCTTAAGAAGTAAAATAAAAGTATATTATATTTTATAATATAAATAAGTAAGTTATAAAAATAAAAAAAATATAGTTAAGTAGCTAGAAATTCTAGGAAAATTAAGGTATAAAGATATTATTTATATAAATCTATTATATATATATATATAAAGTTATCTTATTTATTTAGATTTATTTTATTTATTTAAATCTATTTTATTTATTTAGATTTATTTTATTTATATAGATCTATTTTATTTATCTAAATCTATTCTATTTATCTAGATCTATTCTATTTATTTAGATCTATTTTATTTATCTAAATTTATTCTATTTATCTAGATCTATTCTATTTATCTAGATCTATTCTATTTATCTAGATCTATTTTATTTATCTAAATCTATTCTATTTATCTAAATCTATTCTATTTATCTAAATCTATTCTATTTATCTAGATCTATTCTATTTATCTAGATCTATTCTATTTATCTAGAGTTATCTTATTTATCTAGATCTATTCTATTTATCTAAATTTATTCTATTTATCTAGAGTTATCTTATTTATCTAGATCTATTCTATTTATCTAAATTTATTCTATTTATCTAAATTTATTCTATTTATCTAAATTTATTCTATTTATCTAGATCTATTCTATTTATCTAAATTTATTCTATTTATCTAGATCTATTCTATTTATCTAGAGTTATCTTATTTATCTAGATTTATTCTATTTATTTAGATTTATTCTATTTATATAAATCTATTCTATTTATTTAGATTTATTTTATTTATTTAGATTTTATTTATCTAGATTAATTCTATTTATTTAGATTAATTCTATTTATCTAGATTAATTCTATTTATCTAGAGTTATCTTATTTATCTAGATTTATTCTATTTATATAAATCTATTTTATTTATTTAGATTTATTCTATTTATTTAAATCTATTCTATCTATTTAGACTTATCTTAATTATTCTAGATTTATCTTATTTATTTAAATTTATTTTATTTATCTAGATCTATTTTATTTATCTAGATCTATTCTATTTATCTAAATCTATTTTATTTATTTAAATCTATCTTATTTATCTAGATTTATTCTATTTATCTAGATTTATTCTATCTATTTATATTTATTCTATTTATCTAGATCTATCTTATTTATCTAGATTTATTCTATTTATTTAAATCTATTCTATTTATCTAGATTAATTTTATTTATCTAGATTTATCTTATTTATCTAGATTTATTCTATTTATATAAATCTATCTTATTTATCTTAATTTATTTTATTTATCTATATTTATCTTAATTATTCTAGATTTATCTTATTTATATAAATCTATTTTATTTATTTAAATCTATTCTATTCATTTAAATCTATTTTATTTATCTATAATTATTTTAATAGTTTAAATTTATTTTTCTTATTTATTTTATTAGAATTTCTAGAATTATTAATTTTATTAGAAATATTTATTTTACTAAAATCTTACAGTATATTATTATTTTAGTACAATTTTTCTTAATCTAGATCAATCAACCTTAATACAACTTAAATTAGGTTGTTTCAGCTTAATATACTAAAATCCCCCTAGATTAAAAAATCCTATATCTATTCAACCTCTTTTCTTTATATCTAAATTATTTCTTATTCTCTCTTACTTCTTCTTCCTCTTATAAAATCATCTTCATTCTATTTAGTACTATTAAACATCTTTTAGCTAAGATAATACCCTATTATTCTTTATCTTTTACTATAGCTTCTATTTACTATCCTATTACTTAATATCTTTATAATATTCTTAAATAAGACCATCCTATATAGAAAGTCTATTCTTATTATAAGGAAGAGTTTATTATTACTATTTATAGCTCTTTTAAGTTATCTCTCTTACCTCTTAACTCCTCCTACTAAATACTATTAAAACTATCTATACTGATTATATCTTAAATACTATTATTCTTATTCTTATAAGCTTATATCTTAGCTTATAATACTTAAACTTAAAGTATCTATCTTAATAATAATACTTCTAAAAAGATTATTACTACTTAATTTATAGTTTTAATCTAGTTAGCTAAGTATTATATTATTATACTTACTAGGATGCTAAATCTAAAATATCTTAGTATCTCTTAATTTAAAGTGATTACTACTTTATAACTTCCTCTAATAACTTAGTATAATAATTATTATAATTTAATCTATTAACTCTATTATAATATCTTCTTTTCTTATTTCTTTATTATTAACAACCTTTAATTTATTTAAAATATTATAAGTAAAAATAGAGTATATATAATAGAATTACTATTAGATCTAATAAATTCTATCTTATTAGATAAATTATATATAGTAATATCTTCTAAGAAGAAATAAAAAGCAGATAAGATCTATTCTTTAATATTACTTTAAGATATTAAGATCTTATCTCTACTTAAAGATAAGAAGATTTCTTTTAGGCACTTAAAGAAGTCTTCTTTAAAGAGTCTTAGAAAACATACTACTCTTAAGCTTATTTCTTAAAATCTAATAAGAGCTAAGTAAATTAAGTTTATTAAAGATAATAAGTCTAAAGATATTATTATAAAGGCTAAACCTACTAAGGTTAAGTTAAAACCTATTAAGAATAATAAGAAGAAACTTATATTAAAGTTATCTTCTTTAATATATTTTAAAGATATATTATTATCTAGAAATAATAATAAACCTCTACCTACTCTAGAAGATCTCTATTAATTAGTTATAGATAGCTCTAGTTTAAGCTTAATCCTATCCTATTAATCTTAATTAAATATATCTTCTTTTATATAGACTGCTACTCTAAAGAAAATCTTCTAATATTCTAAGTCCTCTAATATTTTCTATTAAGATATTCTACCCTTCTCTAGGCTTATCTAGTAATAATAAAACTAGAGAGTTAACCTCTAATAAATACTGATTTAAATACTCTTAAAGAAAGAGATACTTAGAAAGAAAAGATGCTTTTATATCAGCTAAACTAATCTTATAAAAGCCTTCTATTAATTATTAGTATAGATCTATAATCTTACTAGGTAGATATATATCTAGATTAATATTATTAAGATTAACTATTAATTTAATTTAATTAAGCTATTCTTAATTAATCTTAATCTAATAGTTAATTACTTATATTAGATTAGGTATATTATAGAGTATAAATAGCTTTTTAGATTAAATATAAGATTATTAATATTAAGTATAAATATAATATATATTCTAAGCTTTAATAAAGGCTTAGATCTTAAACTAAAGCTATAATATATAGATATAGAGTAGAGTAATCTAATTAGATAAACTTATTAAAATCTAAGATCTATCTCTTTATAATATTATAAAGAACTTCTATTTAGATTTTAGTATTAAGACTTAAATAGAATTAAAGTTAATTAAGATTAATTAAATATATCTTACCTACTATAATAAGATTTCCTCTTTATTTAATTATATCTATTATAATTTAATCTTTTAATTTAATATACTCTTACTATAGACCTAATAATCTTTAAACTCTAAAGATTAATATAGTATAAAGAGAGGTAGACTTAAATCAAGAGATATATCTTAGATAGATACTCTTATTCTATCTTTCTAAGTAAACTTAAGAGTACTATTAGAATTTCTTCTAGATTTAATCTTTTACTAATCCTTTAAGCTAAGAGAAAGTTAATAATAAGCTTTAGCTATTATTATAGTTTCAGTCTCTTAATTAGATCTAATAACTATAGAAAGATAACTATATATATTAATAATTCTAATATATTAAATAAAGATTAATCTTTCTATAGTATTAGAAATACTAATATAGATCTAGATAATAAATCTTAAGTATATATTAATTTTAGTATAGATCTTAAAACTATAATACTATAACTTATAATAACTATTAATAGACTAAATATAATTTAGATCTAGAACTATAAATCCTCCTCTTTTTTATTAGATATTATTCTATCTTCTATCAACCTCTTATAGATAGGCTGCCTTAAATACTCTCTATATAGAGTCTTAAGGGATATTAATATATCCTTATTATTAAATATATTATAATATTATAGTTTAACCACTTTATAATATAATATAGAAGAAAGGAGATAGTTTATAGAAAAATATATTTAGTTACTATATTTACTATTTAATTTACTTATAGGTAAAGTATTAAAAGATATTTTAGTCTTTTTATAATCAGTAAAGTCATAAGATAGTAATAATAAAATCTTACTCTTAAAGTAGAGAGAGTAGCTTAGTATTAGAAGATATATATTTAAAAAAGAGAGTATAAATAGCAAGCTTAAGTTCTAGACTTAATTATATTTATTCTTATTAATATAGAATACCCTAACTTAAAAGATGCTAATAAAAGGTACTTTAAGATATCTTAAGTTAATATTATATAGATAGCTTATTAATTAGATTATTAACTATAGCTTTCTTTTAGTATTGCTTAATAATCTATTTATAATAGGAATTAAGTTTAATAGATAGGTGAACTATTATAAAAGGTAGTGTTTATATTGACTTTAGGTGGGTAGGTAAGAATGAAAGAGGAATAAGTTAAGAAGAATAAAATTGAGTTTAGAAGAGCTTAATTAAGTTTAATTAAATAGAAAGAAGCTTATAGGCCTAGAATAATATTAAGCTATTTATACCTATAAAAAAAACTAAGATTTAAATTTATTAAAAAGAATAAAATTACTTTAAATAAATATAATAAATTTAGATAAATAAAATAGATTTAAATAAATAAAATTAAAATAATTAAAGAAGAAAATATATAAATAAATTAAATCTATATAATAAAGATTTTTCTAAATAATAAAAAAGATTTTTCTAAATAATAAAGAATTAAGTTATATAAATAGAATTAAGATATAAATAAAATTAATTTATATAGAAAAGTTAAATTAAATAAGAAATATAAATATAAATATATAGAATAAGAATAAAATAAAGAAATAAAATAAATTTAAATAAATAAGATAAATTTAATAAATAGATAAATATATAGATATAAATAAAGAGAATCTAAATAAATAAACTAAATTTATATAAATAATATAAAGTTAATAAATAGATTAGAAAATAACTAAAAGATAGATATATAAAATAAATCTTAATAAAGAAATTTAAATATATAAAGTAAATTTATATAATTAAAATAAATCTAAATAATTATACTAAATTTAAATATATAATATAGATTTATAGAAATAAGATTAATTTAAATATATTAAATAAATCTAATAAATAGATAGATAAATAAATAGATAGATATAAATAAAATAGATTTATATTTATTATTTTATAAAGAAAGATATTAATTAAGAATTTAAAAGAGTTTTTCTTTATATTATATTAAGATATAAGATCTAAAAAGTTAAAAGACTTAAAACTTTAAATTTTTAAAAAGAAAGAATAAAAATAAAATACTTAAAGTTAGAATTAAATTATTATATTATTTAGATTTATTAATATTCTCTATCTTATAAAATATATAAAATATATATAAAGAGGATTTATTTATTTTCTTCTTATTAAGAGAAAAGTCTCTTAAAACTTAAGAATTTTATAAAGTTTTCTCTAAAAAGAAGTTATTTAAATATAACTTATTAATAGATTAAGATAAATAAGATAGATTTAAATAAATAGAATAAATCTAAATAAATAAGATGAATTTATATAAATAAGAGAAATAAAATAAATTTAAATAGATAGAATAAATCTAGATAAATAGAATAGGTTTAAATAAATAGAATAAGTTTAGATAAATAGAATAAATCTAAATAAATAAAATAGATCTAAATAAATAAAATAGATTTAAATAAATAAAATAGATTTTAATAAATAGAATAAATTTAGATAAATAGAATAAATTTAGATAAATAAAATAGATTTAAATAAATAGAATAGATTTAGATAAATAGAATAGATCTAAATAAATAAAATAAATTTAGATAAATAAAATAGATCTAGATAAATAAAATAGATCTAAATAAATAGAATAAATTTATATAAATAAAATAGATTTAAATAAATAAAATAGATCTAAATAAATAGAATAAATTTATATAAATAAAATAGATTTAGATAAATAAAATAGATCTAGATAAATAGAATAGATTTAGATAAATAAAATAGATCTAAATAAATAAAATAAATCTAAATAAATAAAATAGATTTAAATAAATAGAATAAATCTAAATAAATAAGATAACTTTATATATATATATAATAGATTTATATAAATAATATCTTTATACCTTAATTTTCCTAGAATTTCTAGCTACTTAACTATATTTTTTTTATTTTTATAACTTACTTATTTATATTATAAAATATAATATACTTTTATTTTACTTCTTAAGAAATCTTTATACTTACCTCTTAGTTTAATTAAGCTTAATCTATCTTAATCCTATTTATCTCTTAAGTATCTACTTTATATTAATCTTATTAAACTTATCCTTTAGTAAATATTCTTACTTACTATATATCTTACTATTTATAAAGTCTATATATATAATTATAGTGTAATATATAAATCTTATTAAGTAAAAAGTTAATTATAAGTCTATTTATATAGAAGTCTTATAGTTAAGATCTACTTAAGATATCTTATATTATATAGCTATATCTAACTAAACTTTAAAGCTATATAGTCTTTATATCTTAAATCTTAAATTCCTCTTAGCTTTTTAGGTAAAGTTATACCTATTAATATATAATAAGAAATCTTAATATTAAGATAAGCCTTTTAAGTCTTAAGCTTAAAGATTAAGATATTCTTTATTATACTCTTAATAAATAGTATATCCTTAATTACTTCTTATATCTTCTAAGCTTTATTCTTTATATTTCTATTAGTATTTAAATATATTTCTATAATTAAGTATATACTTATTAGTTTAAAGTAAATACTTCTTATTTAAATTAGAGTAATAATAGTTTATATATATTTTATAATAATTTTTTCTATCTATTTTAATATATTTAATAATTAGTCTAATTCTATATTAACTTTAATATATCTTATATATTAATATTATAATATCTTTAATAAGATAGTAGATAATAGTTATAATATAATAGTTTTAATTTAAGTTAACTAATATATTAGTTCTATAGCTCTTAATAAAGATAAGCTTTAAGATCTAAAGATACTTAAGTATCTAGATAATATAGTAAGTATTATATAATTAGATATAAAATAAAATATATTAACTTATTATTATCTTAAAAAGAAGTATAAAGATAATATTTAAGTTTAGTTTATTTAACTACTTAATAATATAAGCAGTTATTTTCTTAGAAGTTATATAGTTTATTAGTATTTTAAATAATATTAGAAGATATTTATTTTTAAATTTAAATTTATATATAGAGTTATTATTAAAAGTACTTCTAAATATCTTTAATAATCAGTAGGATAATATTAAGCTATTATAAGAAAGAGAGATAAGAGATTAGTAATAAGAATAGAAGAAAGTAATAATTAAAGAGAGAAAGAAAATATAGCTAAGGCTAGTAGGAAGAAGGTTAATTAAAGTTGATCGATCTTTAGTGGGGTTGTTTGGGTGGGAAGGAACAGCCTAATAATTTTAGGCGGTGGGGGTGAATGTAAGAAGATTTGCAGCGAAATTTAGTTTTGACACAGTGAGCGCTCTCGACCGCCGTAACCAGGTGTACACTCCTTTGGCACTGATAAGCCTTGCAAGGTGCGGTCCTGGTTGTCCCTACCCAAATTCCTCCACTAGCGTGGCGGCGTTTTGTCAACGCAGCTGAAAGCCAGAATCCAACTCAGCACTGTGCTGTAGGCTCTCCAAAATTTATTTTGCACTTGGAAAAGGCACTAGTTAGCCGCAAGGCTTCGCTTCACGAACCCTCCACCTACTCCTACGCGCAACCTACTACCTCTCTCATCCACCTGCTTTAGTCTATCCATCACACACAAGGGACGAGAGGTCTACAACCGGGCCAGGCCATTCGGGCTTCTCTCTACATACAGGAGACCATTGCTCTCGGATCAACAGGTTGCAAAACGATCCAACGCGGGCTGCCTGCGCTCCGCGCCTGTTAGCAAAGATGGCGGCGCAAAAAATGACCAAGAACCAGATGCGCCGGGCGAAGAAGAAGGAAGAGAAGAAGGCAAAGGCAGAGGTCAGTGCTCAACTCCATCATATGCACTCTCTGTCGCGGTCATCTAACCAAATCACTCTTGTCCAGGCTGCCGCGAAAGGTGACGAGAATGCTGTCGCCGATCAGAACGACGCCGCTGAAGCTGCGAAGGAAGAGGCTCCTCAAACGGATACCACCGATCTCGAGGTCAAGAAAGATCCTGGAGCGCCCACGGAGATACCTGCAGACGGACCTGTCGACCTGTCTATCGACAATGATGACCCGGCCTTTGCGCAATTCAAAGATATTTTCTCGCGATTTGGCACGAGTCTCGAGGACGACGAGATTGCGAGGGAAGCAAACGCTGGTAACAAGGGCGAGGTGTTTTTCGATGACGACGATCTTCCAGACGAGGATGATGAGGTTGAAGGGCAAGTCAAGCTCTCCAAGAAGAAGCGGAAGAAGCTCAACAAGCTGTCGATCGCTGAGCTGAAGGCGTTGGTCAGAAATCCCGAGGTCGTGGAGTGGCATGATGTGTCGTCCTCCGACCCAAGGCTTCTGGTGCAGATCAAGGCGCAGAGGAATATTGTTCCTGTTCCCACTCACTGGTCCTTGAAACGAGAGTACCTGTCGAGCAAGAGGGGCATTGAAAAGCCCCCATTCAAGCTACCTCAGTTTATTGCCGAAACCGGCATCACCGAGATGCGCGACGCTGTCCTGGAGAAACAAGCGGAACAAACACTCAAGCAGAAGCAACGCGAGAGGGTGCAGCCAAAGATGGGCAAGCTTGATATCGACTACCAAAAGCTCTACGACGCCTTCTTTCGTTTCCAGACCAAGCCACCCCTAACGAGGTTCGGCGATGTCTACCACGAAGGCAAGGAATGGGAGGCTGATTACCGTCACTTCAAGGCCGGTGAGATCAGCGAGGCTCTACGGGATGCGCTGGGTATCCAGCCAGGCTTCCCGCCTCCATGGCTCCTTCAGCAACAGAGGATAGGCCCCCCACCTTCGTATCCCGCACTCAAGATTCCCGGCCTCAACGCACCATTGCCAGCAGGTGCCGCATGGGGCTTTGGGCCTGGCCAGTGGGGCAAGCCTCCCCTGGACGAGTATAACAGACCCATCTACGGCGGTGATATCTTTGGTATTCTTGCTGGCAATCCCAACGCCGCTCAGGCCCAGCAACCACAAGCGCAACAACCGCCCAGCGGAGAACCCGTCGAGAGAAATCTGTGGGGTGAGCTGCAGCCGCCGGCCGAGGAGTCTGAAGAAGAGGAGTCTGACGAGGAGGAGGAGGAAGAGGAAGAGGACGAGGACGACATCCCCGGTGGGCTCCAGACGCCGGGCGGCCTCGAGACGCCAGCGGGCTACTCCAGCACGGTGCCTAGCGAGTATCCCGGCGCTCCTAGCGGCGTGGAGAGCAGCATGGCCGGCGAATTTGACCTCCGCAAGCAACGGCAGGGCTACGAGACCGAGGAGCACCCGCGCTCAGCCTACACCGTCGTGCCGGAGCGCCAGACGCAGGCCTCGGGCTTCTTTGGCAGCGACCGCGTCTACGACCTGTCCAAGAGCAAGGGTGCTGCTGGAGGCGTGCCTGTCCTGGGCCAGGACGACGACAGCGCCCGCAAGCGCAAGAAGCCCGGCGACGTGGACGTCGCGCTGGACCCAGACGCGCTGCAGAACCACGACGGCATCAGCAAGGATGAGCTGCGGCGCAAGTTCGACCAGGGCGCCAAGGAGGACGGTGTGGGTGCCCAGTGGCAGTACGATGATGACTTGAGCGAGATGATCGCCCAAGAGAGCCGGAAGAGGCAAAAGAGGGACGAGGAGCGGAGGGGCGGAGGGGAGAAAAAGAAGGAGACCAAGTATAGGTTTTAAAAGTGATCACAGGGGAAGATTTACATGGGTTTGAGCGGCCATGATCTGAATGGCCTGGGTATGGTGTCGCTTGGGAACACCGCGGTTTTGTACTAGTAAATGAGCAATAACAGTAAGAAGCCTGCGGTGGCTGTGGCTTTTCACCGCAACCGTACATTCTCGAGCAGGCATGTCAGTCCTGCTGGCCCAGGATAAGATCATCTGTTTCCTGTTCACGGAATGGTCATTCAAGGGCGTTGCCCATCTGTCTATTAATCTATCAACCACTCCTCCACCTCGACGCCCATGCTCCTGCCCAGGCCTCTCACCATCTCCCAGCCCACGTTGACTCTCCATTTGCCACCACGGTCCATCGGGTCGCCGCCGCCTCCCACGCGGACAAGCAACCGCAAGCTGGACAGCGTGGCGATGGCCATGCCGATATCACAGTCCAGGGTGCCGCCGTGGCTCGACACCAGGTGATCGGCCACCCACTCGTTCCGCACGGCCGCAAAGATGGCCATCATGCGCTCCATGACGAAGGCGTGCGCGCCCAGCAGCTTGCGCGCGATGCGCCGGTGCTTACTGCGCTGCCGCGAGCCGCCGAGGAGTCCGCCACGCCGCCGCTTGCGGCCGTGGTAATGCGTGGAGAAGAGCGTCAGGTCGTGCTTGTGCGCATTGTGAGACGCAAGGTAGGCGGCAAGAAGGAGCAGGCGGGCCGTGGTCGGCAGCAGGGCTGCGAGGTCGGGCGTTTTGTGCTGGGCCAGGGCATGCTGTGGTGTGGACGCAAGAGGCTTGGCGCGCCGAGAGGGCGTGGACGGCGCCGACGGAGCACGGGACGCGGGCGGACTCTTCGAAGGAAGAGCGAGGACCCCCGGGTCGAGGAGAGACTCGTCCTGGAAATGGACGCGGGAGGCGATGAGAAGCTTGGAGAATTCACGAGCAGAGTATGTCCCATCTAACACGGGCGCGGTGAAGCGAGGCCATAGAGCCGTACAGGCTTGTTTGAAGGCCGGGAGTGTCCGAGCGGCAGACTTGGTCAGAGAGTCGTGGACTGCGCCACAGAAGCGTGACCAGAGCTCTGCTGTTTCTTGTGGACTGGTGGTGGCCAGTGTCGGGGGAGGCGTGGTGGCTATTATCCGTACAAACTCGGACTTGGTATAGTTGGGGAAGTGGATGTGCGAAACAGCCGATGTGCGGAGGAACGATGCCGGCGGAGAGGTGAGGATAAAGATGGTTGTGAGGTTCGGGATCTAGCGGTATGAGAAGTGATCAGCAACAAAAACACCACAGCTCGAAGGGCAACTCTCGCAGAACCTACAATCTCCGACAGCCTGGCAAGCGCAGGTAAGAGGGTTGCCGGTGCTTCTCTCTGCCGGTCAATGGCATCGAAGACCAGCACGAAGCGCCAAGTGTCTGGCCTGTCGATATATTTGAGCATCTTGGAGAGCTCAACGGTGAGCTGCGCCATGCTCTCGCAACGCTTCGCTGGGTTCTCCCATCGTAAGGCACTGGCTACCTCGCTGACTGTGCGTTCGAAGAGATGGCGGCCCGTGACGCACTCAATGCTGTTGACGATTGCAAACCGGAGCTCGGGCGACGTAGATGGTGCCAGTGGCAGGTCATGGTCGTGATGATCAGGTTCGGCGAAAGTACGGAGGAGCTCCTCTGTCAGTGTACTCTTCCCCGTAGCTTCGGAGCCATAAAGCACAATGTTTTGACAGAGCGCAGCCGTTGGCTGGAGTCAATTAGCACCACAGCCGCAAGCAGATGGAGGCATCGAGCGAAAGGAAAAAGCTTACATGGGTTAGAGTCGCCAGCGCATGTACCTGTTGCTCACGACACGGGAAGATCTGGAGGAGGCTTGAAAGCTGCGCTTGGTCGGGCAGTTGCAAGAGGTGGACCATACTGCCCCCGTGCCGTAAAGTGGCTCAGAAGCAGGGCCGGAGGGTGTTGTCGAGTTTCAATGGCGAGGGTGCGCCGAGTGTCGCAATTGTCTCGATATTTCCGAACATCTACGTCTCGTGGGGGTGTCAACGCGGTTGTCGAACATGAGAAGCGCGTCTTGCGATAAAGAGATTCCAGTCCCTCCAGTCCAGGGCTGGGTGTTGGGGTACCCAATACAGCCTGAAAGTGAAACGTGTACGTTGAAGCAGGGCGCCGGGAGAGTTGCCTGGAAGTAGTGAGTACCTCATTGCTGCCGATAGCTGTCAGTCCTAGTGGCATTAGCTCCGTGCCTAATTGATCCTAGGTCGGTTACGGGCCTCCAGGGCTCTAGGTATGGTTTGCACATCTAATTCGATGCTAGGGCTGAAAATGGGCCGTCTTACGGGCGACGATGAGCAACAGGGGTTGAATGGACACAAAGCGATGTTCATCTGAGTCACTGGCCACTTGGCCACCCACTGGCCATTGGTGCTGACGACGCCCCGAGCGCCGTTGGGTTGAGAATGGTCAAATCACCTTAGATGTACCTAGGTATGTAGTTACCTTATGCTTGCGTATTCCCCCCACCAAATCCCAGCATGGCCAACAGCCCTGGAGGGCCAGCGCTGAGAGCGTCGCGGCTAGGGCACATCGGGTCCGACACTAAGCTCTGCCCGGCTTGACATGCCGGCACAGCCTCCAGGGCCGATAGCCAGACACACGATTAACGTTCTTTTTGTCATCTTGTCCTCGTCATGACTCTCTGCCGTGCTGGTGAATGCCCAGTCAGGTTACGGCCCCGATCCTTCGTAGGATGTTTCCTTTGCTTGGCGCCCTCCGTCCACCGTGCTGCTGAACAATTCACTCGCTGAGCTTGGGGCTCCCCTTGAACCACTGATCATATTGTTTGATCTGAGCTCTCACAAGTCCGGCCTCTATTTCCGTGCTCTCTACGGAGCTAGAGCTTCGCCCTCGCTCACTGCTCCTCGCCAAACATTTCAATCGGCGCGCGTCTAATACTGGTTGCGGTCCCCGGCCCGGTGCCTGTGCAAGGTCAAGCCGCTTACAACGAGCCATCTCCGTGTCTTGGTCGCAGCTTCATCGGCGCTCATCGCCAGCCGAAGCGGCTCAGGTCGAGTCACTTATTCTTGCGACCCCTCTTGCCGGAGAGATGACTTCTCTACCCGAAGATGACATCCTCATGGATGACCCGACGGCGGGTGTTGACAAGCCTTACCACTCGAAACGCCCGCACAGAAAGTCGCGGCTTGGTTGCAAAAACTGCAAAACCCGCAAGGTCAAATGCGATGAAGGTCGCCCGCGATGTCGTGCTTGCACACTAAGGAAGGAGACATGCGTCTATCCCAGTGGACCGCATGCGAGGCCTGCCTCCGCCTTGACAGCCTCGTCCAGCCGGGCAGGATCCCTCGCGTTGCCCGAGACACCACCTCAGGCCTCACCCCCGTCGTCTGAAGATTCCGACTCGGCGTTGGTCATCGTTAATGAGCCATTATTCACCTATGGCGGAAAGGACGCCATCGATATGCAGCTGCTCTGGTTCTACACGGCCAAGGGTTTCGACTCCTTTGCCATTGACGCACGCCTTGATCCAGCCGTCGATACAATCCTACGCGTCAAGATACCAGAGCATGCCTTCACTCAGACATTCCTGATGGACTGTCTCCTCGGACTCTCCGCTTCGCAGATGCGTCTGGCTGGCCAGGATGTTCCAGAATCAAAGGCCATCACCTACAGGGCTAGAGCTTTCGAAGGGTATCGAAGGGCTGTGGAAAAGGCAGACCCTGCATCCTTCCCCGCCCTTTTGGCTGGCTCTCTGCTTCTTTGTGCCCTGTCCTCGCAAATGTTCCGCGAGCCCGACGCTAAACCCCTCTATATACTCGACTGGATGACTGTCTGGAAGGGCATTGGGCTCATCGTCGAGCTGATCACGCCGCAGAAACTCCACGAGTCTGGTATGGCGCCCATTTTCGTACGCCCGGCTATCGACTTGGACGAGACGGCCAAGCACATTCCAGGCAACCTGCTATTCATGGTGTCATCCATCAAGCCCGGCGACGAAGATTATCCCTACGTGGATACGTATTACGAGACGCTGAAATATCTCGGTGCTCTCTACAAAGAGTTGTCCCTGGGCTTCAGCGACATACTGGGCCTCCGTGTCATCACATGGTTTACCTTCATTCCACGGCAATTTGTGCAACTAGCTCGCCAGAAACGACCTCGCGCCCTTATCGTCATTGCACATTACCTCATCTTTGCCAGGATCTGCGACGAGGTCTGGTGGATGAAAGGCGTGGGCGACCGAGATCTGGACTACATCGTCCAGATGCTCGGGTCAGAATGGGACCATGCCCTACGCGTCCCCAGAGCGGCGGTGGCATATAGCAGTGAATGCAAGGTTGAATTGGCCATGTTGCTGCTCGAGGATGAAACTTGGCAGCCCCGCAGAGTGCAGGACTATTACATTGTGCGCAAGGACTACAAATCCAGGACAGTGGCGCTGGTGAATGATAGCGGCCAGGCGGTCGAATACGATGAGACTGGCTTCCACAATCCCAAAGCTCCTCCAGACTCCCCGGGCTCACCAGCGACTGTCGGCCGCGTTGAACTGGTCACGCAGCCCAACCCTGTCTTTTCGGCTGGCCTTGATACGATCGATCCGGATAGCAGTCTGCCATATAGGTCCAGCTTTCCGCCACCACCTCCACCGCCAGCAGGTGGCTGAACCATTTGAGGCGACGGAGTCTATGCTCTATTGCTTGGAGGTTGACCTGGGTCAGCCAGTCTTCCAAAGACGAAAGAAGTGGCATGCCGGGCACGGGGTCACGGACGATGGGGAGATGTATGACAGAGTAAGCGCTTCGTATCATTCTGAAAGAGATGTACGATTCTAACCCCGTTGGAGCAGTTGTGTGGATGGGTGGATAAATATGCAAGACTTGGATTCGGATCGATTTGTAATGTTGTAGATACCCCTTGTACATTCATCTTCTCACTGGGCGTCTGAAAGGGTCAATCCGACCCATCTGTGTGCCGGCATTTACTAAATTCTGGCAGTCGTACGCTGTGCGTCCTTGGCCTTCCATCAGAGAGACAATCATGAGACTCGACCACACGCACTTCGCGAGCACAGGCCCGCTCGCCTTCACGTCTGACGAAGTTATTTTGAAGATCGATGGTCTCACCCTTGCCTCTTTTTCACGCAGGGGCTTGTCCCATCACAAACCAAACCAAATCTCGCTGGCGGTCAGGTTGGCAGGCACAGAGTGGCCAACCCCCTGGGCGTAGATGCCCTCGACGTGGTCGCCGTAGTCGTCGGTCCGGTAGTTGGCCTGCGGCGTGTTGGCCTTGGTCGACGTCGGCGTCTGCGGCACGCCAAAGACGTTGGTCCACTGCTTGATCGTCTCCTGGTAGTTCTGTGGCGCCAGCGTCGAGTCGGCCGACCCGTGCCAGATCTGCATCCGGGGCCGCGGGCCGTCGTAGCCCGGGTACATGCCGCGCACGACGTTGCCCCACTGCTCGGGAGACGCGCGCGACTGGCCGCCGCTGCACGAGTTGTTCCACTGGTCGACGCCGCCCGAGGCCGAGACGAAGCAGCCGGCCGGCACGCCCGAGTACAGCGACACGGCGGAGATGAGCTCCGGGTAGGTGGCGGCCATGACGTTGGACATCATGGCTGGGGAGCGGCAGAGGGGCGGAGCGTGTGTCAGTCGAGCGTCGAAAAGAAAGCACCAGCAACCCGGCGGATAGTATGAAGGGGAAGAGTCTTCGCGCAAGTACTGGGCTACTCACCACCGGAGCTCCCGCCCGTGACATAGACCTTGGCCGCGTCGACCTTATACTTGTCGATGGCGTAGAGGATCATATTGGCGATGGCCTGCGAGTCGCCGCCGCCGAGGTGGCTCAGCGAGGACCTGCTTGAGACATCCCAACAGGTGCCGCTGTGCGGGCTGCTCGGCCACACCGTGATGTAGCCCTTCCTGTCGGACCCTTGCTTCCAGGGGATCTTGTTATTCTGGAAGTACGATTGCACCGTCGACTGGCACGAGTGGATGACGACGACGAGCGGCGGGTTGGCCACGACCTTGTCCGGCACGTAGATATACATCTCGGCCTTGGAAGTGGCGTTGTTGGGGTAGTTGACCTTTGTGAGCTGGGCTGCCTGCGCCGGCGAGGCGAGAAGCGAGACAAGGCCCATCAGGGCAAACGGGGTTGGGAAGAGCATGGTGTCGTCCGCACAACTTGTAATGTCTAAGAAGTGGCTTGTAAGACACACTCAGGCAGTGCCGTTCAGGATATCCAAGAATTAGACTTATGTACAGTTGTATCTTGATCACCACTTTGAGCATCACAAACAAGAACCAGTCTTGGCAAGCCTTTCTTATATATACCGACAATGTATATCCCCGGGAACAGCAGCAAATGCCTCTTTGGCTGGACCAAAAGAGCCCCTGCCCTCCCCGGAAAGCTAGTGACCACCCGGGGGATTTCCATATGTCAAATCTGGGGTCCGGGGCAGATCGTGAGTTCAGTATCAAGCGGGGCTATCTCAATATGAATCGGCTAATAAGTTGATATCCACGGACCGTGGTGTTCCCCTTTGGGCTGTCCAGCCTGTTTCCGATTGGTAGTGACTCAGAAACCTCTACCGGCAATGTGGCTGTATGCATTATAGACCATGGTAAATATCTCCCTGTGGCTTTTGTTGTCTCAACGGGGAATCGGTGCCATGACAGTTTTTTCCACCACTCTCCTCTCTTATTTGCTCCTATAGACTTGGAGCAAGTGTGACTCTCCTACATCGTTGAAGACATATTTTATGCATCAAGAAGTCGCCTCCAATGACGTTGTTTACTATATATACAATGTGCACGTATCTGGTGTACAGCCTCATCCAAGCGAAGCAAGCAGGGATGAGAACAGTTAGGAGCAGGTCATACCATTGGCAATCGTCAGAAGGGTTATCCCACTACCTAATATTGATGGTTTTGATGGAAACTCCTTTTGCCAGCCCATGACTCATCTGACAGGTCGAGATCTTCCCAACCTTCGATCACCTTTGTCATCGAGGTATCATTCCTTTAAATCCCACCTAAACACCACGAGGATTACCGGTCTGTCAAAACCAACACTCCCAGTCCTTATAGTCGCAGATAGATCAGCACATGCAGCTTTCATAGACAAGCAGGGGAAAAGAGAGTGGGAGTCAAAACAGTTATTACGTAACAAGAGGCATTGCTTGATTTCTTTAGTACACAGCTCACAAAGGGAACTTAATTGAGCTAAGAAACCGCTCCGGGAACCTCATTTTCCTCTTCTATACACATACGACCCCCGTTCCCCCAAAGCAGCTCGCCCTTTTCACCGCCCACACGATCCAACTCTTAGTTCTTCTCAAGCTCGGCAAGAATCTTCTCACCCTTCGCCCGAGCGGAAGCAAAGTCACCGACCATGTAGAAAGCACCCTCAGGCAGGTCATCACCCTCGCCAGCCAGGATGGCCTTGAAGGAGCCGATGGTGTCCTTGAGGTCAACGAGCTTGCCCTCGATACCAGTGAAGACCTGGGCGACAGTGAAGGGCTGGCTCAGGAAACGCTGGATCTTACGGGCACGCTCGACGGTAAGCTTGTCGGCCTCGGAAAGTTCGTCCATACCGAGAATGGCAATGATATCCTGCAGAGACTTGTACTCCTGGAGGATCTGCTGGACGCGGGTGGCCGTCTCGTAGTGGTCCTGACCGACGATACGGGGGTCAAGCATACGCGACTTGGAGTCGAGAGGGTCGACGGCGGGGTAGATACCCAACTCGGAGATACCACGGGACAGGACAGTGGTGGCGTCCAAGTGAGCGAAGGTGGTGGCGGGGGCAGGGTCAGTCAGATCGTCAGCAGGGACGTAGACGGCCTGGACAGAGGTAATGGAACCCTTCTTGGTGGTGGTAATGCGCTCCTGCATACCACCCATATCGACGGCAAGAGTGGGCTGGTAACCGACGGCAGAGGGAATACGACCCAGCAGGGCAGACACCTCGGAACCGGCCTGGGTGAAACGGAAAATGTTGTCAATGAAGAGCAGCACTGGAGCAGGTCTGTTAGCGATCCCGTGATACCTTCTGAGGCGGCTAGGGCTACTTACCGTCCTGTCCCTCATCACGAAATGATTCAGCTACAGTTAACTAGTGGATGGGCGAGGTCGTTAGCATCGTGAACGTCCGGAACGGTTCCGTGAAGACGTGAGGGTAGTCCGCGGTGAGGCCATCATATACTTTACAAAGGCAAGAGGGATGTTTACAAGGAAAGGGGAATAACTTACACCAGTCAGAGCGACACGGGCACGGGCTCCTGGGGGCTCGTTCATCTGGCCGAAGACAAGAGACACCTTGGACTCGCCGTCAAGCTGAATGACGGAGGTCTCCTGCATCTCGTGGTACAGATCGTTACCCTCACGGGTGCGCTCGCCGACACCAGTGAAGACGGAGTAACCACCGTGAGCCTTGGCGATGTTGTTGATCAGCTCCTGGATGAAGACGGTCTTGCCGACACCGGCACCACCGAACAGGCCAATCTTTCCACCACGGGCGTAGGGGGCCAGCAGATCGACGACCTTGATGCCAGTGACCAGAATCTCGGCAGTGGTCGACTGCTCGACAAACTCGGGAGCATCGGCGTGGATAGGCAGGTACTTGTCGGTCTTGATGGGACCACGCTCGTCGATGGGGTCACCAGTGACGTTCATGATACGGCCGAGAGTGCCAGCACCGACGGGGATGGTGATAGGAGCACCGGTATCCGAAGCCTTGGCACCACGGACCAGACCCTCGGTACCGTCCATAGCAATGCAACGGACGACATTCTCGCCGAGATGTTGCTGAAGGACATCATGTCAGTACAGCGCGGGTGGAATTTGGAGGCGACGAGATAATTTGGAGAAGCTTACAGCGACCTCCAGGACCAGACGGTTGCCCTGGTTGTCCGTCGTGAGAGCGTTCAGGATAGGAGGCAGCTTGGCGCCATCGAACTTGACTGTTGCGAAAAAGGGCCGAGGTCAGCACATTGAAACTCTGCGAGTAGATCAATTCGTAGCAATGATCATTTGGGAAGTACTAACCGTCAACGACGGCACCGATGACCTGTTGGAGAGAAGTAGGTTAGTCCATGTGTTCTGGTTCGGTCGATCGGGTTTGATTTGCCGGTCGCGGCCGGCTGGTCCGAGGCAAGGCGACTCACCTGGTAGATCTTGCCATCACCGACACCAGCAGAGCTGGCAAGTCTGCTACCGAGAGGGAGCTTGGGGAGTCTGAGGCCGGCAGGGCGGACGGTTCGAGGCGCGGCCGCGGCCGAGAAGGTCGGGCGAGCTGCTCGGGCGAAGGAAGAAATGCCGCTGCACCAGGGGGGAAAAACTTTGTGTCAGCTCCATTGCGGCCTCAATTGGCGGGAAAATCCATCAAAAAGCACATCGACGGGCAGCTACTGACCTCTTGAACATCTTGACAGATGATAAAGAACGACCTGAGATGGGAGTGGAGAGGAGAGGGAGATGGGTTTCTGAGGAGAAACTTTGCAGAGATTGAGCAGTTTTGTCGGGAAACCACGCTGCTTCGGTTAGAAGCTTCCCAGGCCGCCACGTGATTTGCGACCTCGCCCGAAACAGCCTAGCGCGGTGTCGCCGGGACGTCAACACAGCGACAGGAGAGGACAGGAAACTGCGCTGCCAAAACCAGCACCAAAGTGGCCCCGGCGCCGGCAAAAGCGGAGTCGCAAAGAAAATGGATAGGAAATTTGAGGAACAGGGTGGTCAAGGCAAAGACCAGAAGGAACCCAAGACTGAGACAGGCCAGATCGGTGACTATTTCGGCCCTAACTTGTCTTCTAGCAGGCTATCCAATAGAGCCGTTAGTGACCGTTATTGTCCTAACATCGCCAGTCCACCCACTGGATTGCCTACATGTGGCTGATAGGTTCCAGCCGGCAGAAAGGAAGCCTCGGAGCACAGCTTCACTTTCAGTCTCCAGCCTGGTTCTCCGACCCTGTGGAGCTCCACCTCTCTTCAAACAAAAAAATGCTGTTGAAAAGTAGTCATGAATCTCGACATTCATCTTCCAGAGAGAAGAGGCTCCTTTATGACAACAGCCTCCGTAGCAAGAGGCTGTATACTTATATTTCCCACCCCATGCCAGGTAGCCATTCTTTCGAGAGGGTTATCCCACTGCCTATCACGCATAGACGGGTCTCGTATCTATGAGGCAAGGCCTGATCTTTTTTCCTCTCTTTTTTCCTCTCTTTCCTTTTCTTCGCTTTTTTCTAAGCCCACAGCTCTGCTCCTGTGTGACCTTTGCTGCCTTCTCAGGAGGTGCCTCCTCCATCTACTTGGGCGGATTGGCATCTGTCCGTACGCGTACACCCTTGAATAGTTGAGTATGAATATTAAATTTGGTCAATCTGAACTAGGATGGTTTGTTGCTTGCAATTCATCAATGATATGGATACCCCTCTACAGCCTCAAATGACCTCCATAACCGCTCTCACACCTTGAACCCTCGGGCTTCTCCGCCTTCCATGACATGTCCTAGAAGCCGTAAAGACATCTCACCACTCGGATTCCTTCTCTTTCAAGCAATCATAGAGACTGCTGTAGTTGCACTCTCAAGTCTACGAAGCTGCCGACTCTAGTGCCAGCACCTGGAACACACAGACTGTTAGCCCACACTCGAGCTTGCAAAGTTGACCAAATGGTACATAGGACTTACGATAGCCGTTCGGCAAGGGCTGTAGACATGAGTCCAATTCTTGCGCCCGTTCCATTCCATGGGTGTGGTGAAGAACCGCGTGTTCTCATCGAGGCGGCTGAAGCCACCAAACTCCTTCCTGTCACTATCCAAGACGATCTTGTACGTCCCCGGCACATCGACACCAATACGGTAGTCGGTGTAGCTCTGGGTCGGGTGGAAGTTGAAAATGAAAACCAGACCAGCGCGTTCAAAAATGATGACCTTGTCGCTCTCGTTCTTGAGCGAGATGTAGGCTTGAGGCGCTTGCAGCCAGCCAAACTTAGCTTCGCACAGGTTCATACCACGGTCAAAATTGTTGAGGAACTGATATCTGAGAAGATGATCCTCGGTAAGATTCAGCTGGCGGCGAGCATACCAGAACGAATTCTGGTTGCCCTCCCGGGGAAAGTCGAGCCACTCTGGGTGGCCAAACTCATTCCCTTCGAAATTGAGATAGCCCTCTCCACCGAGTGCATGAGTGAGTAGCCGAATCATCTTGTGCAGCGCCATCCCACGGTCGATGACTGGTGTCAGTGGAGACAGCACCGACATGTTGGTGTACATCTCGGCGTCGCAAAGGTGCATCATCAATGTCTTGTCCCCGACCAGCCTACACAAAGAAAGAATTGTCAGCTCCGTAAAAGGCTCGAGTCTGCACTCCAGCTGCTGGACACACTTACGCCTGATCGTGGCTCTCGCAATAGGCAATGGTCTTCTCCCCGTGCCGGCGGTTCGTAAGAGTCCAGCAGATGTTTGCCATGTCCCACTGCTCGTCCGTCTTCTCCTTCAGGATCTTAATCCACATATCCGGGACAGCCATTGCGAGACGATAGTCGAACCCAACACCTCCCAGCGAGAGTGGCAAGCACAAGGCAGGCATGCCGGAAACATCCTCAGCGACAGTGATGCATTCCGGATAGATCTGATGAAGCATCTCATTCGCAAGCATGAGATAGACAACAGCCTCCTCATCTACATCTGCGCCGAAGTATTCGTGATAACCGCCGGAAAAGCCACTAGCAATCGTTAGAAATGGCATGCAGACGCTCTCGAGTATGTGAAAGGAAGAACTTACGTGCCGATGCCGTGGTGAACGTAAAGCATGCTCGTGACACCGTCAAATCGGAAGCCGTCAAAACGGTACTCATCCATCCAGAACCTGAGATTGCTGAGTAGGAACCTCAGAACTTCATGGTGGCCGTAGTTGAAGAGCCGGCTGTCCCAGAGTTCGTGACGGCCTTTGCCTCCCTCGTGAAAGTACTGGTGATCCGTGCCATCGAACTCATTTAGGCCATCGAGCACATTCTTCGAGGCGTGGCTGTGCACGACGTCGAGCAGCACGACAATGCCCATACTGTGCGCCGTGTCGACCAACTCCTTGAGGTCTTCTGGAGGTCCATACCGGCTGCTGGCAGCAAAGAAGTTGTTGACCTGGTAGCCAAAACTGGCATAGTAAGCATGCTCCATGACGGCCATGAGCTGGATCACGTTGTAGCCCAGGTCCCTGATTCTGGGCAGCATGTTCTGGGTGAACTCCTTGTAGGTGGCAACTTTTTGCTCGGGGCTCGAAATGCCGACATGGGCCTCGTAGATGCGAGCGCTCTTCGGCTTCGTGGGCCGCGGGTGCTTGAAAGAATACTTTTCGCTTGCAGGGGGGTTCCAGAACCTGGCATCATAGGCTGGCGAGACCGACAGGTCCTGGGTGACGTACTTGATCCAGGCAGGTAGTCGATCGACTCGCTCTCCGTTTGGGAGAGCCAAAGAAATCTGGAAGTAGAGTCTTAGATCTTATTATGCATAAATATGAGATCCGAGTAACCAACCTTGATCTTGGAGTTGTGGGGAATCGCAGCTTCACCATTGGGATTGGGAGGCAGCGTGATTTCGAAAACGCCAAAGTCATTCTTCTTCATAGGATGAGAGTCCCGGTTCCAGTTGTCTGCTCTACATTTAGCGAAAATATCAGATGCGCAAACAAGGCCGAGGCAAAGACATACTGAAGTCGCCCACGAGAAAAGCCTGGACGGCATTGGGCGCCCATTCCCTATAGACGATGTTGTTGTCCTTGTCGACATTCAGTCCGAAAATCTCGGTGCCCTGTCCATGTGGAAGATCCTGTTAGCGACTCGACTCGATATTGCGAAGGAGACATGGCAGTCATACGCGAGTGAACTTCTCCATCCCCCCTTCGGTGTCATTGATACTCTTGGTCCATTCCTGAGCCCTTGCGTACCGACGCTTGAGAGCATCCTTGAAAGGCGAAAGCCAGGGATCAAGCTGGGTGACACCTATATGTATGTGAATATCATGCTCTCGAAGGATTGAGATTCGGCGGAACTGAGCCTACCGGTGCCATCCGTGGGCGCACCATCTGCTACGAGACGATCACCGTTCATCGCCAAGGCATTCGCCGAGTTATTGACAATCTCAGCCATCGTACTTAGTTTCCTTCGTACTATAGGCCTAACGATGTGTAATGGGAGAAGAATCTGCAAAGTGCTGGCGCAGTTGGCGAGATTTGTTGAGTTCTCTTTTTCACCCAGGTGCTCGAGACGGACGAGACCAATCAGGTGGAGCAAGGAATGCTCGTGTCTTGGAGGATCACGGAAGAAATGAAAACACAACGAGGGAGAGAGGAATTGAGGAACTGTAGAAAGCTGTGGTCGATTGAAATCACTTCTCGGGGGAAACTTCGACCAAGCCAGGTGAGAGATATCATGCACAAGTACAGAAGTAGGCACGAGGTCGTCGTATTCACCCAGAGCTTGTGGAAGCTCAAACAGCTGCCCCCTCCACTATCAGTCTAAAATGAGAGAGCTTAGTTGGAGATGACGTCGTGGGGCAAATCGATATGCGCGACAGATTCAACGAAAATTTCCACTCAGATACACCTGATCCCTGACCTGGGCCTCCCTGGCACGCCTGGACCTCTGCCCGGTTGGGTGTGAAGAGCGCGCTGTAGCGACTTGGCAACAAGATAATGCACCACCAAGCACCCCTATCGCACTATCAGCCCACGCAGGTTGGTTGAGTGGCCACTGGCGGGCGCACCAGTCGCGGTAAGCACCCGCTAGTGTGGTCGACTTGCATCGAGGGTGGACCCGTGGAATTGAACCATGGGTCGCTTGCAGGCACAGTGGGTGATAATACCGCGGAGGTACCGAAATATCGATGTCCTTACTGCCCATGCCAAACAGCGACCCCCGCACTTGATCGTCACACCTCTTCAGTCTAGCCCGGCTCTAGGTACAATACCTACTTGTACAATACCTACCTACTTGACCTGGAACTTCTACCATCCATCCTGTCGACAGCCAGTCAGCTTCTTCACACGCTGTACTACAGGAATTCCTCCGAGCCGTTGATATTTGGAGCTGGCGTCTGGTGAGCCACACCCCAGACCACCATCCTGAGGCGCTGGCTTGCTTGCGTTCCTCACACCCCGTCCCACACGTCACCAAATGTAGCCTCCTCCGCAATCGGTCCTACGCATTAGTCCACAGGCCACTATACAGCCCGGACCTTCAGCCAGGAGCTCTTTGCGTGGGCTGGCTCCTGCGTGCATCTGGGCTTCAAGAATGATCCAATACCCGCCTGAAGAATGAGAGTCCTCACAAGACCCGGGTCACTGGCCCGGGTCCATTCATTGGCCTTTCGACAACGAAGTGTGATTCCCACACAGGCACACCGCCGTAGACTTTCGGTGACCGCCGCCGCGAACACCGCGCCCCGACGATCCCAGGACTTCAACTCCGGGTTTTCAAGCAGCTATGATCCGAGCGAAGACACCGGAAGAGGTCCCATGTTCAACAAGGCCAAGTTTGGCGTTCCGCAATTCTATCCCAGAGACTTGAAGAAGCGGGTGGACGAATATGTGGTTGGCCAAGATCGGGCAAAGAAGACAATATGCTCCGTTATTTTCAACCACTACCAGGGCCTACGTCGAAGATATCACCAGGACGAGACGGATCGCGTTTTGAGACAAAAGATGCAGAGGCAGAAATTTGCCCGAGACAGGGAGCTGCATGAGAGGCATCGCGAGCCTCACCCGGTGGAAGGTCAGCTCTTCGGTGATCCCATACTTCCGTGCTACGCTGATGATCCTTTTCGAGAAGACGAGTATCCCGGACACTACGATTCCATCCAAGCCATGTACCAGAGCCAGAACCAGCCCGACCCTTCAGCGAATTTTTATGTCGAGGAAGACCCGAGCCTTCCGCAGCACGTCAAAATTGACAAGAGCAACCTGCTGCTCATTGGGCCTACAGGCGTGGGCAAAACCTATATCCTTGAGTGAGTCGAGCAGCGTCGCAGAATAGCCCGTTGGTTGGCTCGACTGACTATTGCCAGAACTCTGAGCAACAAGCTCAATGTGCCATTCACGATAAGTGACTGCAATTCCTTCACCCAGGCGGGCTACATTGGCCAAGATGTCGAGACTTGCATTGAGCGACTCCTTATCGAGGCCAACTACGACACCAAAGCTACCGAGCACGGCATAGTAGTGTTGGACGAATTTGACAAGATCGCAAAAAGAGAGACCATTAATGGTCGTGATGTTGGGGGCGAAGGCGTACAACAGGCACTCTTGAAGCTCGTCGAAGGAACCAAGGTGACCATCAACGTGAAGGAGACGAGGTCTTCCCGGACGGCGAACCCGTTGACTTCCAGCTACGGCCCCGGGGGCTCTTCCTCACATCCGCAGGCGTCACCTCCAGCTGGCAAGCTTGAGCAGTACACCATCGACACGACAAATATCCTCTTTGTTTTCTGCGGTGCGTTTGTTGGTCTGGATAAACATGTGCTGAGAAGAGTGGCAAAACCCTCTCTGGGCTTTGGCTCTGAAATTCGAAACAGCGGTAATGGATCTGGCCCTGGTAATAAGACCATCCTGCCGCCCGAGATGTACGCTCATCTCCCACATCAACCAGCGTTCCCGGATCCTGAAAATATCGGTTTCACGCCGATGGATCTCACCACACCCGCGGATCTTCAAGCCTTTGGCTTCATTCCCGAGCTCATCGGGCGGCTGCACAACGTCTGTGCCCTGACACCGCTCTCCTTGGACGAGCTCTACCGCATCCTAACGGAACCGCGCAACAGCCTCGTCGCCCAATATACGGCTCTCTTTGAGACCTACCCAAGCCGCCTGTTTTTCACGCGACGGGCCCTCTACGCCATCGCCGAGCGGGCCGCGAAAAATGAGACGGGCGCCCGGGGTCTCAAGATGGAGATGGAACGGGTGCTCGCCGAGCCCATGTTTGAGGCACCAATGCCGTACGTTCTGATCACGGAGGGCTGCGTGAGGGGGACGGAAAAAGCAGGATACTGGGGCAAGGATGGGAGGTTCGAAATCGAAAGGAGACTCCGGGACGAGAATGAGAGAGATAATTCTCCCGGACCTGATGTAACAAGCTTCGAGCAGTATAGGGAAGCTGGACAGAGCGGTGCTTGAGTCCGCATGTGTATAGAGTAGGAGAAGAATCTGTTTTGCGGCGCTTCGGGCGGCATACAGGACTCCAGTGTCTTGAAGAGGGTATTTCTGTAGTGTAGTGTAGCATGGCTTTTCCGATGTTTTGAATAGCTGTTTGTACAGGGCTGTGTCCCTCGCCGGCCTATCCGGTATCCATTTGAGCACAACGCAGTCACGAGAATCATGATGATGGCAGAAGAGCCTAGATGTGAGAATGAAAAGGAAATTGACTTGTTGTACGTAGTACAGTATTTACACCAGCTGAGTTTGGTCTCCAACTCGTTCCAGATGATCTCCCCCTCTCTTAGGCCTATGCCAACTTCTAGCCAGCCGCCACGTATCTCGAATAATGTTGACAAAGATGACACTCTTAGTGCTTGGGAGGAGACTGGACGTGGCCCTTGCCCGTGTAGTCCTCGGCACCGAGGCCGTTGAAGGGATCGGTTTTTTGGCCCTGCGACGCGATGACATTCGTTAGTGGTGCTGCCATTGCAAATGGTACGGTACGGGGCTTGTCTCACCTTGAGGTACTCGTTGCTGGCCTCCTGCCACTCCTTGTTCATGGTGTGCGGCGCGGGGCCGGCGAAGCCACGGAGGGTGAGGAAGAGAACGAGACTGATGGCGACACCAGTGAGAGTGTAGAAGGTAACCCTCTTGCCCTCGCCTGGGGGAGCCTCGGCGCGGGGACCGTGGGGACCGAAGGCAATCCAGTAAGCTGTGGAGGATGAGGGGGATTGAGTTAGTTTTCTGGGTGACTGCACTCAAGATTGGACGGGGGCATTGGGCAATGTGGAGATGTCACGCGTGGGCGATTGGGATAAAACCACCCGGCAGAGGCCAACTCCCAGTTCCAACTGCGATTGAAGTCTTCAATCGTCCCTTCCCAAAGCTCACTGTGCTCGACGGCCAGCGTGTGGCATTGGCAACGGGGCAAATCCGAAAGACAGAGAGGCATTGGGGAGTCACTCACCAGCCTTCTTCTCCTGGAGAGTGAGCTCAGTCCAGTTCTCCTTCATGCGGTCTCGCAGGGTCATCCAGAGCTCGGCCTGCTCCTGCAGGGGCATACCCTCCCAACGCTTCTCAATGTTGGACAGAGTCGGGTTGGAGATGGCGTGGGTGGAAGCGGCACGGCAGGCGATGGGAGCAGAGGTGGTGGTGCGGAGGGAGGCTCGCGCAACGCTGCTCCTCAGCGTGGACGAGAGCTGGGTGCGCATCATCTTGTCGATCGGGTTTCTTCGAAGAGCAGGGAGAAAGGGAAGAATTGGATTGATCCGTCGGACGGAGGAGGCGGAGATGGGCTCAATTGAGAGCTTGAATCTCGGCCAGATGCGGTATTGGTGGGAGGTGTTGACGGGTTTTGGAGAGAGACTAGAGGCAAGGTCGGCGGCAGGGAGAGAGGGTTTTTCGAGGTTTCTTTCCCAGGTCTATCGTATGATGCCCGCCCCAGCCAAACAGAACAACAGCAATTCGGTGCACTGACCAGACAGCCGGGAGCTCCCCCCTCGAAAATTGCTCGGCTAACGGGAACGGGCTTTGCCTATGACTCTAGTCACGTGATAGAAAACGGCCAATCACAAGCGACGCCTGAGTAATGCAGTTGTCCCCAGTGAATCTCCACCTGGACGAGCCCTGACTGGTGAAACTGCAGTCCCTCCAAGTCCACGGGCTGAGCGGAGAGATCCTACAGGGACGAGAGCTGGCACCGGGGATCTCTACATGGCAATTCACGACGATACCAGGAGAGTGACCCAAGGGGGGCACGGACAGTCGAAAGGCTATAGAGCCGACTAACTTGCTTCGAGAAGAAAAAAGGAAACCCGACCAGCTGCTAGGAGAGCTTTTGTCTGTAGGTGTTGGAATGGTAGCTTGCAACGCCCATGCGGTTCGTTGTTCCTGAGGATCCCAAGCGCTTTTGATGATGCGTCGCGTTTCTACAGCGTTGTGGTTAGCAGTACGATGGTGCCTCGGTCGGGTCACTATCACAACACTTGGGGGCCTTGGAGTTGTTCTTGAGGTGTCTAGGACACTAACAGTATCTTCCCGGCGTTGTTTTCGGGGTAAGACACAGACCTCCTCGACCTTTATCAACGGACAGGAATATCGCCCGTCGAAGTAGTCTAAATTACATGAATGCAATCTGTATCTACAAAGAGCAACAGTACACGCCCAGAGCCCCCGAACTTGTGGCTGAGAAACCTGCAGAGTCTCTAGATCTAAAGATCTTCCACTCGTTACTCTTACATCACTAAGGCAAAGCGCACAGTTCGTGTCCCCCTGAAGCATTCCAAGCTCAGAGCTCGTGAAACCAGTCCTGAGCTGTGGTTGTAGGTAAAAGGATCCCAGACATCTCCGAGTTGTGCTCAGGATTTGACTGGTGGGCTTTGAGGGGGGTTTATTTGGCCTGCTCGAGATTGGCTTTTTGAGCTGCTCTCGGGCGACTCGCTGTGAGAATGAATAGGTTAGGTTAGTACTAAATGCGCACATCCTTGGTGATCCTGCGCTTGGAACTGACCTCGGCCGACTGGGCTTCTCCTCGACCTTGGCCTGGTCCTTGAACTCTGGCGAAAAGACGTAGAAGCCTACTCGAATGTGAGCACCATGGTCCGACGTGATCAAGGACATTGAGCCATGGGTAGTTATTTCAACAAAGAACACTGACCATTGCCAACTCCGACCACCACGGCCAATGCAACCGGCACATAACGCCTGAAACTCATCTCATATATTGACAACTTCAACCAAGACCGTCTATGCGCATGAAAGGGACGGAAGGGGTGGAGGAGAAGTAAACCCTACCATCAAGAACTGGGAGCTGCAGGATAGGCACCAATCATGGCCGTGGAGTCTCGACACCAAAAGTTTACCAAGCGAGCCAAGTTCAATTGTAGTGGGGTTCGGCTGCTGGCAGGGGAGCTCGGGCCACCACACAGACCTAATTGCATGCCGTCAAGGCATTTACGGCGCGTCTCCAGTACATCCAGACGCGTCTTGCCCGCTGTAATGGACCTCTCTTTGTGCTATTTGATCGTGGAGTATTCGAGATTCAACACAGGACACACTCGGATTTCACCGTCAACCCGAGCCATGACCACTTCGGCATGATGGTCAAGCACCCACAAGCACCCCTCGATCAACGATGAATCACAGATCCAATGGGAAATTGGAAGATTTTGGGAGAGGTCCCAGATTCGGACGATGAAGGATTCGACAGCCAAGAATTCCAGGGCGGATTGTCACCGAGCACACCTGCCGAAGTTTTGACATCGCGAGCCGAGAAGGCCCCTGGAACACCAGACGATGTCTGGGACATACCTGAGTCGACTCAGGGCTCGAGTTCTGGGGATGCGGTCGTGCAAACTGCACACTCGGAGACATCAGCTCCCCCCAAGACCTCCGGTGTCGAGCTGAGGGATCATCTGGCTGTGGCGTCGATATCCGCGGATCGGTCTTTCCAATCCCCAGACTCAACGGCGCTGCTCGGGCATACGCCGGTCCCGTTGGACGTTGGTGGCATATCACCTTCTGGACGAACAAGTGCTCAGAGCTCACCCTTATCGTCCGTGGGCCAATCGCCCGAGCCTCCTTTGTCAAGCCGAGACCATGGGGAAGGCTCGGTATCTCCTTCGAGGCAAGCCGCTATCCGCCTCGAGAGGTCTCTTCGGCCACGGAAGCCTATTCAAGAACACCCTTATCTATTGGAAAGCGCACACTACAACAAGTTCATGAAGTCTCACGGAATGAGGCCTGTCCGGGTGACGGTCGAAGCAGATCGTTCGAGACGGGGACAAACGGATGAGGATTCCCAGGAGCAGGATTTCGTCACCGATATGAGCCAGCAGGAATCTGGCGAGACGGAAGGGAACCTGAACGACATCGGCTCCAGCCAAGTCGACCATTCTGTCGACGATCGTGACGAGCTCGCTCTGTCACCTTCGCCGGGTGTTTCCTCTCCCCAAGTCGCTGCCGTCACAAGTAGTCAGCCAAGTCAGGCCGACTTGACTGACGACACAAGCCTCCCCGGAGATGACGAATTTCCATCACTTGACGATCTGGTGCGGAAGCCAATCTCAACCCGCCATCGGATTGCCAAGCAACGCAAGCCCCAGAAGTACACTCCGAGAAGACAGCACCCAAAGTCAACCCCTATCCAGTCGCGGATTAGAGACATCGTCTCAGATACCGCTGCTCACGCTGTCCGTGCCTCCACAGACTCACCCATCCCGTTGGGACAAGCAAAAATGCCCCCCAAAGCCCGGTCCCCCGACCCTCTTTCAGATCCTTTCGAAGAAGACTTGCCTGAGAAAGAGGCAGCGGCATCACTTATGACTCCGGCCAATATTGTCATCGACCTTGAATCAAACTACGGCGGTGGCGATCTGCAAGCAGCCCATGCACCAGATGTGTCCAGTGGTGAAAGCGATGCTGAAGCTGATGCCGTGCGCCGGCACCGGAAACGCATCCGGGGCGTTCTGCCTGCATCGTGGCTGAGACTTGATCAACACAATCCTCGCGACTCGGCAAGGCAAGTTGTTCCACGACCCAACCCGGAATACTCACCTGGTCGCATTCCGCGGAAGGGGGTTGCATTGCCCAGGTCGACAAGCCCCCAGAAAGCCTCGCGGCCTTCTCCTGCGACGCCTTTCTTCTTTGATGATACAGATAATTCAGATATCGAATCAGTGCAGCAAGAGACGACTGTACTAGATAAGGAGGCGATGAGTGTCGGACGTTCTGACCTTCCATTGGATCTCCTGGATGGGGCATCGGCCTCAGAGGAAGATATCATCGATGACATGATCTCGAGTCGCAAAAGACGGAGCGCTTCATCACAGCAAGAATTGCAGCCAGTAAAGAGGAGAAAGAAGAGCCGCTCATCGACTTTTCAGGGTCAGGTTGGCCAAAAGACGCGACAACCCAAGATCACTCGTCACCTAAGTCGGGCAAGGACAGCAATAGGAAATTCGCATAGCCAAACACGGGCAAACTCATCGGTCGGCAAGAGCAGGTCAACAGCCACTCACCAGTCGCGCCCCAGAAGATCCAAACCTCCAATGCTCAGTATCCTCGATGTTGTTGATCAGGAGGCCCCTCTATTCATCAAAATCGCTGCGCGCACCGCCAGGAAGAGACCCGGGCTGGGAAAGTCGAGCCCTTCTCGGAAACAAATCAACCTGGGGTCACGCAAAGACAATATAGATGCCTTGTCTGTGCTCCGTGACTGGACTTCCGGGAAGATTAAGCCGAAATTGCCCGCTCCATTGCGTGGACAGGCGCCGCAGCAGCGCCGTGCTCTCCATCAACTGTCAATTAACTCTGTGCCGAGTGGGACGGCATCCCGCCACAGCATACCGTCTGAACCTCGAACACAACAGGCAGATGGCTTTGAACAGAGCAAAAGGAAGGGCATCAAAGACACAAACGCAGTACTCCTATGGCGAAGAAGCGCTGAACAGAGCATCACGCGCACTCGAAACAGTCATGGCGCAAGACCGGCTCAGCTGGAGGCAGCTGAGGACGACGATCATCCTGCTCAACGTTCAGGGTTCGTTGCCAGAAAACGCGCCCTCGACGCATTGTACAAGAAAACCCTCAAAACATCAAGTGATCTCCCTCGGGTTCGTATGGAGCAGTTCTTGCAGACTACCGCCTACTCGGAGAACATACTCGATCCATCACAATCGCAGAGTCAAATCCCGCTGCTCCAAAGCGATACTCTGGCTAGCAACCCTCAGAGACGGTCGCGAAACCGGAAACGTTTTAAGCCGACAAGAATCGATATTGCAGCTCCTCGATTTACTCACGCTTTGGATCCTTTGCCCACGGATCTGGGGCGAGAATCATCAAATGATGCATCGAAGAGTGATAATGGCAGACTCTTGAACCTCGGGCCATTTGGCACCCACTACACGCAACATTTCGAGATGTTTCCATTAGATCCTGGCGTTTTCTTTCACGAAACCACCATCCTAGGCGATGGCAGCCTCGACGATGCATTGAGTAGCTCTCTGTATGAAAACCTCGCGCAACATCGCCGTCATGTTTCCTTCCACTTGGACAATCAGATTCTTCAGTGGGGATTCTGGAATGAGACGACTTCTTCCCAATTCGGGATTCTCCTCGACTGGATTGCAGATCAAGCCCTAGGTCGTCTCTCCGATGACGACAGCATCCAAAGAGCCGTATTACGAGGCGCCACTGGCTTTTTTCTCACATACATACGCCGGTCTTTGCACTTTGACAGTGAAGAAGCTAAGGGATCCTTCATCTTGCGATCAATCGAGGTTTTTGAAAGCTTGGTTGGTCGATTAGACACGGTAGTACCCGACAACCATGGGTCACTCCTTCAAATCGAAGTTATGACTCGATTCCTCGTCGCCCTGCTGTTTGTTCAGCGAATAGCGCAGCTTTCAGACACTCATTCTGTGCAAGCATTTCGAGTTGAGGGTGTTATGAGGAAGATGGCCACCCTCTGCGTCAAGAGACTTGTAGCCGTTGGGCTCCAAGATCTTCGCATGGTTTATGATCAAACACACCACGTAACCTCCCGAGAACATGGCATCAGAGAGCACCAAGTCACGACTATTGCCTGGGTCGTCTTGATGAGGGTTTTGAGCGCTGCGCATATCCCGCGAGCCGGGTTCTGGGATGTCACGTACTCCGTCTTGGTCCCACCACAGATCTCTCAGTGTCTTGATTCGCAAGAGTTCGAATCGCTATGGCAAACCATGAGTACTCTGCTCCCACTTTGCGAATTCGACAGTTCCGGTGTGGTCGTCAGTGGTTTGCGGCATCTGGCGCCGGTCGAGGGATGGGCGTTGCCAACACAGATCCTCAAGCGCGTGTTCCAGATTTACAAGGCGAATCCGCGTCAAGCTCCAAGTTTCAACGAGTATTGTCGCGCTCTTGTCGGCCGCTGTCATTATCTGGTCCGGGAATGGGGCTGGCGCAACTGTACTTCTGTCATAGGTGTGATTTTCGATTTCTTCGGCTCTCAAAACCTGGCACATCTGAGAAACGAGGAAGCCCACAAGTCCCCGCGCTTTCTCGAGGAGCTCGCTGAGAGTCCGTCGCTAAGCATCGAGCCGGAAGATCGAAGCTTCCATGTCTTCATAAAGCTTCTTGGTCTGACGATTCAGAAACTCAAGACGCTGAGCATGACAAATCAGATTCGGAATCTGATTGCCCGCACGTTGCCAAACCATGACCGTCAATACCTGAAGGAAGAGGCGATCTCGGAGAGTGACCTCGCCGCTCTCAGAAACCATCACGATCTCTTGTGTACACTCTTCTGGGCTGCGCCACCTGAACTTCGACCAAATCTACAACTTCTGGAAAAGTTGGTCATGCCCAGCAGCTCTCACAAGGAGGCTTGTCTGATCAACCTGAGAGCCTGGAGTCAGCTAGCGCGCTTTGTCATTTCGGCCAACGAGAGCCACCACTCATATCGTCCGTTCCTAAGCTGGCAGAACAACGTCTTTCAGCAAACGCTTGAGCAGTACCTTTCAGCGGAGTCTGATATCCAGCAGCAATTTTCTGCTCTATCCAAGGATGCCACCCGGGATATCAGCGTCAGCATTATGCAGTCTTTCATCTTGAAAAACAAGGCTGCAGCAATGGACGTGCTTTCCTTCGCAGTCCGCTCTTCCTTGGACGTCTTGGGGCACGCGGGTTCCCTTGAGTCGGCAACGTCGTGTCTCAATACATCGCAGCTCGAGCAGGTGTTTACTAAGTTTGATCTGTTCTCAGCAGGCTTCGAATGGACCATCCTGAAGGCTGCCATCGAGACCGTAGAGCTATACCTGGATAAGGTGGAAAAGGTTCTGGATGAGCAGTACTCGAACGATTCGCAGCTGGTGGATGCCGTCCAAACAGAGGAGGCTATCCTTATGCTTGATCACAGGCTCTCAAAGGGTCTGCTCGGCATGACATGCACCTTGACAGGCAAAGTGGTGACGGGATACAAGGCCGCGGATGATCAGCGCCGGATTTGCACCGAGAAAGCCGTGACGGTCTGCGCACGACTTGCCACTCGCCTGATTCACGCCGGTGCCGTGCGTCTCTCGCGATTCTTTACGCCTGGTGCATATTGTCTCTTCGAGAGGATGCCTCGAAGCCTTGGCCTAGCCCAGAGACGGTATCTGCCGTTGTTTGTCGCCATCCTAGTCAAGAACAGCATCTTCGACTTTCGAGATATAGGTAGCTCTCCACTCGAGTTGTGGATGCTCTCAATAGTCAAGCCCTGGGTCTCCCTGTCCTACGAGAATTATCTCGGGGAGATGTTGAAGTATCATCACCTTCCATTTGTTGCTCGGGCATTTGTGCCTGTCGGGCTTAGTCCTACCTACAATAGCAACCGGGATATGTTTGCGTCGGCCATCACTTACATGAGAAAGGCCTTGCGGGAAGCAGACAGTGGGCAGAGGCAACAGCTTCGAAATGACTTCTCAAAAACACTCAAGGTCATAATGCAACAGATCCGAGACGACCTCAAGTCGGCCAAGGCCGAGCCGAGAGAACACAGTGCTTTTGTGGCATTTGTACGCGAGATCATCGGCTTGATCAAGTCCCATGGAGCAGACATCTGTCCAGTCGATCCGTTCTTCACACAGGTCAGTGCGGACTTTTCACCATCGGCAGAAGATCCAAAACTCCAGACAGCAGGCATCATCGCGTATGGTATCCGCCTGTCCGAGGGTGAAGTGACTGCCATGCCGCAGCTATTTCACTACCTGTACAACAATTTCAAGATTGCCGTGGCGAACAACAGCCTGGACGCGGAGACGCGGATCATCGGGAAATCTCTCGATCACCCTGATGTCCTTGCCTTCGTCCTCGGCAAGATGGTCCCAAGCATCATTCAAGCGGCGCTGGCAGAATACCAGGTCTGGCCCTTGTTGGATGTGTACTGTGGCGCACTGCGACAGCACCTGATGAGATCAGGGCTCGGCAATGAGATGGGCGAGGATCGCCAGGGCGATGTACTGACTCTCTTGGAAGCGTTCCTCGTGTATCTCAGACGCTTGCGAGATCAAAACAGTGCCACTACGACGTCAGGGCTGACGGCGGCCCAGGTCTGTGTTTGCGCGCAATTGATGGGGTTAGTGAACGCGCTGCAGCCCAATTTAGCAGCGCTCTCGTGGCTGCCAGCGCCACCTACAGTGGCGTCCAGCGCGCTGCCTAGAGCCATCGGTGCCATTTACAGCTTCGCCCGGGATGCCGAAGCGCATCTTGCAGACATAATGGCGCTTCCCAACCGATACCTAGCAGCGCAGAATCTACGGGTGCGATTGCTACTCGAGGGCATTGAGCAAGATGGGCACGAGTATTGGTCCAGCACGAATGGCGGCAGCAGCGCGCAGATTGACAATTTCGCAAAGCACATTGTAGCAGACATGAGCAAAACCATGGCAATTTCCGAGTGGCGGGTTGCGGTCAAAATGCCAGCAAAAACGGCTGGCCTGACGGCGACGCAATCGGGAGAAGGTGTCGAATACGGACCGTGGACCATGGAAGAACTTCTGAGCAGGCTGCAAGAACAGACGAGGCTCTGGCATTTGAGACCGAGTTTGAAGTCGACAAGGCTGTCGCGGACAAACAAACAACAAGCCTTTGGAGAGTTTGCGTTTTAGCACCAACAGTACCACACTTTGGTGCGGCCCCCAAACAACGACCTAAATCTGGGTCCCTGGACTCGATTGAAGCGCCACTGACTGGAGGTGAGGGGGGTTATTGTTTTCCCCGCATGCACCTCAGCTGTTACCGCCGTGCTCGAAGCAGACAATAGACATTGTTGTGTGCCAGGAGCCAAGGCAATAGAAAGGGCAACGAAGATGGGTAGGAGTACAAGGAGCTGCGACGGGTACTCGCACCGAACCCGAGGCTCCCAGGCTAGCCTGCTAGTAAATACCTAGGTAGAACTCAATGAATGAATGAACGAATGAATGACTAATGAAATAGAAATTGAGCAACAGCAAGCAGCAAGCAGCAATTGATCAATACCGAATCTGGGCCGCCAATGCTTGTGTTCCTATGTTTGTTGACCTGAGTGATTTGGCAATTTATCCCGAAAGAGTAAAGTTTATCCCCTTGCCTCCGGCCCCCTCTCAGAGGCACCTTGTATCGTTCGTTGCCTGTGTCGGTAAAGCGACTTGACCGACTTGACACCCAGACGCGAAAATGCGAGGGCGAGCATGTACTTGTGCCGTACCTATCTATTATTGCTAGGCTAGTCGCGGGAATTTGTTGTGATGGCTGCTCCCTCGGCTGTAACATGTGGGGAAAAGGCTGCTGGTGAATGAGGGCCTACCACGTGTGGAGGAGGATCGGGAGCAGGAGGGGGCGGGAGGGACAGAGGGGACGGAGGGAGAGGAGGCGAGGACTGTCGCCAGTCGGGCACAGCATACATGTAAGGTGAGAGTGATGCTGCCCACACGCGTAAACGGAGAGGTGCAGTCGGAGATGAAGGGTAGGTAGGTAGGTAGGTAGTTAGAGCAAGCAGACAGACAGACAGACAGACACACAGACAGACAGCATCGCCATCAGCAGTTGAAAGGCCCGCCCTCTCCTCTCACTCCCTCACACACTCAATCTCCCTCACTCCTGTGCTTGTGTGTGCGCGCTCGCGCGCGCATGCCCAATTGTAACCCAAAAGGACACTTCAGATCCGAAGCCGGGGCTTGCTTGCATTTGCTTGCATTGGCACCCTGGACAACTATGCGAAGGGAGTTCAGTTTCTCAGCAAAGAAACAAAGCCAGATTGCTGTGTACTCTCAATGATCTCTGGCCTAACCTGCTCGTTCCCCTCCCTCCCCTCCCCAGGCGCGCTGTTCCGTTTTGGGGAGAAACCCCTCCCCTTTCAGAGTGTGTCGGCGGAGATACTTGCCGAAAGGCTGCGTCAGCCTTGCATTTGGGTCCTAGGCTCCTCCTAGGCACTTTGAGCCTGTAACCCCGCCTGACCCGGCCACAGCCCAACCCTCATCCAGACCTCAGATTATCGTGAGAAAGTCGGTCACCATTTTGTCACTTTCCACCTCACTTACCCATTTGTCTATCTACCCACTCACCCCTAGTGCAACAAACCCTTCAACCCACGTCAGCTACCTTGCGCAACAAACTTCTTCCTTCCCTCCCTCCTCTTCCTCCGCCTCAGCTGTGCCTTATCTTGAGCTGCATCTGCCTTTTTCCCCATCGCCGTTTCTCCGTCTCATTCACTTCAGCTCACTATATTTCACCTCATTCCTTCTTCTTCTTCTTCTGCTTCTCGTCCAAGCCCCCAGCGCTCTCAGCCCACGGCAACCTCTTCCGCGAGACCCCTACCGGCTTCATCACTCGGCCCACTCTGCGCGCATGTCTCTTGTGCAAATTCAACATGAGTGCAGCATTTAGTAGGGCAGACTCGCGCAAGCGGGGGTTTGCCTCCTCGAGATCTGAGCACAGCCCGCAGCCTAAGCGACGGCGGACTGCAGACACGAGATCGCCCAGTCTCCCCTATGCCACCATCGCCCCTTCAACTGCCGCCCGCAGCAACCCGGTTCCCAGACCAGTCATCATGGTCCATCCTACCAAGGACATCTCTAAGCGCATGGAGTCTGCCGTCCAGGAGTGCCGCGACCAAGCAGTCCAGCGCTACTCCGAGGTCCATGCCCTGCTCCTCTTCTGGGAAGACGACGACCTTCTCGTCAGCAACGACGTTGCTGCCCTTGAAGAAACCTTCAAGGCTATATACCGCTACAGTACCACTGTGATCAAAATCAAGGCTCCTAAGGCGAATCAAGAGTTGCTGCGGAAGGTGCTTGACTTTCTCACAGCTCGAGACTCTTCTGACAATCTGCTCATCGTCTACTATGTCGGTGATGCCCAGGCAAACACCAGGGCCGGTGAAGCTCCGTTCTGGGTTCCGTGAGTAACGCTCTACACTTCCCGCGCCGTCATGGCAGCTCACTGTGAAACTGACTGACCTGAGATGTTGTAGCCACCGACGAAATGGCATGGTAGTCCATTCTGGTCAGCTCCAGGATCATTTTGAAGACGCAGATGCGGATGTTCTCATGCTCTGGGATTGCGGCATCGGACCGGCCTTGACCGGCCAAGTCATCCAGCAATCCGGGCATGTCAGCACCAGCGTGAGCGAAGTTCTCACCGCGGGTGCTTACCATACTCTTGGTGCCGGCATTGGCGAGGACAGCTACACCCGGGCACTGATCGAAGAACTCCCCAAGGCAGCCAAATCAGGGGCTGTGCGCATCATCGATCTGCACACTCAACTTCTGAACCGCCTGGGTGCCAGAAAGCCCCTTGCTCTCAACACCGTCCATCGAGCACCGACCCATGGCTGGCTGTCACGAGTCCATCGGAGCATCGTGCTGACTCCGCTCGGTTCCAAGAGCAATGGTGACGGCACCAGTACAAGCGGCCCTCTTGGCCCCCTTCGCCAGCCAGTCAATGGTGCCCAGGCAGCGGGTGAGATGTGTGTTGACCGAGCTGATATTGACAACTTGGGTTCTTTGATCACGGTCTGCTTCCGCATCTCTGAGATGGACACGACGGTGGCCGCACTCGAGAATTGGCTGAGGGAGGCTCCAGAACAGGCTCAAGATGCTATCAAGGTCACAGGCATGTACGCGGGCTATTCTCCCCTGATCAGCTTGGTCATTCCCCTCCATGTCTGGGCTCTCCTCCCCGAATGTCCCTCCCAGGGCCTCAAAGGCTTTGCCATCACGGGCTTAGCCAACCCCGAGGTTGAGGAAGCTATCGAATCAGCTCTTTTTACCAGGATGGGGCTCGAGGAGAACAAGGCTAGCTTGGCTCATCGCCACCACCCAGACCCGCAAGCAGTGCACAAGATGGAGGACAGTGTGCTGGAGGAGGGCTACTCCCTACGGAATAGCCCCAACAAGATCCGAAAGGCCCTTCCAACTGGTCGACGCCTTTTGCCCTCAGAGCCCCGGGCCCTACTGCCAGGCGAGAGGCGCGAGCTGCCACGTGCTGCATCGCAGCACCAACCGACAATCGTCCACACCTCTGCAGAGCCTCCTCTTCCTCCTTCTCCTGCGACTGGATCAGAGCGCAAGGCCCTCCCGACATCACGAAAGCCGGTCAAGATCAGCATCAAGTCGGCAGGCCCGCTCCTCTATTGCCAGGAGTGCAATGGTGCTGTGTTCAAGGACGACGAGGCTCTCGCGGCCCACAAGCGCAAGCACCACACCCGCCCTTTCCAGTGTGTCTTCAACTGGGCTGGATGTACCTCGGACTTTGCAAGCAAGAACGAATGGAAGCGCCATGTCATGAGTCAGCATATTCTGCTCAACTATTGGCTCTGCCAGCTCGATTCGTGCAGAAACACGGTGAACACCCCAAAGAGCGCCAACGGTGCTACACTCCCCAACGGCGCCATCTTCAATCGCAAAGACCTCTACACGCAGCACCTACGCCGGATGCACACCCCACCCGCCATCAAGAAACAGCTCAAGGTGCTCAAGGCTAGCAAGTCGGCCCCAAATACCGATCTTGTCCAGTGGGAGGAGCACCTCAAAGACCTTCAAAAGGCGGGCTACAAGCAGCGCTGCAACCTGCCCACCTACATGCGCTGCCCTGCTGTCGGCTGCACCCAAGAGTTCCAGGGCGCCAACGCCTGGGACGATCGCATGGAGCACGTCGCCAAGCATCTGGAGAAGGCGGCTGCCGGTAAGGAGCAGCGAGTCACCTTTGGGGGTGATTGGGACCCCACCCTCACGACTTGGGCCACCAGACCCGACGTCGGAATCGTTATCAAGAACGCAGATGGCGAGTGGAAGACATGGGAGTCCCCGCCCAAGGCCTCGCGACATACCGTGCCCATGGGCGACATTGCTGCTGATGACGGCTACGGAAACACGAGCGCACTTCATGCTAACGGCAATGAAAACGGCGATACTCCAGACGAGGAGGATGACGAGGAGCGCGACCGGGAGCGCTCTAGGTCGGTGATTGAGGTTGCCGAGGGTCAACACAGCCACGATGATTCCCCGGACTATTAAGGGAACCACGGGGGGGTGTTTTGCAGAGTGATGCTATGCTCATCTGTCTTGTGTGTTGAGTCGGGATCAGTGTGGTTTCCTTTTCTTTTTCTTTTTTTTTTCCACTGATGAAGTGTCTCATCCTGTGCGTACATGTTCACGATACACATAGGCATACAGGAAGTGTCAAGTGGAGGCGAGGAGATCTCTGCGCATGGCTGCCATTCAGCTTTCTTTATTGTCCTCCTCTTCTCACTTTCAACTTGTTTTAGTACTTTGTTGCAGCATCATCCTTCAAGGCGAGCATATAGCAAGGTAGCATGGAGTTCCAGGTAGCCAAAAGAAGAATAACGTTAACATAATGCATTGCTTTCAGAGTTTGTCAAGTTCATTGTAAACACATCCTGCAAAGTTGACATCCAGGATCAAGATGAAAGGTCCATGCATGCTTCTATAAATTTAAGAAGCCTCTATATGATCAAGTGATCCCTGAGTCTTTGATGATACACATAAATTTACAGCTCTCGATCTCTACTAACCCCCCTTTCAGGTCTCCCTCTAACCCAATCAAACTCCAAGCCGGCCCTTTTCTCAAACCCCTCCGGGCTGACGGACAAGCGCCTCGTCCGAGCGCGGCGAGCTGTCACCCATGACCTCGAACCCCATGCGCCTGCGCTTCTTGCTCCGCGCGCTGCCGTAGCGCTCGTCGAACTTGCGGATCGCCTGCAGTGACGGCATGTCCTCGCTGATGCTCGCCCCGATGTCCCGCAGCGCCTTGCCAAAGTGGCTGCCGCGCAGGACCCGGCGCTCGGGGAAGACGTAAGGCCCGGCGGCGGCGGCGGCGTCGTCGTCGTCGTCGTCGTTGTGCCTCTTGGCGGCGCGGACTTCTTCCTTGACGGCCTCCATGGCCGCGGCAACGCACACGTTCTTGAGGTCGGAGCCCGAGTAGAGCTCCGTCGCCGCGGCGAGGGCGTCGAGCGAGACGGTGGCCGCGTCGAGCGTCTCGTCGCGGAGCAGGCTGCGCAGGATGGCGAGGCGGCCGTCGCGCAGGGGCAGGTCGAAGAGCACGCGTTGCGGCAGCCTGCGCAGGACGGCGTCGTCGAGGTCAAAGGGCCGGTTGGTGGCGACAATGACAAAGGCCTTGTTGGCGTCGGTGAGGCCGTCCCACTCGCGCAGGAACTGGTTGAGAGTCTCGCGGTGGCCGCCCGAGCGGGAACGCGCGCTGCTGCGCGAGCCGAGCAGGGCGTCGGCCTCATCGAGGAAGAGCACGACGGGGGACCCGGTGGACGACAGCTTGCGCGCGAGGGAGAAAAGCGCGCGCACGTTCTTCTCGCTGTTGCCCACCCACTTGTCGTTGATGCTCGCGGCGCTCACCTCGAGCATGCTGGCGCCCGAGTGCCTGGCGATGGCCTTGGCCATGAGCGTCTTACCGGTCCCCGGCGGGCCGTAAAGGAGGCAGCCGGGAATTCGCTCGGTAGCAAGAACGCCGTAGAGAAAGGCTGCCGGGTGCGTCAAGGAGAGCGAGGTCAGCGCGATGAGGGTCTCCTTGGTATCCTGCGGGCAGATGACGTCGTCAAAGGTCGTCTTGATTTCTTTTTGGTTGACCAGGCTGGGCAGGAACTTCTTCTCAAACTCATTCAGTTCTCCTCTATACGGAACTTTCGAGGCGCCACCCGCAATCGCATTTCCTGACGCTGACAATTTCGGAGAGGAGGCCAATGGCGAGAAGTATGGGCCCTCGGCGCCATGGAGTTGGTCCCAGAACTTGTCCTGGTTTTTCATGATATGGAACGCCTCCAGGACTGTGCCCTGATGGAGAGCTTCCAGCGAAGATCCTGCGAAAGCAAGAATCTTGGTCGCAAACCTGTACACCCAATTAATATCGTACACTGCAACACTCAGGTAGTCCCTAAATTGCTGGACTTCCTTGTTGCCAGGGCTATCATTAGTAGCGACATCAGGGAGTCGAATGGGCTTTCCCGCCATGGCTGACAGCATAACTCTGATGTTGCTTAGGTTCTCCGAGGCGATGTCCTCCTGTTCCCATTCCTTTTGCGTGCTCTCAGGTAGACTTTGGTGGAATGGGATGAAATGGTACTCATCCTTGCTCATCTCCTCAATCTTGTCACGAAGTTCTGTTGACTTCGCCAGGTTGGAGGAGGTCGACCCGACAAGAATGACTTCCGTGCCCTTTTGCCACATGCGGTCGATAACGACGCGCAACTTGTTGAGGAGCATGACCCCTTCTCCGGTCATGTTCAGCTCAACAAACTCGGACAGATGCACGATCAGCCTCGAGCCCCTCGGGGCATTTTGCTCAGGGCGTTTGATGTCAGCAGCCCGAGTGAGTTCGTCTAGTACATGCTGAGTCTTCAAATCATCCCATCGATCATCCGACTCGGCATTCTGGTATAGTTTATTGGCCAAGCGTCCAAGTCCTGGAAGCTTGATGACACGGGCTGAGCCTTGAGAGAACAGCTCGGGGATCTCAACATCCTCGTCCTTTTTCTCCTGATACCTCGGTGGCATCCGACTATTGATCGCCGCGGCTGCATACCCTAACATGGTGATGTCGCCACGGCCCGTATAAGGGGTTTGGCCCAGATAGCCGCCGACAATCTCGGCGAGACTAGGAGCACTGAGGTGAACAATGTCCGCCTCGAGCACTTTTGCCACATCATCCAACACTGAGACGGCCACCTTCCGGCCTTGGAAGTTTGTCACTGTGAGCACAGAAACCGGTCTCTTGGCTTTTTCTGAGAGTCGATGCTTTGATGGAACAGCTCTCAGTTCAGCCCGCAAGGTCGCAACCAGTTCGCGACGCATCAGCGCATCGCCCTTGTCACCATTCCTCCCTGTAAGCCAAGGAGACAGGGTCCCTGATGCGAAAGAGACAGAAGCTTTAGAATGAACCAACTGCTCGCAAGGCCGGTGGGGTCGGTTGGGAGCTAAGATCTTTGGGAGGTCCGCGATGTGCTTTCGCAGCAGCTGGTGCAAGTTCGTTGCCGATTGCAAGTAACCGTTTTGGCCACAAGCTAGTACAGCAAGAATGTGAGCCATATACCAGGGTACCAACTCGATTGAGGCTTCGACCGGGTCAATGTCGCCATTGCGCAGTCTTGAGACGGCATCAACAACACTGTCTTCCGTCCATGATACCTCTCTAAGCAAACTCATATAGTAGTCGTAGAGTGTGTCTCTCGCTTCTGATGAGATAGTGGTCAGGTCTATCCGGTCGCTGAAATGGGGGTCGTGTTCACTAGGGGTGTCTCGATCGTTGAGGCTGACGGATTCGCTTAGAAACCACCGGGGCAGATTGACTGGGGGCATTCCATCTTCGGCTCTCTTCCGCCCATTCCGGCCTCGACCAGGGAGACCAGCGAAGGCCTCCTTCAAGCCCTCGGCGGCTGGAGTTGAAGTTGTCGGGGAGTCCGCCGCTTTCCCATCAGCCTCGGAGTCTCCAGCAGTCTTTCCTGTCCGGGCGCTTTGTTCGGGTTGGCGGGTCCGGGGACGGTGTTCATTGTCTTTCTTGGGTTCATCGCCTTCATCGGGGGCGGAGCGGCAACACGCTGGTGTACTAGCAAGACTTCGACTGTGAGGTCTGGACTGGGGAATTGACACGCTGGTGCCACTCTTCACAAAGTGTCGGGCCCTGGTTCTGAATGTTACCGGGACTGCGTGCAGGGCGCGAGCCCTCACCGCATGCATCCAGAGGGCCTTTCGGGACTTGCAGCCCTACAACAGGTGAAATAGGGTGTATAAGTCGCACAGCACAGTGCAATTGCGCCTAGAGAAAAGGACACACGCCTCTTACTATGGCTTCAACACTGTCCGCGAGCGTTCAGGCGCATTGTTTTTGCGATTGATGGGTCTTGCTGGGGCTTGATAATGAATTTCGTTATCTTATCTTATCACGACGCTCAGTCGTGTTGAGCCGAGCCTTCACAACATCGAGATCCTCCTTACAGGCGATTGACAAATAGATCAAAGAAACACATAAAGTATACAACAGAGACAGTCTTATCGCCTGTGAATCTGATAGGTTTCCCTTTTAAGGACCGAGATCTGTTCAGCGTCACGGTATAACTAGGTTCGGATGTGGGACATCACAGACATGGCGCCGGCATTGATCTACCTCTACCCACTGCACTGCATGGTGTATACAATATCGCATGAAAATAATACATTCCTTCATCCTACACAATCTCAAGTCGTGAAGACCATTCATCCCTCTGTACTGGGCTGGATCCCCTCTGCTGCCAACGCTTCCTGGTACACTGACTGCGCATTCTGGAGGGCCTTTATTGTCGGGCCAAGGAGAGTCAGCACGGCTTTCTTGCCCCCACGTGCCATGTCAGACCTCCACTTGATTCTATTCTTAGTCCTCTCATAATAGACACGGATTTCCTCTCTCCTTTGCTTGATGAGTTGCTCCCTGGCAGCTTCCGCTTCCTCGGCAACGGCATCGATTCGCATGAGCGATTTCTTCAGCGACTCGACATGGTAGGCGAGTTCCTGGGCTCGGTCAGGGTCTCCCGACAGGAACGTAGTCCAGAACTGTTTCAGGAACTCGACCGTGGTGGCATTGGTGAGAAACGCCTTTTGTGCTATCTCTTGTGGGAGACCCATTGGCTTCGTTTCATCCGACTCCTGGCCGAACGCCTCGGCCCGCCGCTGCGCAAGTCCACAAAGAATGCGTGACTGTGCGCCCCTCCTCGAAGCTCGTGATCCGACATGGGCCTGCCTGGGTGTTTCGTCATCGCTATCGCTATCTTCATCGACCCCAATGCCGGTGTGAAGATCTATCCCGCCGGCTCCATCCTCCTCGAGAGTGTCTAGGTCCGCCTGAACATCAAAGAGAACTTCGGATGGGACTTGACTCTCGTAGACTTTAGCATCAGCCGATGCACCCGAGTCTTGGTTGGAAAAGAACCGGCTTTGCTCCTTGACATTTAGAATGATCCTGCTCTCTTCCAAGTCGCCGCGGAGATCGCGTAGAGCCAGCTCGCTGTACGTCTCGTCGTCGAGGCCGGAAGGGTTGGCTGCATCCTGGTCTGAGGGTGCGACATTCGCCATGATCCTCTCGCTCAGGCTGTTCAACGTCTTGACAATCGGTACGTTTGATCTAGGCCGCATCTCGACGTCCTTGCGGTTCCCACTCTTGTAACCGCCTTGGTTCTCTTCGTTTCCCTCCAGGTCAATGATATGCGGCACATTCAGAGACAGGATCCTGGTGGCCTGGACAGTGTCATCAGCTTCGCTGAACTTGTCAAAGAGCTGGTCCGTGTTGTCGTTATCGTTGACCCGTTCTCCCCGGAGCCTCTTTGAAAGTTTACTGAGAAAGAATCGCGACCAGAATTCACCCTCAGAGAGCTTGGGCACATTCTCGTTGTAGAGTCTCTTCACGAGTGGGTGCTGGGCAAAGATCATCTGGACCTGCTCAACGCTAATGTTGAGCTTCAGCTCACCATCCACCGTTTTGGGTTTGACTGCTGACAAGACGTTATAGGCGCCTTTCTTCTGGTTCATCTCGATTGCGTGAGCTCGGAGAAGGCTGGTTCGAGTTGACCAAAACTGCGAATTAAAGGCAGCGTCCGAGATGGAGTCGGGTTTTGTTTGCCGGGCATCCATGTATGTCTGGTGGAGATTCCTATCGCGCTTCATGAGCGACTGCTGGAGCTCGATATCTGACCTTAGCTGGCTGTCATCAAACCACCGAGCCGCGGCAGGTCTCGAGTTGACGGCGCTGGCAAAGGACATAGCTGCGGATCCGCTCCCATTCACGTTGCCAGCAGCAGCCGGGCTTGCAGCAGCCGGCGTTGCTGCTGGCTTGGGCAGCCTGGGGTCGCTGCCGCGTATCTCTACCAGTAAGCGAGAGAGCAGGTCCTTGACAGCATTTGCCTCGGCCCTGGCATCGGTGGGGGAGGTGAAATGAAAGAGGAAGGCCACAGCATCGCCTTCCGATGACGGCGGCTTCTCAAAGATCTTCAGCATGACCTTGGCGGAAGAATCCGGTGTTTGCTGCAAGTCTGCAAAGGCATGATTAGCACCCAGCCGTGCGGTACGGGCATAAGAGGTGGTATCAGGTCTCACTCGTAATGTTGGCGACATTCAAGGAGATAACAGGCGGGCCGGTTCCGGGGAGAGGCGTCCAGATGACCGTTCGCTGGTCCTCAGATAGTGTGATGATGCCATCCTTCTTCTTGTAGGCAGCCTTGCCTTGAGGAACGGACATTTCGTGGATGGCTGCTTTCGCTTGTTTTGAGCAACGACGTTTGAGAAGGCGAAATAGAAAAGTTGGACTTGTCCACGACTAGGCACAGATTTGACGCCTTGCTCTCAAGTGATTGTCACCTCCCCTCATCACCTGGGCCCGCTTGCCCAGGGAGACAGATAGTCAATATCGCATGAAACGTGCTCTGGTGTGCGCTTCTGTCTCCGACCAGAATCAACCAGGTGCTGTCTGTTCCCGTATTCGATTGTGGCGGTTATTTGTGCGCGTGGAGTGAGTTTGCTCAGCGGTTGCGGCAAGATGAGAGTGAAGCGTGTTGCTGCCTTGGGTGATGAATCAGGCAAGGCTAGGTATGATGGGTCGAATTGGATTGAATGTCTTGGGTGTGAACTGTGCGCCTTGCGAGGGACTGTGAGTGAAGTAGGTAGTTGGCCCTCGACCCACGCTTGAAAACAAAGTAGCTATTCTTGTCGCTGGTGGTCTCTGGGCGTTGTTTACTGCAACAGCCTCACCTATCCAAGGGCCCGCCTGTTTTCTGCTGTGAGTATCTCAATGCGGAGTGTCCACTGCGTCACCACACAGGGCCGAGCTTTTTTTTTTGGGTAGGAGGTAATGTAGCTTAGGTATGTCGGTGGGTACCATCATATGGGTGTGTGTGTGTCCGTGTTGTAGTAAACTGTAAGCAGGTACTCAACTTTACTCACCGTGCCTGTACTGTGCTCGTCAACAAGGGTGGTGGTATATTAGGTAAGAAGGTTGTCTCGAGACTGTTTGACTGCTTTTAGTCTTGCCACCTCGAGTGCTGAAATCCAATGACCCAGCTCTCCGAAGAACCTCGAGATTCCTTACAGCCAAAACTCGGCCAATAGCGGGTAGGCCGGATGCATGAACACGAATGAGGCACTCCTTGGGACCGGACAAGTCCCGAAACAAAGCACGGGGACTTCAAGAGGTCAGTCAGCTCCTATCCAGCCCGGCCAATTACCGAGAAAACACTGGGGCAGATCCCCTGTCATGCTCCCTATTTGCCCCTGTTTGTCCTCTGAACCTCCCTATGGCCACAGTAAATTTCAAAAACGCTACCAGACTAAGTAGGTACTTGTACAGTAGTTTTCCTAACTGTCCATACCTACCTACCTTACTCCGTACTCCGTAAGAGTGGATCTCGATCTGCCTTAGTCAGCGCGCGAATAGCAGGCAAATGGCAGGTACGATCGGCTTTTGTCCATTCCCTAGCCGGCTAACAGAACGAGCTAATTCTCAATTCCATCTTGATTTCTTGACTCTGTATTCTCTCTCGTCAATCCCTCTCTACCTCACCTCCAGCACCGACCAGGGACACCAAGTTGACCTTGATGTCTCCCGTCCTCTGATTGATTCTTTTCGTTGTTTTTCCTTTTTTGCAAGACACACGGAAAGATGCTTTTGAGCACTCTCTGTAAGTCCGGCAGCCGCGTGCTGCGCGGATCTGCCCTGCGAACTGCTTCGTCCTCGTCGCGATGCCTGTCAACAACAGCTCTTCCCAAGGGCGCCTCGGGCCGCCTCACTGCTGGCCGTCGGCCCTTGGCCCTCTCCTCCCAGAAGCGCTTCGCCAGCGCCACTGCCTCCTCGCCCGATCCCAACGACAACTTCCTCTCCGGCAACACTGCCAACTACATTGACGAGATGTACATGCAGTGGAAGGAGGACCCCAAGAGCGTCCACGTCTCGTGGCAGGCCTACTTCAAGAACATGGAGAGCGGCGACATGCCCATCTCCCAGGCCTTCACCCCTCCCCCGAACCTGATCCCTGGTGCTGCCGCCGCCGTTCCTGGCCTCGCTGCTGGCGCCGGTGTTGGCATCGGCGAGGGCTCCGACGTGATGAACCATCTCAAGGTCCAGCTGCTCGTCCGTGCATACCAGGCTCGTGGCCACCACAAGGCCAACATCGACCCGCTTGGCATCCGACAAGAGTCCAAGGGCTTCGGCAATATCAAGCCCAAGGAGCTCAACCTAGAGCACTACCAGTTCACCGAGAAGGATCTCGACACCGAATACTCCCTCGGTCCCGGTATCCTGCCTCGATTCAAGCGCGATGGCCGCGAGAAGATGACTCTGCGCGAGATCATCGCCGCTTGCGAAAAGATCTACTGCGGCTCCTACGGTGTCGAGTTCATCCACATTCCCGACCGAGAGAAGTGCGACTGGCTCAGGGAACGCCTCGAGGTGCCCCAGCCCTTCAAGTACTCCATCGACGAGAAGAGGCGCATCCTCGACCGTCTTATCTGGAGTTCCAGCTTTGAAGCTTTCCTCGCGACCAAGTACCCCAACGACAAGCGTTTCGGTCTCGAGGGTTGCGAAACCCTGGTTCCCGGTATGAAGGCTCTGATCGACCGCAGTGTCGACTACGGCGTCAAGGACATTGTCATCGGCATGCCTCACCGTGGCCGTCTCAATGTTCTCAGCAACGTTGTCAGGAAACCCAACGAGTCCATCTTCAGCGAGTTCGCCGGTACCTCTGGCGCTGAGGATGAGGGATCCGGCGATGTCAAGTACCATCTTGGTATGAACTTTGAACGACCCACCCCCTCCGGCAAGCGTGTCCAGCTTTCTCTCGTCGCCAACCCCTCCCATCTCGAGGCTGAGGATCCCGTCGTCCTGGGCAAGACCCGGGCTATCCAACACTACAACAACGATGAGACCACCCATCGTAGCGCTATGGGTGTCCTGCTGCACGGTGACGCCGCCCTTGCCGCCCAGGGTGTCGTGTACGAGTGCCTCGGATTCCACTCCCTCCCTGCCTTCTCGACCGGTGGCACTATCCACCTGGTCGTGAACAACCAGATCGGTTTCACCACCGATCCCCGCTTCGCCCGCTCTACCGCGTACTGCACCGACATTGCCAAGGCCATCGACGCTCCAGTTTTCCACGTCAATGCCGACGATGTCGAGGCCGTCAACTTCGTGTGCCAGCTCGCCTCGGACTGGCGCGCCGAGTTCCAGCAGGATGTTATCATCGACCTGGTCTGCTACCGCAAGCACGGCCACAACGAGACCGACCAGCCTTCCTTCACCCAGCCGCTCATGTACAAGCGCATCCAGGCCCACGACCCCCAGATCGATATCTATGTCAACCAACTGCTGAAGGAGGGTACCTTCACCAAGGAGGACATTGAGGAGCACAAGCAGTGGGTGTGGGGCATGCTCGAGGACAGCTTCAGCAAGTCCAAGGACTATCAACCCTCTTCCAAGGAGTGGACTACTTCGGCTTGGCACGGCTTCAAGTCGCCCAAGGAGCTGGCGACCGAAGTCCTCCCTCACAACCCCACCGGTGTGGACAAGCAGACCCTGGAGCACATCGGCGAGGTTATCGGCTCGGCTCCGGAGGGCTTCCAAGTCCACCGCAACCTGAAGCGTATTCTCTCTAACCGGACCAAGTCTGTTGTCGAGGGCAAGAACATCGATTGGTCTACGGCCGAGGCTCTGGCCTTTGGTTCCTTGGTCACTGAGGGCCATCACGTCCGCGTCTCTGGCCAGGATGTTGAGCGTGGTACCTTCTCCCAGCGCCATGCCGTCTTCCACGACCAGGAGACCGAGGATACCTACACTCCGCTCCAGCACATCAGCAAGGACCAGGGCAAGTTCGTCATCTCCAACTCATCTCTGAGTGAGTTTGGCGCCCTCGGCTTCGAGTACGGTTACTCCCTGACGTCGCCCAACGCTCTCGTCATGTGGGAGGCTCAGTTTGGCGACTTTGCCAACAACGCACAGTGCATCATTGACCAGTTTGTTGCCTCGGGCGAGATGAAGTGGATGCAGAGGACCGGTCTTATCATGTCGCTGCCTCACGGTTACGATGGTCAGGGTCCTGAGCACTCTTCGGGTCGTCTCGAGCGCTACCTTCAGCTCTGCAACGAAGACCCTCGCGTCTTCCCATCAGAGGATAAGCTCCCCAGACAACATCAGGACTGCAACATGCAGATCGCCTACATGACATCGCCTGCCAACCTGTTCCATATCCTGCGCAGACAGATGCACAGGCAATTCAGGAAACGTAAGTTGAAACCACAGTGGCGCATTGCGACCGAGAGAAAAGAAAGCCGACTGACAAGATTTGCTAGCTCTAATCATCTTCTTCTCCAAGTCTCTGCTGAGGCATCCTATCGCCCGCTCCGACATTGAGGAGTTCACTGGCGACTCTCAGTTCCACTGGATCATCCCTGACCCCGCTCACCAGTCGAACGAGATCAAGGCTCCTGAGGAGATCAGCCGCGTGATCCTCTGCTCTGGTCAGGTTTACGCTGCCCTCGTCAAGCACCGTGCTGAGAAGAAGCTCGACGATGTGGCTATCACCCGTGTCGAGCAGCTTCACCCCTTCCCATGGGAGCAGCTCCGCGAGAACCTGGACCAGTACCCCAACGCCAAGACCATCGTCTGGGCTCAGGAGGAGCCTCTCAACGCCGGTGCATGGAGCTTCGCACAGCCCCGTATCGAAACCTTGTTGAACAACACCCAACACCACCACCGCAAGCACGTCATGTACGCCGGCCGCAACCCCAGTGCTTCTGTAGCCACTGGCCTGAAGTCGTCACATGTCAAGGAGGAGCAGGCACTGCTCGAGATGGCTTTCTCTGTCAAGCAGGACAAGCTCAAGGGCGAGTAATGGAGGCGGTTGACGACTTTTGAAAGGTGTAGGATGTGATTTGAAGTAATGGGTCTTAACGGGGGGCGGTCACGGGCAAAGAAAAAGAAAATTATAGACAAGGAGGTAAAAAGGCTCTGGCCGTGGAGTGATGGACTGGGGGAGAAGAGGTGCCAGGATGGGAGAGCTGGACTATTGTTTTTGATCAAAGCGTCCCTTGTAAAGTACCTTTATGTTGTATAATGCATATTTTATTTGTTACCAGTGCCATGTCAGGGGTTGTTGTATGACGTCTAATGCAGTGTGTCCGCATTGTAGTTTTGGTTGGCCTGGTGCAAAATTACTACAACTGTATGTACACATATGCGCACATGTATGCACATAAATAGTTCTAGGCAGTAAAGATCATGATTGATCTTGCGTCGATACGACCTGCCACGGCCGTACAACACCATCGTCGCCCGTGGTGACCAACATCTCCTCGACTCGTTTCTGCTCCGTACCCGAGTCGAAGCGCTTGCACCAGGTAATGTGATTTATCTCGTACGGGCCGTGTGCCTTGGGCACTGTTGCCAGTAATCTCCATCTTGTCGATCCAGGGAGCTGAGCGCCGCCGTCTGTTGACGCGTCAGGCGCTGGCACTTGCGACGGGCCGTCTGACATGCGAACGTCCGAGCTGGAGGCGGCTGTGGGCTCTCCCGAAGAGGCCTCGTCCTCTGCATAGACGGCGATGACGCCGTCGCTGCCTGTGCTGGCTACCAGGCCCGAGTGGGCACTCCAGGCGGCCGAATAGACGTCCCGGGTGTGACCCTGGGGCAGGATGGCCGTGCAATCCCATTCTTCTCTTATCGACCGGCGCATCGTGTTGGGGATGCCGGCCAGGGCGCCTCCGAAGAAGGCGCCAATCGCCTGGCCAGCCCCGGAGGCACCGTGCCCTTCCTCGTCCGGCTCTCGTCGCAGGGTCCATATCCTGATGGTTTGGTCCGCCGACCAAGTCATCAGTCTCGGAAAGTGGGCGTTGTCGGCGCGTTGCTCGAACTGCACACCCCACACTGTCCCCTCGTGGCCCTCGAGCACAGAGACGCACACCCACTCGCCATCTCCGTCCTCGCGCCATATCCGCACCGTGTTGTCGTAGCTGGCGCTCGCGAGCACCTCGGAGCTGAAGCGGCCCGAGGGCCCGGCGTGGTTCCGCCCGGGCACGTCCGGGCACCAGGCGACGGCCTTGACGTCACCGTCGTGCTCGTTGAGGACGGCGACCGTCTCCCACTCGTCATCGCCCTCGTTGGCGCCCACGTCCTCCCAGATCCAGACGGACTTGTCACGGCTGCAGGTGGCGAGGTACTGGCCCGAGGGGTTGAAGGCCACGCTCTTGACCTCGTTCTCGTGGCCCTCGAGGACGAGGCTGAACTCCCAGTCATCCTCGCCGCCGTCGCCGCCGTCACCGCCGCCGCCTTGCTTGACCTCGACCTCGAGGGAGGAAGGGTCGTCGCCGCTGCTGCTGTCAAAGGGGACGTCCTTTTGCCAGCGCCAGAGGGCGGCGGTGGAGTCGAAGCTGCCGGTGACGAGGCAGAGAGTGTGGGGCGGCAGGCCGGGCTTCCAGGTGGAGGAGCGGACGGAGCGGGCGTGGCCGCCGGTCAGGGTGCTGTGGGAGGAGAGGGTGGAGAGGGAGAAGATGGTGACGGCCTTGTTGTGGGCGGTCGCGAGGAGGGGCAGGGTCGGATGAGGGGTCGAGGACCAGGCGCGCTGATAGAGATCGGGCCGGAAGGCGGGCAGGGACTTGAGCTCGAGGCTCGCCGGAGGTTTCGATCTCGAGACGGCGGCCATGGTCCGGACGAGGGGGGCGGGCAAGCCGGGGACGACGGGGATCGGGGGCGCAGTCCACAGGTAGCAAGCAGTCTTGTTGTCGGGTCTGCTCGAAATTGCAGGGCTAGTACTGCGCCTTTTTCTGTAGATGTGGTGGCTTGGAAAAGGTTTGTTTAATTAGTTTTCTTGACTGCCATGACCGAGTGGTGAGCGGCAGAAAGTGCTAACTCTATGCCAGTCAACCTCTGCCCCGCGCCATTTTCCTAGACGCCATTGACCCCCCCCCCCAAAAAAAAAACACGGCCGTTATCGCAAGGAGCACTCATTGCACGAGCACATGTCATTGATAAGATAAGCACTGGACGCCTGGAAAGGCCTGATTCTCACATGGATGAGTCTGCCCGTCCTCAAGCTTGCTTTCTCCTATTGGAGGAATATTTCAGTGCCGTCTCTACAAGTAGGTGGACCTCAACCAACCCAACTGGAGACCCAGCCGCTAAAACAGCGCTGGAGCTCTCCTCTGTAATGGCCCTCAGCGCGTCCATGATCGGCCATCGCCTCTCGCTACAAAGCACCACGGCCATCCATGGACTGGCTGATTGAGTGGTTGAATGATCGATTGATGATTGATCGATTGATGAACGGACATTTTGATGGGTGCATGCCCACATGCTTTTGGCCAGCAGACCTGCCTAGGTAACAGTTAAATATCATCGTGTGGCCTGTGACTGATTGATCCAATCCTTTGTCTCTTTGCCGAGCCTCTCTCTCTCTCTCTCTCTCTCTCTCTCTCTCTCTCTCTCTCTCTCTCTCGCTCTCTCTCGCTCTCTTCCTACCACTCTAACAAGAGACTCCAAGTACCTAACTACCTAGGTACCTCCTACCTTGGATGTCATTCATCATCAACACACACACACTCTCTCTCTCTCTCTCCATTCATCCCTCAACCTTTCAAGAACCCCAAGTGCATTCTCCCAAAGAGCCTCTGCCTGCTCGACAGAAGAGGACGCCAATTACTTCTGGGTGGTTTTTACAAGTAGTCCTGCAGGCCGATATCGTTTTCTGGTAGGCCAGCTCCAGCTGCTCCATGCGCGCGTTGATGCTCGCGGCGTCTGTGTCCGGGACTTTCTCCGATACTTTCTCCGCCCAGTTCCACTAACACTGAAACCACGGTCGCAGGCCCAGTTCCCCAAAGTCTGGATATATACTTTTTTGGAGCTGTCCAGTCTCTTTCTTTTCTTCCCCTCCCTCCTCCAAGGGTCGACGTCACTGGCAGGAGACAAAGGCAGAAACCCCTTGGATGCGGTCCCAGCTTCGACAACTGCTCGACACCTAGCAACAGCGGCGAGGCAGCCACGCCATGTCGAGATTCGCGCGCCCGGGGCTCTTCCGGCGAATTGCCACGACTGCCGGAGCCCTGACGCTCGGCACCGGCCTCGTTCTCTACAGCTATCGACCCAGAAATATCCCCGGCTACGAGCCTCCGGCCGTTCCCCCTCCCATCTACGGCGCCGACGGCACCTTCAAGCTCCCGCGCTTCCCTCGCATCAAACCCAGAGACGAGCAGATCTCCGACCTCAAGAAGAGCAACTCGGGCAACAAGGACGATGAATATGATATGCTGGTCATTGGCGGCGGCGCCACGGGTGCTGGAGTCGCACTGGACGCCGCCACCCGGGGCCTGAAGGTCGCCGTCGTCGAGCGCGACGACTTTAGCTGCGGCACCAGCAGCAAGAGCACAAAGCTCGTCCACGGCGGAGTGCGCTACCTCGAGAAGGCAGTGTGGAATCTGGATTATGCCCAGTACGAGCTGGTCCGGGAGGCTCTCAAGGAGCGCAAATACTTCCTGCAGACGGCGCCACATCTCAGCATGTGGCTGCCCATCATGCTGCCCCTCGACAAGTGGTGGAAGGCGCCCTACTACTGGGCAGGCACCAAGTTTTACGATTTCCTCGCCGGAAGCGAGGGCATCGAGAGCTCCTATTTCCTGACCAAGAGCAAGGCGATCGACGCCTTCCCCATGCTCAAGCAGACCGACCTCGTAGGCGCCCTCGTCTACTACGACGGCGCGCACAACGACTCCCGCATGAACGTCTCCATCGCCATGACGGCCGCTCTGTACGGAGCTACCGTGGTCAACCACATGGAGGTGACCGGCCTCGAGAAGGATGCGGATGGGAGACTGTGTGGCGCCCAGCTCAAGGACAAGATCCCCGAGCGGGACGGCACAAAGGCCGACGATATCAAGATCAAGGCCAAGTGCATCATCAACTGTACCGGCCCCTTCACCGACGGCATCCGCAAGATGGACGACCCTGAGTGCAAGGACATTGTCGCGCCCGCGTCTGGTGTCCACGTCATCCTCCCTGGGTACTACAGCCCCGGTAAGATGGGTCTCATCGACCCTTCAACCTCTGACGGCCGAGTCATCTTCTTCCTGCCCTGGCAGGGCAACACCATCGCTGGCACCACCGACGAGCCGGCCACCATCTCCAAGAACCCCCTTCCCGACGAGAAGTCCATCCAGTGGATCCTCAATGAGATCAGCCACTACCTCTCGCCCGATATCAACGTCCGACGCGGCGACGTGCTCTCGGCCTGGTCTGGCCTCCGGCCTCTGGTCTCCGACCCCAAGGCCAAGAACACCGAGTCGCTCGTCAGGAATCATCTCGTTGATATCTCGAGCTCCGGTCTGGTGACATGCGCGGGCGGTAAATGGACGACATATAGGCAGATGGCCGAAGAGTGTGTCGATGCCGCCGTCAAGGAGTTTGGTCTCCAGCCGAGACCGATGCCCAACGTGCCGCGCGTCAGCGGAACTGATGTGGTCGACGACGGTGCCATTCTCGACGGCTCTTGCCAGACGCATCGCGTGCGGCTCATCGGTGCCCATGGCTTCAGCAGGACCCTCTTTATCCACCTGATCCAGCATTTTGGTATCGAGACCGAGGTTGCCAAGCACCTGACCGAGAGCTACGGCGACCGCGCGTGGACCGTGGCCGCCATGTGCCAACCTACTGACAAGCGCTTCCCTGCTAGGGGTGAGCGCATTTCTCAGTTGTATCCCTTTGTCGATGGCGAGGTCCGCTACGCTGTCCGGAACGAGTATGCACAGACGGCCGCCGATGTTCTAGCCCGGAGAACACGGCTGGCATTCCTGAACGCCCAGGCTACTCTAGAAGCGCTCCCCAAGATCATAGACATCATGGCCCAGGAGTTGAAGTGGGACAGGAAGCGCCAAGAGCTCGAGTGGAAAGAGAGTGAGTATCTTCTCCCCGGATAATTCCTCCGTTTGGCTTGAAGAGCATTGTGATTAACATGTGCACCCACGCAGCTGTTGCCTTCCTCGAATCCATGGGCCTGCCACAGCCAATGCTGACGGCAACGAGGAAACAGGTCGAGCAGGGGAAGCTCGACTTTTCAACATCACTAGAATACAAGATGTACTCTAGACACGACAAGCCTATCGAGGAGGAGTGCTAGACTTGTTCGGATGGGGGTTCCAGCATTGTATAGACTTGTATCTGGATTAGACGATAGGCGTACGGAGTATTAAATCATCAAAAGAGGTATCTTAGGACGGCAGTTCTGTCACTCTCGTTGTCGACAATCTGAATTTCTTTACATACTGAGCAGTCTCGCGGTTAACGAACCTGGCTGGCCGCCAAATAGACTACCTAATGTCAAGGCACTCTTTCCCCCATCCTCCAGGATTGCATTGGATTTGGCAAGGAACGAGCAGCTCCTGCCGATACCTGCGACTGCTCTTCTCCAGCGACAGATAAAACATATTCAACGGTTGTCACGCATATGTGCCCAGCTACCTCACGCAGACCCAGGCACGAGTAGTTGTGTTTCTCTTGATCACACAGTATGGGGCATCGCTGCATCCATTATTCAACATAAATCACAAGCCCAAGGCATGGACACGTATTGCTAGTCTTCGTTCCAAGCCTCCGCCTCTCCTACTTCCTTTTCTCATCCGAGGTGACCTATGTGCCTCGAACATAAACCAGACACTACATCTCATGCGCGACGATGATTTCTACTGCCGGCTCTACCAAGCCCTCAGGACCCAGATTTGTGCCGGCATCCGTGCAAGACCACCGTCGCCGATCCTCGGACAAGGCCCCAAGGAGTATATGGCGGCATAGGGACTCCTCGGAAAAGACCGTCTCTACACCGGGAAGCCCCCTCTCGGCATTCCAACGGGTCCGCGACGACAATGGCCAGGGCATCTGTCTCGCCGCCGCCCTGAGCACCTGCAGCCTCGCTCCGCGCACTCCGTGCTCAGCATCAAGGGAGGACGAGGAGCTTCCGGAACAGCCGCCGTCGTCTCGCGCGGCGAGCAGTCTCGGAACGCACAACATACTCAAGTCCAGGGGGGATGGCTCGGATCAACGTTCATCGAGCCATCGGCTCTCGCAAGAAAACGAGGTTGCCCCCCTGCAGCCGCTCTACCTCCCTCCCCGGCGCCCGCCCACCCCCGACGGCCTCCCCAACTACGAGCAAGCGCAACAAGAAGCCCTGGCCCGCCGCCGCCGGCAACAGGCGGCGCAACAGACGCGCCTCGCCGCCCCGACCCGGGCAACAACACTTCCCGGCTCCCGCCTGAGGAGGCTGTTCGAGTCGGCACCGCGGCCGCAGCCCAGCCGCGCCGCGCCGCCGGACCCGTACCAGGCACCGCTATGGCGTCCGCCCGCCAGCCAACATGCCCTGCCGAGCCACCACCCGTACCTGGCGGCGGCGGCAGCCGCCGCGCAGAGGCCGCCCGGAGTGCCTGGCGGCCCCCGGGCCGTGTCCCTAGACGACTACGCCTTTCTGCGGCAGCTTGACGGCCGGGACGCCGGGTGCACCGGGACAACCGTAGATGCGCAGGGCAGGCACCACGAGCCTCCACGGCCAGGCCGCGGGTGGTGCTTCTGCTTGCCTCATGCCTAGTTCCCCCGTGTGTAGTTGGACATCGAGGCTCAGGAACGTATGGATGGCCACAGGCCAGACGAATCCCGCGCTACGCGGACGAGGCATATCGGAGCAGGGACAGAGTGAGAAGGCCAACTCCGGTCACCAATCACTCGCCACGGCAATCGAGTCGAGTTCAGGTGACGCAGACAGAAGGAACACATGGGGAGCCCGAGTAGTTTGCAAGACTGACTTCTGCAGGGCATAAGAATTGTATACATTAAAATGCAACTTGTCCTTGGTCATGCAGCCTGAGCCGTGCCAAGGACGAGCCTGTATTCTCTATATGTACATTGCATTGCTCGAGGACTTGGGCATTTCAGGACTCCTTCCCCATATCTTTTGTCGCCGTGCTCAAGAGAGAGAAGTTTTCCTGTCCGCGCCCCCAGTATATCCAGGCCCGTTTCCCGGGCTAAAACGAACAAAACGCAGTGACCAGAAACAGGTCCAGTTCTGGAGTGTCATGACTTAAAACGCCTTCCCAAATGCAATAACGTGCTCCGGCTTTGTGGTATCACAGCAATCCCAAACATGTAAAATCCCCAAAAAAAAATCGAGTCCTAATATCGTCTTCATAAACGCCATGCCTGCCATTGGTCCATTTCACATGTAATTCTGCGCGTCTTTCTTCTTTCATAACTGAGGGATCGCTTCGCTCGCGGGCCCTCAGAATCGGTGGCCCTCCCTAGGGAGGCCAATATTAGTTTCGCTGAGTCGTCTCGCGAGTGTCGACTCCTGTTTTGGGGCATTGACAATGTTGAACACACGGTTCAGCAAGCTCCGCCTTGCACCATCGGCTCTTCGATAGTGCAGATGACCGCATCGGCAGCTTGGATGTCCGCCCACGCTGATCTTGCGATCCAGTTCCGCCTCCCAGCCATAGCAGTCGCCGCTGTTGGAGGACGAGTGCGAGTCGCATTCAAATACGGTGACCGAGCCATCGTCGACCTCCATGGCACGGCCCGACCCCAAGAAGTTGGAGAAGTCGGTGAGCGAAAGGCCCGACGCCGACGAAAGTGACGGCGTGTGCACGCGTATCGTTGCGTCATCCGCGCTGCTTTCGGAGCTGGACGAAGACATGTCCGTGTCAGCCTCCATAGGGTCGGCCTCGGGAACATAGGTGGTACACTCGGATATGCTTGACCGCCGGATTGGCGTGGCAGAGAGCGGACTGCTCTGGAAGACGGAGGATCGGTCCAGAGCTGGTGAGATCTGTTTGGAGCCCTCGTCGTCAAACCACGAACCGGCGACCATCAGTCCGGGCAACGCGTTGTTCCTAAGCTTTGGGCGGGCATACTTGCGGGCAAGCCATGGTCGAGTAACCGGTCGGTAAATTGTGTCTCTGGCATAGCCTTTTGCGGCCATGCCGCCCCCATAATCCGCACTAGATCTTGTCTCTTCACCGACACCAGTCTCCTGAACCCACGTCGTCGCAGGGGTCGTCGAGTCTCGACACCCAGCACTAAGTGATAGTTCCGTAGTGGTGGATCGGGAAGGACTCGTTGGACGAGCATCGTCAGTGGTACTGGCGTCAGTGTCTGTAGTGCAAGAAGTGGGTGGCGGCATGACCTGCAACCCTCATAAATTGGAATTGCTACCGCTAGAGGTCCCCTCGCAGAGGGTCATGTCGATGTCGTCGTCGGGGGATGAGGCATACGGGGCGCTTGACACGTTGAGCTTGCGATTCTGTCGAGTTCGGCGGCTCAATCCAAGCCTGGCGCTCATGCGCTTCCAGCCATTGTTGTGTGCACTGATAGCCCTCTGCAATGTGCCGGGTGAGGAACCAAAGCCCCAGTCCGAGGTTGGGGGAGTGGTCGGCGGCGTGAGGGGTTCTCCTGCCGGCGGCGAAGAATTTCCACTGTCGTCTGTCAGAGTCTCTCGGTCGCCAATGTCAGCCAGAGAAGAGTTGGAGCGAGCGGCGCCGTCGTTGCGCCGTCCGAGATGGAGCTGTGGGAGGAACGACGACGTGGCGGACCGGCTGGCGTCTTCGGGGATGGCCACGTCCCTTGGGGTTTTTGAGCGACCTTGCGCAAGCTTCAAGTCGTGGCAATGCTCGCAATCATGTTCACCCATGGCCGATGACATCTCGTTGAGAAAAGGGAGAAGGACAGAATCGTTCATGAGCTCGTAGACGATCTGAACCGCTTCGTCGAGTTCAGCCGGTGACGGTGCCTGAACAGCAGGGTCGAGGCTCAGAAGACGGTCGCGAACACGCGCAGGAAGGTTGACTTCCCGATGACTGGAGGGGAGGATGTAGGCTTGCATGAGCTTCTGCCAGAGGGTTGGCAGGTGATCGGCCCCCTGTTCGTAGGCTGCCCTATAGTGCTTCGTGTCCAGGGTAAACTCGAGTGTTTCGAGGCAGTGGTTGGAAGAGAGGTAGGCCATGAAGGCAGCGAGGGTCCATGGTGGCGGCGCGGTATTGGAGAGGATGTCTTGGAGTGTAGGGCGGTGTGTGCAAACCAACAAGGCCGCGCTGGGCGGCCGGGAGTTGCTTGCCATATTGTTGTAGTGACACTCGGGGGAGCGTGATCGACTCGGCGAGAGTTCTCTAGGGCTGGGAGAAGGACTGAGATAGACGGGCTTGCTTCTTCGTAACCGCGGTCTCATTTCTTTCCAAGTCGCCGAGACTCGGTTTGTGCGAGCTATGTCGTCGATGGTCTGGAAGCGTGCGAAGAAATCGCTCGCAATCACAATCCGGTCGGGCACTGGGCTGCCTACGCCATGCGATCTCAGTGCCGGCCAATAACTCTGCACGCTTGTCTGTTGAAGAAGGAAGGAGAGGCGTGGGAGACGATCACTCTCTCGAAGAAGGGGCGCTATCGGGTTATCGGGGGTGGAAATGCAGTTGCACCGGGTCGATTGGCGAAACGAAACGAGAAGAAGAAAAAGGGCGACACGGTCTACTGATGGAAACAGAAACCCGAGGGCTCCTTTGTTTGAACCACACGACCCAGCAGACCGGCGTAGGGCTTTCTCCTGAATCCTTGCTTCGGGCTGGCCGTCGAGGAGGAATGCGGTGGCGGAAGAAAGGAATAAAGGGCGTCCTCAGTCGACACGAGACCAAGAGAGACTGTGGCCTGAAAGTCGTAGCGTCGCTGATGAACGATTGTGAAAGAATAGAAAAACAAATAAAGTACCAGTGAAGTTCCCGAGGGACGAAGTCGCGTGTCAAAGGCCTTGGTCGTAGTTTCAGCGAAGGAAGAGAGGGAAGAACAAAGAACGGGCGGGTGTGGTGGTGGAGGTGGTAGTAGTGGCAGAGATGGTGGAGGAGGATGCAAGATTAGGTAGACAGAGCCAAAGGGGTGGTGGTGGTGGTGGTGGTTGTCGTCGTGACCGAAGAGGCAGAGCACGGAGGATGGATGGTGGAGTTCAAGGAGCACCAGAGGACCACTAACGGCGGTGGTGGTGGGTGCTGGGCAGTGGGTAGTAGTGGGTATGGTGTGCTAAGTGTGCAGGATAGTGCCTGGAAGGCGCCCCGACTTCTGGCCAATACCGGCTCTACAGGGCGGGTCAGAGAACTGCAGAAGAAAAGGAAGGGCGGGTAGAAGAGAGATGGAAGGGATGGAATGACGGCGGAGAGAAGAGCGCGAGGGCGAGTCCCGGTACGGAGGAGTCACTCCATCAATCAGTCAGTCGAGTCAAAAGCCAAGTCCCAGTCAGAAGACTGGCTCGACTGGGAGAGAGAGTGCGACATGGGGCGGGGCCCTTGTACGGAGTATGGAGTGTGGGTTTGCAATCCTGGCAAGGGCCACTCGCGCCAACTGATCCCACTGGTCCAATGCCAAAATGGTTACCCACTTGCAAGGGAAAAAAATAAGACACAGAGAAGGGTCGGGTGGCTCCCAAGGTTTCCGTAGTGTGTTTTAGGTACCCGAGTACACATGCGTTGTAGCGACTTGAGGTTGATCAGGTACCTCCCTCCAGGGCTTGCACCTTGATGAGATGCTGTAGCAGCTCTCTCAAGAGCACGCAATTATGATGCTTTTTCCGCCTTTGTCCATGCCGTCACTCGTCGTTCCGCTTCGGCCATTGCCCGCCATTCTTCGTAACTTGTTGCAGGGGCTCTTGTACGTACAGACCAGAACATTGAAAGGAGAGTCTCGATTTAGAGCACATGTGTCATTGATGCTTACCTCCCTAGATAGATAGGTACTTTACCTATGCCGCAGGATCACGTCTGTCCAGGCAGGTACCCACTGAATCCTTCCGTTTTGGCAGTGCTCTCGTCCCCCAATGCTGGCTGTGTCTCGTAGTGGCGGGTGGTGGCGGGGCAAGAGAGAGAGCGAGTGTGTGTGAGAGCACGTGTTTCGGTGACCCTCGACGATGGAATTGTCGGTATTGCACCTCCAGCTTGCCAAGAGTACGTAGGTAGAGCAACAGAGAAAGGCAGGGAAAGAGAAACCTTGGGTACTTGTTCACTTACAGAAGGGTTGCAGGATGAGAGAGACATGTACGACATGCCAACTTGACCGACCCTCAAGTACGGAGCAGGTAAACAAAGGCCGTTGCTGCGAAGGTTTGACCCATTCAACTTGGCAGCGCTGCACACACACGCAGCCCGTCGGGAACGGTGGGAGGCAACTGAGACAAGCCCCAAAGTCAAGCATCATAGTGACTCGGGGAGTCGGGGCTGAGAGGCTCTGAGAGACTGAGACAGAGAGTGAGCCCCGTCTGTGAGAGCGCGTGCAAAGGAACGGAGAGAGCCTTCTAGACCTAGACTCCAGAGCCTGACACACGACATGGACGAGATAAATAAGGGAACATCGCGAGGGTACCTGGGTAGGTAAGGTAGGTACCAGGCGAGCTGCCTAGGTACCTCTGCGATGGGGTTCAACGAGAGGGGCTGTGATGCCACTAGAAGAGCGCTAGAACCGTTCCATAGGTAGAGAAAATCGGGTCTGTCCAATCACACCCCCTGGTCTATCGGAGCATTCGTCACTCGGAGGGCGATGGGCGTTGCCTCTTGCCGTTCAGGGACTAGCTCAGTATTTCGCAGAGGGCGCTCGATGTCACCGTGCCAGGTACTTGTACTCTCCACCCCTACCTATGTACCCACAGTGCCACACGCACCTGTTTCCTCTGTCCTTTGTGTGCAAAGACGCTGATGCACCTCGCGGCGTTTCTGCGACATTAGCTACGGAGAAGAGGCGTTGGACAGCAAATAGACGTTGCCCCATTCGCATTGTTCGCGGGGTTCAACCCTGATGATGCGCTTCTCCTGATCCTGTTTGGATGATTACCTACCTAATGTCCTTCAAGAGACAGCCCTCCATGCAACGCTTGGATGCATTCGGTATCGAGAGGGCCAAACTGACACAGAGATCGACCCTCCCCCCTCCTCATTCCCGTTCGCGGACCTGGAATCGCATGAAAAACGCCAACTCGAGGGGACTGGCTGGAAGAATCCAATTGGTCGATCAAAGTGAGGTTCATCCGTTCAAGGGTCGAGATGCCATGCTACCTCGGAAAATGCCAATTGCTGGTCACGACTCAGGCTTCCCGGGCCATGGTCAGACATGGCATGTTTGTGTGTCAGTGACACTCCTTGGCGCCCAGTCCCGCGCCCAACTTTAATCAGTGGCCGCGTGCAGATCAGGCTTATTTATCTGGGCCGACCTACCTCCTATCACCAATTTGCGTTTCCTTTGTATTGTCATCTTGGGCGTCAGAGTGAACAGAGTAAGACACGGGAGGGTGGCGCCCGGCAGGTATGTACTTGTGCTCCGTAATGTAACTACCTGACCAGACCAAAAGGCACGAAATTGGATGAAACGCCAGCTCTGTCATCACATGCAGTCCCCCGTCCGATACACGCACGGCTCGCTCGCTACCAAACATGCCAACTCTGGGAACGGAAGGACAGGTTGCCGCACGGTCACGGATGGCCGATCCTGACAAGCTTATCACTATCACAAAAGCTTCGAGGTCTGCATATCAACCCGGGCTGTAGTCTCTCGCATATCCATCGTCCTTTCCAACCACATGTGCCTGAGCTTCAGGCCGGCGGGCAAGTTAGGTCTGACGGCCAGGCCAGGCTGTTACTAAGTGCTCATATGCTCATATCAACCGCTTCCTCAGTTTTCCTGACATGGCCCGATGAGACAATCTAAAATAATATGCGGTGCGATATTACTATCGCTCCATCTACGGAGTAGTCAGCCACTCAAGGCCCAATCAGTCGGCGATATCGCACTCGGGACGCGGCTACCAATCGAGGTCGTCGCTTTCTCTCCTAGGATGGGTTTTATCCCCTAATTGCCGGGGTGATCACTTTGCCGGCTGCATTCTGGATGGGCAAGAAACCGATCGAGTTGAAAAGACCACGTGGGCTGTCAAGATGGGATGGAGCTGGGCTCTGTCGCCAGCATAGCATAACGTGGATGGGCATGTCGAGTCCACTCCTCTACGGCCGAGCTCGGCAGTTGACAGTACGGGACCCTACCCGTCAAGACTTAATGAAACAGACGCCAAGGCATAGAGAGACCCGGGACGCACCACCGTGACGGGGGCGCACGAAGTAGGTACGAAGCAGATCAAGAGCCATGCGGAGTGATACCTCTCGCAGCAGCACGTCTTATCGCAGCCACGAATGAGAGCTCGTCATGGACTTATGGCCATTGATTGCCATTGTGTGTGGGCGTTGGCGTGCAGCATGCAGTTTCGTGGTGTTGCCATGGCTGCCGAGATTCCAGCTACCGGCAGCTCTCCATCTGCACCCGCTGCCGTTGCCAATGAGTACGCAACTGACGCGCGCGCGTGTGTGATGTTTTTTCTTTCTTCATCTGTTGGGTCGAGGAGGGCCGCATCACTGTCCCCTGCTGAAACCATTGATTTGGGCCCTTATCCGTGTCGTCCGGCAGCCGCAGACACCGGACTAAGGGGCAAATCGCCGCTGCTGGAACAAGCCGCGTCCGCGTCCGCATCGTGCTGAGAATTCCTCCTTGTAAATCGTAGCCCATGCCCGATGCATCCGTGCTGCGGGCTAGCATTTTGCGTACATTCTTCCCTTATGCCCTACTCCGTAGTTCTCCTTGAGAGAAGGTTTCATGACCCTGTTTCCCGTCCGTCCCGCAGGACCCTTTACAAGAACAACATGGACCTCGTTGCGACAAGCCCGAGCTCTCCGCAGCAAGAAAGCCGCGCCCAGAGCCAGGTGATTTGCCAATCCTCGGCTCCTCTGGGGTGACGGCGACGGTGACAGTAGTACTGCGTAGTGCGACGGTGTACTTCCTTTTTGGCTTGCATCCTCTCTGGTCTTGACTGATTATGTGGATGATCGACATCGTCACATACCTACCTACCGTGCCGACATGGCACACACCCACTTTGAGTGGACAGACACAGTGGGTGGCGGGGATTAGGTACGTAGAGGGATTAGGTGTCTTGGGTGTCCATGAGCCACCACCACCCACGCGTCATTATGCTCTGCTTACTTGGCTCGCCTGGCTTGCCGAGCCATCATATCGAGCCCTTTGAAGGGGCAACATGCAATGAGGTCCGTCACCAGCCGATCTCTGAGAGCACGCACGCCGTCCTTGATCCTTCGCGGCGGGTTCGAGCGCGGCGGGGAGGTCACTGTTTGACGCCCGCCAAAAGACAAAGTCAAGATGGCTTCCATTCTCCATTCTCGTCGGTCGCGCGCCTCAACAGTCGACGGATCACGGCAATTGCAATCCACGTTCCCCTTGGCCTCTGTAAGTTGAGCGGCTAAGCGGCCAAGAATGTGGCGCCGACCCAAGCCAACATCTCCCTCTCCACATGTGCCAGCCTCAAACGAGGCGTCAACGATGCCCTTAGGGATACCTCGAAGCCGGGACGCGATAGTGGACTAGGTAGCCCGTCAATCAATAATGTGTTGCCTCGTTCACATAGTCCCTCTTCTTGGCGACGCTCAACTCCCGGAGTCGCCGTCGGTGGTCTTTTCTTCTTGTGTAGCCGCACAAGCCCAGTCCGGGCCATCGATGAATGCCAGAGCCAAGCCTTAATCAACCTGTACCTCACCTCGTGTCCCGCCTGTCGTCGTGGCTCTCGTGCCCGTGTCTCAACTCTTGCCTTGGAGCGTCGTCTTGTCTAGTCTACTCCGCAGGTAGGTCAGTAGAGATCCGAAAACGATCGATCTGACCACCCGGGCCGGCCGCTACTCCCCGCCTCGAAAAGAATGAAGGGCCAGCCGAGCCAACCAGGGTGTGTGAGGGAAGACTCCACTTGTTCTAGAAATTTTCTTTGTCTTACGCTATAGGTCTCAGGAACGAACCGTTCTAGAACATTTCCGTTTCCGTCGCGAAATTCCCTCCTCTGAGCCCCCTATCCTTGCTCTTCTCGCCTTACCCTGTGATCGGTGGTGGGGGTACCATCAGCTGAACACACAAAGAACATCCCATCTATCTACATATGCGATCGGCATTAGCCAATATATTGCGTTGGCACCACATTCTGGCTCTATAAGCATGTATTGTCTCCATCGTCCAACCGACACGGCTCCCATCATGTCCATGCACGCCGACGTGGGCCCCCTGTTCGCGCGAGTCGAGACCGAGCGTGTCAAATGGAGGTCGGAGACATGCCCGTGTGCCCCCAGCAGACCGTAGAAGTTTTATTTTGCCCCCCTCTCATCAAAAAAACGGTGGCCCCCTCGTGCCACCCAAGTATGGATCACCCGTAATCGGACGACAACAACCCACTCGGCGCGGTGACTGGCTGTCTCGTTGCGATCTCATCCCAGCCGGGCGTCGGTCGACGCTTTGATGCGGCTGACTGACGCCCCTAGGCCGCAGCTGACCGTCACAATTCGACAGGCAAGGCGACGCGACGGGTGGCGAGTACGCACCTGATGGATGCGTGTCGTGTCAGGTCAGCACCGAGCAACGACTCATCCAAGGTTGGGCGCTGCCAGAGCGAGGCAATCTTGGCAACAAGAGGCACTTCTTCTCTTCGGGCCGTGAACCGCACGCGGTCTCGCTTGAAAAGCCCCCGAGAGGCTAGCTGTCCCTACTTCCACTTATAGGTGTTGTCCGCGTTGTGGGCACAACGTACTCACGGGCCCACGACGAGTCTTGATTCGTCTCAATATGTCGGTTGGTAACGGAGAGGAACCAAGCTTCTTGCAGAAGGCAGGGCATAGTTTTGTTTTGTTTCTATGCGATCCACGTGCCTTCCAACATACTCTCGGCAATGAGTGGTAAATCGTGTGTTCTTCAAGTACTACTCAAGTTTCGTTCCCGCCCGTCTCCTCGGCCTAGAAGACAGCAGGGATTGGGTATCAAAATGTAAGGAGACATCCCGAGCCTGAAAAAGCATTTCTCTTCAACCCCCCGCCCCCAAAAGCAAAAAGTGGTCGGTAGAATACGACCCCGTCTGCTCCTTGGGCCATGACTGTGGACTGCACCCTCGGCTTGGCCTGGGACGCTGTACATGAATATTTTTTCTCTACCTCCACGCGCGCGTCCAAGATCTGGGGACCTTGTGCTTGGTACTCGGGACGCCACAGCAGGTGGCCTGGCCGATAGGTTCAAACTCCCGCTAGATCGAAGTCGCCCGTGAACCCGCCGTTCAGCAACACGGCTGCTAGGCGCCTCCGTTGTAGCGGCATCTCCTCAGCTCTGTAGAAAGATGGGTCAAGGCCCAGAGCCAGAAACATGGCATTGGTAATGGTATGCACGCCGCAATCGTTGCCGTTGATCTGGACCGGGGACTTGAAGTTCACGACCTCCCAGTCGGCCGTATACTTCTCCTGGAGGAACTCCTTGACCCATTGATGAACAATATCAGTCACATTCTTCCGGCCAGATCCCTGGTGGCCCATCGAGTCCATGTGTGCAATCTTGTGCTGCTGGGGCTGCACAACCACCAAGGTCCAGTGAAGTCCGGAGCAGATAGGGATCAAGATGGTGTCAAAGCCGAGGAAATTGTCCTTTGTAACTCCTGCACGCTTCATCCATCGCACTGTCCCGGCAGCCCCTTTGGCCGTCAGCTGTTTCCAAAAGAAGGAATTGAAGGCATGGCATTTTTTGGTGCCCGTTGTGTCGTTGATATACTTGACAAGATAGATCAGAGAGCTGTTGACGATCTCGTCGTTCAGCCACTCCTTGGCGGGGACGACCTTGGAAAAGTCGCTGGCCGTGAGCGTCGTGCCCTCTGGAGACTTCACCACGCCCGTAGCGGGAGACCCGTGCAGAGTAGCACTGACTTTGGCTTGCCATGTCTCGTCCATCGGCGCGATCACCTGGCGCGATGGTTGTCGTAAACCAAAGCGCAACCTTCGCTCCTCCGCCAGCCTCTGTCGCTCGGCTTCTTCTCGGCGTCGGCGCGCTTCCTCCTCCCGCTTCAACTTTTCTATGCGCGCGGCCTCTTCCTTTTCGTGCCTTTGTTGGAGCTTGAGCCTGATTTCCTCTTCCTTGCTGGAGCTGATTCTCAGGCGTGGAGAGTCCAGTTCATCGTCAACTGCCCAAATCGGAGGAGGGGCCGTTCTGGGTTGCAAAGACCGTGGCTTGATAACCGGGTCGTCGTTCTCCTGGTGGTCGGTCGCGAACATTGATGCGTACCGGCCATTCCGTATCCGCAGACGCTTCCAAGCCTTCTTGTCGGCGTCATCCTCAGACTTGCGTTTAGCGCTGCCCGCGCTCGCCGTAGACAATCCCAGTATATCCCTGTCGGCAGCATCTAGAAGGAAAGGGCTTGAATCTTGGTCTTCCTCGTCAGAAGCAGATGGTGTTAACAAGCCCAGCGAGGGACGGCGGAGGCCTTCATGCGCAAGGTGAGGCTTTTCACTTGCAAAAAACTCGATAAGTCTTGTGATAGTGACCTCGTCCAGAGTCTCGTCAACAGGTAGATGAGGGCTCTTTTGCGGTGCGTGTGCTGTACTTGGACGAAGGCGATTCAAGGGGCGGCGCAACTGGTGACGGCGTCGATGTGGGAAGGTGAGGTGGACACGTTTGCGCTTTCTCGGCATGGGCGTCGGGTCCGTCAACTTTACCGCGGCATCTGATGCCTTGTCAGCAGCTTGGGTTCCGAGAATGTTGCATTGTGATCTCTCTCCAGGCCCAGAATAGCTGAACTCGGGCGGCATTGTGCCCTCCGCCGTATGGACTAGGGGGGCTTGGAATTTTGCGATTCCTTCGGAGGATGCATTGACAAGCTGGACAAGTTTTAATATCTCGGCCAAGGGAAGTGGTTGTCCTCGAAGCCGCTGATCCTGCGGGTGATATGTCGGCCTGTGATGTACGAGAAACGACAAAAATGCAATCCCCCTTTGCACCGTGCCAGCACCATCGGTCGACTTATCCACCCACGGTGGCTTCGTGACCGCGACAGAGTGGTCATTCAGAGCTGCTTGTGGTGGCTCCAGCTGTGCGCCCGCAATCAAGACCTGGGCCGAGTGCGCCATATCAAGCATTTCCGTAATGAGAGACTTCCAGCCCTGTAACGAAAAGTCCTCATTTCGTTCCAGATGGGCATTCAAAATGCCCGCGAACCTTGGGGGCGTTCTGCTGGAGATGTCGATGGGGATCGGGGTAGAATGAGGGAGCTCATGTCCATGCGGTAAAAGGCGGGATTGTTGACTCTTCAGCTCCAGAATAGCGGCTTCAATGAATGAATTGACAGTCCGCAGCTCAGAGTCTGTGAGGGGGGGCGCAGACGCGGCGGGCACTCCTGGCAAAGAGCCGACCTCGAGCGTCTCTTGAGCCGGATATTGACCCGGCAGAGACTGGGTGTCATTCGCCGCGGTCAGAGGTAGTGAAGGAGGTGCATGTTGTCTCTCGTGGGCTAGGTAAGGGGTGCTGAGTTAGAAGAGATGCGACTCCAGGGGGAGACATGAATGGAGACTTACCACGTCCATACAACTTTCCAGTGAGCCAGCCTAGAACAGGCCGGAAAAGAGACATGATGGAGAGGCAGAGGGAACTGCAGGCTTTCTTGATTGGCAGACCAAGGTTGCATAGCATGCCGACAGTGCGAGTGAGGGCAGGATCACGCCGAGCTGAAAGGTGGCCATGCGGTTTTGGTACACGAGTGGGCCGGGCCGAAGCAGCCTCAAGAGTGCGAGGCAGATGATGCTTGATCCGATACTAATAGCGAAGGGCCGGCGTTGGCCATGAAATTCTAAAAATTGAATGAATAGTCCTGTGGTCGAGGCGTATTGCGTCAGTACTGCAGGCACAGCTCCGCGAACGCGCTGCTATAAGAGCATGACGCCAAAGAAAAGAGACTCGGGCTGGACTTTGGGAAAGACAAGAGGCCTCAGCCGGGGGTGAATGAGCGTGTGGGTGAGAGTGAAGGGTGTGAGCATGAAGCAACGGGTGACCGCCCGTACATGGCCAACGATCAAACATCATTGGCTCCACGGCAGGTGACAAAGAAGGATCCGAGACGCAAGCCGTCAAGACGGATTGTTTGTGGGAGTGCCCGGAGATGAGGAGGGTTGGCTGGTGATGAGAACTGACCTGTAGGTAGCGGTGTGGACGAGACGAGAGATCGCCAAGGAAGGCCGGATACAGTGGCAGGCCGCAAGGCTGTCTAGATGGTCAGGAACAAAAGGGAATAAAAGAGCGACGGGAAAGATGTTATTCGAGATGTGGCGCCGCGGGAGGGACTTTTCAGCTTTCAGCGCTTCCAGCTCCCGACTCTGGGATGGAACAGTCAAGTTAATGGACGGCGGGTTGAAGGCGATGACAGGTGAAAGTGAGATGAGTTGAGATGATGAGTTGAAGGACAAAGAGGGACTGAATGGGATGTGACCACACAAAGAATGCCAGTGCAGTGAGTAGCCTCAAACACGGGACATGCCGTCGTCGTCGCAGTCGCCCCGAGCCCTCCTCAGGCCAGCCCCGAAGCGCCCAAAGCCGGGGAAACGGAGAAACGAGAGAGCGTCCTGTTTGGCGGCATCAAGGGTCGCGTGTGCTTCCACTGGACGATGGAATACGGGCCCGTTCCTGGTCGTGGTTGGGGCTGGTGGCCGTGGAAGCGGGAGCGGAAGCGGGAGCGGTACCGGTGTATGTGCGCGCAGGGCTGGCTGAGCCCGTTGATAAAAGCTGATGGTCAACCAGACAGGCAGACAGACGGACAGACGCACATGGATGTGCACACGCGGGCGCGCAAGCTGATGGATGGCAAGGATGGTGGATTTCGGGTTCGCCTGGCTGGCTGTGGGGCTGGAAATTGAGGCGCCACCGGAGGAGCCTCGAGGACAGGGAGCAAAGCTGAGTCATCATCCACCATTGTAATTGTTATCTGCCTATGGGGCTCCACCACTGCCAGCTGCCTGTAGGCTGCAGAGATTAGGGGTCTTAGGTAGCCCTGTCTCGGTAGGTAGTGTACGGAGTAGCAATTCAAGGTTGGAATTGTTGACGGGAGTTCATGAGGAGCTCCAGCCTCAATGCGAACAATCATGGATGTATATCTGCGGCCCCGGAGGGCTTGGTGGATGGTCAAGACCTTCTGTTCGCAGTCCGTCAACGAGTTAATCTGACCATCACTTGGTAGAGTGTCCACCTACTACGTACAATTCACTCCCTCACGACCATTACCCATTACCTTTCACTGCCATCTGTCGATATATACAACTAAACTTCTACAGCTTGAGAATCGGGAGAGATGCTACCATGATCCTCCGGGACGGCCGGCGCCACCCAGCGGCTCGGGGTGCGGCAAGTGGAGGGTAATCATTGAACCCTTTCCCGCCTGCTGGCCCGGACGGACGGCGGCCTTTGATGCAGAATTTCGGTACCAAGAGGCGGCAGATCCGAATGCTCCACGGCGTGCGTCTGCCAGGAGCGAGCCAGACGGCCTTTCGCCAATCATGCGTCTGTCAATGCAAATCAAGACGGGGGCCGAGACCAGCTTGACACATGGGTCTAGTGCTGGCGGCCATGCATGATCGATGCATGCACCAGGGCCAGGGGCAGCGCGCTGCACTGGGCGTAGGACACAAGAAGGCACAGAAGGCACAGAAGGGGGCAAGCGGATTAATACAAACCTCCCGCTTGGCGCCTATGGACGCAAGCGCCGGCGTCAGATTCCCGATCGCTCGAGCCGTTGTCATCATCCCCCGCCCCAGACCAGCCCCACACTCGCATTCCCGTGTCCAGCTACCGGGCCCTTTGCCTCCCCCCCCAAGTGTCAACACTAGCTTGCCGGGAGGGGGAAAATAGGTACAAGTAGATACCTACCGACTCAGCTGGGTAGGCATCGCTGGAGGAGGAGCAGGAACAGGAGGGAGGCCAAGACCCTTGGATCTGGGATGGAGACTCTCCGCCTCGTGTACGGCGGTTGTCGGTTAACCTTGGCATCCTACCTACGGAGTAGGTACTCGAATGAACAGCCCACTCCACGGTGTCCCCCCTCAGGTCGATGGGTCTCGCGAAAGAGGGCGAAAGGGACAGAGACAAGCCGAGAGGAAGAGGGAAAAACGGCCCATTGCAGCCTATCGCCAATGCCACCCTAGGCGGACCGCCGACCCATAGCTAACACACCGGGGTCACACCCCCAATGTGTATGACCTATCTGCCGACGTGGATGCCGTTGACGTCCAACTGGCCCTATATTGTCCCTATATCCATCCCCGAGGATCTGGCTGTCGGGTCGCCTCCACCAAACTCATCTCGACATTAAAAGGCGCCCTGGGCCTAGATGATATTCAAGGACACACACCACACTGCACCGCACCGCACCGCACCGCAGCGTCCCGCCCCAGTCGCCATCGAGCTGCCCGTCGCGAGCCACTCTATCTGAGTTTCATTGGCCTTCATCTAGCCTCCACGGCAAGCCGCTAGAACATTGGTCCTCTCTAGTCGCATGCGGAAAACGCATAAGCTTGTGACAAGCATTGAGAGTATTTGCGAGACACCCCCCAAACACACGAGTTCTTCGGCAGGAGCCGAGATGGCGTCCCAGTATTATGACATCGGTATGTGCTCACTCTCACCCGTGGCACGCGCGCCAAAGCCACGGGAGGAAAAGGAGGGAGACAGGAGACAAGGGAACGAGGACTAATCGCATGCCCGTAGTCATTGTTGGCGCCGGCCCTGTTGGCCTGATGCTTTCCACCATCCTAGCGCGATGGGGTTACAAGATCAAGCACATTGACAATCGCGCTGAGCCCACGCCGACCGGCCGAGCCGACGGCATTCAGCCCCGGTCTCTGGACTTGCTCCGCAACATGGGGCTCAAGTCGGCCATCATGGCCCACAAGCCGGCCCGTGTCTATGAGGTTGCCTTCTGGGACCCCCCTGCCGATGGTAAGGGCATTGTCCGTACCGGTACTTGGGCCAGTTGTCCAGCATTCATCGACGCCCGCTACCCTTTCACCACTCTCCTGCACCAGGGCCATATTGAGCGCGTCTTCATCGACGACCTGGCCAAGAACGGGCTGAGCATCCAGAGACCGTGGACTATCAAGGCCTTCGAGTCGGATGCCAAGGCTCACCCGGACTATCCGGTTCAGGTGCGGATAGAACACGTCGACGGGACTGCGTCGGAGACGGTCCGCGCAAAGTACCTCTTCAGTGGCGAGGGGGCGAGGTCGTTTGTGAGAGAGCAGCTCAAGATTCCCGTCACGCACATCGACCCTATAGCCCACGTATGGGGTGTCATGGACGGCGTTGTCAAAACCAACTTCCCGGACATCAAGGTAAATTACAATGACAAGACCCTTCTCCCCGCCCCGCCCAGTGCCCCCTTCGTTTGCCGATTGTCGCTGACGCAGGAATAAAACTTGGAAAGATGAAATGTACCATTCACTCGGAACATGGCTCCATCATGGTTATCCCTCGAGAGGATAACATGGTCAGACTATACATCCAAATCGCGTCCTCGACAGATGCGGACTGGAACCCCCGCAAAACAGCGACCGAGGCCCAGGTCCAGGCCTCGGCGCAAAAGATATTGCACCCGTACACCATCGAGTGGGAAAGGGTCGAGTGGTACTCGGTCTACCCCATCGGCCAGGGGATCTCGGAGAGATACACCCTGGACCAGCGCGTGTTCCTGGGTGGTGATGCTTGCCACACACATAGCGTACGTTGCTCTCCCAGGCCCAAGTCGTCTCGAGCAAAGGTGTGATTGTGTGACTAACCCGCTCACAGCCCAAAGCCGGACAAGGGATGAACACGGCTTTTCTGGACGCCCAAAACTTGGCTTGGAAGATCCACGCCGTCGAGAAAGGGTTCGCGGACCGGAACCTGCTGAAATCGTATGAAGTGGAGCGGAAGAAGGTTGCCGAGACTCTCTTGTCATTCGACAACAAGTATGCCAAGCTGTTCTCTCAAAGACCGCCGGCTGCGAACGAAGTCCAGGCTGCCTCGGACCAGACCTCTGGCTCGGCATCGCAGGGTGAGAACGAATTCGTCAAGACGTTCAAGGAGAACTGCGAGTTCACCAGCGGATACGGCGTTGCCTACGAGGCCAATGCCATCAACTGGTCGGACCGGCACCCGGCGCAGTCGCCCTTGATGATATCGACGGGCGGCCCCATCCGCACAGGCCGCCTGCTCCCCAACGCAGACGTGACCCGGGTAGTGGATGCGAACGTGGTACACCTCGAGCAGGAGGTGCCCCTCAACGGCTCGTTCCGGATCTTCGTCTTCGCCGGGGACGCGCAGAGCAACAGAGTGGCGCTGCGGGACTTTGCGCGTAATCTGACCCGGAGCGGATCCTTCTTCTCGTCTTACCTCCGGTCCGACATTGACCAGGTCTCATGGCATGAGACACACAACCCTCACAGCCACTTTTTTACTTTCTTGACCATCTTTGCCGGTGCTCGTAGCTCCATCGAGATCGAGCGCGACGCCCCCGAGGTCCTCGCGCGTTACCGTGACCACGTCTATGCTGATGACCGGTGGGACCGTCGGGTGGCGAACGCGAAGGCATCAGCACACGCCAAGATGGGACTAGACGAGACCAGGGGAGGTGTAGTCGTTGTCCGCCCAGACGGATACGTCGGGGCTGTCGTGAAGTTGACCGAGGGCAGCGGCACTGTTGATGCATTGAACCAATACTTTGGTGCCTTTTGCACCAAGAAGCTGGGAGAGACCATGGCTCAGTTGTAGGTAGTTGGAGATACCCGGTCGGCAGGAATATATTTGTGTTACTTGGGACAAGACATCGCTTCAACCGCGGCCATGTGTGTACTGCGGTCGCTGCCGTCTACTATGACCACCCTCTCTTTCTCTCTCACGTACCAAGGGCTCGTCAGCTCGACATCGTGTGCATGTCCGGAATGGATGGCAACCATTCACTAACCAGTGGTCGAGATAATTCAGTCCTGACCTGATGGCGATCAATAATAGGTCTCATCACCACGAGGTCATGGGGTCTCGGTCGCGAAGCAGATGGTCATTGATCCATTGTCCCGGCTATTCCAATATCAGGCTCGAGCCTCATCAGCTTTGTGATGGGGCCTTTGTTTCTTCCCATTGAGGGTCACTAGCGCAAGGAATCCAATGTTTTTCCCAAGACTATTTAATCTGTTGTTTTTGACTGACGACGAGCTGAAAGTGAAATGGGGCCACAATACATCCCGGTTGGTCTCAAAGGAAACACTGAGAACCTGGTCAGAGCAAAGTGATATTGAAAGTGAGCGTCAACAATACCAGACCTACACTAACTCCTTCTCTCTCAGTGACGGGTCATCTCGCGTTCATCACCACCTCACTGACATCGCGTCCCAGTGCCTTGCTGACGACGAACAACTCGGATTCATCTGCCTTGCAAGCCAGACAGTCTTGCTCTTCTTTTTTCCACCACCAAATCGGCTGCGAGATTCGATAAACTTCTTGAGAAAGAGAGCATCCCCGCCCAAGGCCTGGCTTGAGTGCGACAAGACCAGGAGCCAGTCCAAATGGGACCAGTCAGCGAGCAATCCCCAAGCCCGGCCCACAGGAAACGCTCCCATACATCTCCAGCGAGATCTCGCCAGGACGCCAGTCAGCTTTGTGGAAACTTCATCCCGGTATCAGAGCCAAGACTCCGCAGCTCAGAGCCTGTAGATCACTCGCCCTCCCCGGGTAGCCGACCTCATCGCAATCGCCACGCCGACGCCGACGTCCATTTGCACATCAGTCTCACCGATTCCCAGATGGATAAGTTGGCTGCCACGTACGTGCCGAGAGAAAGTTCCATGCGGATGAGGGTATCATTGTTATTGACAAACTACAGTTTTGCTCCAGACTCTCCTGAGAGCCAGCCGCCGCGACACCGTCGACAGTCGCCTGCCCGTGTCCCCAGACCATCCGTAGATGTGGACGAAGTCGCCGGCAAGAGCAGCATGAGCTACATACCCCGCCCCAGCCAAGATGCCAATGGTCGAGGCCGTAGCCGCATCCGCCGGGATGCCCAGCAGGAGGAAGATGTGTTTGGTCATCCGGCGTCGCGGTCCACCAGGCGTTCTTCGCCCAGCAAACGGAATGCCTCGCCGGTCAAGCAGCATCGCGCCGTCCCGTCGACCTCGACTGCGACCTCGACCGCCTCCATCTGTGAGCGCAGAGGGGTTCCTCCTCTGGCGCCACTGGACGTCAGCCGAGCCGAGCAGCTAGATGCACCACAGAAGGGAGTCATTCAGGTCGCACTGCGCGTCACCGAGCCCCGCGAGCAGGCCAAGCCACTGCCGCCTGTCGCTGCTCCTCGATCCCCCAGGCGCTCCATCGTGCTCGAGCGCCCGATCGTGGACGAATCGTCCTCGGTCTACTCTCGAGATGAGGAGGAGAACGACTCCTCCTCCTCCCTTGGACTCGCCTCTATCAGCCCCCTGCACATCCAGAAACTGCCGGACCACGTCCCGCCGGTCAGCCCTCGCAAGGAGATGAATTTGTTGCGGGACTACACCTCATGGGCCCATGATACCAAGAAGGACATTCAAGAATCCCCCACCGCGAAACACACTCGCGCACACGCCCCGAAGGACGAGATGCTGGACACCAAAGTCGTGGAACACGATGTGGGTGGCCACCGCGATCCGAGAGAGCTGCCCCAAGACGTCTACTCTCCCTTTACGCCCTTTTTCCAGAGCAAAGAGGCGCAGACAGTCCGCAAAGGCACCAAGGTGCTGATTGGCAACAATGGATGGCTCGAGCGCACCAACAAATCGCCGCCCAAGGTGCTCTCGCCGTCCAAGAAGAGCATTCTCGATCCGCTCCGGAGGATGGCAAAGGAGGTGGTGAGTGGCGCGCACGTTGATGCCCACACAGGTCTCGAATACTGACAAAGTGCATACCTTTAGGTCGAACTGGCCGACCTCAAGACATCGCGCCGCGGCAAGGTGCCGGATGGTAGACAGCGCGGCGGAAGCTCGGGCCTGGCCATCTCCCTCGACCCTCGTGAACAAGGTCTGCTGTTCGGAGAACTCGAGTACATCCTGACGACGGCCCTGGACAGCTACATTAGCTGTCAGTTCAACGCTGGCCGACTCGATGCCGGCAAGTACAAGAAGATCGCGGATGCATGGCAGCAAAAGGGCCGGCCCAGGGTTGTCGGTTTCCGTTACGACCTGGAGACGCAGCTCGACCTCATCCACCTGCACGTGCAGCATTTCAAGTTCTACGGCCATCAGGCCGGCATGACAGCAGCGGCTGTGGGCATTCTCGAGATGATGAAGGTCGACGCGAGGGTCATGCGCATTCGCACATTCTGTCAGCCGGACACGGTCATTGCCAAGCAGCTGATCGATGCACAGCATCTCTTCAACATGATTGGATGTCCAGAGATGCAGCAGATCCAGCTGGCCGAGGTTATCCAGTTCTTCAAGACGGTGCTTGAGCGCGAGAAGCACTTCCACAGCGAGGCAAGGATGAGCCGGTCTTCGTCTGCGGGCAAGTCGTTTGCTCGCGGATGAGTTGTCAAGGCCGCGCACGGTGGCGATCATGCTCTTGAGGACAGGGTTCGCGCGCGGCGACGAGATTGTTCGGACGCTCATACAGTCCGTTCCTAGCTTGGCAGTCATGTCATTCCTTGAGCCTGAGTTCTCTAGATGGGAGGGAGGCGGAAGGGGGCAAAAGAGAAGATAGTCAGGCCTATCGACGCGCATCTTCTTGTTCAGCTTTGCCTTTTTTTATTTCTTCTTCTTTTGTTTGCTAAACAATACGGGATTCAAGGTATCGGCTCTTTTGTAGGTGCAAAAATTAAGAATCGAGTAGCAAGCGAATGGTAAATCAGAAAAAACATGTACTTATTAGGGACGCAACTCCCAGAGGACCACGCGCCAGGCCAGGCGATGTGTGTCCAGACATCATTGCAAGCATACCAACGCCCCAGGGAGAGGAACCCGCCCGGCCGCAACTCTCTGTTTCGTATCATAAAATACTGTATCAAAATTCATGGACAGTTGACCCGTGATCATCAAGTTACTCGCCAAAGCTCCAAATGCAGAGACCGTTTCCAACATCCCACGAGGAACAGGAAAGCTAAATAGAAAAACAGATATGAATCAGTATCGCCCACGTAAGCCGTCATCACTTCGTCTGTGCCTGGGCTGCGTCTCGCGGTAGACATGGTCATAGCCGTCGTCGTCGTCATCACCATAGCGATCATCGTAGCGTGGCTTGCGGCCTCCTCTGCCGAGATCCTTGCGGCTGCGGTCGTCTTCGTAGTCATCACGATCGTCTCGCCCGCGACGTCCCCACTTGCGTTCCCAGGCCTCCTGTTCCTCCCTGTCCTCCTTGCGTCCCTTCTCGAGCCGCTTTTCGAGAGCGTTGGCCCCAAGGCCTCCCACGGCGGCGCCGATGAGGGTGGAGACCAGCCGAGCACGGTCGCGGTCTTCGTCCTTGGCTCCGCTACCGTGCTGGGGGGCTGACTTCTCCTTGTTGCGTGCCGTGGCTTCGCTGACTTCTCGGGCTGCGAGGCCGCCGACAATGGCACCCAGGACACCGACACCGAGCCCGGAAGTGGAGGGGGTGAAGGTGTGGTTGAGAGCGTGGCGGGCCTTGTCCAGGGGGCTGTGGGGGTGGTCGTGGTCCCTCGAGGGAGACGGGGAGCGGGAGCCGCGGCGGCTTCGCGTGGTCAGAGCGCCGGACATGGGCGGCGGGACAGAGCGGGGCCTGTGACGGGAAGAGGGCACCTGCAGGCCGCCGTAGCGGTCCAGGTCGGGATTCGAGGCGCCGGGATTGTAGAACGGGCTCTGAGGCTCGTACTGCAGGCGCGCTCGCGAAACGCCAGGAGGAGGTGCCGGCATGGCTCCCGAGGCATACGGCGGAGGAGGCGCCCCTCCGGCATAGTAATAATCGGGGGAGCGCTGCCTACGGTGGTGATCCCGGGAGCGCGGGCGATCGTCGTCGTCGTCGTCGTAGGGACGAGACATGACCGTACCGTGGCTGGGAGATAGGATGACCGTTGTTTGCGAGCAGCGGATGATAGAGGTGGCTGTTGATCCTTGGACTAGGCACGGTAAAGAAGCTCTGCTTGCCTGCTCTTGTCACAGCTTGATATTTCTCCCTGCGGTCAGTAAAGAGAACAAAAAGATGTATACCATCCAACACAGCCACCGAAGAGGCAGCCGAGAACAGTCGATAATGAGCAGGCTCAGGCCGCGGGCGCAGGAGTTTGGGCTCAACTAATGCAAGGTGGTGTAGAGAATGCCCCTCTGTCAGCCTTTCTACTCGGCTCTTGCTCATTCGATGTCTCCCGCAGCAGAGATGACCCGACTGGATGTGTGCGGCTGTGACGACGGCCTGAGGGACGGGCCTGAGGCCTGCGGGGTAGCATCGGAGCGGTGCTGGCCTTTTGGGTGGCATGATGTCATTCATGGCAACACCTCTGTCACTCTCCGTCAGCTGGATTGGGCCTGGGCAAGCCTGGAGTGTCTAGGTAGGTCTCCTCGACTGCTCACCCGGCGGTAACCTTGTCAGGTGTTCTACTTGTAGTTATGCTGTGGTCCTGTGGAGCACGGCCGCGGGCAACAGCAGCATGGATCCAACCCATCGAGCCCATCAAATGGGCCTGGGACTCAAGGGACTCGACCTACTCCGTGCTTGTACAATAGGCACGGACATTGGCGGAGTTGTCAACCGCCTTCCCGGTCGGTCGGTGGCTACAAGGAGCCAAGTCCGCACGGTACACACAGATCGACCCAAGCGGCATTGCTCCAAGGAGGTGTGGGTGGGTTTGGGTAGTCCGAGTACCTATGAGACAGATAGTCTCTCAAGTCATAACTACCTCTAATAAGTGCTGGATCAATCATGTAGTTTGGCTGCTCGGGGCCTGTCTGCTTCGTATGAAAATGCCCCCCCTCCTTCCATAGCTGACGAGGATGCCTTTCTTCTGCACACAGAGAATGCAACCTTTTTTCTCTGAACTGGACCCTCGGGACAGGAGTAGACTACACATGGGAACGAGTCAGTCCTTTGACGGGCGAGAATCAAGAGAGCCAGCCGGAGCCACGATGGAATAACCCTCCCCGAAAGAAGATGCCCAGCAAACCCATTCCCTTTCGGGACAGGTCCAGACGTCCCCCGGACCAGACCCCAAGTTGTGTCAACCGGCAAAACTTCGGGTGTTGTTCTCTTACAGCCTCGACTCATCGGACATTCCTCGTCTGTCTTTCTCGAGCGCGCCTCTGGATTTTTCTTCCCTCTCCTCTCCTCTCCTCTCCTCTCCTTCTTCTCCGAACTGCGTTTTCTATAAAGACTTCTTTTCTACCGGTTCTGGGCCGACCTTTGCGCAGCGCCTTGTCTGACTTGGAGTCTGACTTGGCCTGGTATCACTCCTCCCGGCCTCTGCAGGGGTGCTCACCGCAAGTCCAACAGGTCCGTAGACCACGCCATTTCGAAGTGCGCTTTTTTGGTGTTTGATTTGCGTACCTTTTTATGTTCACCGCACAGAGCCAAGCGCCCTTGTCGTCCAGCGGCCCGCCTCGCCCGCCAAGTCCAGGTAGTTTCTTTCGCAGGGTGTCAACGGCATGCTCAGTGCCACTCGCCACCGAGATACGGGGCTGGACCCGGACAAGGAGCTGGGTCTGCCCGGTCCCTCCCCAGACAAGCCGGCCTCGGATCAGGAGATTCAGCCGGCTGTCTTGGAAAACGTCGACCAGGAGAAACAGAGTCAACCCGGCTCCCCAGACGACGCCACTGGTCCAGCACTGGGAAGATGGAATTCTTCCAGGCTGAACATTGTCCGCTTTTTCACCACCATCTACGGTTTCATCATCATGGGCATGAATGATGCTGCCATTGGCGTATGTGACCCTTGGCTCTCATGCCGAACCCTACCCTACATCGTCGAGCTCGAGCTAACAGAGCACACAAAAGGCGTTGATCCCCTATGTAGGCTTCAAGTCTTGCTGTCCGCCGTGTTTGCTCGGCTTGGGCTGATCATTCGAGTAGATCGAGCCATACTACCATGTCACTTACACCATGATATCCCTCGTCTTTCTCGCGCCCTTCCTGGGCTACCTCGTCGCTGCATTGTCCAACAACCTCATCCATCACGTTTTCGGTCAGCGCGGCGTAGCCTTCTTGGGCCCGATGTGCCGCTTGATCGGCTACATCCCCATGGCTTGCCACCCTCCATTCCCCGCTCTGCCGGTCATCATGTTGTTCCCAGGCTTTGGCAACGGCATTGAAGACAGTGCCTGGAATGCCTGGGTGGGAAACATGCAGAACGCCAACGAGCTGCTTGGCTTCTTGCACGGGGCGTATGGCCTGGGCGCAACCATCGCTCCCATCATTGCTACCTCCATGGTGACCAAAGCCCATCTCGAGTGGTATGCTTTCTATTATGTCATGATTGGCATGTCCGTGTCTGAATGGGTCCTCTCCGTGGCGGCTTTCTGGACCGCCACCGGCAGAGTCCATCGCGAAAAGCACATGTCCGCCGCCGGCGAGAAGCGAACCACGACTAGACAGGTCCTTCGAGAGCCCATCACCTGGCTGGTCGCCCTGTTCCTGCTGGGCTATGTTGGCGTCGAGGTTGCGCTCGGCGGTTGGATAGTGACATTCATGCTCAAGGTCCGGCATGCCGAGAACTTTGCCGCAGGCATGGTCGTGACCGGGTTCTGGCTGGGCCTCACCGTGGGGCGCATCGTCTTAGGCTTCATTACCGGCCGGGTCGGCGAGAAGGCCGCCATCACCATCTACCTCTTGCTGTCCCTCGCGCTGCAACTACTCTACTGGCTGGTCCCCAGCTTTATTGCTTCGGCAATTTTCGTTGCCTTTCTCGGCTTCTTTCTAGGTCCCTTATTCCCGGCTGCCATAGTGGCTGCTACAAAACTCCTACCCAGTGACGTGAGTCCGCCGTTCCACGACGACATTGCCCTTACTTGGGCGTCTAAGCTAATTGCGCGCCCATAGTATCATGTTTCGGCCATCGGGTTCGCAGCTGCATTCGGTGGCGGCGGTGCTGCCGTCTTCCCATTCGTGGTGGGTGCCATTGCCCAGAGCAAGGGTGTCGGAGTCCTACAACCCGTGGTTCTCGCGCTTTTGGTGTTTGACCTGTTGATCTGGTTCTGCCTCCCAGGCGGTCTTCGAAAGGGGGGGTTGGAAAAGGCTCGAGAGAATAGGGGAACTGTTGGTTCAAACTTCCGAAAACTGTGCGCCTGGGTGGAAAGGGATGCAAAATTAGACCAATCAAGGTCTTCCAGGGTGCCTTTGTCAACCGGACAAAGATAACTGCTGCAACTCTTGACCCAGGCGGGCTAGGTAGAAGTTTCTAATCACGGGTGGCAACTTTCCGAGCCCACTAGCCGTTCGGGCTATGTCGAGCCGACCCTTTTCGTACGCTGCGAGGTCGCGGTTACCGTATACGTCACGCCCTTGCGAGTATCCTGCGGCGAGATCGCGAAAAAACACATTAACGGCTATGCTCATGTCGGAAACTGGCATGGCGGTGTGAAGCCATAGCGGAGGAATGAAAAGCACCTCGCCGGGGCCCAATATACACTCATATGGATGGGCCTGGGACAGGGCTGGGGTATCCAGTGACGAGAACACATCGACGCTGGAGCTGGAAGCACCTGGAGCTATTGGAAGATAGACAATGTCCGAAGGCGGAAAGAGTATAAATCGTTTGGATCCTTGGATTTGGCAATAAACATTGGCCATGACCTGGAAGATGCGTCAGCAATTGTGAGTAGCATGACTAGTTCCCGATACGCACATCGTAGTGAAGCCACATATCTACCGGCCCCGAGATCCGCAGGATCGAGCTGAAAAGACGCGAGGTAACAAAGGACAACTCGGCCGGCAAAATAAAGTCGCTAGATAATGTTGGAAAATCCCTTTCAAGGTTGGCTGGCTTGTCAGCCGGTTCTGTGCTAGACAGAGCCCGCATATATAGCTTCTTGCCCTGTTCGACCTCATGCACGAATTCGACGAAGGGTTTCGTCACGTATTGGAAGTTCTTTGCGTTGAAATCCATTTTCCGTGTCGGGGACTGGTGGACAATGACCTAGTAAGGAAATTAGAACCCGTCACCATACGGGACGCTTTGGAGAGTTCGGGCCTGTCACGCACCGTTTTGTCCAGCCCGACGGACTGGGCTAAGTACTCAGGTGTCCACCTCTGGACGCACGGTCCGAGAGCTATTCCCTCTAGCACAACTGGTCGGGCTTCCGTGACAATCCCCTCGAACTCATCCGTATCTTTCAAGCCGACGCGTGGGATCTTAGCAATCTCCAGGTGTGCCGCGCCCCTCGTGTCGATTTGAGGTCCTATGACGGCGGCGGACGTGACAAGCTCAAGATCACGCCAGTACTTCCATCTGGGCAAGCTCTGCCCAACTTGCTTTCTACTGTTCTCGCCAGCAATGTTGTTGACAGCGAGGGTGTAGACCCCTCTGGTCCAGAAAGTGCCCATGGAGAAGCACGTAGCTCCGCCTCCAATGACGACGACTTGGTCGTTGCCTGTCTTGATAGCCGAAGAGCCGATCAACAAAGGCCGTGGGATATGGTTCTCTGCCAGTGTGGCAACATCGCTCAGGCGGCCAATGATTTGACAAGTGGCGCCCTCGAGTGAAAGTCTGCAGACCAGGATGTCGTAATCTTGGTGAAGGATATCAGACCTCACAATGCCGCCAATGATGAGAAATATGTTCGAATCAAGAGCAACAGAGGTGGCTCCGAATCTGTTGACAAGATGACCGTACGCCCCATTCACATGGGTCGCACCCTCGGTGGTGCAGTGCCTGAAGGTTATGGCGGGATTCTACCAAAGCAATGCATTAGCGGCTGGAGCTCAAGACGAAACAAGGCCAGATCCTCCTGACTTACACCGGGATTTGAGAGATCAAGACTCCAGAGGAAGGTTTGGTCTGCAATCTTGCCGTCTCTCTGCATACCTCCCGCTAGTAGCCCGTGAAACACGGCTGGCTCATGTTGCGCACGCCCAGCGCACATCAACACCGCGCCGAAGACCGCTTTTGGGTAGACCGTCCCAGAGACCATGCACTTAGTCCAACCCTTGAAGGGGTGATAAACGAAAGAAGAATCTGACACGTCCGAGTGCCCTGACCGTCCCCCGAAGAGCAGAGCCAGCGACGAATCTCCGAGCCTGGTGATGGAGTGACGATACAGGGGAATGGGCAGGCGGGAGGTCCGCTCCCAATTGTTCTTACCCGGCCTGAAGAGCCAAGCATCATCGAGAGGCTGCGCCGGCGAGGTACGGCCGCCCACCAGGAGGCGGCCATAGTCACCAAGCTCCGTGATGCTATGGCACATCCTTGCATTTGGCCCAGTCTGATCTAGGTGGAGATCCTGGGCTGGACTGGTGGACGATCTGTATAGATCATACGACCTCAACCGCTTGTTGTTTCCAAGCCCTAGGAAATTGCCCACTACAGAATGACCCGTTGGGTCGTGAAACTGCAGAGGAGCTGCAAACCGCCGGACACCTTTGGACCCGGGGACCTCGCTGAAGTCGATGCACACTCTTGCCTGCGGTATGCCAAAGCTTGAGGGTGCACTGGTCGAGGGCAGCAGGGGAAAGGCGGCTTCGTTGCTTGCGTGGACCAGGCAATAATGGGCGGCGAACAGAGCGAATTCCTCCCACTCATCAAAAGGTTCAATCTCGTCGAGTTCATGCCGTTGGTGTGGGGTCAAAAAGGAATCATCGTCCCAGGTCTGCCACAAGTTCCTGGCATATACATGCTTCCACCCCTGGGCTATGAAACGGGCCTCCTGGTCCGGCAGAGTTGGATACCTGTCAACAGACTTGATCTGTGTGTTGAGCTTCTCGAAATGGCGGAGCATCGTCTGTGCGAAAGGGTGTTCCGGTCCGTCTGGCAGAAGCTGCTCAAGCAGAATGAAGTGGGCTAGCCGTCTTGCATCAGCCATGGCACTGAGACGCTAGAAAATGAAGCAGGATTGTACCGTCACCTGTGAGGCCGCTTGCCCAGTGTATGACAGCGTCGGCAGTCTCCGTCTCCATGTAGGTGATGGAGACTTCGGCAAGGAAGAGGACCGTCGAGTTGGCAAGGTCGAAGATATCCTCTAGGACCGACTGGATGGTTGAAGTCTGGCGCAGGTCGCACCCGATCTGGTAGTAAGAGTCACTCCTGAGTAGAAGAGGGGCTCTGTCCTGTAGTTGCAGTTGCGTGAGAGGCTGCCTGAGCTCTGGGGTTTGGAGGATGATCTCTCGCTTCCGGAGCATGAGATCAGGGAAGTCAACGTCAACAAACTTGACGCCACGGGTAGCATCAGGATACCGCGTCCAGCACTGCCATGGGACGACATCGCTACAGCTCCTAGGTTAGCTAGGACACCAAGAGGACCTTGTCGAGGTCCGACAGATGGCTGCACTTGCCTCCCACAACCTAGATTGATGACTACTTTGTCTCTAGAGCTCGGCCGGGACAGAAACTCTCGGACGGCTACATCGATGGCATGGAGACGAAGGTGGTATCCTCGGTTGATCAGGGGTGCGCGTCTCTGGAACTTCTTGACAAAGAAGCGGAAAAAGTGCGGCTCGTTTGGGTAATAGAGGCGCTCAACACTCCGTTTGGATACAATACTACTGCTATTCGTCTGTTGGACATGCTGGTGAGCCACAGAAGGCCGCCAGAGAGACATTGGAGAAGGGGTGCGGTGACGACGACTCACTGACATGACGAGCTCATCCTGTGCCAACAGCTTGGCCGGCCGAGTCAGCCTGGCCGGCACGGACTGACCCGTGGTTTCCGACATAGCTGGCATCCGTGCTATTGACCGCGCTCATCCACGATTCTGATCCTACTCTCTACCGTGCCCCGTTTCTCATCAGATGGGAGCCGCGCATGTGCAGGCAAGGCGAGAAAGACACAGAGCCGATCTAGTGGTTGCAAGGAGGGAATGGACTGGATACAAACTGCATGTGGCATATTATGACAAAGACGCCCACAAGTTGCACCGTCAACTCTGAGAGGGTATAGATTGGAGAGTTCCAAATTGCAGCTCGCAAGATCTGAGCTGAGTAAGTGAGCAAGCAGGTTAGGTACTGGAGGTAGTGTGAGTATGTGCTGGTATGCTCTCTTGGTGTAAGTGAGTGAGTGGACAATTCATAAAATGTGTGCGCATGAGCAAGTTTGCACGGGGTACCTAGGTACTTTGCGCTACTACAAGTAACTACAAGCTAAGGTACCTTACCTAGCCTTATCATTGGATACGTAATTAGGTAGGCTAGGTAGGCACTCAAGCTGGAGGAGCTAGCATTGGCTCCACCTATGAAGCTGCACTGCACTGCACTGCAAGTACAGACCATTCCCAGCCTTCCCGCGCCCCGCAGCCAGCTCGATCCCGAGTTCCAACATCGAGAGAACATACGTAGCCAACGCCGGACAGACCGTGAAGGGACTTATCACGGAGCAGCACCGCTAAGCTTGCCATGCGCATGTATGTGCATAGCCCCCGACAGCCAGACCTGATTGCGTGACGGCGTCTTTCCCACGGGCCGCGACCACCGTTAGCTTTCCCCTCCGCCTCCGCCTCCGCCTCCGCCATCACCACCCACCACCGCCAGGCTACAGCTCCGCCTGCGACAGTCACCTGCTCCCTCCGCTGTCCTCTCGCTTGCGATGTGCTTCCGCCTCGCCGACTGACAGAGCGTCCTGACTAGTTACAGCCTTGCCTCAAGGGGTATTCTCCAGAACATCTGGTCGCCCTCGTACTCGCTCCTCCTGCTGTCCCTCTCCGCCCCCCCTCTCCTATGCCCAACATGGCTGGACAGAGCCTCAACTTTGTCACATTCAATCAGGACCACAGCTGTCTGGCCGTTGGTAAGCATTTCGAAGATTTCCCTAGGCCCCCTTCCACTCGCCGACTGGGTGCTAACCACGACTCTTTCAAGGCACATCCAAGGGCTTTCGAATCTACCATACCGACCCCTTCTCCAAAATCTTCAGTAGCGACGATGGTAATGTCTCCATCATCGAGATGCTCTTCTCCACCTCGCTGGTTGCCCTCATATTGTCGCCGCGCCACCTAATCATACAAAACACCAAGGTCCGCCTCACACCCTCTTGCAGCTCTGCTTCGAGTCGCGAACCTGTTCCTGTCATCCATCAGGTATGCCTGGACTACAGCTGATCATTTGTACATGTACAGAGGGCTTCCGTCATCTGCGAATTGACCTTCCCTTCCGCCGTCCTGGCTGTCCGCTTGAACAGAAAGCGCCTGGCCGTTGTACTCGAGGATGAGATCTACCTCTACGACATCTCCAACATGAGTCTCTTGTACACGATAGCGACCTCGCCCAACCCTTCTGCGATATGCGCCCTCTCCCCATCATCAGAAAATTGCTACATCGCATACCCCCTCCCTAAACCAAGGGAAGACCGTGATGATAAGCGGCCCTCCCATGCACCACCCCTCTCTGCCTACGTTCCGCCCACCACTGGCGAGGTTCTGGTCTTCGACACAATTACGCTCAAGGCGATCAACGTCATCGAGGCACATCGCTCACCCCTTTGCTCCATAGCACTCAACAACGATGGTACTCTGCTCGCAACAGCCTCAGAGACAGGCACAATCATCAGAGTCTTCAACGTTCCCAAGGGACAGAAGTTATATCAGTTCCGCCGCGGAACTTATCCATCCACCATCTACAGCATGTCTTTTAATCTCAGCTCCACGCTCCTATGCGTCTCATCAACCTCTGACACAGTTCACATCTTCCGCCTGGGTACGCCCCAGGGCGCCACTGCCAGTTCCGGCGCGCCATCTGGCCCTGCCGACGAGCCAACTTCCCCGCGAAGAGACCGCTGGAGTCGCGGACAACCACACGACAGCGGCACTGAGTCGCCGGGCAGCCAGGCGGGGTCTCCAAGAAGCGAGACGGCCGACTCGGCCACGCCGGGGTCCCACAACGGTGGAAACATTGTCAACCGGAGACAGAGTGGCTCGTTCAGCAGCATGCTGCGTCGGTCTTCGCAAATCATGGGCCGGAGCGTGGCCGGCGTCGTCGGCTCGTACCTGCCGCAGACCGTCACTGAGATGTGGGAGCCGATACGCGACTTTGCCTTTATCAAGATCCCCAAGGCATCGTCGACAAAGTCCCCGCGAGGTGCCGGTAATCATGCAAGCGGCAACGGTGGCGGCTTGACCGGCAACCCGGTCGGCTATCCTGGAGCACCCCTGCGCAGTGTAGTGGCCATGAGCAGCAATAGCCCACAGGTTATGGTGGTCACGAGCGATGGGGGCTTCTATGTCTTCAACATCGATATGGAGCACGGTGGTGAGGGATATCTCGTCAAGCAGTTCTCGTATGTATCCTAGCTCCGCTGTCAAACGACCCTCTCGAGACCCCCTCCCTCCCCCCTTTCGCCCCCGCCCTTCTCTCCCAAGCCCCGTGTAGGAGACTAACAGCACGCTACAGTGTGCTTGAAGGCGATGACAAGTTAGATGCGTCTTCCTATGGCTCATGACGGCGAATGCCGTATAGCTAAGGGGGCGGCATTCGCTGCTATACTCCCTGGAAGAAGGAATTGTTCTTGACATCGACTGTCTTTTCTTTCTTTCTATACTCTCGCATACTGCGTATTTGCATTTCCTACAGGCGTTTCCTTGCGGGTCGGCCAGAACCGCACCATCATCGGGATTGGATTCTTGAAGTATCATTTTCTTGGGAGGCCTCGACTATCTGCATTGGCGTCTAGCGGTGCCTCTAGTAATACCAAATTCATCGATCCCAGTACGAATGAGGACGCGCCATGCCGTGTACTTGATGCTTTTGAACGCTCAGATGCCCGTTTCAATGACCGTCATATTGATTCTCAATGACAGACGTATGGACCCCGCTCCAACAGGCAGAAAGATAAATGCAAGGTATATATCATAGCCCATGATGTACGAGGTATCCAGTCGTTAGAATAAGCACTTGGGGCCCTAGAAGATCAGCGAAAAGAAAAGAAGAAAAGACAAAATAAAAGAAACATCATATCGACCGTCGCTTTGCAGACCTATTACCAACCAACCATATCAACGCCTGAAGAGAAAAAAGTGGTTTGCCACGCAGTAGACATCGCACGCCCTCATCCAGCCTCCGAAAGGCCAATGATGACAGCATGCTATGCACGTCCGCTTCAGCGGCTATCTCAGTCTCCCTTGACATCCTCTCAAAAACATGTCTAGCCCCAACATAAGAGACACGGCAACAAATCTGCGAGCGTTTCAGAGGTGCCTTGTGACATCTACCCCGATGCTTTCGAATCCATGGACAACATGGCAGTAGCCGAGATGGGAGAGTCATGAAACGATGCAGCGATCGAGGCAGGGATCAACGATCCATCGCCCTGGACATCGGTCCTCGACCACAGCCACAAGCTAGCAGCTCTGGCTGGGCCTCACCGGGCGTATGGCCTGTTCATAAGAGCAACCTCCCTTGCAATTTCACCCCATTCAAGCTGCCTCCTCATCATGCTTGGACAGGCATCTTGTTGGGAGTGATTTGCATGCAGTGTCTCTTCCCATTTCAGCAATTCGTAAGCAAATCGAAGATGGGGTTGGATGATCACATTGAGGCGACGGGCTCGGACAAAACAATATGCTTGCGGGAATGAGTATTTCAAGCTACGCATCACCTCGGCGATGCATATCGTAGCACTTCGCGAAACACCCACCCGGCAATGCACAAGAGTTGCAGTCCCGTTTCGGCGCCCCCGGTCTGTCCATGGTCAACTATGGGATCAAATGGCATAGCAAAGGCGTGTGCCTCGGGGGAAGTATGGCTTACCAATGAATTTGAGGCATCGCTCGAACTCTTCTGTCAAGGGATCGATTCCATTGTCCTGGACCCCTTGCACGACACAAATGTTATCCTCACCCCACTCCTCCCGTTCACCATCTCTCCACATAGCCATCTCGCCGACGCTGAGGATCTGCCGGATGCCCATCGCCTTGAGTAGCTCGGGGTTGTTTGCATGGCCAAGGTTCCCAAGGTACATGTAATCGAGCACCCTGCTCGGCAAAGAGCCGTCGAGGCCGGAGAACCACTTGGGTTCATCCCGGATCTGGGCAGTGATGTCTGAGAGGTTTCGGTCACTACAGACCGGGGACTCGGAGAGGAGGCGAGGCGCAATGGCCGTGAGGAGAGCCACATCGGTGGGGTAAGCAAAGAAGTTCCGCTGCATCTCCGTGTGTAGTCGCAGCCAGGCGTCGGGTATGGGCAGGCCCGTACTGTAGCTGAAGTACGCGATCCCAAGCAGGGTAGATTCCGTGTAGCCGTCAGCGCAGTGGATGAGGATTTTCCGCGCGATCACAGTCGAGTCTGGAGATTCGGTAGCATCGGACATGACGGAGTCCCCATCTGTGTCTGTCGTCTCGAAATGCGGGTTGGTCCCGTGAGCCAGACAGTATATCCATTTGCATGTCTCCAGGATGCCATCAGCCTCAGAGTGAGACCACGTTGGCGGTAGTATACTTCCAGAAGAAGGGAAGTCGACATAAGGGTGCTTGAGAGGCTGCTCCTGACTCTCTGCTATCGTCTTGAGGGCTGCTGGGTCCAAATGGCCGAGGTCACTGCACTCGATGAGCACGTCAAACTGGCGCTCATCATCAGACCCCTGGTCGGGAGTAGGACCGAGCCAAACATTGTGGGAGATCTCGGATGCCTTGGTCATTTCATACATTTCCCTGCGCTCTTGATGAAAGAAATCAATTACCCTGCCGGTAAGATTGCCGGAGGCGTCAACGGCCACAATTTCCGGATGATGTTTCTCAAACTCGCGAAACGAGGCGGTGCAGATAAACGTATTATAGGCAGGCAATGGTTGCCCCTGGGTATCATGGAGCTCCCTCCACCGAGCTTGAGCGGCGGCGATATCAAAAGCCAGGCTTTGCACAGAGGGCCGATCATCTCCATAGACAATGATGTCAGAGGTCACGGCTGTCTTGGCCGCCTGGATCTGGAAGTTCCTCACCGAGAAACCTTCCTTTGGATCCACCTCGATGAACTCGGCGATGGAGCCCGATTGCAAGAACTCGTTGGGAGCAATGGCCCCCTTGAGGCGCGCAAAAGCAAGGTCTCCGTCGGCCTTGACGATGGTGATGCTTCGTAGGCAGCCCGGCGTCCTCCTCAAAGCCCGCCTTCGCTGGACGAAGAAGGCCTGCTGCACATGATTCTGCGGATGAAGGCCATGGAACCATGGGAAGACCTGAGAAGGGTCTGGCAAGGGCTGGCATGCAAGGTGGTCCAGCGCCGCCGCAACACCAGCAGCACCTATTTTATAGACTGCCAGAGGTCCCGAATCGATGCGGGGGTATGCATCGGGGGGACTGAGGAGCGAGGTCTGCAGGCGCTCTTTGCTGGGTATAGGCGATGGCGGCGGCGTGTTGGGTTCTTGCTGGGGGACGGGACCTGGTGGGCAGACGGGGATATGCTTGTTTGGGACGGGTGTGACGCATTGTGAAGGCTGGGGGTTGTTGAGATCTTCGATGGTGATATTGGCAGGCAGTGCACCCAGGCCGGAGGAAGGTCGGTGGTGTGGCACAGGACGGGGAAGAGCGATGGTAGCCATCGTGATTTTGCTGGGTGCGTGTTGAAGCGCGAAGATTATTCGGAGCTTGCCTACTCGCTGGACAAGGTGCTGTGCATAGATCGAGGGCCACAAGAAACCGGCATTCAGTCACCAGCACCAACCGGCATTAGGCAAGGCCAACGGGGGCGGCCAACAAAGGTCTACCCGTTCTCAAATCTGGGTCAGATATCAAGAGACGCCACGGGCAAGGGTCTGCCGTCGGAAAGGAGGGAGAGAACACACTCAATGACCAGTTCTGAAGCAGAAGAAACCCAATGGCCCATGCCCACGGCAACGGCGAGGACTTGAGCAACGGCGAGGACTTGAGCAACTGTGAGGACTTGAGCAACGGCGACGGCACGCCTATCCAGCGGGGCCCAGGCCGAAGACGGGAGGCTGGTGCCTTGGGCAGCCAGGCCTGGAAAGGTATCAGGGCAGACGAGGCCTCTGGAATTGATCTCAACTGCGGTGGCACAAGCGGCCCAGCGCACAGCAGGTCCACGGAGAAAGTGGTGGCTGCGATCCAGAGGTGGGAGAGGAGGCGAGAGCAGGAGCCACAACGCCAGATATATGCAGTAAATGGGAATACCTCAAGAGACAATGCAGACTGACGAGTCTGGCCGTGGCAAGGCGAAAGCAGCCAAAGGATCAGAGAGGGTGGGGAGGGGGAAGAGGCCCAAGGCTTGAGCAACGAAGACCCAACGACGACGACGGGCGAAGGTCCGGGGCAACGATGCAATGCGGTGGGATACGATGTCGTGGGAGACGGAAGAACACAAGAAGTAGAAGAAGAATAATGATGATGAATAAGAGACTAGACGAGCTATGTTTGCACAAGAACAAGAGGGCTATCTACCTAGGCAGGGACGGCTAGAGGGCATAGAGATCGAGGGTTGAGTCGAGAGAGGAGGGTCGAGAGAGGAGGTTGAGGAGAGTGGAGGACCAGGGCGAGCGACCTAGCACTCTCCAGAGGCCGGCCAGGCCAGCGGTAGTGTGTGACGGGTGGTGGAGATGATGGTGTAGCGGCGCGGCAGCTGAGAGGTCGAGTGACCAAGGAGCAAGGTTTCTTGGGGGAGGACGACTGATAAGCTAAGGCGTTTTGGGGCGGGGGGGGCGCCACTTTATGACATGCAAGCATCGCCCGGGGCGCTATCATAGGCTGGTGCAGGTTGTTGTCTCGAGCAGCCTCAGAACAAAAGTCTCTGTTTCTTTCTTTTTTCTCTCTCTTCACTCTTCTCTCTGCTCTCTTCTTCATCTTCAACTTTCTTCTCCTTCTCCACCAAGCCTGCGGCGCAAGGTTCCGTTGTTGTACGGGATGTGCTTGTCGTCAAGGTGCTTGATGAATCCGTCAATCAGCCCCGACAAGGGGCCGGGGGAGAGAGCCCAGATCAGATGCACAAGCACGATAGGGAATAGGTAGGGAATCGTGTGCTGGGTCCCTCCCCCGCAAAACTATTGTGCGCCCACTGGTGCCGCCGCCGCCGCCGTCGCCGCCTGTGGAGCAGGGTTGACGGGACCCATGGATCATTGATAAAGTAATGTACTTTGGTCGTCTACCTACTTGTAGTACTTGTAATACCTTGGGTAACTAAAGTAAGGTACTTAAAGTAGGCCAGATAGCATCCAGCTCGAGATAAACTTTGGCTTTCAAGCAAAGGTTCCTTTCCCGAGTTGCCCGTTGATCTCTCTCTTATCTGCAAATGCAAAAGAATGCGGTCCAGTCCTCAAGTCGTCTATCTATCGAGCCAGGGGATGGCGTCTGGTGTCCATTGAATTGATCGATGGACATTTCGACTCATCATAGTTTTCTTTCCCTTCTCTCTCGACCTTTGACTCCATCTTCCCCAGAGATTCTTCAATGCCCTCTCAACATCACTGCTGACCATCCCATCCCATCCCCCACCTCTCCCCCTCCCCTCCATCCGCAACCCACCACACCCGCAGACCACAATGCCACTGCGAGCAACGCAATCCGCTGCCTACCGAGGTGCAGGACGGTGGCCAGCGGTAGCTAATAGTGCTCGTGTACCTTGCCTACCTACTCTTGTACAAGCTTGTACGTAGGTAGGTACCTATAGCTTATGGCTGGGCCCCCCCGACCGGTGGGGTTGCATCAATGTTTTAGCACCAGGCGATCCCGCCCAATGGCGACCCACGCCGCCCACTCCGCTCTCCTCAATCCTCTCCTCCTCTCCTCCTCTCCTCCTCCTGCGTGGCGACAGCTCGAGCAGGGGTCACTGGTGTTGGGGGACGATGCGCACCTCAAGATGGGGTGTCGAGTGCCAATGTGTGAGAGAGAGGGTGCCACTGAGAGCAGCCTTGGTGCAGTGTTGGGTCGTTTGCGTCGTGTCCGGCCGACGCACCGCGCGCGACAGCTTGGAGATGCGACCGGGGATATCTTACATTGGTACAGACAGTAGTGACAAGTCTTGTGCTTACTTCGTAGCACCTCACCCGAAACTCAATCTCGACCCCCGGCAGTGCGTTCGATGTTGCAACTTGCGCGGTCCCAACAGCCGGCCACATCCACCAATCCACCCCCGGCGGGACCCAATCAGCCAAGCAGCCACGCACCGTCTTGAAAACATGGGCCGCCTGTCTGTGTTTCAATTCCTCGTTGCCAATCTGTTGGATGGTTGCAGGTCTTGTCAGGGACCCTTGGGCTTGGATCCCTCTCGAGTCTCGACCCGCCCCGACTCTACAAGTACTACTCCCACACCAAGAACCCGTCAGGTATTTGTTCTTCAGAAAACATGCACCTCACCCGGGCGCGGGGGGGAGGCATTAACTTGAACACTTGAGAGCATTAGAGGGAACAGATGATCTAGTTACCTCCTCCCTCACGGTAGGTAGCGACAGAGCTGCCAGTCAGACAGCCGTGCGTGCGGCTTCCACTTTGATATTGATCCCGGGCCCCCCTTCTTGTCAAGAGATCTAGCGTGCTTGGCGCCTGGAGGCTGGAGCAGCTGGCAAGATTGGGGCAGGGCTAGGAGCCTAGGAGTGCTGGGTACGTAGGTAGAGCCTACAAGTAGAGCACATTCGGGGCTACCAAAAAGCACCAAACAGCTGGAGGTACCTACCTCTAGGTACCTTAACTAGATAAACCCGACACGGGTGCCCCTAGGTAGGTAGCCCTACGGCCCCAGGCCCCTCCAGGGCTGCCAATCGATAAGAAGTAACTACCTAGGTGCCTAAAGTGTAAGGTGGATTCGCACAAGGCACCAGGCATTGAAGCACCACACGTCATCATCAAACACCAAATCACATGCGAGGCTGAGATGCACCATCGTTGTCCCCGTCTCCCTGGAGAGAACGCAGCCATCAGCCAGCACCAGCCAGCACCAGCCAGCACCAGCCAGCACCAGCCAGCCACTTCGCACCGCCTGTATTTCTTCCATGCGGTGCACTCTCCATCCAGTCTAGCATGAGGAGGACATCGAGGATATCGCTTGTGCGTGGCCCTGCTTCCTTACCCAGCTCTGCCTCAGCAATACCAGACGCTGACTCTCTGCCCTCCTAGATTTTCCCTAGGTCTTCTTTCCTGCATAGCCATGCCTTCAAACCCAGCGCATACTTACGGCTCAACATGCCGGCTAGCCCCTCTCCCACAAGCTCGGCATGACTCCGATCCTCTCCTCGAGCATCTACCGCCCTTCGCTGCTCAGTTCTTCTACTACTCCCCCATCCCCATCGATGATCCTCTCTCGGCTGCGACCATCAGTGCCTCTTCGTCCGATGGAAGGTCAGCCAAATACCCCATCCGCCCATTTGCTCAGGGAGACAATCACGCGCTGGAGAAGGCCTGGCTGGGATTCGCATCCCGTCATGCCCGACAGAGCCATGCACAGGCGCGAACAAGACGCTCACCGACCCCAGCTCTGGCTGACAAGGATGCGAGGAGACTCGCGGCGCTGGTAGAGCGGCTGGCTCTGCAACACAGAGACCTACACGCTCAAGGATATCATGACTCGGCTGTGGTCGACTCTGTCGACGTATCGCCTGGTGTGGGTCTTGCCCCTTGCTGCCCTGCTTTAGTCCTTGATGTGCGCCGAGAGCTCGAAAAGAGCTTTTGCTTGCTCTCCACGAGGCATTGGTCTCACCTCAGAGCGGCCAACGTCTCTCAACAGGTCATGATGAGAATGAAGAGTCCAACCTCCCCCCACCAGGGTCCATTAGATGCCCAGCACGCGGACTGCCCCAGGCCTGGAAGTTCCCCGGGCGATGCCGGCTTGCCCAACCGTGCGGGCTCTCATGATGAGCCCGGTCCTCCTAGCCAAGAACCGTTCAATTCAGAGCCTGTAGTGAGCACCATGCGTATTCCTTCATCAGTCAGGCCGCCTGCATTGGATGATGGCATATCGGGCAGACCCTTTGTCAGGGTTGGTGACCCCAGTCCGACGCAAAGCCCCACAGTCGGGTCACTCACAAACCAGCAAGCTCCTGTGGCAGTCTCGAAGGCCAGTACCGGCATAATCAGTGCACACGTGAACACTGTGAAACCTCAGAGCATGGAAGAGACGGAGCAAAATGGTCGTCTTAACCTTGGCACCCGCCCCACGGATGCCGACCCGATCGCTGTCGAGGTTCCAGTAGGCATTTCCCGCCTACACATGGTCTCACTACCTCGTTTGCAGATGAAGCCAATATATTGGTCGCCCGTCAACGACGTTGCTGTTGTTGTCCGGGCGACTTGGTTCTATAGAGACACCATGGTTCCAGTGGAGCCCGCTGTCGCAAATCAGCTCGAAGCTGGCTACAGAGAACTTCGCCCCTGGACCGAGACCTGGAACGATGAGTTGAAATGTGCTGTCGACGTCGGACCACTTGGCGAAGAAAAGGTATCCCATCCACTATGGCCCAACGATGGAGAGAAGCCCACAGGCTCAAAACATGGGGCTGAGCCGCTCATTGCAAGTGAGCCTCTTTGTGCTGCTCGCTGTTTCCGAGGAGAAGCGGCGGCAGAGGGAACCGTCGAGCTGCCTACAGTCCCGGGCAACTCAGACTCCAAAAGAGTCAGTCCTGCTGAGTCTCTATACGCCAACTACCACGTCATCTACCGGGATCAGAATGCGGCTTTTCTTCTGAAGCCGAGCCTCAAGCCATCTGCCTACTACTCGCGCCGTCCAGTCGCCAAGATGATGAAGGGGATCACGGTAGGCATCCCTGTTGTGAGAGGCTTCGATAGGAGTGCGTGGGATCGAATCCATGAGAAGAATGGGAAGAAAAGGGGAGATCTAGCCGAAGATCTTCCTGTCGCGCTTGCGGGCGATGGGTTTGAAGAAGGCCATGGCCAGATGGGCTGTCCTGGGTGCAAAGCAGAGAAAGAGCGAGCCCAGGTGACCGATTTGATCCTTGTGGTTCACGGAGTCGGACAGAAGCTGGCAGAGCGAGTCGAGAGCTTCCATTTCACTCATGCCATCAATGCCTTTCGTCGAGCTGTCAACCTGGAATTGTCGAGCGAGGCGGTCGGGGCTGTTCTTCGGCCTGACCAGAACGGCATCATGGTCCTCCCAGTTAACTGGAGACATAACCTGTCCTTCGAGGACGGGGGTCCCATGCGAGAGGAAGATCTGGTGAGCCGCCCCATGGACGGCTTTACGCTGAAAGACATAGAGCCGGGCTCCATCCCAGCCGTCCGGAGCATGATATCCGATGTCATGTTCGACATTCCTTTCTACATGTCTCACCACAAGCCCAAGATGATCCAGGCCATGATTGGAGAGGCCAATCGTGTATACCGTCTGTGGTGCAAGAATAACCCCAGCTTTTCCAGCCGGGGCAGGGTCCACCTTATCGGCCACTCCTTGGGCAGCGCTATGGCCATCGAGGTTCTATCAAAGCAGCCGACTATCCCACCCTCTCCTGACCTTGAAAGGCTATTAGTGCAAACGACTCACTTTGAATTCGACACGAAGAATCTCTTCCTTCTCGGTAGTCCGGCAGGCTTCTTCCTCCTGTTGGAACGTGGGCGTCTGGTGCCCCGGCGTGGTCGGCAGAAGCCCGGCGCTGATCCCTCTGACACAGTGGCCAGCAATGTGGTTGGTGAGACTGGCACCTTTGGATGCCTCGCGGTCGACAACATCTACAACATCCTGGCCAAGGAGGACCCCATTGCGTATCTGCTCAACGGTGCTGTCGACCCTGTTTACTCCTCGAGTCTCAAGACGGCATACGTTCCAGCTGCTAGTACGGGGTTCTTCCAGTCAATTGGGCAGAGTGTGCGCCGCGGTTTTGTGCCAAGCGCTTCTGCTGCCAGTGCCGCGGCCGCACCCCATACCATCAAGCCTCCCACCGTCCGACTCCCCTCCCAGCTGGAACTCGAAGTTCACGACTTCACTCGTGAGGAGATTGCCGAACGTAAAGCCTATCTGCTCAACGACAACGGCCAGTTAGACTACTATCTTCGGTCTGGCGGCGGGCCTTTGGATGTCCAATACCTCAACATGCTTAGCGCCCATACAAGTTACTGGACAAACCAGGATCTGATTCGACTAATTTGCACAGAAGTGGGTAGAAGGCCGGGCAGGGCCAACACACTGCCCGGCATGAGAGCTGTGAAGGCAGCACGGCGCATTGTACCTGCCCCTAGGTGATGGACATGCCCGTGAACACCGTATCGGCGGAGCTGGAGAATGGCGTCCTCCCACAATAATTGGAGAGAGAAGAATGGAAAAGGTGGAAGTGTGACGACGAAATTAGACATATTGCATACAGCATGCGCAGATACCCCGGTACTTTTCACTTTTGTAGTCATGTGTCAGGAGTCATGTGTCAGGTAGATCTACATCTATCTCATGGAGTTCAAGAGGCTGGGTGAAGGCGACCTAGAATTACTACAGATGGTCAGTTTAGACAGTATCCAGCTCCATCATCCCACACTCCAAATCGTCGTCGTCCATGCCATAGTCATCGCCATCGACGGCCCTAGAGAGAGGAACGGCCGTGGGTCCCTCCTGAGCCTGCTGCAACTCGAGGATCCTCTCATGGTCCGCCTTCTCTTGGTGCTTCCTCAAATCTTCGGGGCTCCAGGTGCTGATGCCCTCTTGGTCCTTAGCACGAAAGGGCTGCGCCATGTCTCTCAGAAACTTCTTGGCGCTGCTGATGGCCATGTCAGTGCTGAGGTTGGTATCGGCATCTGAAAGGGCCTGGTTGATCCATTTTGGCAGCTGTGGACGCTTCTTTTGGAACCTTCGATCAGCCAGCACCATGATTCCATAGTCGTCCTTGCCGCGCAAGACTCGGCCCAGGCATTGTGCCGCATGTCGCATCGCGTCGAAGGATAAGAAGTCGTTTTCTCTAATTCGATACGTTTCTCGCAGAAACTCAAGGCGGGCCTTGAGGATACGCGATTCGGTGTACTGAAAAGGGACGCCAATAGAGAGCACTGTTCTGCCATACTGATGGTCGAAATCGATGCCCTCGGACACCTTGCCGCGGGCGACACAGAGAAGAACAGCACCCCGGCCGTTACAGCACGCCGTGCGGTATGTCTCGAGAGCCAGCGATGTTTCCTGGGCATCCGGGGTCTCGACGAGGATCAGTTTGTATTTCCAGACTTCGTCCAAAATGCCCATTCCCTGCCACATGCTGATAATCGACTCCATATAAAGATAGGAAGGAAAGAATACGACCATCCCATCAGGTGTGATCTTGGCAAACTCGGTCAGAAGGTTGCCGTAGTTGCGAACCACGCTCGGCTCGTTACGGACTTGGAAACTGGTGGAGATGGATGCTTGATCGCTGCCGCGGGTGACAATCATGGGCAAGAACGACTTTCTTGCAAGTGTCATGCTGTAGGATTCCTGTACTACGGTGGAGAAGCCAAGCATCTTTGGGTACATTTCCAGGGGAGAAATAGTGCCGGACGTGATGATGACAGAACTAAACCTGTCAAAGACAGGCTTGATAGCAATAGCAGCATCCAGGCATGTGAAGTGGAGGACAGGGTTGGGAACTTCGGCAGTGTCTGACTCGAATGGTTCCAGTATGAGCAGAAATCCTTTCTCGTACGTGGCAACCAAGGTCGCGAAGGTGGCGACTTCTTGCAGCGGCTGATAATCCTCGATATTCGTGAGCTCCAAGGTCCTCACTAGAGATGTCAAGCGCTCAGCGCAGAACCTCAAGGGCTTCTTCTCTATAAAGGTGTATTCCTTGAGATGGGCGAGGAACGAGGGCGGCGTCTCCGAGATGACTTGACGGACTTTCATTCGCGTCTAAAGATAGGTTAGGAGGATGCAAATAAACTGGGGTGCGAGAGGCAACAAACCTTTAGATACTCGATGAACCTCTTGAGGAACGCCACAAAGTGATCTGCTCTACGAATGTTGCCGGGCACCGCCTCGTTTAGGAGATCATCAGGAAGAACTGCACGCTTCCCTGTCAATTTTCCGGGGTTCGGGTGCTGGCAGCGGCAGAAGTCTTTTGCTTACCGGGGTTGGCCATGAACGCATCCTCCTGGCGAGTCTCGTCGGCTTCTCTTAGACCTTCAACTAGTTTCTGATATTCGTTCTCGAGCTGTTTCCGGTCCGTGTCCCTCATTTCACTAATCTTTCTCTCCAGATTCTGGGCACCTCTCGTCGCTTTTCTCAGCGAATCTTCGGTGATGTCAGTACTCAACGACTCAATGCACACATTGTCGATATTGTGGGCCTCGTCGAAGACGACGATGCAGTCCTTGGAGAGCTCCTTGGAGACTCGTTCCGCAATTTTGGGATCCAAGAGATAGTGGTACGAGTATATGATGACGTTGCAGAATTGCATCTGGGAGGATGGTCAGTGGGGCTACTGGGAAGGGGCAGTGTCCAGGTGGACCAACCATTCGCCTCGAAGTGAAGTAAGGGCATTGCTTGTGCTGCTCGCCATAACGGAGAAGGCCGTCGAGAGTCCAGACTCCGTTGGGTATCAGGTTGTGTGGCTCAAGTAAATCAAGGTTCTGAGTGCCGGTCATGGTCGTCAGTCTAGGCAACGGTGAAAGAATGGGGTGTAGCAGCGTACGTCATGGTAAATGCAGACGTCAACTTCTTCGCCTCGGTCCTTCTTCTCCTTGACAAAACCGGCTGTTAGGCTTCGGCACCTTGCATCAACCACAGCACCGCTCTTCTCTCGCTTGACCGATGGGTGGAGGCAGAGATTCTTGCGACTGGTCAAGCCGAGACCTCTGAACTCTTCCTCATGCCCGAGCCTCGATGCTCGAAACTTCATGAGGGCTTTGAGCTCAGCAAGGGCTTTCTCGATCTCTGACATGGTACCTGTGGTCACATTAGCACTCCATTTCAAGTCTCAACCTGGGCGAGCGAAGCTCGCGAGTGAAGCTACGTACGCGAGCAGTAAATGAGTTTCCTATGTTCCGGGTAGTATTGCTGGTAGGCGACGATCAGGGACAGCAAAGACACTGTCTTTCCCGTGCCCGAGGGCATCTCCAGGACACAGTGGCCGCCGGCATCAAGAGTCTCTGCTTATTGGTCAGAATTTGCTCGGCGAGGATGAGGGTGCGCAGTCTAGGCGATTGGATAAAGCTAGCTTGGCTTACTCTTGAGATCGCGCATGTACCTGTGATCGAACGAAGTGAGCATTGCGTGTCCCAAGCCCGGGAGCGACTGGACTGGATGTCCTTGTCAATACAGGGTCCAGAGTAAGACTCACTCATATTGCTCTACATGTTGATGCGTCAGTGACAGCGCGGCGAGGATCAGCCTCTAAGAAACGCTTCAGGATCTTACCTGGGTATATCCTTGGGTAAGGAAAGAGGACTGGCAAGTCCCTGGGTCCTAATTAGCACACGGCACAGTCGCTTTCAAGCTCCGACCTCATCGCTTACTCGATGTTGAACTCCATGGCGTCGCCTTCGGACCCTGACGGGTGCGAGAGAGGACTAGACCGGGTGTCGAGGTGGGCTCGAGAACGGCATCACGAGTTGGACGCCGAGATGCTCGAGTACCAGCAAGAGCTGGCTGGCGCAACCGCCCGGGCCGTGTATACGGTTGATAGTCTTGTGCAGCAATGGAAAGGTACGACCGTTCCGACTATGTCCTCTACTTCCTTCGCGCGGAGAATACAAGATTGCAAGACGACCAGCGAGCGTGGACTTGAGCTGTTGTTGCCTGGCGGAGCACGACTGGTGATTATGTCATCTTTTCTTCCAACTGTCATTGACAACAGTTAGGAAAGTCACATGACGGGCTGATTAGATAAGGCCCGTTTCCTCCTCTCCCCCACATCAATTGAAGTCCAGGTCAAGACGTCGCTCTGGTTCGTTCCCGATGTGTCTTGACCGGCGGCATTGATGGCATCACAGAACTTGCAGACCCGTCAAACTTGGCTGCAGCTTCCCGCCTTGCGCCGCTCTCGTGCATTTACACTTGCCAGAAAGTAGGCATTGAACCCGTGCCGCCAACCATGCTCTCGGAGCTTGGAGGCCGGCCGCACCGCTGCCGCGCGCCGTTTGCAGCGCTCGGCAGGACATGGCCGGGTTTGCAGGTGCCGATGCCTGGCTGCCTACCTGCCTACCTGCTACCCGCATGGGTCAAACTGGTAGTCAGTCCTTGTATCGGCCGAGCGTTGTGTAGGCTAGCGCAGCCCTGGAGAATTCCCCTCCGCGTGAAACGGCCTTTCGCTGGCGTGACCGGGTCGTGTCGATACCGGGGTATGGTGGCAGTGCCATGTGGTGGCGGGCAGGCGATAGCAGGTTCGATCCGGATCCTGATTCCATCTCCATTTGTCCGTTTGTAGAACACCACCCGTCCCGATGCACCAGGGCCCAGAGGCAGGAGATGGTAGACCGCTTCGTGTCTATCTCAAGAGTGTAGTCAAGTTTCTTTCGGGCACTGAGCTGAGTGGTGCATTTCCCCGATGGCCATTGGCTGCTCCGTATTAGAGGTCCCAAGGGAATCTATGAATTGTGCACAGCGATTCTACTTGTACGAAGGATCAGGGCATTGGGCTACTGCCGGTGGTGCCAATCATGTAGCCGCGCTAGCAAGCGAGCAGTCTTCGGCTCCTGAGATAATAACTACCTATACTTGTAACATTGAACTACAAGTACAAGATTGTGTCGAAGGATCCACGGACCTTTTGCCAGGCCGCTCGTTCTCTACACCCACCCGTTGATTCGCCCGCCCGGTTGGCGGTTGGGGTAGCACACGGGTGACGACAGGCATCTGAATCCTTCCCCGACCGACCACTCCCCTCTTTTACGTTGAATGGCAGTCCGCCTTGCCATCGAATGTGATGGTGTCAAGGGATCCGGCCAATGAGAAGGACGACCCTGCAAATTAGAGATTGATTGCACCGGTAAGAAATATGCACTTGCAAAATGCATTCCCCAAAGGTCATCTCGAGCGGGGGCTGGAGCTGTGGGCGAGAGGGTGGAAGGGTCGTCGGTGCCGCGAGATGGGTACACGTGCGAGACGGAGTGTCCTCCTGGCATTTCGGCACCGATCGGGCAGAGAAAACGCAAAAGCACATTGATTGTCTGGATCTGTGCGGGCGTGTGTGTGCAGCGACGCCTTGCTTACGGAGTAACTACTTGCAACGCGCCTCTCTTACTCTGACTTTTGCCCATGCTGCTTGTTTAACGCGCGGCAGTGCAAGCCGATCTCGGCTACCGTCTTCTTTTCTATTCTGTGTCACCCCAGACGATCAGACAACATGCATCTGACTCGCTGCCGAGTTCCAAATTGCTCACCACTCCAACGGTGTGGCTGTGGCCTGTTGAAACATGGCATTGTCTGGTCCTTTTGGGGGCTGTTGGGGGCTACCCGTGATTCCGTGAATAGGGTGGCCTGGTCTCCCCTGGAGCTTGTGCATGGCCATACTGCAAAGTGTGGATGGGTAATGTACCTACCTACCTTAGGTAGGTAGTTAGGTATAGGCCCTGAACTGCGTTCCGTCGCTGGACAACTTGACAGCCCAAGCCGAGCCACTGCGCACGCATTGGAGACAGGCAACAAGGACAACCGTGGGTGTTCGGGGCGGCTATCCCAGGCCCAGGCCCAGGCTGTTCGTCTGGGAGGCGATGGCGATCTTTTGGGAGAGGCGCATGCTGAGCATCCCTGTCATGGACACGGATCCCCGGGCCACTGTCTTGGAGTGCTCAAAGGACAGCATCATCAAGCCTGGCAAAGGTGGCGGCAGTGCCTGCATGCACACGGCGCCTGATTTCGAGCCCAGTGGACCAGGGCAGATGGAGCCAGCCATTGTTAGGTAGGAAGGTACTATGCAGGTAGGTCCGTAGGCAATTGGCAGGTTTACTGGAGGCACGGATAGGGAAACAGAATGTTCGGGAATAGACTGCCTGTCTCGATCTACAACGGGACGACCCACTGCAACGGTTGACTACAACATGTAAGGTTACCTACTTGTACAGAGCCTATTGTACAGGACCCAGGTACACACCGAGACGACGCATAGATAAGCGCAACCACTAAGGTAGTTATCTGGGCTGCTTGGGCAACTCACCCAAGTAGGTACCGATATTCCGAGGCATGGAGTGGACAGGTAGAAAGAGTCGGGTCGGAAAAGCCGACGAACCTCGACCAAGGGCCGGTTCACATCCGAGTCTTGTACAAGTAAAATGAAAGGAAAATCCCAAGGCACAGCAAGCTGCTGCTCCAGGCCGCCCTACCTAGTTGCCCTGTATCGCTCCCAGAGCGACGGGCGACAAAGATGAGTGTTGGTACGAACTTCGTACTTGCCCACCTCTGAGCCCTATGAACGCCGGAGGGGTAGGGGTAAAAGGGGGGTGCACGAAACACAAATGAGCTCTCCTTGTACTTGTAAGTGTTTGTAGCTACAGTACATAGGCAGCTGAATGAGTGGCATGATCCTGAAGAAAGGCTCTTGCATCCTGGCCCTTGTTCACCAAGAGAAGTTGGGCTCGAAACGAGGGCACGACCCAGCAAGGCATGGCATCATCGACGAGGTCCTGACATCCCAGCGGTGGGCATTTGAGACTTGGAGTCTGTTGGCATCTTCCAGAGTGTGTGAATCGCACCCACAGTAGCGGGATAAGGACCCGCTCGCCGGGGGCCCCTCAAAGTTGTGACGCCCACAAGAGTGCTGTCACGAGAAGAGTAAAATTAGAGGCGGTCGGCAATGATGTGCAGGACATGTGTGCTGATCTCTCGACCGAGGTTGGACCCCTACTTCGTTGCTCAGCTACTTCCGTCATGTAGGTAATGAATGTAGTTGGTAGTCGGAAGGAAGACAGAAAGCACAGGGCGGTGCGTCATCGCGAGAGAAGAGCGCATGCAGATTTGGTGGCAGGTAATGTACCTAGGTAGTCGAGTTAAGGTGGTGCCAGCAGAGCAGAGGTGAGAGAGCTGGTGGGTGGGTGGCAGGTACCCGTCGACCCGTGGATGTACACAGCCCGCCGCCCGCAGCGCAGCGCGTTTAATGGCGTGTATTTTGTGCGGGATGGAACGGGCGATCTCGTGCGGGATAGGGCGGGCAGGGCGGGGGGCCTTGACTGTTCGGCCCACTCAATGTGTTGGGTTTCCGGCCGGATTTCGGGTTTCCGCCATGCCATGTGCTTGGCCTTTCTTGGAGTGCTTGGCTTGTGTGAACGCCATCTACGAAGGGAAGGCCCCGAGCCTCCGAGATAAGGTGCTACCTTCGTACGTGCATCTATGTCCTTGATGGACAGAGCCGGAAGGGGTGGGCATTGAAGAATCTACCCCTTGCTAGTTGCTCGAGACGGCGCACATCGTGGACCGGATCAGCGAGAGTAAGGAGAGTGGGAAGAGTGAGAGAATCGACAGGAACGTGCCCGGTCAGTTGGTGTATTCCGGGTACTCGAGTTGAGCACAGAGCCGTCAGGCAATCGAATTCTCGAGGATGGAAGAGGAATAAGGGACGAGGCAAGTCGGTCAGGATCTTGACCTGCTTTACGTACTTGATTCCCGGCTTGGAGAGGCTAATGTACCTACCATCACCGACTCATTTGCACGTTTTACCCTGCTCTACTTAGCGGCCTACTCTGCATTGGGTGCTTTACTTGACAGAGAAATAGCACCTTTCCTCATTCTCCAGAGGGGGGTTTGTAACTAGCATGGACAAGCCACCCTTTCCTCTTTCTGCATGTTTACGAAGAGCCAAGACACCTAGTGCTAGCCGTTGAGAGATCAAATCCGACCAGATGACGGCCCACCACTAAGTTACAAGTAGATCTGGATGGCGATCCCTACAAATAGGCTCGAAGCCGCAGAGAAGACACACGAGAAGAAGAGGAAAGAGAGAGAGGGACGGAGAGAAACAGAGAGGGGGGATAGACGAGAGGCAACTAGTTACGACTACGCTGCGCGCATCGGCTTGGTCGAGGTAAATACATCACAACTCCAGGGACGCTGACCCCTGTCCTGTCTGTCACCGATATTGCAGAGTCGTCGGGAAATACAATACTACAAGTACAAGCAAGCAAGCAAGGTAGGCTAGTCGGTTAAAGCACATGCAAACATGCCCTCTATCTTGTACGCAGGCATTAGCTTGGAAGGCCCCACGGCGAGCTGCCAGGTCCCCAGCTAGCGATTGCCAGAGGGAAGCCTCGGGCTCGACTGATCGATCTTCGCTGCAGGGGGGCTAATTATGTCCTCGAGGGTGGAGTCACTGGAGTGGGAGGTTGGGGCTTGGTGGATCATGATGGTGTTTTCCACGAGCTCCAGCGCCATGTACGAATGCTGTATGCAAGTGGCCATGGTCGCCTTGGTCGCCAACCGTTGATCAGTCGGTCTGGCTGGGTATCGCCATCGAGGAACCTGCGACGATCAGGGATAAATTTAGCATGCCTTTGACTGAGGAGCATTGTTTGAATTCACATGCCCAAGGTAACTACTCTACGCGAATCGAATACCCAATGTTTCTCACCCAAGATAGAAGCACCGTCTCAAGCAAGCTCGGCAAGGCAGTCCGCTAGTCCAGGTTTCACCGAACAGGTTCGAATGATCGACACCGCCTATTCCCGTGCCCGAGAGAGCTCTCTTGGTGATCTATGGATAGAAGCAGAAGCAGAAGCAGAAGCAGAAGCAGAAGCAGAAGCAGAAGCAGAAGCAGAAGCAGAAGCAGAAGCAGAAGCACGCCCGAAAAGGACCGAAGCAGATAGTTGGACCGATGGACCAGGTCGAGGCCCGGGACCACAAACCGCTCATTACGGGTTGTTCCTTAGATCTCTGGCTGCATGAAACCCATCTCCGGATCTCGGTACTGCTTGTGCGGCGTGCTCGTGCTGTAGCTAGATCCAGTTCGGCCGAGTCGTGTATGAGGGCCCGAGGGGGGTTGGGAACCCTTGGGAACCTGGGAGCCGACAAACTTGATACCAAGCAGATCTTCCAGCTTGCCCGCTGTTCCCTAGTGGGCTCCGCAGAAAGGCTATCGGTGGCCATATCCCGAGGACAAGGTTGGCCGCGATCCTTGACCCACAACAAAAGGGCTACAAGGCATGCGTCGGTCAGCACGAGATCGAGATATGACGCCTCCCCCTATGTTCCTTCCCTGCACGGTCCGCGGGCATCGTCGGCATTGGCCATTTGTGGCCTCGACTACCAGCAGTTGAAGAGATCCGCGCAAGCTCCCGCTGGGGAACGAATGTGTTGGTTGATAGGCGCGCGACGGCTCGGTGCTGAGTTGCGGGTAGGGGTACAGTAGCATACCCGGGCATGCGCGCGCGGTGTACAAGTAGGCAGTGACCTAGTTGTACGTCGACTATGTATGTGCACCCCTGCACCCTGCCAAAACGGGGCCATCATGCAAACAGACCTTTTGGTTCAGGATAGGGCTGCAAAGGGTACAAGTCCGGATTCCAGACGTGGGCGAGGTTCAAGGTTGGATCCATGGCCAGCTCGACTTGGGCGCGTTTCAAGCAGTCGGTGCTTGCTTCCCATCGAGGCGCCGCTCGGGAATACACCCGACCAAGACGACCAAGACGAGTGACTGACGAATTGATAATATCACCCACTCAGCCAAAGATGACGTCGTCGAGGGGACCGCGATGGTACACAGGTCTCGGTGGTGTTGCAGGATCAATCGACGTCGGGTCGGTATCCACCACCTCTTTAGCCCAGTAGCTTAAAATTGGCAGTTGTTGTTTCATCCATGGGTGCTTAGCCGGGCTGCTAGACGCAACTAGGTAGCTCCGAAGCTGCTAACCTGCCCTACAGGGGGGCAAAAGAGAACAGACTCCCAGGGCTGGGATGGATCGGGTGGGTGCCCCTAGGCTAGGACTGGCATGCCTACGTACAGGCGCCAATAGGGAAGCGGCAAATACGGAGACGGGGAATGGAGGGGAGGGAGGAAGAGGAGGAGGAGACATCTAGACAGACGCGTGAAGATCCATCCGTTGGGGTCCATCCATGGATTTTTCCCATTTATTTTCTGCACAGATACCCACAAGGTTTGCCTGTCCCCCTGTTTCTGGGCGACCTACCTACCTTGCCTACCTTGCCTACGAAGTACCTAGCCTCTACGGAGTCACTACCTACCTCCAAGCCAAGCGAGCCAAAAAAGCGACGCCGAACCAAAGCTGCTCGGGTCCTTATCCCAAGTATCCATGCCAGGGATCCCAGCTTTCCCCGTTTTCTCTCTCGCGCTTCTCGCTTCTCGCTTCCTTCCCAACATCCAAAAGTCCCCTGGGAGCGCGCCGGCGCGCGGCCGAAGCGGGTAATTCTCATCCAGGTAGGTACCATGCCTACATCATGCCTAGCGGGCCTACGTGCCTAGTGATATGTACGGAGTGCGAGAAGATACCTTACCTACCTAACTACATGGCCTGTTTTGTAGTGTAGGTCCTGGACCTGGTATCGCTCTCCCCCCGTCATCCTCTTTCCTCTCCTCCTCTGTCTACTTGCAAGTACAAGTGTTATTATGGCTTACACGCTTTGTTCGAGGTGATATGACACCCGTCGTCAACGGGCCCCTCTGCTCTCATCTACCTCCTTGACCGTAGGTAACTGCGGTGCATCTCCAGTTTCGTCTAGACCACAGTTGTTCAGATTCTCTCTCTCTCTCTCTCTCTCTCTCTGTCTCTCTCTCTATGTATATATATATATATATATACGCAGAGAGCAGATGTCAGTCCAAGGCAGAGCCAGGGTGCTATGGCTTGGATTGACTGACCCCCTTGGCATCATCTGAGGAGACCAGTTAGTCACCTCGAGTCCTGCCCCAAGGCAACCTTGCTCTTCTCTTCAACAACGCTGTGTGGTTTATGCTAGTGCCGCTCCATCCACCATGTTGGCTCTCATGCCACCCCCGTGTGTTGCAAGCGACCGACCCAGCCACCACGCCCAATTTGGCCTGTCAACGTCTATTCGTGCTTCCGTCATGCTCAGCCGTTGTGCCAGCGGCCAGCGGCCAGGGGCCATCCCCGTTGATCCTCCACCCCGGGACCCCCCCCCCCCCCCCCTGCACCACTCAGTCTTCCCGCCGCTTCGGAGGGTGGGTGTGGTGTCGTTGGCTCGCCATACCTACCGTGTACATACCTCCATACAAGACACTCTCCTACCTAGGTACCCAGTTCCACCCTAGTCCACTCTGTGGTGCTTTATTTTTACTCCGAGACTGGGATCCTATCCTCCTCCTTCGTTCGTCGTCCTCCTCGTCTGTTGTCCCGCAGGTATTCTTGTTCTTGTTCTAATGTCTATTTGGGGAAGCTCCTAGTTGGAACCCTCACACGATTCCCTCATCATCATCACTCTGATCTCGGGCCATGACCAGGGGTGACATACCTTTTTTCCAACTAATTCGGCAACTCTACATCATATCACTCTCTCGTCTGTGGGGTCTGCCGCTCGAGTCTTGCCCTCGCGTGAAGCTCCCGGGATTCTGCCTCACTATATGTAAATAGGGCACGACTTACGGCAGCCGTGCCCTTCTCACACCCACTTCTATCCATACAACCCAGCGTCTGCGCTTCTTCTGTCGCTTATCCCGCTGCGCCGTTGCGGCAGGTCTTGGCACTATCTTTCTCTACCGCGAGCTAGTCGTCGCTTTGACTTATATCTCCCCAGAGCTCCGCCATCAGCAGTCTGTCCTGCTCTCGTCGTGCCTTCAACGCCCGTTACGTTGCCTGCGCGACCAAGTTTCTTCGCTTCTCCTCGCTTCCGGCCACAGTTCCCAACCACAACTTCCACATCTCCCCCCCGCCCCCTTCGCAAGCCCGGTCTGTTTGTGAATTCTGGGCCGTCGTCCCCTGTGGCTGACTGCCTCCCGACAGCCCCTCGGGCTGCTCCCCCCTCGGCGACTGTATTATCTGACTCGCCTCACCACTGGAGGTGGCCGGGCTCTTCTACGGCAACAGTGTTGCGGCCAGAACAGCGCACTGCGAGTTTTCAGTCCGTCATGGACCTTACACCTCCTTTGACCAGATCGCCCGCCTCCCCTCCAAACTCCTACTGTCCTTCCGAGGGATCGTCCCTGGACTACCCTTCTCCTGGCCTCACCACGCAACATTACAGGCTTTCATCGCTGTACAGTCGGGACCTGTCCTGCGGCATGGCACCGCCCATGGACTCGGAGCATGCACTACCTCCACTGGATGCCCTGGGTCAGGCCGAATGGAGTCAGTCTGCGCTCTTGCAGCCCGCGTCAACATCGACCGCGATACCTAGCATGGTTTCGGCGGAATACGACGCCTTTGGAGGTTATCAGCAGCACCTACCTCATCACTACGGTGCCGATGTCTATGTAGCACACGCGGCACAGGAGCCTGCCCTGTCCGCGACGCCCCCCAACAGACACTCGCTTTCAAGATCTCCCATACCCCCCATCTCGAGGCCGCAATTCGCACCCGACATTCCGTCCTCCGGCCTGGGTGCGCCTCGGGTGAAACTGGAGCAGCATCCCGACTACTCACTCACTGACATGTCCCAGTATGCCGCGCCTCGAGCACTGCCCAGCCATTACAACACAGACCCTGACGCCTACATCTCGGCCTCAGGGGGGTATATTGCAGAGAACCAGATGTCCGCGTGGGGGAAGCCAGAGTATATTCCTGTCGACGCGGATCCCTACTACGGCGGAGCGTCCGGCCATCCGGACGCCGCGATGCAGGATCGCTCCGCCAAGGGAGGTGCCCGCCCTCGGCGGACGCCGCGACGGCTGACCACCAAAGAGGAGGCCAACTTCCAGTGCGAGGTCAAGGGCTGCGGGAAACTGTTCAGTAGAAGCTACAACTTCAAGGCCCACATGGAGACTCACGACGAGAAGCGCGAGTATCCTTTCCCTTGCCAAGTGCACGGGTGCAGCAAGAAGTTTGTGCGCAAGACCGACTTGCAAAGGCACCATCAGAGCGTGCATATGAAGGAGCGAAACCACAAGTGCGACTACTGCGGGCGCCTGTTCGCTCGCAAGGACACTCTGAGGAGGTAAGGACGCTTGACACCAGCAGGCTAGCGGTGGGACAAGGCCATCATCTCTAACATCATCTCCCCAGGCACATGGACGACGGCTGCTCCAAGCGATTTGACATTGGAACTCTTGATCTGCGCACGGAAAGCTACGAAGGCCCGGGCTCCATGGGGCGTACTACACCCAGTGTGGTGGGGCATCATCCCGCGTCGTCGAGGCCGCTCCCTTCTCTCTCGTCGTCGGCATCTCTGGCACCGACCGAAATGTTAACGGCAATGCCATCACCCATGGTTCGAATGCGCCATGACCACCAGCCTCTGGAGAGCCAACCGTGGGATCGAAGGCTGGGCTGACAGCGAGACGTATCCCGGAACAAGGGGGGGTAGGCGTGCACGCATTTGATTGACGCCCAAGCGTGGGCAGCCCAGGCTGACACTGAGCTCGAATATTCTGATCAGCTCATTCGCGCATGGGCTGTCACCGGGTCTCAAAGAGCTGCGGGGTGTGTTGATGCGACCAAAGCTTGCAAAAGCGCCTCCGCAGTCCACTATCCCGTCCTACATGAGCAGATGCCAACGAGCCCGTCGTCCAACTCAGAAGTACAATCGCAACGCTAGAGTGCCGCTCCATGCAACAAGCACCTCGGCTGCACTGCGACCATCAAGGGCATTTGAAGATGCTAGCTTCGAGGAGGAAAAGGCATGTGCCTAGCCGGGTGCTGGTGACATGATACCTATGACGATGGATTGATAGGATCCATGAATAGACCGCTGGGTCCGGAAAATGAAGAGCGCTGCTCATGACTACAGCTTCCGAGAATACGAGTACTGCTTATGCGAGCTCATGCCGTTGTATTCTTTGACCCCCTTCCTAGCCCTCTCTCCTTTTCGGGACGGACGTACAGGTACACACAAGGACCCTGCCCCCCCCCCCCAATGTGCAGCCCTCCTACTGTCGTGCCAGAAGACGTGTCCATGATGTAGAGGCCTGTAGGCAACAGCGCAGGCGGCTTTGTTTCCGAGAAACCCTTTTAAGTGGCGAGTTTGTTCGGCTGTGGTAGGCACTTACAGCATAGACGATGGCACACAGGACATGCACTGGATCCCTCTCTCGCCTCATGTGCATCCTGTCCCCTGGGCGGGCAACTGGAGAGAGAGTCCGTGACTCGTCAAGCCGCACGTGCTCGTGTGCAACGAGCAGCCCCAGTGTTACACACTGCTAAGATTAGACGCCGAGCTCTCAAGGGTTTCTTGTCTTGGAGCAACCCCCCTTCCCCTCTGACGTACATATACGACGTTAATCGAATGATCCTATACCTACATGTCTGCCATGCTGCCTAGGATCGCCGGTAGTGTGTATTCATCATTGGTGGCTGAAAGAGGACATTTGTCCGATGTTGTTGCCGTGGACCGGGCCAAGTTAAGTACACCGCCATAAGCAGAGCCAACAAAGAAAGTCACGGCGGCGAACTAGCGGGAACCGGGGGGTCAGAGAGCCATATTGGTTCGCGCGCGTATGCCTCGCCTCGTCAGACGTGCTTCTCCCATATGGGCTGCATGCGTGATGGAGGGGCGGGGGGTCGACGGTAAGAGTGCGAGACGACAAGGCAATTGAAGCGCTGGATAGCGAAAACGCCCAGGCATGCATAACTACGATTTGTCTGTCCCAGATGGGCCTTACTCCGTACATGCCTCGTGCAACACAGCCATAAGCGCATAATACACAATGGATTGTCTTTGCCAACTCTCTTTACGTAGAAGGCGAGTACTCACGTCAAGTCAAGAAGTGTACGCCAAGAGGTGCTTCTCTACCTAAGTTTGCTACCTACTTTATGTATGCAAGGACCTAGCCAGATCGTCTTCGGCTACAGCGCGCGCGTGCACTCATGCTGGTAGTAGTAGGTAGCGGAATGGTAAGCGCATGTGTGAGACATGCCCTCGTTCAGGTAGAGGTGAAAAGAAGACACGGAGTGAATAGAGGGGAGGGCGGGGCTGTGCACGACCCTAGGAGGCGACTCGCACACGGCTTCCACCTTCCCAGCGAGATGTAGACCTGTCCTTGAACCAAGCTCGCTCCTGTTTCTTGCGGAGTACTATCCCCATACGCTTCGTCGCCGAAGCCCCTGGTTGCACAATCAGCTGTTGCGGAAAACACTGATTGGAGGCAATATTCGCCGGCTTGTAATATATTAGCGCCTTTTGCCATTACTCACTCCAAGTAGGCTAGAGATAGAGTCTAGCTTTCTAACGCAACGTCAAAGGACTCGGCAAGACTCATAGGTGAGTTCTGAGCTAGTACAGTGTTCGGGCCCTATGGGCCAGGCTTGGGAGAGGCCGACCCCCAGAGCACTGATGAAACAGGCCGCCGGCCGGTCTCTCAAGCCTGTCGCTTGTCATCCATCTCTTCCATGGCGCTCAAGGCATGCTCTTCGCCTGGGCCCAAAAGTTGTCCATCCTCACCCGTGCGAGCACCTCGCGCGCCTCTGCGTCTGTCTCGCAGACCCGGCTACCCCACTTCCGGAAAGCTCTGTTCTTTACCTCGCCTTCGAAAACCAGCTTGCATTCGTTTCGAGATAGATCCCGAAGCCCACCCGCCTCGTCTTCCGCCATGAGCCACTGCCGCAGTGACTCCCGTTTGGTGCCAGAATCACGCGACGGTGCATTCTCAGTCCAGTCAATCCTGCCGAGCATGAGCTTTCTGTACTTTTCTATAGCCCACGAGCCGCCCTCCACAATCACCAGATTGAACTTGGGGTTGAGGATGGTGATGCCAGTCAAAGCCAACTGCTCAGCATTGACGCCAACCTTGTACCGATTCTTGCCGTTGGCGAGACTGCCAATCTTGAACACCATAATGTGTAGGCCCTTTGCAGCGTCTTTTTCTTGGTTTGCTGCCAGCTTTTCGTGTTTCTGCTCCTTGCTGAGTTTGCGGTCCTCGTTTGTCTGCAAGTGCTTCTGGTGCCTGTCGGCAATCTCCCGGTTGACGCGAAGCTCAACCGCGCTCGGATCTGCGACGAACTCCTCAGAATAGACACGCATCATGTTGTTCTTCTTGACCTTCGGCGGCGGCGCCGGGACCAGGCCCAGACGAATCTTGGCTTGTTCTTCTTTCAACTCTGCACCTCGTCGTTGCCGCCGCAGCTTGGCCTGCTCTTTGGAAGTGAGATACATCGGTTTAGCCGCCGGCGTGTTCTTGTCCTGCGGCGGCTCGAGGGCTACTGGGTGCTGGATGAACTCGGTGATGATGCTGTCCTCTGTGCCGATCTTGAGTCTGTTGACTGGATCATCGTCTCCGTAGCTGGATCCACCGACCAGTCCTTCGTCCCACCACTCGATGTCTGGGGGTTGTTCAACCACGAAGTTCTTCTCAACATCTAGGTCCTCGTCAATACCAGCCTTCCGCGTCTGTTCGGCGATCCGCTTCTTTAGCGCTTCCAACGCTGCCTGCTTCCGGAGCGCATTCGCCTGTTGGATGTATTTGCCCTTTTGATTGAAGTTCAGTTGCCTTGACTCTCTTTGTTTGCCAGAACCTCCCTGGTGTGCGGTACTGCTGTCGAGGTATGGGTTTCTTCGAACAGTGCTTGCGGCAGACGTAGGTGCACCATTCTGCAGTCCCTTGGAACTAGCTTTGAAAGGCTCGACACTATTGCGAAAGCTGCCGGCGCGTCCAGCTGGTGCTTTCGTGTCGCCTTGTTTCGTGGTAAGCCCTGGACCTTGGGCGAGATCGTCAAGGGCTGGGTGAAGACCGACGTTGAGTCCACCTTTCGCCTTGCTGCCACCTATGGCGGCCGCAACACGAGCCTTGAGTGCAGCCATGCGATCCGCAGCCGACTCTGGCTTTTGTACTCGAGAGGTCGCGTCATGGCGCGGACCCAGACTGCTGGGTGTTTGGCTTCGGTCCATGGTCCCAGTTGAGGCGCGGCTATCGTCGAATCACTCCCCTCTAGGCGTCTATAAAACGCACCTCACACCTTGCGAGGTCTTCTATATGAGCAACAGTAGTCAGGCAGGTTGATGTCGAACAGGCCGTATCCAAGCGAAGCCGAGGGCGAGAAAAGGTATCAGCTGGATGCAATCGTCCGTGTTCCTCTGCGGCTCCTTCCTGCCGACCTCCGAGAAAGAACTGAAGATGCACCCGGGTGTCAAAATGGCGGTTCGACACAAGAACAAACAGGTGCTTGGGGTGTAAGGTACTTGTAGAGTTCTGCTTAGGTTGATGTTCTTAGTGCTGGAGACATTGGCTTTGGCGCTGAATGTTACCTAATGTTGCCTATCATCACGTGCATTGGCCCGCTAGGTACCCGCCTCAGGTCCACGGGTGTCGATGGAGCAAAAAGCTTTACTGCCCATCTCCACCGCCAAAAACTTTCAAACATCCAGACCTTGCAAGCAATATTTTTTTGCTATCATTCATCCAGCCCCGCCAACCAACGATCACCACAATCGCAAAGGAGCCTCGACTCAATCGGCGTCTTCGATGCTGGATAGCCTGGCTACCGTGAATTCTTGGTGAAACCGCCGGCACCGTCAAAACAAGGAGCTCTCGAAGCACCCTTTGAAGCGCACTCGGATGTACAGGTCGGCAGTATGAATATCTCACAGCCCGTCGCTTCCTCCGTGGAAAGCGTCGAGTTCACGTTCTTGTCGGCCGAAGAGATCCGGTCCATGTCGGTCCGTCGGATCGAAAATGAGAGCACCTTCGACACGCTGCTGAATCCTGTCCCTGGTGGTCTCTATGACCCTGCTCTGGGCTCCTGGGGAGATGCGCTGTAGGTCTCCCCGCCACGCGAGCTACCTGCCCTGCATTGTGAAGCTGACTGGACTCATATAGATGCACGACGTGTAACCTGGGCCAGCTACTTTGCCCTGGCCACCCGGGCCATATCGAGCTGCCGGTGCCGGTGTACCACCCCGTATTCATGGACCAGGTACTACGTCTCCTTCGAGCCGAATGTGTCTATTGCCACCGTTTCAGGCTGAGGGCCAAGGACCTCAACCGCTACGTGTGTAAGCTCCGTCTTCTGCAGCACGGCCTCCTCCACGAAGCTCGCCATATCGACGCCATTGGCGAGGATAATCTCGGCCTTGACATCCCGGGTGTGTCACAGGATCACATCTCCGAGGCAGGTGATGATCTCGACGCTGCAGTCGACGGCGCGATCCGTGCCAGGAACGCATATGTTCACAACGCAATCATGAGCCACCAGATCAGCCTAGGCGACATTCGCAAAGGGAAGCATGAAGGCGCGTCGGAAATGAGACGAGAGCTCGTCAAAGAGTTCCTCAAGGAAGTGGTTGCAAGCAGGCAATGTGCAAGCTGCTCTGGCATTTCCCCTTCTTACAGAAAAGACCGTTTCGTCAAGATCTTCGAGAAACCCTTGACGCCAAAGGAACAGGCTAAGATGGCAGCCGGCCGCTTCAAGCTCCGCGATGCGTTGTCTCTTCGTCAAAAACCCAAGCAAGCGCCGTCCGGATATCATTCCGACGAAGCCATTGCCGACGTTGATCAAGCATCCTCAGATGACGCTGAGACCGACGGGACAGAGGAGAGCGAGGATGGCGAAGACCTCGATGAGGATGGGAACATAGTGAAGCAGCCTCCGGACAACTCGACACGCAACGTGGACAAAATCCCGCCCAGGCACCGATACATCAGCGCCCAGGAGGTCCTTGAAAGGCTGAGGCTTCTTTTCGACAAAGAGCAGGAGATCTTGCATTTGGTATACAATTCCAAGCCAGTGTTGAAAAAAACTTTCAGGGTCACGCCCGAGATGTTTTTCCTTCAGACCATCCTTGTGCCGCCGAATCGGTACCGACCGGAAGCCCGCACCGGCGACTCTCAGATTGCCGAGGCATCCCAGAATTCTCTCTACAAGATGATCATGAGGGCATCGCTCAAGGTTGCCCAGATATCCCGCGAAATCACTGGGGAGAGCCTCGATAGAGCCGAGAGGCTTGGTGCACGACAGCCTCGGGACATTACTGCTCTCCACGAAGCATGGACGGAATTGCAGGATTGTGTCAATTCGCTCATCGACAGGAATAAGAACCCGGTGCAAGGCCAAGCTGCCAAGCGCAACGAGGAGGGTATAAAGCAGAAGCTCGAGAAGAAGGAGGGGCTGTTTAGAAAGAACATGATGGGCAAGCGTGTCAACTACGCCGCTCGGAGTGTCATCTCGCCTGATCCCAATATCGAGACGAATGAGATTGGTGTGCCTCCAGTCTTTGCGCGAAAACTCACCTATCCCGAGCCAGTGACGAGTCACAACTTCAAGGACCTTCAACAGGCAGTTATCAACGGCGTCGATAAGTGGCCTGGCGCGTCAGGCATCGAGAACGAGAATGGTCAGATAATCAATCTGCGGACCAAGTCATTGGAGGACCGTGTCTCTCTCGCGAACCAGCTGCTTGCGCCGACAAACAACAACTTCAGTGGCATGCGAAACAAGAAGGTTCATCGACACCTGACCAACGGTGATGTTGTCCTCATGAACCGTCAGCCAACTCTACACAAACCTTCCATCATGGGCCACCGCGTCCGCGTTTTGCCGGGTGAGAAAACCATCCGCATGCACTACGCCAACTGCAACACATACAATGCGGACTTTGACGGAGACGAAATGAACATGCACTTTCCGCAAAATGAGGTTGCCCGAGCGGAAGCGCTCCAACTCGCGGACACCGACCATCAGTACCTCTCCGGCACGGCTGGAAAGCCTCTGCGAGGTCTCATCCAAGATCACTTGTCTGTGTCCGTTGCTCTCTGCAACAAGGACACCTTCTTCGACAAAGGGTCCTACCAACAGCTTATCTATAGCGCACTCCGTCCAGAAAGCGGCCACATCACCGGCGAGAGAATAGAGCTACTCCCTCCTGCCATCATCAAGCCTGTTCCGCGATGGACAGGCAAGCAAATCATCTCGACCATTTTGAAGAACACGAGACCTAAAGGCTCTGGGGATCTGTGGATGACTGGCAAGACTCAGATTCCCGCTGACAGATGGGGGGCGCACTCTGAGGAGTACCATGTCCTTTTCCGAGATGGTCAGTTTATCACTGGCATTCTGGATAAGTCCCAACTGGGTCCTAGTTCAGGCGGCTTTGTCCATTCCGTGCACGAGGTCTACGGCCCTGCTGTTGCTGGAAAGCTGCTGAGCAGCATGGGTAGGCTCCTGACCAAGTATCTGAACATGCGCGCGTTTAGTTGCGGGATGGATGACCTGCGGCTTACCCCCGAGGGCGAGGCAAACCGAAAGACTCGGCTCGAGGCCGCCAGTCAGGTTGGGCTCCGTGTTGCCGCCAGCTATGTGTCCTTGGACGCACAGAATGTCACGTCTTCTGATCCTGGACTCCTGGAGAGGCTTGAGGAAGTCATGCGGGATGATAGCAAGCAGGAGGGGTTGGATATGCTGATGAATAGCGCCAGTGGAGATGTATCCAGCAAAGTCACCAAGACCTGCCTCCCCCTGGGTCTGGAAAAGCAATTCCCGAAGAACCAGATGCAGGCCATGACTGTCTCTGGCGCAAAAGGAGGCCTCGTCAATGCCAACCTCATCTCATGCAATCTCGGCCAACAGGTCTTGGAGGGAAGGAGGGTGCCTCTCATGGTCAGCGGCAAATCTCTACCATGCTTCCCTGCCTTCGACACGGATGTCCGAGCTGGCGGCTACATTGTCAGCCGCTTTCTCACAGGTATCAGGCCACAAGAGTACTACTTCCATCACATGGCTGGCCGCGAAGGATTGATCGATACGGCTGTCAAGACATCACGATCAGGCTACCTGCAGCGGTGCCTGATCAAAGGTATGGAGGGCCTCGAGGTTGCCTACGATACTTCTGTACGAGACTCGGATGGTACACTAGTGCAGTTCCTGTATGGAGAGGACGGTCTGGATGTCACCAAGCAGAAGTATCTGACGGACTTTGGGTTCCTGCTGAACAATCTGGGTTCCCAGTTGTCTTACGTCAAATTTACGGATCCTCAAACGAACACGCTATTTGACCACAGAGACGAGTTCATGAAGCAGATGAAGAACCGGATCAAGAAGGCCAGGATCTCACCCGCCCTGGCTCCATTGAATTCAGAAGTCAATGTCGTGAGACACGCATTTGCCACTTCAGAGAAGTATTTCGAGACGATGACCCAATACGTCAAGGACAACAAGGACGGCCTGATAAAAGAGAAGGGTGACAAGCAAGGCGGCACCCAGGGCAAACCCCGAATGGGTAAAAAAGCAGTGGAGAAGGTGTTTGTGGCGAAGTATCTGCGATCGCTCGTCGAACCCGGCGAGGCGATTGGTATAGTCGCAGGGCAGTCTGTTGGTGAACCTTCGACACAGATGACGTTGAACACGTTCCACTTGGCGGGACACTCTGCCAAGAACGTCACTCTGGGTATCCCCCGGCTCCGAGAGATTCTCATGACGGCGAGTGCGCATATATCGACCCCTGCCATGACCCTCTATCTCAACGAGGAGCTCTCGGCGGAGGACGGACAAAGGTTCGCTAAGTCAATCAGCGTGCTTCCGCTGTCGCATGTCCTTGATAAGGTCACCGTCCGAGAGAGAGTCGGCAAGGGTAAAGGGTACGCCCTTGCTAAAATGTTTGATGTTCGGCTCAAGTTTTTCCCCTCGAACGAATACACGCAGGCATATGCCATAGTCAAAGCCGACGTTCTGGCCACGGTGGAAAAGAAGTTGCTACCAAACTTACGCAAGCTCCTTGACAAGGAGATGAAGCAGCGACAAGGAGGTAAAGACAGCGCCGCTATGCCCGAAGTCGGAGTGAAATCAGGTGTCGTCGAGATGGCTAGTACCAATGCAGACGAGAACGCAGCTTTTGATGAGGATGGTGACGACGACGAAGGCGACGACGACGCGACCAATGCCAAACAGCGCCAGAATCGGACAGAAGCTGTTTCGTATGGGCCAAATGACGATGAGGACGATGCGATTCAGAAGAGGATGGAGCAGGAAGCAACCTCTGACGATGAAGAGCTGCCCGAGGATGAGGGGTTCGTTGGTAGTCCCCAGTCTCCCAGGGAAAATGACGACTTCGAGGATGAAGGCGCGGGCAAAACGTCGGACAGAGCCCAGTCAAGAGAAGCACGAGTCAAAAACAACAACCCACACGTGTCCCAATTCCGCTGCGACGAGGCACGAGGGGAGTGGTGCGAATTCACACTCGAATTCGCCGTTACCATGCCCAAGATTCTCATGCTGAACATTGTTCAGGATGCAGTGCGCAAGTCGCTGGTGCAGCAGATTGACGGCATAGGCTCGTGCACCTTTGTGCCAGACGAGAAGACCACGGACCCGCGGACAGGTCTCGAATACCTGGCCGCCGTGGTCCATACCCAGGGCGCCAACATCCGGGCTATGCAGAGGTACGGCGACTACCTAAACCCTAACCGAATTTCAACGAACGACATCGTCGCTGTCCTCAACATCTACGGCGTCGAAGCCTGTCGGAGCAACATTATTCGTGAGTTGAGCAACGTGTTCCAGTCGCACGGCATCGGTGTAGATAACCGCCATCTCAATTTGATCGGCGATTACATGACGAGGAACGGAGGTTTCACGCCATTCAACCGCATGGGCCTGAGCGGCAACGTCAGCCCGTTTACCAAGATGAGCTTTGAGACGACTCTGGCCTTCTTGAAAGACGCGGTCTTGGATGGCGATTGGGACGACCTCACGACACCCAGCAGTCGGCTGGTGATGGGTAGGCTCGGCAAAACAGGCACAGGCTCCTTCGATGTCTTGACGCAGGTCCCGACGGAACATTACGACTCTATGCACCTCCGCCAATCCGCAGTGACGCAGTCGTGATGGTTCCCTCTAAAGATCGTGGGGGGTTGGAAGAGAGTGAGTGTATGGATCTTGCAGCAGGCGTTGGCTGGTCATGCGATGTACTTGACGTATCCCTAGTTTAGACAATGCACAGTAAATTTTTTTTCTGTTATGAATCAGCGCCATCGACGATCCAGCCTTTGGCTCGGTTCGGCTCCCCGTCGTGATATCCATCTGAAGTTCGGAGCATTAGTGTCGATCAGTATTAAGCGCGCAAGGCGGGAAGCGACTGGCTTGACCAGCCCTCTACATAGACGGCAGTTGGCTATCTTTCACACACAAGTTGGAAAGATCGAGAAGCGAACCAGGGTGCCTGCCGTGTGGGCCCAAACGCGTATTGTTGACTCGTTCAGAACCGGTGCTTGTTTACATACCGGCGAAGTGGGGAGAGGAGGTCTGCATCCCAACGCGTCTTACCCGTTCCCAGGACGCGCGGTCGACGGCGGTTAATATCGCGAATTCACATGGTGCGGAAGACTTTTGGTCATGATCAAGGTTTCATTGAGCAGCTCCCAAGCCGCCATGTCTGTAATGTACAACCCATGTATGTAAAAGCAACGCAGTCATAACGCCTTGATATTATCCCCCAGCCTTAAGACCCATTCGTCAAGCAAGCATCCCAGTGTGAAAAGTTCGTAATCGCCCAAACCCCTCCAGAAAACCAAAGCCTCCCAAGTGTAGACTTAGTTGCGCTCACCACGGAGGCGGCGGGCGAGCTGGATGTCCTTCTGCAATGGTTGTTAGCAGCTGTGCAGGTGAAGTGCTTAGTTATCGTAGATTACTTACCGACTGGATGGTGACACGCTTGGCGTGGATGGCGCACAGGTTGGTGTCCTCAAAGAGGGAGACGAGGTAAGACTCGACAGACTCCTGGAGAGCGCCGATGGCGGAGGACTGGAAGCGCAGGTCCGACTTGAAGTCCTGGGCGATCTCACGAACCAGGCGCTGGAAAGGGAGCTTGCGGATGAGAAGCTCCGTCGACTTTTGGTAACGGCGAATCTCACGAAGCGCGACGGTACCGGGCTTGTAGCGGTGGGGCTTCTTGACACCACCGGTGGACGGGGCGCTCTTGCGGGCAGCCTTGGAGGCGAGCTGCTTACGGGGAGCCTTGCCACCAGTGGACTTACGGGCGGTCTGCTTGGTGCGGGCCATTGTTAATGAATGGTTTGATGTAGTTTGATGATGATGACGCGATGCGCGATGATGGAAAAGAGGCTGAGGGTTGGTGGTTGATGATGGAGGAGAGTGGGTGTGTGTGGAAGAGGAAAGGTTTGAGAGTTGGTGGGGGGGTGCGAGGTTTCTTAAGTAGGGGAAATCTGGGCAGTCACGTTGCAGGCTGATTAGGCGTCTGAGAAATGGCGACTACCAAGAATGGAAGTGGGGAAACAAAAAAAGAGGGAAGTGGCGTCGGTGCGTTTTTGCGCGTTGTTTTTTTTTTGGGTGTGGAAAATGGTTCTGATTTTGCAGGGCGGCGTCCCCCAGAAATCAAATGCCAGGGGCGCTCGCATTATTTTTTGAGGGGAGAAAAAAAGGCGACTTTACCGCTTCTGGAACTCCCACACCCCAAGTGCCAAACATGCGTCCGCGCAGCCCTCCAATCAGGGAGAGCAAGAGAGAAATCATTGGTCGCGCTTAATTCTGGGTCGCTCAGGTTCGTAGTTACGTGAGTATGTAGGCACGCCACGGATAAGGAGGAACAGGCAGCAATGGCTTGTCTTTGCTCGACTGCCGTGGTGTGGAGGAGGCACGTCTCTCGTCGTGCCGCATTTGCATCTGACAGGGCACATGCGCCTTGCACCTCTCCTCTCCTGACCGGGAATGGCCGGCCGTGATCCACGACGCTGAGTGCGAAGGCGGTAGGTGCATGACTCATCATCTTCTATTCAACGTATCCAGTGCTCGGGCATTGCACCGCTGGGGAAGAGATAGCTACCGCCGTAAAAGTGCGCACCCAGCTTTTGTGTTTGCCACACTATTGTCAAGGCCAGCCAGTGCGGCAGCTCAGCTCCCTCGGCGGCTGTCTGTCTGTGTGTCTGTCTATCTGTCTGTATGTCTGTGGGTGTGTCTGTCTGTCTGCCTGCCTGCCTGCCACCCACAGACGATTTGCCTCCTTGCCCTCCTCTCAAGCCCTGTTCGAAGCAGCAAGCATGTCATCTCATTACTTGAAGTGATGAGGCTTCTCGTCGTCGTTGGGCGTGCCTAGCGTGTGACTTGGCGAAGTACCCCACCACTGGCGTGCCCACCGGCGGCGCTGCATGCCTCGAACTTCGGTCGGGCCTGGCGCTGTGGGCTGGCTCGTGCGCTGCTGGGTGGGGACTCTGGAGGGCGCTGGAACCATGGCTGAACAAATAATAATAATCGTTCCAAAAATCAAACCGCCCTTCCGCTTCCCCAACTGGGTTTAGCGCGCCGCGTCCAGCAGGCCCAGGCGCAGCAAAATGCAGCTGGAGCACTAAATCAGCGGCTGATCTGATCTGGCGCCCGCATCAGCGCGTCGCACATCGCTCCCGCATTTAAAGACTTGCCCTCTTCCCCACGCTGCCACAACCTCCTTCCCACTCCATTCCCGCATTCAGCCTTTCTCGTCAACCAAAGACATCTCCAATCACCTCATTTCTTCACCACCAAATCTCCCCCATCTCCATCAATCATCATGACTGGACGCGGCAAGGGCGGCAAGGGCCTCGGCAAGGGCGGTGCCAAGCGCCACCGCAAGATTCTTCGTGACAACATCCAGGGTATCACCAAGCCCGCTATCCGCCGTCTCGCTCGCCGTGGTGGTGTCAAGCGTATCTCTGCCAGTATGTTCCTATTGCCATGCTTCATCTTGCCCATGCTGTGTCTGCGCCTGTCGGCTAACCTGCTCTCTTCCCCCCCCACGCAGTGATCTACGAGGAGACCCGCGGTGTCCTCAAGTCCTTCCTCGAGGGCGTCATCCGTGACGCCGTCACCTACACCGAGCACGCCAAGCGCAAGACCGTCACTTCCCTAGACGTCGTCTATGCTCTGAAGCGACAAGGCCGCACCCTCTACGGTTTCGGTGGTTAAGCGTCATGATCTTTTACGCCTTCTTACGACTTGTTTGGGTGGGGCTGGTTTGGTTTGGACTGTGATGATTGATTACGGGAACCTGGTCTTTTTGTCTTTTTTTAACCTGGCTTTGGGGGCTTCTCATGTACCATAAGGGCAACTCACGGTGTTCAGTGTGGATAAGCATAATGGAAAGCTCGGCACCCACAAATGGGCGGGCGAAATGAACAACAGCATTTGTTTTGATCCGTCTTGCTACCTGTGTTTCGCGGCTCGGTTGTGTGCCCTTGTTGATCCTGTCCCCTGTTCACGACGCGGTGCGCGTGGCGCGTGGCGCGTGTGTGTTGTTGTCGTCTCGGACAGTGGCGTGTCTTGCTGGGACGGCATCCTGCCGTAACCAGGCCGGAAGCTGTGTAGGTGCCGGCCGAACATCACGCATTTGCCTCATGAGGCCCCGGAGTCGTGACCCCGAATGGTCATGGTTTCGAATGTCAAGCGTACGTAACCTCGATAGATGATGAGTGGTCGTCCGAAGCCTAGGTCGGTGCTATTTCCCATGTAGACGCACCTATCTACCGGCTCGCCAATTTGCAGCCTCGTGAGGAATCGAATGCGGCGCGGTAGCAGGTTTGTAAAGGCTGCCTGTAGGCGTAGCTGAAGTAACCTACCTTAGGAGCCACTGTAGCCAATGAGACCTCGCCAGCGAGCATTGCGTTCCTACTTGTACTTTACGTGGGAGAGCTAGAGCCAATCATAGCCTCGCCGGTTGGTTAGCCTTGCCTCGTCGGGACTCCACTCGACTTCTGGACGGGGCTCGCATCGTCCAAGTCGAGGGAAGGCATGGATCGCATGTTTCAACAGGCTGTTGTTCTTTACACTACGAGCAGAATCTTGCCACTGCGTATGTTTTTTTTGGCCTGCTTTACTATTTTGGATGATAACCGGGTCTTGTTCGACCTGGATAGTATATCTGTGGTTATCTGTGGTTATTGATGTCTTGTTGGTTTCATTTTAATATATTGCTAGTGATTTAAACAAATACACTCTGATAACGTCTGAGCTTCCACATACAACCATGAAACCACAATGTAAAACAATCCTGCCATAAATTATACAAACCAAACGCATGTCAATGAAGAATAATACCCGACAGGAGATCAAAGCCGAAACGGATAGCCAGAAGACCTCAGCATCAAGCTCACTGAGTCAAACAGTGATTTTGGGCTGCACGGCAAGTTACGCCGACAATATCGCTCGGCGGCCTACAATGCTGCCATGGCTACTCCATGCAGGCCTGATCCTGGACGAACCATGATCGACTTGGCTGCCATTCATCCTGGCGGGCTTCAGTCTGCCAGTGCAGAAAACAGAGTTGGCTGGCTGGCCACAGCCTGGGCCTCCTTCACCATGGCCAGAGGGCGCTCCATCGTGATGCAGACGTCCGCACTATTTGAAGCCAGCCCAACCTTGGTCCGTGGTGACATGGCCGAACTCCAGGCAGCGAACATACCATGCCTATCCGACATCACTGGAGCAGACCAGCAGGCATGCACACGTAGACGCTTTCATGAGCGAAACCATGTACACATGGGCAAGGACGATCGACCAAACTCACTCACAAGAAGAGCCCTGATGGTGTGCAAACAGGTTATAGAAAGGGCATCGAGAATTGAGCATGAATAACAGTGTGAAATGCTGGTCAGAGTGTTCTGCGCCCCTGACCAGAGAGCACCCTGCCCTCCTAGAAGCCTCCTGGAATCGGTTCCGTGCCGGAGAAAACACCACTTGGGTCATCCTCTGTGGTATGAGTCTGATCGCATCCAGATAGCCTGTGACATTCCGTTCTACTCCACCTGACATAGAATCATTATCTAGGGGGGGTTTGAACATGATGATCTGGAGGGATCAAGAAGAAAGCGGAGTGGATGCATTGTTGATGTGTACTAGTAGCGTGCTATAGTCCCCTGGACATACAAAAGAAACAGCACATGTGAACCTAGCCCGTGAACAATGAATAAATAGCCCATGTTCTCTCGCGTCTGAGGTCTTCCAGACCTCCTGCGTTATTGCTCCTCATCTCGCACCCGGATCGGCTGCAGACGCGATCAACTAGTTACAGCCCCCCCCCCCCCCCCCCCATCCCTGTCACGACGGTGTTGTGGTAGGGTCTTTCGAGTAGGGTGACAAGATGACGACTACAGATGTGCATCTGGGTCCTCGTTTGCTTTGGTGATAGAGAGACCACCATGGCCCTGCTTCCTGAGTATCGTTGCCTCTTTCTGACGTTGGGTCTAGAAGTCAGACATAGCTGTACAAACAACAGTGGTGCACACATATTATGTGTTTCAAGGTAGATACCCGATCAGGCACAACCCTGGAAATGGTATGCTATATCAGGAATTCATCCCCGCCTCCAGTTCAATGAGCCGCCTCCTCCCATGGCGTGACGCTGGGAAAAGAGCACACAAGAGCACATGTCACCAGGGGCGTATGCAACAGGAGAACATAGCGTGGATGTAACAGAGGGTGTATTGGAGTTGAGCTCAGCAAGGCTCGAGGCAAGGAATGTACGAGTCTGCCTTGACCGTCTACAACAAACCTCTGGTTAATGTGTGAGTAGTACCCGCAAGGTCAAGCATGACATGAAGCTCAGGAACCCCTTAGCATGCAAACATTCTGCAATAGCCTGTACATGTAGAGGGTGGTATAGGGGCAGTGAATTGAGATGGGCATTGCACAGCTGGATATTTTCTGTGAACCTGATTAGCGTTGAGGCCGTCAAGTTGATGGATAGTGGTTTTTCTATCTGTATCATAGAATAATAGACCTGGAAATATAAAGATATATATAGGTGGCGGTTTCTTAGTTTCACTGTATTATATACACTGAGGACCAATATGAAATCATCGATGCCTGAGACAGATCATAAGAAAGCCATCTTCCTATCAATGTAATATAACATTTAAGAGCTGTAACTACAGTCACATGATCTCAGGTTATCTCTAGCTAATGACTGTGGCACAGACAGGGATTGACAGAGATCTTGATTACTGAAGTACATATAAGTAAAGTTACAGCTCCTAAATAGATAAGAGTAAAGGCTGGATGAATCACACTTCTGA